TTCCTGATTTCATATTTTCTTTCAACTGTATTTTTCACACCTTCTTTCCATAATTTTATGAGAGGATCTTTTATTGTTGACTTACAAAATATTTGTGAAACTTAAGGGAACCGATTCCTAACAGGCACAGTTTCTGTATTTGCCTATATCTTCTATTTTCTACTTATGCATTTATTTATTTTGCAGTGCTTGGGACTAGGGATGAAGCCCAAGGACTCAGACATAAAAGGATACACCTCTCTCACTAAAATTTTAGGTAATTTAATTCTTTTTTGGCCACACAGAAATTTAAAATTTCTGCTTCATCATTCTAAAGAAACTATAAAATTCTGGATTTGTAATATATTGGAAAAGGTTCATCTTTTTGAATGTTTCTTTGTTTTTTTTAAAAAAGACCTATACATCCAGATATTTACTGATTTAATGATGACATTTAAAATCTTAATGCAAATGCAATGCCTTTTTTGAAGAAAGGTGCTAAAGGTTTGGAACTGGGAATGCGGGTAATCACATTTCAAGTAGTTTACCTCTTAAAGGTAAAGGTAAAGGTAAAGGCCCTCCCGTTGATCGTCGATTTGCTCGAGCGGGCCCAGTAACGTCTCCATTGGAGACTTTGTTGTTACTGTGTCTGGCATATCGAATACTCTCGGTAGCTTGCCGGGCTCTCCGAGAGGGGCGGAGGAATGGAACTCGGGTCGGCCATGTTGGCCGCATGTAAGGCGAAAGCCCTACCCGCTGTGCTATCGCTCCAGCAAAGTTTACCTCTTAATTTTAATAAATCACGTCTTATGGACTGAGCTGATATACCACCTTAAAATTTCCTTATACATGGGGGTATCTTTTGGAGATATTTATTGTGCTTACTTTTTTATTTATTTTTATGTCATCAGCAATCTATTCCAGTTATTATAATATTGTATATAAATATATTACCAAATTACCAATAATCTTAAAAGAACTTTATTTTCAGAAATTTAGTTATTTCACATTTATCTTTTTATCTTTCCATTTTTATCACAAGTGGGAAATATATGTACCACTCAGCACTTTTTAAAGATTTTTATGTTGAAATGCTAAATATTTCATACTTTGTTGGGAATTTAAATGGGAAACTGGAGTTCTTTTTCTAACTTGGGTTTTTTTCTTTTTTGCATGAAGACATGTTATGGATTATTATCAGGGGGACTCCAATAGGCAGTGTGCAGGTCCGACTCCTGGCTCTGTGCTCTGAGATCACCCCTGACAGTGCCTGAATAACCACAAGCAGTGCCAGAGACTGAACCCAAGCTGACTGCATGCAAGGTAGGCACGAAGCTACCCCTGTACTATCTCTCCATCCTCTCACTTATTTTTTACCAGGCTAGTCATCTTCTGTTGGATATTAGACTTCATCTGTGAATTTCCCCTTTTCCTCCTCCCAGAGAAGCTTCTAATGCTCTTATGAGAACCCCGAGTGCCCTGAGTTTATCTTTAACATTTTCTTTGTGATTTACCTCTCATTCTCACAATTCTCCAAGTCAGTCTTGGTTACTCATAAGTCAAAACTTCCTGGTAACTCTGGATTTTGTATTTGAAGTGAATTATTTGCTTTTCTCTTTCCCCTATAGGCTTTTCATATTTTACTATAGAGCAATATGCTTTGCCTAAACATAGAAAGACCATTAATGCTGTGCTCCTAATATTTGGGAGTTGACTGACTCTGAAATAGATCTACTCCTGGGCAACCATCATAATTACTTGACTCCGACTTCCGTTGCCATAGTTGCCAATACCCTACAAAAGGAGGTCCACCGTGAGACTGGTATGGACCCAGGGTAAGGGAGTGGCAAAGCTACCCGGGCATCAAAATGGGACAGACTAGAGACATAAAAGCACAGTCTTGATGCAAGTTGTCATGACTTAAGAGACGGGGCCCCACAGGAAAGGACTCAAGGTCCCACCTGAGGACCTAGTCTGGGATTTACAGTAAAAGCCTTGCTTGCTGTCGGAGCCCAGAGAACTAAGTTTTGGAACCTATGTCCCTTACTATGTTTATCCAAATAACTGCGAGTATTAATAAGAAGTAAATTTAATTGTTTAATCTATAAAACTAAAGGGAAAGAGAAAAGCAATACAAATGTTCTGTCTCCGTGAGTTAATCGCCCCAAGAAAATTGTCTCCACTGAAATGATCAATCACACCTACATGCAGTTCTATACCTCGAACCCCCTCAGATGCTCTATAAGTATGCTACCAGCTCTGCATTAAACGGGCCGTTTTCACCATCAGTCCATGGTCCCCTGTCTCTTTGTCTCTCTGCAGAGGAGACTGGGGAGGCAGTTCTTGACCACTGAATGTGTTAAACACTCTGCACTCTTGGTGAACTAACAGTCTTCACTTAATGTTTGTTACTGCTTCCAGTAGTTTTCCATAGATTAGGTTTGGTTATCCATGTCATATTATCATAGTATCAGCAAGGAATTAAGAAATACCATGGTTTCTTAGTTATCCTGGCAACAAAACATAGAGGCACTTACCATTAAGCTTCCTTTATGCCTTTTCCTATCCCACCACGGCCCTGCACAGATAGAATCTGAACTGTCAAGACCACACTCACCTCTTTCTTGCCTAGCTACAGCAAAGCCACAGCCCTTACATTTCACTCCACTAGCACCTATTTGGGCTGGAGTGATAGCACAGCGGGTAGGGCATTTGCCTTGCATGCAGCTGACCCGGCCTGGCAAACTACCGAGAGTATCTTGCCTGCATGGCAAAGCCTGGCAAGCTACCCATGACATATTTGATATGCCAAACACAGTAACAAGTGTCACTGTGTAGACGTTACTGGGCCCACGCGAGCAAATCGATGATCAATGGGGGGACAGTGACAGTGACAGCATTTACTTACAGACATGTTAATATTCTCCTTCTCTTTTCAATTTAGAAAAGAGACTTTAAGAGAAGAAAAGGAAGAGAAATGGGGACAGGGAAGCTCCCAGATTATGGAAGAGATCATGAATCTTCCGATTTTAAAATGACATGAATTTCTCTAAGCCCACTTCTTGTAGTCACATGTGCAAATCCCAGGTTTCAATCTGAGCAGCACGGGCCATACTCCAGCCCCAGAACCTCTGGCTATAATCCTAGTAGTCCTTGATCACTGCCAGGTAGAATCCCCTCAAAATGGCAAACACATAACTCCCCAAACAAGTTCCAGTAAATTCAAGTTCATTGAAGTATCTATGGTAAAAAGCAGAGAGCAGAAGAAAGCAAAGCACTCAACTACTTAAAAGCCATGGTTAAAACGAGAAAGAAGACTGGAAACAGGAGAGCAATGGAGCACAAAGAGAATTAAATTCTATCAAATCAACCGTAGCACTGTAGCACTGTCCTCCCAGTGTTCACCCACTGATTTGCTTGAGTGGGCACCAGTAATGTCTCCATTGTGAGACTTGTTACTGTTGTTGGCATATCGAATACGCCACAGGGATCTTGCCAGGGTCTGCCATGTGGGTGGGACACTCTCAGTAGCTTGCCAGGCTCTCCGAGAGGGATGGAAGAATCGAACCCAGGTTGGCCGCATGCAAGGCAAACGATCTATCCACTGTGCTATCACTCCAGCCATCAAATCAACAATCAGAAAAAATGGAAATGAACTAAAGTTGCCTGTGATTCAGAGGTTTTCTAATTAGATCAATGTTTAAAACCAACAAAAGATAGCTAAATATGATTTCTTGAGAAACAAAACGAAAGCATGAGGGGAGAGCAAGTGTGACAACAAAGAAATGTCGAAAGATGTAGAAGGCAAGCATCATCCCCTGCCAATGGAGACGTTACTGGGCCCCCAAGAGCAAATCGATGAACAACGGGAGGACCTTGACCGTGGAAAATACAGAAAGCCTAACCTGTAACAAAATCTTAGTAATCTCTTATACAAGGGCTTAATGGCCCCATAGTAGGATACAACAATCTTTCTTCTAGAGAAACATTTTTTGATCATTCTTTTAGCAAATTATTTATAACAAGCAATATCAAATAAATTATTGGGGGTCTGCTATAGAGTCAGCCTTCAGAGGTGGTTGGGAAAATTGAAAATAATGGTGGTGGGAAGGTGCCAGGGTGGTGGGATTGGTGTTGAGTATTCAGTGTCTGTAACAAATCATCATCAACTGTAGCAATGCACTGTCCTCCTGTTGTTCACTGAGTTGCTCAAGCAGGCCCAGTAACATCACCATTGTGAGACTTGTTGTTACTGTGTTTGGCATATTGGATACATCACGGGGAGCTTGCCAGGCTCTGCTGTGCGGGCGAGATACTCTCGGTTGCTTGTTGGGCTCTCTGAGAGGGGCAGAGGAATCGAACCTGGGTCAGCCGGGTTGGCCGCAGGCAAATGCCCTACCAATGTGCTATCGCTCCAGCCCCATCATCATCAACAACTTTGAAAAATAAATAAATAAATAAATATAAAATGGCTGAAGAGAATTTGTATTTGCTACATTGGGTCAGCTCTTTTCACGTTCTTTTCTTCTACTGCAATAGTGATTCAAGTCATCCTTACAAAACTTCTGTGAAAACCAAGCCATGTTTGTGTAAAGTGGGTGTATGTGCATGCGTGCATGCGTGTATGCAAGAGTACAAGAGTGTACATGTACATTTGTGCATTGGAAGCACAAGTATACATGTGTGTGCAAGTGAGAGGTGTGTAAGTGTATTGCATGCATGTGAAGGAATACATGTATGCATGTACATGCGCGTGTCCATGTGCGTGCATGGACACGTAACGTGCTTTCCAAGCAAGGCATGTGTTTACCTGTGTGGAGGTGCATATGCGCATGTTGCATGTATTTGCGTTACATGGCAGACATATGTGTGGGCAAGCATGTGTGCACACATATACGTGTACGCATATGAGTGGATACAACGTGTGCACGCATATTCACGAGTGTGCATGTGTGTGAGTATAATTCTCCCGACCAGGCCCTGGAGGTGGGTCCGGGCACTGTGGCCCGCTGGTGCCTCACCTGCATGGTGAGCTGCTTGTCGTGCAGGGCGCGCTGCAGCTCCAGGAGGCTCCCTTTGAGTGTGCGCAGTTTCCCGGCCAGCTGCTCAGCCTCGCCCCTGGTATGCGCCTTCCCCTCCAGCAGCAGGTTCTCGTTGTGCACCGACAGCTCTGACAGCGCCACCACCTTCTGCTCGATCTCCCCCAGCATGTTCTGCAACCGAGAAGCAGCATGAATGTCACGTGTCCCACTGGCACCCCTGATGTCCCTTTTCTTTCCCCTCTCCCGCTTCCCATTTCAGGGCCAACCCCTGGCAGCTGGCCACTGGCAGCGTCTACTCCTGGCACATTGCTCAAGGTCAGTCCTGACGGTACTGAGGGCAGGATGGGGCACCGGGGATCAAACCTGAGCCTCTCCCTATAAAGCATATGCTTCCCTTTGACTTATTTCCTGGTCTTTTAGATTTCTTTTCTATCTTTCTTCTTTTTTTTTTGCTTTTTGGGTCACACCCGGTGATGCACAGGGGTTACTCCTGGCTCTGCACTCAGGAGTTACTCCTGGCAGTGCTCAGGGGACCATATGGAATGCTGGGAATCAAACCCGGGTCGGCCATGTGCAAGGCAAATGCCCTACCCACTGTGCTATCTCTCCAGCCCCTCTTTCTTTCTTCTTAAATAGAATGAAATATGCCAAGAGAAAATGCCAATAGACATACAATAAAATATGCCAGTATTAACATATCCCATTATGTATAGGGGTTAAGGCACTGCCTTGACATGCAGCAGAGCCAAATTGGATTCCCAGCACACATGGTCCCTTAAGCATGACCAGGAATTATTCCCCAGAACAGAGCCAGTGAGCACTGATGAGTGTGACTCCAAACCCATATATATATATATATATATATATATATATATATATATATATATAACGTGAACTAGAAATTATGCTGGAAAGTACAAGTAGTAAGTCAACCATTACAAGAACAAGAGCAAAGCACAGAGTCAGCCATTTAGCATTAGACCGTGATACTCATGGCTAATAATCACAATGACAATACACTCAACATCTTTTCTCTCAAGTGTAAGATAATTTTCTCTTTCAAACCACTGCTGCTTTGTGCTCAGTATTTTCAGGTAGCCCTTGGCATCTTTTTTGCTTTTTAATTAATGAATACGATTTCAATGTTCCATTTCCATAATCTGCCTGAAAATGTTCACTTCCATTAAAATTCCACAGTGCTGCAGAATTTTCTTCTTAAATGGCCACTACATCCAGAGCAGCAGTCAAGCAATCTCCTTTCTTTCGAGGTAATGATTGAAAACAAAAAAAGTCAAAAATGAAGTGAAGCAAAACAACTATTTCCTTTTCTTCAGAAATTGGTTTTAGGCTGAACAACAGCAGCAATCCGCCCCAGAGCTCAGGCCTTGGCTGCTGGAAGCTGGATTTATTTATTTATTTATTTATTTATTTTTGCATGCTATGAACTATTTATTTTTTCTCAGTTTTAAGATAGCTTATTTGGGTAAGTTTTCAGCATTTCCAAAATTAGACATCATCTTGCCTTCAATGTAATATTTCTTTTCTTCTTTGAAAAGCTGTTATGAAAGCAATGGTGCATCATCAAATCAGGATGGAAGCTGGATTTAATCCTCACACCGCACGGTCCCCTGAACACAGAGCCACAAACAGCCCTGAAGCAACACTGGGTAAGGCACCCCCAAAACAAACAAACAAAAACTAACACCCTAAAACCAAACACAAAGCCCAGAAATTGTTTGAATTTGATATTCCTGACCTATTCTAAACCCTCTGAGGTGTATTTTCTCATTGATATTCAGTCAGTTCGCTAAGGAGCAAAAGATCTCGTGGACCTGTGCAAAATCTCAATGACCTCCTCCTCAGAATACAGTAGCATGTGGGCTGAGCGTGCAGGGGCCCAGTTGGATTCCTGGTGCCACAGTCTCCTTAAGCAACCAGGGGAGTTGATGAACACGGAGCCAGGAGTTATCGCCAGCACTGTCAGGGGTGACTCCCTCCGGGGGGGGAAAAAAAAGACTTGAGGGCCAAACCCAGGAGAGCTGGGAGTGAGTCCTGGCTTGGTCACTCTCATCAGCACCAGGGGGACCAGGCAGTGCCAGGAGGCGCATCTCGGCTTCTCTGTGTGACAATTGTACACACACTCCAGCCCCCTGAGTGACTCCACTGGCCCCTGAAGATTAGTTGTGAGAAAATAACCCAGCATATTGCAGTCAGGCCCCGTGGGTGAGTGGCCAGTGGGTGAACACACAGTGCTGGGGTTCAGTGCAGGCTCTGACAACATGCGACACACATGCATTCCCACTGGCTCTTCCTCCCTGTCCCCCTTCAACCTCCACTAAGTGTAATTGGGGGCAGGAGAGGTTAAGGAAGTGACTCAGTATTAGGAAACAAACTCTCTATGTGTGGGTCCCTGCGTTTGATCACCAGCACAGAAAAACACAAACAACAACAAAAATTGTCCTCATCCCACTTATATAATTTTTTAAAGTATTTTTAGAGGAATTTTTCTGTGAACACCAAGTGCCCAGGGCCCTAAGAGACACAAGGAAGCCCTAATTTTGTGTAACACCCACGTGGCGGTTATGCAAGTGATTCGAATACTTGATTTGAATCAACCGAGTAACTGGACTTCTAAATCTGCCTCTGTGTACTTCCAGTTCCTTCTAATGTACTCAGAAGGCCATTTACATACTTCAAAAAGTCCCTCAAAACATTATTTGCTACATGGGCACTGGATATAACATAAAATTAGAGATACCCAAAAGGAAGAAGTGGGAGTGATGATAAAACATAATTTTGAAATTATGCATGTGAAATTATGCTAGTGCATGTGGCAATTTCAAGTGCTAGGAGAGAATACTAAAAATAGATCTCTTCAGAGAAGCAGAATTAAAATAAAGGAGGTTAAGAATAGAATCACTCACATGTAACCCTATCCTCTAGGTATCGAAAGAGGAAATGAGGCTTTCAATACACATAGATACTTGTCCAAATAATTTACAAGTTATGATATACAAATACATAAAAAATTAATAATATTGGGGCTGGAGAGATAGCACAGCGGGTAGGGCATTTGGCTTGCACGTGGCCGACCCAGGTTTGATTCCCAGCATCCCATATGGTACCCTGAGCACTGCCAGGAGTAACTCCTGAGTGCAGAGCCAGGAGTAACCCCTGTGCATCACCGGGTGTGACCCAAAAAGCAAAAAAAAAAAAAAAATTAATAATCCATATAATGGATCTCAGATAACACATAAAAAAATATTTTGGCGAGGGCTTTTGGGGCCATACCCGGTGGTGCTCAGGGATTATTCCTGGCTCTGCACTCAAAAATTACTCCTGATGTGCTCAGGGAACCATATGTGATACCGGGGATCAAACCTAGGTCAGCCGTGTGCAAGGAAACATCCTATCCACTGTACTAGCCCTTTTTCTCATAATGCATAAAATTGACCCAAACAGCAGCAGCACACAACATATTAAGAAAAAAAAAGCCAAAGTCCATTAAAAGACAATTTTAATGTATCTTCTCCAATTCTAAAAGGGAGAATTCTGAAGTCGGATGGATGTTTAACCCTAAGGATTTTACATAAGGATTTCTTAAGGACTAAGTTAGTTATGCAAAGTAATTTTTTTTTTGCTTTCCTTTGTTTTGTTTCTGAGGCCACATCAGGCAATGCTCAGGCTTACTCCTGGCTCTACACCCTTTGGTAGGCTTGGGGGTCTATATGGGGTGCTGAGTATCAAAACTAGGTAGGCTATGTGTAACGCAAATGCTCTACCCACTGCACTATTACGCTGGTCCCAAGAAAGCTTTTTAGACATATCCCACTTATGTGTGAAGCCGATATGTCTGCTGAAAATCACTGAAATTCAATGACTGGTACTCGGGATTGCCTTACACTTCTTATAGAGCAACTTCAATGTGCATCTGAAAGTGTCCAGAATGTCAAGAATAATAAATAACTCTGTCTGGACCTAAACTCCGGTGACCTAGCATCACAGGAAGGACATCCTGTTTCAAATCGTCCTTCCCATATCTGATCCTTCCATCTGCCAATCACAGCCCTTCCAGGCTGCCCCCCAAATATATCCGGAATAGAACCAAACATTGAGTAAGCAGTCAGGGACACACCCTATGTTATCCAGAGTCCGACTCGTTATTCATAATCTGACTCACTGCCACAGACTTTCCTCCTTGGATTTGTTTTCCTTTTAGCCACTAAACCTAGATCCCATTGAGGGTTTTCTATGACAATCTTTTAAAAACAGTCTCGGGCCGAAGAGATAGTACTGGAGTTAATGAGCTTGCCGTGCACATGGCAGACTCTGACTCAAAGGCCAGCACTGCATCTGGTCCCCCTGAGCACTTCCAGGAGTGATCCCTGAGCACAGAACCAAGAGTAAGCCCTGAGCACTGCTAGGTATGGCCCCCACCAAAAATCAAAAATGCAAATATTCTTTAGGAACCGATAAATTTATAAACAGTAGGCTCATGGGGCGATCACTCTTTTTTTTATGGTAAAATCATAGCACTTCTTTTTTTTTTTAATGAGTGAAACATCATGAGGTACAGTTGTAGACCTACAAACTTTCGTGCTTGGGTTTCAGTTATACAGTGATTGAGTACCCATTGCTCTATCAGTGCCCATTCTCCACCACCAATGATCCCAGTAGCCTTCCCACCTCCCCACCCATCCCCTCCACCCCACCCCACCTCTGCAGTAGGGCATTCCCTTTTGCTCACTCTTTCCATTAGGGTGTTGTAGTTTGCAATAGACGTATTGAGTGGTCATCATGTTCAGTCTATAGTCTACTTTCAGCACACATCTCACATCTTGAGCGAGTCCTCCAAACACCCTTTATTTGGTGTTCCCTTCTCTAATTTGAGCTGCTTTCCCCCCCTCCACCAGCATGTGCTGCCGGCTTCCAAGCCATGGAGCAGACCTCCTGGTACTGATCTCAACTATTCTTGGGTGTTCAACTCCCATTGGGGTGATTGCTCTTAAAAGACTCAGGTCACGTCTGAATTTCCCTTACGCTCTTGTAGGGTTTCATTCTCTGCTCGCCGTATGTCTAACAGCTGGACACTAATGAACCCCACTAAGCCTTCTGGCCACCGTGTGCTTTGTGATGTGTGATGTGGGCGTATCCCGCAGACAGCATCACTGTACCTGGCAGTCCACCAGCTGGGCCTCCATGTCCATGGGCTCCGTGGGAGTGGCCAGCGCCACGTCCAGCGTGGCCTTCGTGCTCAGGAGCCAGTGGTCCAGCTCGTCAGCCTCACAGCGGTACCTCTGCAGAGCTTGTTCCTGCCGCTGCTCCTCTAGCTGCTCATTCAGTTTCTCCTAGGGATTCAAATACAGCAGAACGCAGACAAACGTGTGAGGACTCAAGGGCCCCCAGCATTGGCCACACCTGGGAATCCTCAAAGAGCAAACAAACCTGCGTGTTACCCCACCCCACTACAAAATTCAGATTTGTTTTCCCTTTTGCTTTATGATTTTGGGGTCAAACCTGGCAGTGCTCTGGGCTGACCACTGGCTCTGTGCTCTGAGATCATCACTCCAGGCAGAGCTCAGGGAGCCACTTCTGGTGTGGAGGATAGAGGCTGGGTCAGTCAGATGCAAAGCAAGTATCTTACCTGCTGTATTATCTCTCCAGCCCCCTGTCTTTCAGGATTTTGGAAGAGGAGGCTGATGATCAGTATTTCCCCACCCCCTTTTTTTTTCTTTTTGGGTCACACCCGGTGATGCACAGGGGTTACTCCTCACTCTGTAGTCAGGAATTACTCCTGGCATTGCTCGGGGGACCATATGGGATGCTGGGGATCGAATGGGGGTCAGCCGCGAGCAAGGCAAATGCCCTACCCACTGTGCTATTGCTCCAGCCCTGTATTTTTCTAATAACATTTGCCAATGAGTTCATGTGTATCCAAAATTAAGCAATGTGTTTTTGAGCAGTACACAGACTGGGCCAGACAGATTATAATGATGGTGCAAATGCACCAAGAATCAGAACGAAGCAATGGCCTGAGATGGTGAATGGCAACACAGAGACTCAGAGGGAACTGTGACAAGGAGAAAAGAAGTCCCAACATGTGGCCCTCCATGGCCACACACAAGTTTGGACAACTGATGACCTGTGAGAGGAAGTGGCCCAGGATAACTAAAGGCTTGGGTGCAAGTGGAAATCCAATCCTGTGGTTTAGGTTTCTGTGTTGTTTTTCTCTAAGACAAATAATGCATGACTTTTACAAGTCTGGACTAATCGTTCTAAAACTCTACAAGATCTTGATAGAAGGACTGGGTTGATATTAATGACTTTTAACTGCTCCTAGGGTACTCTATCTGATTTAAAATTACTTGTAATAATAAATTGTCATTTTTTGAAAGTAATATTTGATTAATGAACACAAATGATTAAATGCAGAAAACCACACTGATTAGACCTAACTCCAAAATAGGCATATGATTTAAATAATCTTACAACAGACCCTTATATCCCCAACTACAGAGCTATGAGAAATTAGTTACAGTGCCACTGATAGCTAAATGAGACAAACTTAGCTTATATAATAAGGAATGCACTGAGAATTGAATTGTGTATCAGAGAATTTGCTAGACTCTGAAAATATTAGGAGATGGAGAAGCTAAAAAGCCACCCTGGGTGGGGGTCAGATGTGCACCCCCCCCAACCTAAATAAAAAATCAAACAAAACAAAAATGACCTCGTGAGATCTCCAGTCCAGCAAAATTACAGGAACAGCAACATGAGCCTCAGATATATACACAGGGCTGGGAATTAAATGAGAACAGAGAGAAAGGGAAACGGCTGCCTTCTAATAAACCACTGTGACCCAAACCATCTCTGTATTAGCTAATATTAAGGAATGAAAGAACCAGATTTGCAAGAGTCATTTTGTGAATTTACATGCTTGAACCATGGTAACAGTCAGCATTTCATCTGTTTTAGTCTCAGTAAGACCCATCATAAAATGCTCTTATTTCAACACAGCCAGCCATTATGCAAATCCCCCTGAGTTATTCATGAGGCACCCGTTGACCACAGATTTGCTTCCTGATTCCCCCGTTTTTCATGCCTGAGGGAGTCCAAGAGGAGAGAAAGGCCACATTCAGGCCACTGGCTGGTTTACCCTGGTCATCAACCACTCAACACTGAAACTGGAATTGCTGGGAATAACCCAGATGCTTCTACCACACACCCCCAAGAACGCAGGGCACCTTCCACATCCCCCGTTAATTACCTCCAAAAGCTGTCGCTTTCCTGACGCCTTCATCTTGATGGTGGACATGCGCTCGGCCAAGACGGTCAGTGTGGACTGCAGGGCCAGCTGCTCGGCGGGGTCTGACTCTGGGCACTCGGACACCAGCTCATCCGCCAGGGACGACTGCAGCTCACTGATTTCCTCTTGAAGCATCAGAATTTCGTCCATCAGCGCCTGAGGGAAGACTGTGCGTCAGACCGGTGGGCTTCTCCCCTGCTGGACTGAGCCGTCTGACACCAGCCAGATCTCCCCAATGCTGGATCTCCCCTACACAGAGAACTACTTCCTCTCCTTCCCTCCCCCCCTCCAAGAAATCACCATGGAGCTGCTGCTCTGCCTGTGACCAAACCTCAGGAAAGAGCCAATATTCAAAAGTGTATGTCACCACGGGTGGAGGGACGGGTGTTTGATCATTATGTGACTGAAACTCAATCACGAAAACTTTGTAACTGTAGCTCACGATGATGCAATAAAAAATAATAATAAAAATGTGTGTCACATGGTGCGGGAGCGATAGTACAATGGGTAGGGCATTTGCTTTGCAGACAGCCAATCAGGGTTCGACCCCCAGCATCCCTTATAGTCTCCTGAGGACCTTCAGGAGAAATTTCTGAGTGCAGAGCCAGGAATAACCCCTGAGCATCACAGGGTGTGACCTAAAACACTCCCCACCCCAAAAATGTGTGTCACCAGGACATATGTAAAATCAACTTTGAATAATCTTCCCGGCCCCTTAATTTTTAGTTTTATCCTTCCTCTTTGATATAAGGGCAATTTGGAGGATACTGCTTACTTTTCATACTTTTATCATATTCCAGGAACTATCTGATATTGCTTTACATTTTGAATCCATCATGATTAACAAAAGCGTTCAATTGAAAAAAATGTCCACCTCTCAGAATGAGTGCACGCATCTGGCAATTTTGCCAAAGTCTCATTTACAGAGGAAGTCTGGAAGACACATCATCAGAGGGGTCTACAAAACCTATTGAAATAAAATTCACTGTTTCAATCCTCCATGTGGTATCCCCCACCCCACCCCCTGAAATATACCTGAGTCTGTAACAGCCCCACGCTCTAACTGGGAAATCTCATGCTATAGATGGGAGAAGTCTCCTGCACACTCCACTGTCATCCTCTCAGTTCTTTCCTACTCTCCCCAGAACTGGCAACGTCTTGGGCTTGGCTTCCCAGCTCTCTGCTCTCTTTTCCCAGTGTCTCCCGGGGGATGTCATCCTTTCCGCTGATTCGATCTGCTTCCTAAAATCATGGCACTCAGTACATCCTGAATGACAACGTCTGTCCAACATCACAGGCCTGAATATTCCACCTCCTACTTGATGGTATCTCCACCTCACCATGCAGTCAGCCCACTGGTCACACACAGTCAAACCTCTGACCCAGTTCCTTCCCCCTGCCCCATACACTGACTGAGCCATACACCCCCTTACACCCTCTAGGCCAGCTGACATTCTCATTTCTTTGGGGAATGAAGGGTTGGGCTACAACCAGCAGTGCTCAGGGCTTCTTACTCCTGGCTCTGTGCTCAGGAACCACTCTAGGCAGTGCTAGGGGAGTCATCTGGTGCCAGGGACAGAAGCTCAGGTTGGCCAGGTACAAGGCCAGAATACGCATTAACCCTGCTCTGTCTCCCTGTGTCACCTCTCCGGCCCCAAGAGCTGATAGTCTGCTAGAATGGCTCTAAACTCGTGTGCCAAGTCTTGGGCTGCCTGCTTACAATTTTTTTCATTTTGTTTTGTTTTTTGTTCACAGCCGGTGATACACAGGGGTTACTCCTGGCTCTGCACTCAGGAATTACTCCTGACGGTGCTTGGGGGACCATATGGGATGCTGGGAATTGAACCCGGGTTGGCCGCGTGCAAGGCAAATGCCCTAACCACTGTGCTATCACTCCAGCCCCCCTACCTGCTTACATTCTTGTCTTTCCCTCTATCTTGCTCCCAAGTCATTCAAGCAAACTTTCCAAAAGGGAAATCAGAGCCGACCTTTAAATGCCTATTTACCTAGTACCTGCAAAATGACCTTGAAACTCCTCAGTGCAGGTGGGGTCTTCCCCGCCTGCCTCTCATCCCACACTCCACTACATTTACTTCCTACAGTTCTCCGCCTTTATTACTCCAGAAACTCTCCTGCCACACACCCTCTTGATCTGGCCCCAGGGCCTTTGTACATGCTAGTTCTTTAAGCCAGCACACTCTCCTTCCCATTCTTCATCCTTCAGATCTCAGGGCAACAGTTCCTCTTTCAGCATAGCCCAGCCCAACCACCAGATCTAAAACAAAATCTCGTGTCTTCTTCCTCCACAGTATCCCGATGACCAATTGCACACGTACCAATGCTTCATTCATTCACCTGGCTTTTTGGCCTCATTCTTTCTAGTTTATGACTTGCTCTTTGGATGGGCAATTGATAGATGAAATTCCTTTTGAGGAACTGAATGATGCATGGGGAAAACAGACCCTAGTATGGGAGGGGCAATCACAATGTCAATTAAAGAAATGAAGGTCTTCCATTGGCCAAACAGTTCAGGGCCTCGGCCCTGTCAATCTTCGGTGTCACTCTAAGCACAGAGCTATCAAGAAATATTCAATAGTAAAGGTCCAAAGGCTGATTGGGGAGACAGCGCAAGGATTGGGGGTGCTTGGCTTGGGAAATATTACATATTTCCCTCTTGCCCTAGCACTGTTGGGTGCATCCTCAGAGATACCTGAGTGCCACAAAGTGCGGTGGTGGTAGACCCTTACCACAACCAGAATGGCTCTGGAGGTCCTAAGCATCACAGGATCAAGGAGCACCATATCCTCCAGCCCTGAGCACTGAAACATGAAGCTCTTTTGGCCTGGTACTGCCAGGAGCAGCCTCAGGGGCCACTGAACAATGTTTGAGTGAGCTCCCCGCAAGCCAAAAGTCAAATTTTAATATGCTTTCCCTTAGAGTAAAGATGTCCAACTAATTTTTTGTTTTGTTTTGTTCTTTGGGTCACACCTGGTGATACACAAGGGTTACTCCTGGCTCATCCACTCAGGAATTACTCCTGGCAGTGTTTGGGTGACCATATGGGATACCGGGAATTGAACCCGAGTCGGCCGTGTGCAAGACAAATGCCCTACCCACTGTGCTATCATTTCAGCCCCTGTCCAACTAGTTTTTAAACTATATCATCACACTGAAATGATTCTATGTCCTGGGAAACATGTGCTGGGATGGACAGCTCTCTGGACGTTACAGACCCTCACACCGTCAGGCTATTGCCGCCCTGATTAAGGACTGGCACGTGCCCAAGATGACAATCCCGGCAGCTCCTTCTCCTTCCTGCCACCACGCAGCTCAGCTGTCAGGCATCACTGTCTGGGCCCTGAGATCCAGGCAATCCACCAGATGTTCTACCTGCTGCCTGTCGTGGTTGTGAGAATCATCCAGGTTGTCATATTGGCCCCTTTGGAGATTGTCTGCTACATGTCTTCTGCCCATCTGGGGGAAGAGAATTGCTTGGGGTCATACCCAGCCATGCTCAGGGGCTACCACTGGCTGTATTCTTCACTAAAATGGTTCCCTCTGTGAGAGAACATTTGTTTCCACACCAAAGGCAAAGATGAACTTGACCTACATAAGCAGTGTGCATTTAGGTCTCTGACTTGTTGGGGCTGGGAGAGAGAGCTGGAAGGGCCAATTGCTCTGCGTGTGTGAGGCCAGATGGATCCCTAGTGCTCCTTAGTCCTCTGAGCACAGACTCAGGAGTAGCTCTCGAACACTGATGGGTGTGGCCCCCAAACCAAAAGAAGATATTAAAAATTAAGAAATTACTGCCCCTTCCCCACAAATCTCTATGTCCATGTTTAAGTTTAATAGAGAAAAGACAAAGCATATCACAAGGCACTAACCACCTGTGACCCTCAAGGCCCAATCACAGAGGCCTAAAAACACACAGAACAACACCCATGAGTTAGCTAACCAAGTGCATTCAGATCTTAAAATAAAATCCATTGTACAATTTAGAGGGGATAACAGGAAAGGCACTGAACTCCACCCAAATTCATTAGATTTAAATAAGTGCTCAGATAAACAATGCAGAAATTAGCACTGCTCTCTGAACAAATATTAAGACCAGGGAAACAGTACAACAGCCAAGCTGGGTTCGATTCCCAGTACCACATATGGTCTTGTGAGCACAACTGAGAATGATTCCCAAGCACAGAGCCAGATGTGAACCCTGAGCAATGCCCTATGAGGGCATTCCCATCCTCACCTCACCCCCCCCCCCATCCAAGAAAGGAACCATTAATATTTCCAAAGGAAGTGCTTCTATTCATGTTTAGGAAACATAAAAACGCATACTGGACTTTCTCACTCACATCACGTTCATCTAAAATTTAGAGATCAGACTTATACAACAGTGCTAAGGAAAAATTACGAGCATTGCAGAAACTAAGAATGGATTTGGACACTGTGATACCATTTGCTTCTCATGAGTGAGGCTTTGACCTAGAATGTAGTTTTGGACAACAGAAGGTGCGGCACTACGGGAAATTACACTTTATGTGCATGTTCTTTCCCCTGGAGTTGAACATTAATGCAATAATGACTCAATGTCAATGCCCAGCAATTATCCTTGATTGGGCGCCATCTCCTCATGGCTGTCTGATCAGCACTGCCACTCTCCACTTAGAAGGATACAAAATAAAATCACGGAGGAAGCCTTGGTGACAATTTCCTTCATTTCTAATGCAGGGAATTACCATGAATGTGCAATTTTGACGTTTCTCCACTAAGTCCCTAGAATAACCCATCATTCTGCTATCTGGTCTGTTGGTCTCTGTTTTCATACTCCTGACTGAGAATGGTGCTGGGTGACGGGGTGCCAGTTTGCATTTTTGATTAGGCCTTCTGGAATGTGGGGGTGAGGTGGGAAGACCACAGAGTCCTGTTTCCAGAAAGCTCTTAAAATCTGTGGGATACAAGGTAGGGTGATGGGGAGCTCTGATGAGACCTCGGCACCGGGAGAAAAGTGAGTCATGAACCCAGGATATGAGCAGCATTGAGGGAGGGCTTGGCCAGCGTTAACCTTCTCCTGGAACACCAGCTGCCCTGGAGCTGAGCGTGTCACCTCTGCCCCTCTAATCCAGCCTCTGGATAATTCACATCAAGTTCCTCTTGGATGTGAGGAAGGAGCTGAATGGAAGCCAAGAGAGGGAAAGTCTCTTGCTCTTCCGGGCACCATGGAGCACAGCGTGGGAATAGGTACCAGGGCAGAGGAGCCCTGGGGAGCACCTCCTGGAAACTCAGCCCCTGAAGGTGAAAATAAGGTCACCACTCCCCATTGGAAAACTAATGTTTGTGAAAGAAATCAGTGGAGAAGCTGGAGCAAGAGTACAGTGGCTAGGGTACTTGCCTTGCACGCGGCTGACTGGTATACCATATGGTTCTTGAGCCTGCCAGGAGTGAACCCTGAGCACAACACCAGGACTAAGTCCTGAGTACCACTTGGGAGGAGGAGGAGTTTGGAGGAGAAGGAGGAGGAGGAGGAAGAGGAGGAAGTGGAGAAGGAGGAAGAGAAGGAGGAGGAGGTGAGGAGAAGGAAGTGGAGAAGGAAGTGGAGGAGGAGGAGGAAGAGGAGGAGAAGGGCGAGGAGAAGGAGGAGGAGAAGGAGGAGGAGAAGGAGGAGGAGAAAGAAGAGGAGAAGTAAAGGAGGAGGAGGAGAAGGAGGAGGAGGAGGAGGAGGAGGAGGAGGAGGCAGTGTTTGGCAGAGGGAGGAGGAGGAGGAGAAGGAGATAAAGAAGGAGGAGGAGGAAGGAAGAAAGAAGCCAATGGAGCTAGACAGAAATGCCATCAGAGTAGTTATTTAAATCTTTGACTGTCAGGAGGAATAGTTTGGTCCAAGTCAATAAAGGTTACTTTTCATATCAAACTTTGATAGCACCTGCTCAAACAAGATTAGCTTTGAGATAGAAGAAAGGGCTAGAGAAAGTGGTTTCACCAGACCAGATTAGTTTTGAGATAGCAGAAAGAGCTAGAGAAGATAGTTTCACCAGAAAAAAAAAAAAGTTAAAAAAAAAAAAAGCTAAGAACTTTGATCTCTATCTTAAGAAGTTACAATGGTGTCTAAAACCTAAAACCACTGTTCCTCAATCCGTGGTCTCTAAATGAAATGACCTAAATATTGCGTTATGCTAAAATGCTCTAACTGTAAACAATGCAGTTTTATCTTTGACTGCACCTAGGAACAAATAATCAAAACCAAGTTCTCTTGGAATCTAAAATTATAAAGATGCAGAGGAAAGACACAACTTCATTCTTGTTTGTTTGGGGCCACATCCAGCACTGCTCAGGGCTTACTCTTGGCTGGACTTGGGGGACCCTAAGGGGTGCCAGGGATCAAACCGGGCCAGCTGCATACAAGGCAAGCACCTTACCCGCAGTCCTATCTCTCTGGCTCAGAAACAATTTCACTCTGAAGGCTAATACACTTCCCAGTACTTGAAAGACACACATATCACAGCATGCTTTTACAGCACCTAATTTAGAATCTAAAAATACCTTCCTCTTCTTCTAGCTCTTACCTGTCACATGCCCTTGATTCCTACTTCAGGACAAGCAGCATTTCTGTGTAACAGTGACTGAATACTCAGGTGAAAGCTCACCCTCACCAGCCTGAGACCCACATCTGATCCGGCATTAGCAGCAAGCACACTGTCAAAGCATCAGCCAGATCTCAATACACACACTTTCTGTGCCTGTCCCTCTCTTTCTGACTCATTTCACTTAGCATGATACTTTCCATGTAATACAAAGTAACAAAATGGGAGACTAACACCCAAGACTAGCCAAGATAAGTACCAGGAGGTTCACCCCATGGCTTGGAGGCCAGCCGCACATGCTGGAGGAGAAGGCAGGTCAGATAGAGAGGGGAGCACCGAGTAAAGGATGTTGGGAGGATCCTCCTAGGATGGGAGATGCATACTGAAAGTAGACGATAGACCGAACATGACTGCCACTCAATGCCTCTTTTGCAAACCACAGCACCCAAAAGGAGAGAGAGAACAAAAGGGAATGCCCTGCCACAGGGGTGGGGTGAGATGGGGGGCTGGGGGGGTGATAGTTATACTGGGATCATTGGTGGTAGAGAATGGGCACTGGTGGAGGGATGGGTACTCAATCATTGTATAACTGAAACCCAAGCACAAAAATTTGTAAGTCTACAACTGTACCTCATGGTGTTTTGCTATTAAAAGAAAAAAACATGCACTTTCTGAATATGCGCTTAAAATGAACGTATTTCAAACTTCATCTCAAGAAGGTTAGAGTGAACACTGCCATCTCTGCATGTAAGGCTCAGGCTTTGTCTACCTTACATAATGTTTTAAAAAATGACTCAAGTCAGGGACAAGTGCAAGATTCTAACTTAGGATCCTTGTTCTGCAGCTGCTTCTGTGTTCCCTGAAATCTGAGACAGTTTCTCAAGTGATAATGAGGAGGTTCTATCCCCCACTCTGGCTCTTTCTTAAACCAGCTAACCTTGGGCTGGAGATATAGTACTGTGGGTAGGGCATTTGTCTTGCCTGGCGTTGATCTGGGTTTGATACCCTTTGCCATGCACTATATTCACATCACAGTTCACAACACAATAAAAATAACTGGGCAACTCTTAAAAAAGAAAAAAAAAACCTTCCACTTTGTGTACTAAAAGTAAAACGCAGGCAATATCAGTGCATGGAGCATCTGTTACTTTAACGTCTGAATATCCTCGTCTCCCTCTTACACTCCAACAGAACCACTAAAAATAGTCACCACTTGAGATCTGGTTTACTCTAAGCACTGATACAGTGTGTGTGTGTGTGTGTGTGTGTGTGTGTGTGTGTGTGTGTGTGTGTTGGAGGGATATAATCTTCAGTCCCACACACATTCTGCCAGTTACAAGACTACACCTATTTGGAACCGGAGTGATAGTACAATGGGTAAGGTATTTGCTTTGTATGTGCCCAACCTGGAATCAATCCCCGGCATCCCATATCACTCCCTGAGCACTGCTAGGAATAATTTCTGAGTCCAGAGCCCAGGAGTGACCCCTGTGTGCCGCTGGGTATAGACCCCCCAGACAAAACGAAACAAAACGAAACAAAACAAAACAAAACAAAAAGAGATCCATCCCCTTTGCTTATCTGCCAAAGACCCTAGACTAAACCAGATTCTGCTTCTGCAAAAATAAAAAGCTTTGGGGATGGGCTAATAGCAAAACAAACCAAGACTCCGCCTGTGTGATGGTGCAGAAAGCTGTGTTGCATTATTTTACCTGATGCTCGGCCATTTGGCTCTCGGGACTTCTACCCCTCTCGAGGCTCTCGCTGAGTTTCATCTCGATAGCTTCCATTTTTGTGGAGATGGACTGGAGGGCATCCTGGTACTTCTGCTGGCGTTCCAAAGCTTCATAGAGCGTCCGCTGCTTCTCACTGATCTGCAGAAAGAGAGGGCGATTACCAAACGCTTCCTGGCGCCTTATCTTGGCATTTACGACACGAATTTCCTCACCGCTTCACTTCGGTGGCCCAACAGAGCCTCTTCCACCGCGTCCTGGATGTGCAAACTCCACGTGTGTGTTTCTTAAGGCCATGGCTAAGGTAAGCCGTGTCGGGGGCACTTAACCGAGGTCGTGCTGGAGACACTTACCACATTCTTTAAGGTTTCCCAAGAACGCTGCAAATCATCGAGTTTAGCAGTGGCAGCTGGTTCCAGTCCTGGCTCATACAACTCCTGCGCGGGAGAAGTCATGGGGAGAATGCTGGCGGGATCTGTCTGCAAGCCCTCGGCAGACAACGCTTGGTAATAAGCAATGTCCTGCGGGTGCAAACGTGGTGTTGGATTCACAGGGAAGACATTTGGGGCAACATCTTGTGGCTCTCGGTACTGTTTGTCACGTGGAGCCATGCTGAGTTTTGCTCCTTTCACGGAGGGTGACAGGCTCAATATACTTGTGTGACCAGGAGAATTTAAAGATCCTATCCAAGCAAGTTACGCTTGCTCTCTATTTGGCCTTATATTGCTTAAAAGATCAAATGCACCAATATTCCTAAATTCTCTTATTCCGTGTTTGGCAGGATGAAAATAATAGGTTTCAAGTGGCATGCATAATTAAACAATAATTAAATGCCCCTCTTCTACCTGGCAAAAGATATGATACAATCTATTCCCCATTTCCTAGGTTACTGGTTATTATATTGACTAAAATTCTGAGTAACTTTTCAAAGTACTTGTAGGGGGCAGAAAGATATTACCGGGGTTAAGACACTTGCCTTGTGTGGCTGACCTGGTTCAAACCCCAAAATATCATGGTCCTCTGAGCACTACCAGAGCACAGAGCTAGGAGAAACTCCTGAACATCTCTCAGTATGGCCTCCACCCCGCAAAAAGTACTAAGTTAAATACATTTAAACCTATGGAAAACAACTTTTCAGACACAGATCTTTGAGATTTGTCGGTTTTTTTGTTAACAGAAAATCATTTAAAATGCTTTAATTTAAAATAAAGAAAAATATAATAGGGATGTGAAGTCATTCTAAAATTTAAATAACAAAGAGGTTTCCTTTGTAATTCATAGAAGAACATGAGATAATGTGAATGATGAAAAAGGAAGCTTTTGAGTTATTTTACTGTTTTGATTTGGGGGCCATACCTGGCAATGCTCTGGGGTCACTCCTGGCTCTGTGCTCAGGAATCACTTCTGGTACTGCTCAGGGGACCATATGGGATGCTAGAGATCGAACCTGGGTCAGCCACATGCAAGGCAACTCTCTTACCTGTTCTACATATCAGCCCTCTGACCCCTTTTGAGTAATTTTAATTTTGAAATTATATATAACACTATATATGTTATTAGTATTGATCATGAATTGCACTATATCAGGACACCTAATTTATATGTTTTCAGTTGTTTCTATGCCTACTTATCTGCAGGTTAATAGAAATCTATTTAAGGAGTAATGCTTTTATTCTGGGAATTGCTATAATAAAGTTCATTATTTTGCAGTGGTACCCTTGCTGATAATCAGGCTAAGCCTTACTGATAGTGTTTAGGTATCAAGAATTGAAGAAGATCACTATCACCTGAGAAACCATGGTTCCTGGAGTCTGGAGATCAGATGAGAGCAGAACAAGGGTATCACAGCCGCAGTTTAGACAGTAGAGACCCGAGATCCCAGCACAAATTCTCCTAAGCTTCAGAGTTGGAACTAGGTGTGTTGTACACTTCCATTCCCAAAGCTGCACCTTTCTGGGTAGTTTGAAGGGGTTCGGTGGGACTAAACTGAAATGCTCTGAGTCTCTGACTTATTTAAGCTTCCTGCTGAGGGTTCTAGGCATGTCGCCATCCTTATGGAGAACAGGGTGTGAGGCAAAAGTTCCTCCTCTCCAAAGAACCCTGTAACCAAGCTAAGTAGATTATCTGGGCATTCTCCAGCTCTGGTAGGGTCACACCCTGCTGCCTTCATTCAGTCCTCTACACCCTTCAAAGGCCAGTCTGCCATCAGTGAATTGGTTCAGCCTCTATGTACTTCTCACTGCATCTAGAGTTACTTCAATTCTTTTGTCAATTCCTTTGTTTCCTCTGCAACTTTACACTAAGCTTCATCTACTTGGAAAATCCCAGCCATGACTCAAGGCCACGTTTCTTGGGTATATTGGCATAGAAATACACATACACACAAGAGATATTTATGCAAATCTCAAATTTCCAAAAGCTCTGCCTGAAGTCAGCCCTCCCCCCTCTTTTTATTATTATTATTATTATTATTATTATTATTATTTGCTTTTTGGGTCACATCTGACAATGCCCTGGTTTACTCCTGTCTCTGCACTCAGAAATTACTCCTGGCAGTGCTTGGGGGACAATATGGGATGCCAGGAATCGAACCTGGGTCAGCCATGTGCAAGGCAAACACCCTATCCACTGTGCTATCATTCTGGCCCCCAGACTCACTTTTATCTTATGTTTGCCAGCGTGCTTAGGAATTTTTTTTTCTTTTTGGGTCACACCCAGCGATGCACAGGGGTTACTCCTGGCTCTGCACTCAGGAATTACTCCTGGCGGTGCTCGGGGACCATATGGGATGCTGGGAATCGAACCCAGGTCGGCCACGTGCAAGGCAAACGCCCCACCCGCTGTGCTATCACTCCAGCCCCGTTTGCTTAGGAATGATCTTCCTATGTATTTCCAGAAACCTATTCACTTGTGCTTTTTCAAAGACTTTGGTCCCTGATACCTTTTATCTCTGTCATCAGTAGAGAGACAAATCTTCTCCACAAGAGAAAAATACTCACACTATTTTTCCCTCCCGTGGGGATAGGATATATTAGAAAGACCCACAAATAATCATGCGAATACATTTGCAACACTTAGTTTCAGTCATAATTTCTTCCTTTTCTTCCTTTCCCCTCATTGTTCAGTTGATTAAAAGAATAGTCTACACTGGGTAAGTTTACCTCCTCACTCTTAATCCACTTCTTTTTTTTTTCTTAATTTTTAAAAAAAAATTTTAATTCACTTCTGTCTACTGTACTGGGTTTCAATTTGAATGACTTCTCTGAAATTTCTCTCACCATGACCTGAAGTACTATTTTTTCATCTTTTTCATTTAAAAGAAATGATCATTTTAGCTCTTTTCTGACTAACAGTCTCAGAGCATTCAATACAACCAACTGTCCCATTGGGGAAACAATTTCCTTTTCATCTCTCTTCTTCCTTCTCTCTAGTTACTCTATTTTCCTCTTTTATAGTTTGTTTTTTTCCCCACTCGTGTGGCAATATTAGACTCACACAGCCATTTACACATATCTATCTACAGGCTCTGTAAGCACAAGACTAAAACAAAAAATCCAGTCGAAGAAATGAATTAAGCAAAAAACAAAAAACAACAACAAGTTGTCAAGTATTCCATTGTTCAGCAAATGGAACTTTTACCCACTTTAGCTCTAAACTTGGGACGGGTTCTCTATTTTCTTCCCTCTCATCCCACCCACTCACAGAAGGATGAAGAATATATTGCACAAGTCCCAGGCCACAGTGAGGACCCCAGTGTTCATTATGGAAACCACTTCCTAATTCCCAAGATGCCAGCAGGCATCTGCGGGGCAGCCTCTGCCTCTCATAAAGTTCCCTGGGCTTACACAGTTGTAAATGGTTTAAATTTTTCTCTTCATGCAGAGTTTCCTTAGGAATCCAGATTCGTGAACTCTCTGGCAAAGCAGAGGTTTGTAGGATGCTGTATCTTACAATACAGGACTTCAGGAATCCTAACAGAGAGCAGATTGTCTCCTTTTAGGCAGAGGTGAGGCCGTCCCCAGGCTGTTTTCTGCTTTTATATCATCTGCCTGGGGCTGGAGCGATAGCACAGTGGTAGGGCGTTTGCCTTGCTTGCAGCTGGCCAGGCAGAGCAGGGTTCAATTCCTTCGCCCCTCTCAGACAGCCCAGTAAGCTACCGAGAGTATCTTGCCCGCACGGCAAGATACAAAGCCTGGCATGCTATCTGTGACATATTCAATATGCCAAACACAGTAACAACAAGTCTCACAATGGAGACGTTACTGGGCCCACTTGAGCAAATAGATGAACAACAGGAGGATCGTGACTGTGAATATCACCTGCCTGGACAGAGGAGGCAATTTCTGTTTCTAAGGACCAAGCACCCCGGCGATGAATTAATTTGTCGATTTCCCTTGTACTTTCTAAAAGATGTGCTCAAAGACTCAGTTCCAGACATTTTAGTATCCTCTAGTTTGAGTTCTGATCTATGAACTTCTGGACAAAGTTCAAGTCCTTTTGCATGTGTGTATTTCCCACACCCCTCTCAGCCTTGCCTTGCCACCTTCCCTTCTTTAAATCTGTGTTCCTCCAGTGACACATACAGTTACAGTTCCCATGATGAGCTATTTTCCTTCCTTCCTTCCCTGAAAATCCCCCCATCACTCTCCCAGCCCCACATGCATTCCTTTCCAAGTAAGGGGCATTCCTGAACCTACTCCAGTCCGAGATGGGGACTCACTCTGTGTCTGCCGAACTTCTCTCATCCTGTGCTTGGAAATCGGGAAGCCAGTCTCTATGGTCATCCTAATGAACCATACATATATATGAGACATCTCTGTAAACTGAGTTTTCTTATGAAGTCAAATCTGGCCAAACAGTGGAGATGTATATTCTGAGAAATGCACCATTAGGTGATTTTCCACAAATCTAGACCATGTACCTACTGCACATCTTGGCTGATGAACGTTTAAGAAACATGATTGAATATATGAAGGGTAAGACCCTAAATACAATATAACCATGCTCAATCAAGTACTGCTGCAAAAAATGCTCTCCAGGGGCTGGAACTGTAGCACAGCAGGTAAGGCATTTGCCTTGCAGGTGGCCAACCCGGGTTCGATTCTCAGCATCCCATATGGTCCCCTGAGTACTGCCAGGAGTAATTCCTGAGTGCAGAGCCAGGAATAACCCTTGTACAACGTTGGGTGTGATTCATAAAAGCAAATAAACAAACAAACAAAAATCCTCTCCACCCAAGATCTGGAATATAATCAATTGTTCCAACAAACTGTGTTTGTGTGTGTGTGTGTGTGTGAGAGAGAGAGAGAGAGAGAGAGAAAGAGAGAGAGAGAGAGAGAGAGATACCTATTCATCAGGGATAACAACTCCTGGTTTGTTAAAAATATTTGAAAATATATCACCTTCAGTAGAGAAATAATTTAGGTCTATTAGAGGAGAGCATTGATCTAATAAACTAAATTCATCAATCCTATAAGCACTGACTGACCAAAGGCAATATTCTGTACAGGAAGGAATCATCCTGACTAAGAAACAGTCCTCCTGTTGATGACATGCCTTAGTTATGAGCCATATGATGAGATTTGTAAGGAAACACATGTGGAAAACTACAGTTATGCTCAATTTTTCAGTTTTGTGACTCGAATTGGGTGGTTCCCAGAACAAGTGGGAGAAGGTGGAACTTTCCAGATCCATTCAGCCTAGAAAGGCTAAACGTGGGATCTTGTCTAAGTTCCCAACTTGGATTCCAATGCTCCACCAATAACAGCCATCACTCTTTTCAAACCTCTTCTTATCAACTCTTCCAAGAAAGTTTGAGCTGGCACCTGGGAGGATCCGGGAACCAGCCGCAAATGCTGGGGCTGCCTACTCACTCCTACCCTCCACGCAGCTAAACTGTTATCACATTTCAGCTAATAGCTACTGTCACCGAGGGAACACCAGGGCTGTGGGGGAAACCAGTGAGTTACATAATGGAGATCTACTTACACAAGCAGACAGCACAAAACCCTTTTTTAAAACAGCTGTGATGTTATACAGCAGTTATATCTAGCTGTTCCTTCCAACAGCTGTGCACATTCTCTCCTGTGGTTCCTGTGAACAGGAATTTAGAGGCACCCTACCGGGTCTTCTCAGCTTCGAGAAAACACTGATAAGCCCAGCACAGCACCGGCCAAGCTGCTGGTCTTTTCCTACATCCTCTGTCTTACGGAATGTATAATTTCATGTAGCCCTATCAGTGGGGCATTTCTATGGATGATATCAAGCTCAGAAATAGTTTCCTGTAAGAAGACTGTTGGGCATAAACTAAACCAAGTCATTTTCCCTAACTTGTGGCCTCACAGACAGTGGGTTAATTTAACTAACAACGTGATTTAATTACTGTTTTCCAGGGCCTAGGGTGGGGAGGGTGCTTAAATGGGATTAAAACGAAGCATCACCTCATTGAGGAGTTTAGGGAATGATGAAGTCTGACAACTAAAGGGTAATATCTGCACATTTCATCAGCCATGGGGCACCTGTGTCCTAAAAAAACACATTTCACGAGAAGTTGTATCAAAAGTGAGAACTTGATGGCTGGAGAGAGCATTTGCTTTGCACACACATGACTGACGTTCCTTTCCCCTGAGCACAGGAGTGATCTCTGACCACTGAGACAGAAGCGAGCCCTGAGCAGAGCCAGACAAACAGAAGGACTTAAAATTTTAGATGCAGTGAATGCCCTGCCACAGAGGTAGGGTGGGATGGGGGGGTAAAGGGGGTGGGTGGGCGGGATACTGGGATCACTGGTGGTGGAGAATGGGCACTGGTGGAGGGATGGGTACTCGATCATTGTATGCCTGAAATGTAATCACAAAAATGTGTAAGTCTACAACTGTACCTCATGGTGTTTCACTAATAAAAATTAAAAAAAGAAATTTAGACGCAGGAATGTCCTCACACCTTGTCATCTTAAGGCCCGGGTGTCCTGCTCAATTTGAACATTTGAAGAACATTTTTCTATTTTATTAAATATCTAGTGTAGAATAAAATCATCTGGTATATTAAACATCTAACTATGGTCATATCCTCCAATTCTACTCCAAAGGCTAAATAATGTATTTCAAATCAGAATGTTAAGTAAGTTCATTAAGTCAACCAGAATTCTCTAAGCTTAAAAAATAAATAAAACATTTCAAATAACTTTTTTAAAATTGTGGATCTCTTTTTTAAAAAAAGAAATAATGGGGCTGGAGCAATAGCACAGCGGGTAGGGTGTTTGCCTTGCACACAGCCAACCCAGGTTCGATTCCAGCATCCCATATGGTCCCCTGAGGGGTAATTCCTGATCGCAGAGCCAGGAGTAACCCCTGTGCATTGCCGGGTGTGACCCAAAAAGCAAAAAAAAAAAAAAAATAGAAATAATAATTTTCTCTCATAGTGTCTGCTGTTATTTGTCTCATAACCACTTTCTTTACACCATAGAACTCTTGAGGGCTTTTATTCCTATTGTCTTCTTCTTTGTGGCATCTTTGACACCCAACATAAGATTTCGGGCTAAGCAGATGCTCAGAGAGCATTTGATACATGGATGCATCAATAACTTCCTTGGAGCAATAAAGATTTTCACTAAGAAAACTGCTCTAACAAAAAGTTTTAATCCATTTTATTTTCCTCCCTTGTGGACTTCTTTTATTACAATTACCCTAAACTGGAATGTTTCTATTTAAAAATAGAATTAACTGGTAAGTTAATCTCTGTTTAATGCATTTTTCTTAGTAATAACTTTCCACTTCTCTGAACCCACCCTGTCTTTCTATTTGCTATGTTGGGGATTGAACTCAGGTCCTATTGCACACAAAGCACCCATGTTACTATGGACTTACTACCTGGGCCCTTATTTTTTTTTATTTTACTTAGGCTAAGAGAAAAAAAAACAGTACTACTGAACATGCACTATATTATTTAACATAAGAGCATTTTTTTAAATTTCTATTCAATGGCTTTGTGGAAAGTTTGCAATATGTTTAATTTAATATGCTCTATGCTGAATGCACACTAAAATGTGCCTGTATATATACACCTCCCAGAGAGTCCTTATGTTGATGATAATTAGTAAATAAAATAAAAGTAATGACATGAGCAGTTATCCATTTCACAAGTTGAAGCTAGTAAGTGTCAAAACAATGTTTAACGAGTGAACATGGCAAGAGCATCGTGCTATATTTCAGTCACTAACATTTCATTTTCTGCTCAGATGCAGTACTCCATTACAGACCACTGGCAGCAGCTGAAGCCGTAATGCTGAAAAACAGGGTCTTTTCTCACTATAAATCCCATGACCTAAATTTTGTTCATCTCCTTGCCAATGGCCCAGGAGAGACAGTGTGTAGAGCAGACTGTGGTCAAACACAATCTAATGCAGTGATCACACACACACCAGCGTGGAGTTCAAGTTTCCCCACTAGAGTCTCTCATGACAAGAGTGAATGGAGTTCTGCATCCGCCCAGAGATCTTAGCTAGGAGTGCCAGTGGGCGGTACCTGGTTAACAGAAGCCTCTGGATTAGCCACAGGTGAAGGGGAGCGACAGGCAGGTGGAGAAGAAATCTCACTGTTGGTTCCCTCCTCCCCAGATTCCTCATTGACAGGTGACAGCAAAGTGTGACAGCGACCTGCAGTCACCTGCCACATAAAACGTAACCCAAAGGACATGAAACTCCATTAGCTTTGTTAACAAAAGACCTGGCAAGGCACAGGTCACAACAGACATCACACAACAAATGCCAGAATGGCTGAGGCCAAATTGCACAGAGGGACTCTGGGTTAGTATTTAGAAGTGCTGCATGCTGTGAGGTTAGATAAGGATTAAGGGGGTGGGGTGGGGGAGGGGTGGATATCATCCTGTCAAGACAACAGGGGTTGGGGGGTACAAGCACACAGAAGAACTTTACTGCTGAGCAAATGTTTCTTTAACTGATAGTCTAGTATGCATTGCGTCTTTTTCAATCACCGAAAAAAATTGAGAGTGATACAGAATAAAGGACGGGCAGGTCTATGAAGTCAAACTTTCAGTTTGGCTATGAAACGTCGTTCACAGTCATCTCGAGTTCCCAATATTCCCCATGAGAAACTCACTCCAAAGTTAACAGAACACCCCCAGAGTCTAAGGAGGCGCAGGTAATGGCCAAGGCAACATTTAGGTATGGAAAATATGTAGTGCTGGGGAAAAGCTTTGTAATTGCCCAAATAATGCATGCATTTTCCATGCAACGTGCGGGAGGGAGAAATAGTAATTTTTAAAAAAATACTGCAGACTGAATGCAACGTATATCTTTCCATGCAAAGCCCCAACCTTGGACTTTCTAAGTGATTTTTTTTTCTATTTTATTAAACATTGACAGAACAGGATACACAAACACCGAGTTAGCCATTGCCTGGGCTGGGGCACCCCATCCCCCCCGCGCGCGAGAGGGGACTGTGCGGGCATTGTTTCTGCCGCTCCCAGACTCCGTGTTATCACTGAAAAAAACTAGAATCTGGAGCCACCTTTGGCATGTGAAGTAATCCAGGCGTGTCGCGCCCCTAGCTGGCTTTCCACCGCCACCGTTTACAGTGGCAGCGACCGGCCTGAGCCCCGAGGGTAGGTTAAGGACCACCGGGGAGCTCGTCTGCAAGACCTGTGCACGGTCCCTAAAAATAAGCCCCTGCACGCAGCAGGGAGGGCGCGGGGCAAAGGGAGCGCGCAGCGGCGGCGCCCGGCCAAGCCACCCTTGACCCCGGCTTACCATGACCACAGAGGGGTGGGCTGAGGTCGCGGGGAGGAGCTCCCCGGCCAGGTCCTCGGCGCCTTCCGCCAGCCCCTCCACCTCGGTCACTGTGAGCAGCATGGTGGCGTGCTTGGCCTTCATCGTCAGCATCTTGCACTTGGAGTTCAGGGAAGCGATCTGCTCCTGGTAGCCCTTGATTTTCTGAGCCAGCTCCTGCGGAAACATCGCCCCCCGCACCCCGCCCCTCGGGTGTCAGAGCAGCATCAGAAGGAAACGGCCCGAGTCGCTGTTCATCTTCCTCCCGACGCCGGCCAATGAGCGGCCGGCGCAGGCGGCAGGATGTGGACGGGGCTGCAGGGAGCCGCCCGCCCGCCCGGAAGACCCGCCGGGACCCGGGAGCCCAGCGACGCTCCTTGCAAAACTTAAAAAGCGCTGCAAAATCGGCCAGGAATTCCTGCATTTGGAAACGAGACCGACTAGGAACTGCACGCTGGCCGGGAGCTCGCAGCACGCAGCCGCTCTAACCAACGGAGTCTGGATTCCTTTACAGCCTTCCCCGGGTCAGCTCTCAATCAGTTCCCGGGAGCTGCTCTGGCTAGGCAAGCTACACCGGGCACAGGACACCTGAATAGTTTCTTTGAAAGCGAGTGATTTCCAAAATAAAATTGTGGGTATGCATCCGAGTTCACCTCTCCGTTTTCTTTCCTGTGTCTCAAGCGTTCCTGATACTTCTATTTTATTTATGTTTTCTTTTTGGGTCACACCCGGCGATGCACAGGGGTTACTCCTGGCTCCGCACTCAGGAATTACTCCTGGTGGTGACTGGGGACCATATGGGATGCTGGGATTCGAACCCAGGTTGGTCGCATGCAAGGCAAACGTCCTACCTGCTGTGCTATCTCTCCAGCCCCCAATGTCCCTGATACTTCTAGAGAACGCTTTGGGTTCAGATGCAGTGACTTTGAAATTCAATTGCCGCTGGTTTGGGGGTTTTTCTTTTTTGGTTGTTTGTTTTTGAGAGGGAGGTTTTAAAACGTTTACCAAGACTTACTTATTTAGGGCCTTTAGGGAAACACAAGGTTCTTAAAATTTCTTTTTTAAGTGAAGCATTTAAAATATCAACAAAAGTGTTGGTTAAAACTCTCTTGCTCCAAAGATTGATCTTTCCTGCCAGAATCCAGGCCTGAGTGAAGGGTTAGGCGTTAAGCCTTGAGCACAACCTGGTGTGGTGGCCCCAAATAAAAACAAAACAAAGACAGAAACAAGGCTGTAGATTTCATAATATTATGCTAAAAATACAAGTTTTTCTCTGCCCACCCTCTGCCCCCCACGGCACAGCTCCTTTGCCTGGAATTCTGCCATTTAGTGTTTAGACAGAATCCTTTGCTCTCAAAGACATTTCGTTTCAGGGGCTTTAAAATAATGGTGTTTTGGTTTATGATTTGTTTATTTGGTTTTGGGTTTTGGGCCACACCTGGTGCTGCTCAGGGCTGACTCCTGGCTCTGCACTCAGGAATTACTCCTGGCAGGCTCAGGGGCCCATATAGGATCATGGGAATTAAACACAGCTGGGCTTCGTCCAAAGTAAGAGCCCTGTACCATCTCTCTGGCCCACCAGTATCTTGACTTCCAATAGAGTACAGGAATTTCCAAAGCGTGTGCCTACTCTTGAAAAACATGCATCTATGCATGTATCTATGGAATATGTACATGTGTTTATATATATATGTGCACTGTAGCACTATTGTCCCATTGTTCATCAATTTGCTCAAGCGGGCACCAGTAAAGTCTCCATTGTGAGACTTGTTACTATTTTTGGCATATCAAATATGCCACAGGTAGCTTGCCAGGATTGTGTGTGTGTGTGTGTGTGTATATATATATATATATATATATATATATATATATAAATGCACTATGCACTAAACATATTTATCTCCTGAATATTTATAACTCTCGCATGTCTAGGTATAACATTATTTTTTTAAAAGGACTTAACATGATAAAAATCAGGATTTTATCTTTCAGAGCAGCCAATACTTAAACCTAATAGGGATTTTAAAAAATAATAATAATAATTAGCTTCTGACTGCATCTGGTCTAGTAACTAACACATGGAAACTACAGAAAAAAAATATTTGCTTGAAATAGAGATCAGCCGGCTAGGGGGTCACGATACTGTGTTAAGTATGGGGCAAGTCAGAAGCTTCTAAGCACACCCCCCCTGCCCAGGGGAACATGCAGGACCCTGATTCTGCTGTGGTTGGGCGCTTCTGCCCTCTGCACTCCAAGACTGCAGGTGACTGGGTGACTGCTGCTTGATCCTCACTAACAGTACATCCCATTTCTTTTTCTGTTTGTTATTTTTTGGTCTATATTCAGTTCATTGGTGCTCAGGGTTACTCCTGGCTCTGCACTCAGGGATCACTCCTAGTGATGCCCAGGGGACCATCTGGGATGCCAGGATTCAATTCAGATTGGCCGCTTACAAGGCAAACACGCTCTACGCTGTGCTATCTCTCAGCCCCCATTTCTAAATCAGAATTCTTGGCTTCACGGGACATCAAATTCATGTGGCTTCTTTGGTAAAAATACAGTTCGGAATCCCATTTCCAGGCAGTCAGCTTTACTGGGAAGCTCGTGGAACCTCTGCCCTGCCTTGTTTTCCCAGGTCTTTTCCCCGGAGAAATGACACTCCAGAACTTTCTTCTATACACCTCATTCTGCCAGACCCCTTTGCTCCTGTGGCCGAGCACTAAGGGTTCCTAAGTTCTCTATTCCTGGGAAGCTCTTTAGTTTTCCCAGAGAAAGCTCTTTAGTTTTCCCAGGGGACTTGGGGAAAAGGACTAGAAGAGTCAGGAGAAAGGTGAAGTCTCAGGGCCAGTGTCGCCCTCTGCAGGCAGCTGCTGAACTCAGGAGCAGGGCTGTGTCAGGGGAAAACAATGGCACATCTTGGGTGAGTCCCTCCTAGTGGCTGAGAGGGACAAGATTGGGACCAGGGAGATAGCACACCTGATGAGTCACTTGCCCTGCACTAGGCAGATCCAGGTTTGATCCAATGCATTCCAGATGGTCCGTGAGTAACAGCGTCAGGACTAAGCCACAAGGTGTGGCAGTCCCCCCACCAACACCAAGAAAAGGGGGGCAAGATCTTTTATTATTATTATTACATGCAGCCTTGGATTATTTATTACAAAAAAATGAACTAATTATTAGCTATTATTGGGGGAGTTAAAATAACCCAGTGGAAACTAGCTTCACTTCAAGATGAAAATTTCATCCCCAAAGCAGACAGAGTGGAAATGCAAGAAAAAGCCATCTTTTAAACTTTTGTGTTATCACCAGGCAGGCATCCCCCGCTCTGCACTTTCCTTCCTGTGTTTGTTGGACGCCTACAATGGCTCTCACATAGGCGAATGCCATTATTAAAAGGAAAGTATAGCATGGATCGCGTGGCGGAAAGAACTGATGTTGAGAACTGCGGGGAGGGAGGGGAGAGGCAAGGTCACACATTGAACCCCTGCACTCTCAGTCTCCAAAGAGCTATGACATCACCAAAGACTTCTCCCAGCAGTGGAAAAACCATGGAATGTGAAGTCAAAGATACCAGATTAGAATCTGAGTTTTATCAGCAGCTAGATGGATGTGTGTAGGAAGATGTTTAAAATCAGGGTTATTGTCCAAAAGTACAAAAGCTTGAATTCTCAAAAAAATCTAGGCACCCTGTGTTCGTGGCAGTATTATTTGCTATAGTCATGATATGCAGACAATAAGGAACTACCCAGTGACAGGGGGTGGATAGAGATGCAGTATAAATAACCTAGTGGCTTCACAAACAGAAGATAAGGAGTCAAAGTAAAAGGGCAGATAACATCAAATACAAACAGCCCAGTGACAACAGGATGATGATTTTCTGAGGTGGAAGGAGAAGAGGGTGGGAAAATTGGGTAAGGGCTCAATTGAATAATGATGGGACTCAGGAGACAATATGGGGTGCCAGGTATTGAACCCAGGTCAGCTGCATGCAAGGAAAGCTCTATGCTGCTTCTCTGACCCCTGGCGTTTTCTGTTTTTGATTAAAATGTAATTTTCTGCTTCCTTTTAGTAAAATAAAAGTGATAAAAAGAAAAGACTTTTACTTCGAGTTGTTATGAAAGGCAACATAAAAGTAATTTTAAATGGTTTAAAAACATAAAGCAACTTTTGTGATGATAATTATTACTCCGTACAAGTCTTGAAAACATTTATTTTATGTACTATGTTTGTGGTCTTATGCATTATATACGGTTTTTAAAAAGTTACAGCAGAGTTCTAGATCTTACAAAATGAAATTGAAATGATTAAAAAATGATAATCATTGGTAATATATAATCTAATGCAGTGGTTTTCCACTGCTGGTCTGCTGATACAAAAAAATGCAAAAAACATTTTTAGTTCTAATGTATATTATATAATATGTATTATATAATGTATATTATATAAGCCTTAGTTTCAAATATTTGCATCACACTTTGATTGAATCAATCAATGGTTCAGTGGCATAAGAGGAACAGTTGGCATACGTGCTATCTTCAGGGTCTGGAGCAATAGTACAATGGGTAAGGCACCTGCCTTCTACACAGCTGGCTTGGGTTCGATCACTGGCACCGCATATAGTCTCCAAAGCTGCATCAAGGGGTGATGCCTGGTCACAGAGCCAGTATGAAGAACTGTGCACTCTTAGGTGTGGGCCCCAAACAAACGGAAAGGTAGTTTCTTCAGTGTCGGAGTAAACAAAGTTGGAACATTTATTTGGAATATTTTGAAAATCATATAGAAATGCTGGCTGCATTGAATATGACAAGAAATTGTTTTTGTTTTTTTTTTGGGGGGGGCACAACCAGCGATGCTCAGTGTTTGCTTCAGGAATTACCTCTGGCGATGCTCAGGGAACCATATGGATGCCTGGAATTGAACCTGCATCTGCCGGGTGCCAGGCAAATGCCCTCCCTGCTCCAGCCCCATACTGAAGAGGGAAGACAGTTACATTTTACATCCCTGAAAAAGGCAACACATGAATCTTCTGAGAAACTGCTACATTTGATTTGGAAAATTATTTTGTTGCTCTTATCGCCACAGAAATAGAACATCTGAAGAATAAATGAAATATCAGTCTTGGCACAGAAAAGTAAGGCACTCTACTTCTCTCTCACCCCAAACACTTTTTCTTTGGTGGGTGGGGGCACACCCAGCAGTGCTCAGGACTGACTCCTGGATCTATAATCCTGGTGGCTTCGGTAGACCATATGGCGTTCCAACTCCGGTTGACCATGTGCAAAGCAAGCACCCTACCCAGTGTACAGGCTCTTCAACACCCTTCCCTGCAGACACTTAACCAAAACTCACATTGCGACGAGCTGATTGCCAAGGGAAAGTAGAAAGGGTCAGTTACGGGAACAGACTGCTAAGTACAAATGAGCTCACTCTGAGTCTATGACACAAGAAAGGGGTCAAGATGGTCATGATGTCAGAGGAACAAGGAAGGAGGCACACTTGGGAATGGGTAAGATGCTCTTGGGCACAATCTGGAAAGACACAGAACAGGGCCCATGCTCCGATAGCGGTGAAGGAGCAGAAATGAGCATGCTCAAAAGGGCAAAATAATCTTCTCTTTGCTATGCAATATCCCTTTGATGTTCTGGTATGCTGGGATTGAATCCAGGATGAACAGATGCAAAGCAAGTGCCCTACCTACTGAACTATCTCTACAGCCTTAATTCCTACATCTTTCTGTACAGGGTTTGAGATGCATACTGTTTGGGGTGTTGCGATAGGTTTAGAGAGCCATGCCCAGTAATGCTCAGGGACTACTCCAGCTTGGTACTAAGGTAATTACCTTAAAGTAAAATATAGTTCAATGATTTTTATAGAGATTTCATATATATATGTATATATATACATATATATATGTGTATATATATATATATATATATATATATATCTCAGAGAGCCCGGCAAGCTACTGAGAATATCCTACCTGCACAGGCATAACCTGGCAAGCTCCCTTTGGCATACTTGATATGTCAAAACCAGTAACTATAACTTCCCCTGATCCTGAAAGAGCCTCCAATCGCTGGGAAAGACAGTAAGGAGAGGCTGCTAAAAGTTCAGGGCGGAGACAAATAGAGACGTTACTGGCACCCCGCTCGAGTAAATCAAGGAACAACGGAATGACAGTGATACAGTGATCCCTTTTCTTCAAAGGGGCCATCAAAGCAGAAAAGCCTTGAACACTGATGTTTCTTGCAGGCTTTCAGCCCAGGAAAGAGCTTGTGTTTCAGTGCATTCACTGTGACGATTCTGAGCACGGGAGACAGGGAGGCCTGATGGACCTTTTTTCAGAAACAAGGTGTGAGGAGGGTTTGGGATCAAGAGGAAGACTCTGGTTACTGATTCGGTCAAATAACTGCATGCAGTAGGGGCCAGGCAGCAAATTCCCTCTCTTGAATCGCTGGAAACTAACCACGCAAGCTTACTGAGTTGGGGTCCTGGCCTCAGGGGAGGATCCAAAGGCGTTTCACTCTTACCTCATGCCGGGAAATCTGGGCTTGCAGCTCTTGGATGTTACTGCTGGCCACAGGTTTATCCTCGATCTCTCTGTGAGCACCTTCGATGAGCTCCTGGAGGTGCTGCATTTCCTGCTCGTACTGTTCATACTGTACCACGGCCTCCTGGAGAAACATAGATGATCACTGTGTGTCACAGTGCTGGGGAGTCTGTCCTGCCTGTGTATCCTGGCAAACTAGAAATGGAGGGAGGACCTCAGAGGATGCAAAACCTCCAGTTGACTCAGTATCTGTGTCTCAGGAGTTCAATGGCGCAATCTTCTCTTTTCTTCCCATTTGATATGGGCTTGGATGGGTCTCAGCAATGGTTAAAAAAACAAAATTACTTTTTTTTTTGATTGGTTTGGTTTGGGTTTGGGTTTTTGGGCCCCACCCGGCAGTGCTCAGGGGTTACTCCTGGCTCTGAACTCAGGAATCACTCCTGACAGGCTCCAGGGACCCTAGGGGATGGTGGAGATCAAATCTGGGGTGACAGTATGCAAGGCAAGCACCCTATCCACTGTTATATCTCACCAGCCTTCTAAAAAATTCTATATATCCTTAAGTCCCTTGCTTAAGTGCTGCTATAGGAAAGAAAACTGAATTAAGCATGATTATTACCTTGAGGAATTTTACTCTAGTGAACTGCAAGATAATAGTGAGAGTTGACCAAATTGCTACTGGTTTCATGAGACTTGCGGAAGCTGATGTAATTTTAGGAGAAAAGATAAACTAGTAGCAGAAAGGAGTTGCCAAGTCAGCAGTATCATTTATTCCCAGTAAATGGTTCCTCTTTTATTGGGCAAAAGACTACGAGTTACACCGGGGCCTCATTTTCAGGCAGGAAAACGCATTTTATGCATCAGTCACCTGAAATTGGTAAAAGAATTTCATACCGCCGCTGACAACAAAATTAAGTTCCAAAGTTGAGATGATCCTCAGGTGAATAGTAAGAGATGAAAACATTAAGAACACACGGTTTATCCTTACATGTTTTCTTCAGGGAAGAAAAACCTCACTCAAAGAGAGTTTTCAGCAGAGGATATTTTTATAGCGAGTTTTCCCCAGGCTTTTGTGGGGGATCCAAATGAGAACACTTTCATCTCCTTATTTTATATAACCACAACAATCTGCCAGCTCTAACACTCGGGGTAGGTTGCGATGGCTGAGCCCACACAGAGCTAAGAAAAGCAGCCTATGAGTCATGTGCGGCTGCCGAGCTGCCGACGATGGCGGGGTCTGGGGGGGATGCGGGTGGGGGTCGGGGGTACGCACCTGCATGATGTTGCATTGCTGAATGGCCGAGTGCTGCAGCCGGCTGGCCTCCTCCTGCAGGCGCAGGGCAGCGTGGCACAGGGGCAGGCTGGTGACCACGTCCTCAGGGATCCGGAGCGCACTCTGGCATAACTGCACCGCCTGGACCTTGGGCTTGAGCGATTCCATCTCAGACAGCAGATGCTGAAAAGCGTGGGTGCGTATTTCAAAACTTGTGTATTTCATAGTATATTTCATAAGCAAGAGACACCTACTGAACTGCGGCTCTGTTACCAGTTAGAAACATTTCCTAAGGAATATAGATATGCATAGACATGCACATATATATCATATTCACACACGCAACACACACACACACACACACACACACACACACATATATATATATATATATATATATATATATATATATTTCTTTCTTTCCCACAAGGAAAATACATCTTAGGCCACATCTTTTGCTAAGTTCACAGTTTAGCAATCATTTTTTTCCTAACTGGCTTCTATTTTATTTTTTACTTTTAATTATTTTGGGGTGTCACAGCTGGGGGTGTTCAGGGATCACTCCTCATGGTGCTGGGGGACCATATTTAGTGCGGGGGATAGGGCCTGGGTTGGCTGAGGACAAGGCAAGCATCCTATCTGCTGTACCATCTCTCTGGCCCCTGGCCTGTCTTATTGTTGTTGTTGTTGTTGTTGCTTTTTAATATACACCTTCTCACATTACCCAGGCATTTTTTCGTGCTTACCTGTCGATGAGACAGCTGCTCCTTAAGACTCAGCCGACCTACTTCCGGGGAAGTCAGGGTTGTCTGGGCTTGCTCTAAGGCAGCTTGTAAGTTTCTAAGCTCAGTTTCGAATTTTTTCATGTCCTAGGGAATAAAAGCAAAACTCATGCCAGGAGACAGAAGCTTGAAGTGCCGTCGTAACTAAGAATCACATCTTCTACATGAAACCATTGGGAGGTAAGCTGTGATCCTCCGAGTAGGGAACACTAGCTGTATTTGTTTATTTGAGGGAGAGGAGGTTTGGGGTCACACCCAGCATGTTCAGGGCTAACGCCTGGCTCTGTGCTCAGGGTTGACTCTTGGCAGATCTCAGGGGACCATATGTGGTGCTGGGGTTTGAGCCAGGGCTGCTATGCAAAAGGCCTTATCTGCTGGTATTCTCTCTCTGGGTCCTGCAATCCTATTTTGTAAGACCCAGATTTTTTTTGCTGTAACTTTTTTTTAAAACACAGTAAAGCAAATATATAAATCTCTGCAATAATAATGACCATAACAAGAGTCACAGAAGGAACGCACTTGAAGCTCTGTGCCTTCTCTCTCTCTCTGAACCCATGTCATTGTTTCCTAAAAGTCGATTTTTCAACTTAAATGATCATTTTCCTTTTTACCTTGGCAGCATCCTGGAGGCTCTGCAGACGTGTTTTGAGCAGCTGCCGTAACTCCCCAGTCTCCCGTCCCAGTTCTGCCACTTGCTGAGACAGTTTTTCTGTACAGTACACACTGGCGAGACACTGGATTTTCTCAGCCATCATTTCCAGGTCACCATGAATTGCTTCTGATTCTTCCAGCAGCGTCTAGAATGAACGGTCAATATTCATGACACTGACAGACAGAGAGAGGTGGGTGATAATAGGGTGTGGCGTGAAGGTGGACGGCAGGAAGTGTGCAGGGTCATGATCCATGAGCACCAGGCGAGGAACATGTTTGTGTTTCTGTGTTTTAAATATCAGGCCTGGTTTCCACTTACCATCTTACCCATCTCATAACAAAATCCAGATTCTGGAATGGTTAAGAATTTACCAGCATTGAGAGTAGACTTTAGACCAAATATGATTGCCACTAAATGTCTCTTTTGAAAACCACAGCACCCAAAAGGAGAGAACAAAGGGGAATGCCCTGCCACAGAGGCAGGGGGGATGGGGAGACAGGGGGTGGGAGGGATACTGGGACCTGTGGTGGTGGAAGATGGGCACTGGTGGAGGGATGGGTGCTTGATCGTTGTATAACTGAAACCCAAGCACAAAAATTTGTAAGTCTACAACTGTACCTCATGGTGTTTCACTAATAAAAATCTAAAAAAAAGAAAAGAAAAGAAAATGAGCAATTTTGAAGAAAACAATAAATTACACAAAAAGAAAAAAATTATTTTGACAAATGGAAGTATAATTGGAGAGGAAATAAAGTTGTTTAAGATAATTACCTTGCAGGCTTAATGCATCAGTTTCACAGTGAATATTACAGAATGTTAAAATAGTAGTAATCATGCTTTGTATTAATGTTTATACTTAGAATTCACATAAAATTTTAAATTAGCAAATAAATTTCTCTAGAAAAATTTTTTAAAAAAAGAATTTGTCAGCACCAATTGGTACTGAGTCTTGGGCAATGAGTGAAGCTCACAGTCCCGTGTAGACCCTTAGCTGCGGCCTGGTGAGGGTGGTGACTCCTCAGCTCATGGCCTTAACTCAGAGATGCTTCTCTGCACTCACAGTCTAGAGCTGAGATCTTAAGTGCACCTGATTTCAGATGAAAAGAAACCAAGAATCTTCCCAAAGCAACTTTCAAACCTCTCATCACTTGCATTTAGGGATGCAAAAGGACCAGAGCTCCTTAGCATAGCATGAAGCGTGAAACAGCCCTAACCCACAGGCTGGCGTTAATACTAACACAAATGGCCACACAATCATAGAATAGGCATGAGCTGAAAAAAAATGAGGAAATAAGACAGAAAGGTGCAGGGAGGAGAAAAAGTTGACCAGTGGGGAGAAGGTTTATTGGAAGTGTCCCATCTGGATGCTGCCACCAGGGTGTTTGCCCCTGAACTAGTGGAAAGAGAAGGACGTTCAAGCTGAAGGCACAGCACAAGGTAAGGCTTAGAGGTGGGCAAGCCCCGACTAGGCAGCTATGGGTGTGTGATGTGGAAAGAGGAGAGATATGAGAGGGGACATTTATTGTGACTTGATTTTAAAAATCAGTCCATGTTGCTTTCCCAGTGAACTGTTCATAGAGTATTAAGCTTGGAAGAGATTGCAAATTCCAAGATGAAAATAAAGTGTCCTATAATCTGATACCCCAGGGACAAACTTTCAATAAGAGAAAACTACTCTTACAATCTTTGGTAAGAGAGATCATGTCATAGGTACAATTTCTCATTTTTCTTGCTCACCTGATATAGGCACGAATACCTTTGATATCTCTGCACTATTTTTTTTGTGGGTGGGGCATGCTTTTGTTTGTTTGGGGGCCACAGCTGGCTATGCTCAGGGCTCACTCCTGGATCTGCACTCAGGAACCACTCCTGGCGGAGTTTGGGGAACCATACAAAGCTGGGGATCAAACTTGGGTCCTACCTTACCCACTATCTCTCTCTCTCTCTCTCTCTCTCTCTCTCTCTCTCTCTCTCTCTCTCTCTCTGGTCCTTCTTCACTGTTTTTAGGCTAACCATGCAGCTTTGGGGCAGGGACATAGCACAGTGGGTAGGGCACTTTCCTTGCACAATGTCATCCTGGGTTTTATCCTAAGCATCCCATCTGCTCCAGCTCCCATCCTTATCAGAAGAGCACAGAGCCAGGAATTAGCTTTGAGCATCATTGGGTGTTGCCCAAACACTGCTCATTCTGCTCCCCACCATATAAAAATGCCACTCCCCCACCCAACCCAAACAAACCAGGCTCCTTTGATTTCCATGGTGAAGACCAGAGGATCCCCCAAAGCAAGGTCTCAAGATGACAATCTATCCTGATCGTCCATGAGAGATGACGAAAGCCAGCACCCGGTGGTCTGTGTTTTGGGATCCATATGTGCTCACAGTCCACTCTGCTGCCTTGACACTCTGGGAATAATTCTGGCTGACAGTTCTCCCTCACCCACATCCCCTCCCATGCCAGAGTTCAGCTTGGTAATACGCCGAGACTTTAGCTTCTCTCAACCTCTGAGGCAGCCCTCCTTGGATCTAGCCTCCTCCTGCAGCACCGAAGCCCTCTCCCGGGCCATCTTACCTCCAGTCACCTTGCTGAAAACTCACGTCTGAACTTGCCACTTGCTGCGAGAGCCACTGCAGGATCAAGTCCAAGTTCCTGCAGAGTCTGTTTTCTTCTTATCTCTCCTCTCTCTGCCTCTTCCCGGCTTCCCTCCAGAGTCCCTCCCTGCCCTGAGCAATCCAGGACATCACCCCCCCTCCCCCACCCCTCACTCCTGCTGTTGGGATTTCACTCGCGCTTTTGTCTAACATACATTCCGCAAGTGGGCTGCGTGTTTGTGAGGCTCAGTTCAGCATCGCCCTTTCCTGAGAAACCTCCCGTAACCTTCCTCTCAAAGTCGGGGGAGTATGTATGGCTTGAGAACTATTCTGGTTCATGCTTGGATAGAGCCTGTTGCCACTGCCAAGGTCAGTCTCCTTGCCCGCCACTTTAATTTTCAACCCCGGGGACCAGCCCTGAGGCCAGGGAATGTTCTGTGGGGGCAGGAAGTGTATTTTCTGATTAACAAACCCCTGGACTTTGGGGACTGGGTCTAAGGCAAGAGATTAGGAATTGAAAGCTGGCACCGTGCCACGTGCAGAGTGCCTTCTGGGTGTCACTGCCTTTTGGAATGCCCAGTGCCATCGCCAAATATATATCCCTGGGGAATGTCAAACCCGGAAAGTCTGCAAACACCAGCTCTCAGTGCAGACACCCTTGGGATTGCACCTCAGACAAGCATGTGACGCCCCTGCTCCCTGCTTGTTGCGATGGCAATGCCAACAACAAAGAAAAAGGGAGCAAAGAACTCTGGGGGAACATGTGTAATTGTTCTGTGAATAAATAAATGAATGAGTGCAGGAATGTTATTTTTGTTTTGTTTGTTTTGGGGAGGCACACCCAACTTTTGGTTGGGGGACACACAACACCCACCTGTGCGCAAGATTACTCTTGGCTCTGCACTCAGGAATTACTCCTGGACCATATGGGATGCCGGGGATCGAACCTGGTAGGCCATGTGCAAGGCAAATGCCCTGACCATTGTACTTCATTCCTTCCCTGCTCATGTTTTTAAATTTTGAATTTTCATGCCTAAGTTTCTTAGGTAGGTTGAATATTTCCTTGCTTCCACAAGTCTTGTCCATTAAACATATTAGAATGCCCTCAGCAGAAGAGGAGAGTTATTTAAGAAAGATTTTTTTTTCTGAATTAATGAGAGAATCGAGTACTCAGATACAGAGATTCAATTAGGAGCCTGCTAATTGGTTTTCAGTCCAAGCAGAAAAAAAGAGGCTTGAGTCTGTCAACTGAAATGGGGAGAGGAGTGGTGTAGCATTACAAAGACCTAAGCAGTAGTCAGTCAGAATAGAAGAAACGCTTAGCTACTTGAGTATATTCTTGTAACTTTAATAAAACTATTCTGTATGTTACAGCAAGTGACTGGGCTCTTCGCTCTAGCTGAATCCAATTGAATCCTAAGTTAGAAAAAGATGAAATAATTTCCTGAATCATACGCACGGGAATCCAGCAGAGGAAATGAGGTAATGCAGTTGCCCATGTGACCAGGAACCTGGCTGGGTCTCAGGGGCCCCGAGTTCACTCCCTGTGGGAGGCCTTCTGAGAGTTAGGCAGGGAAGATGAAGAGGCCTGGGAGAGCTCTCACTAAATCCCTCATGCCAGTAGCCTGTGTGATGCTGCTCCATGCCACATCATTCGTTCCTCGCAATAATTCTGCAGAGTAAATCTCATTTATACCTGCTTCCTAATGAGAACACAGCCTTCTGACAAGGATAAGTGTTGGCGCAAGATTACACCAACCCAAATGCAGCACTTCCCCAGGAGTCTGAGCTCAGAGCCAATAGTCTTCCTACGTGGCACCACTCTGCATGGAGAATTTCCTACCATATCTGTGCACGTAAAAGCTGAATAACAAATGAACAGGAACCCGGTAGGGTTGGAAATTTTTGATCTGGAGAAAGGAAAGCCTCGGGGAATCAATGGCTCATCTATCTACCTATATATCATCTATCTGTCTGTCTGTCTGTCTGTATGTCTGTCTGTCTATCTGTCTATCCATCTGATGTGCAACATTATACATACTACACATATATGAAATCTCATGACTAGCTACATCCATGTCTTCAAATAAGTCCTTGGGACTACCTTTGCTTTCTTTTTATCTGATGCCTTCAAGAATTTTGAATCATGACCCCTAAATGTCCTATTAGCCTAGTCACTTTAATTCATGGTCTCTGATTATCCTTTGCAAATTAGGCTTTTCAGTTACCTGATGTGAAACGTACTGCTCCCGAAGTTGGCTTGCAGAATTCCACACGATCTTTCCTTGTACCAAGACCTTAGCTTTCTCAATCCACTTCAAAATTGACTTGAGCATTTCATTGTAATCTTCCAAGTAGGATGCTGCCTGAAAAATCATTAACATTCAGATAACAGCTGAGAACTCTGAGACTGGAACCAGAAATCCATCTTCAGCGTCTCTCTTTGGGTACAGAAATACTAGGGGTTATTGTTATGATGACTGTGATATTTTAAAAGTATCCTGAACAGAACTTAGTCCTGTACTAAATTCCTTCCCACTTGGGGAGCACCTTTCCTTTTCTCTTCTACTTTCCAGTAAACTTTTCTACTTTCCAACTCTGAAAAATAAATAAATAAAAGTGTCATGAACAATGAATTCCTTGTGAAAATCAGTCAAGGACTTCAGGTGAGTTTAGAATAAAATCCAAGTTTGAAATGTGCTTTAACAATGTGTGTTAAAATTCTCTGATCTCTCTTATCTCTTTTTCCTGCTCGCCCCACCCACTTCTCCAACTACATTCCACCCTCACTAGGTAAGAAGATAACAGATGAGGATTATAATGTGCCAGGCAATATTATCATTTATTGATAATATTCATCGATAATATATTATAATTCATTGGTTACCATATCCTGATTTAACTTGTTTCTGAGTAGAAAAAGGTTTGCAAAGTTTCAGTCTATACTTGATATTATGATATGGGAATCTGATATTTGAACCTCAACCTATTAAATGCAAGATAATATTATTTATATGTAAATTTATTATTGGGCTGGAGCGATAGCACAGCGGATAGGGCGTTTGCCTTGCAGGCAGCCAACATGGCCGACCCAAGTTCGATTCCTCTGCCCCTCTCAGAGAGCCCGGCAAGCTACCGAGAGTATCTTGCCCACACGGCACAGCCTGGTAAGCCACCCATGATGTATTCAATATGCCAAACACAGTAACAACAAAATCTCCAATGGAGACGTTACTGGGCCCGCTTGAGCAAATCGATGAACAACGGGAGGGCCTTTACCTTTACCTTGAGCAAATTTATTATTCATATTTATTTAAATGTTATTATTCCCATGCGTATTACATCTTATGCATATAACATATAATATAGGTTTATATACTATATACATATCTGTATATATAACTTTCTTTGGAATAACCTGAATTAACCCCAAACTGATTTATAAAACACAAAAGTGGACTTTTATTCACTCACAAAGAAGCATTTACTCTGCCCTCTACTTCTCCAATTTATAAAATATTTACCTCACAGTCCACATCTTTAATTATCCTTGTCAAAGTATGCGTAATATAGTTTGACATAAGATCAAGAACACAGGTGTCACCTAAAGCCTGTTATATAAAAATGACTCTCACCATTGTCAAAACTCTCTTTTTAGAAATGATTTTCAGGAAAGAAACACAAACCATTGCATCTCTGCTTTCAAGGATGTGGAGAACAGCCTGGACAACATACCTGACCGAGCTTGGAGAGCCGGTTCTCAGCCTGTCTAATGGTTTGCTGGTGAAGTTCAGTCACCTTTCCTATCTTCTTGGCCAGTGGCTTACCAAGCTGGCCATTCTCTTCTGAGAATTTCTGCACCGCCTCATCTAATTCCATTAGCTTCAGGTTACAGCCATCTAACTCCTCTCCTAGTGCCTAGATGGAAAAATAAAAGAATCTTAGTAGACCACAGAAAATAAGTACCACCAGGGTTCACAAGATTAGATTTACATTTTTAAACGACTTGTGTAGATGCATATATTATGGATATTTATTATAGATAAAAAGATATTAAATATAAATATTTAATGTAAATGTATTTTGGAGACTAATTCTACTACAATAAGGTCATTTCTGTTTCTTCATTTGGAAAGGCAGAACAGGATGTTTTTTAACCCGGGAGTTTATTTCCTATGAGGTGGAGAGAGCGCTAACATTTTCCTCCAGCCCCACCCAAAAGAGGGTTAGTCATTCAAGCTCATCAGCAGAGAGAGAGAGAGAGAGAGAGAGAGAGAGAGAGAGAGAGAGAGAGAGCTCAGAACTAACTACTCATTCTTCATTCTGAACCTCACATATTTGTATTCCTAAATTATTAGTCTTTTGCTATTCTTTCCTATTATATACACATGATGTGATGTGTATTTACTTACAAATTTATTCATTTTTAGTGGAGCTCACAAGAGATGTTCAAGGGTCCTAGGCAATTCTCGGCCAACTGGGGCCGCAGGGATTACCCAGGCCACCTCAGGAGTGCCCAAGACCCTCCAGGTCACATCAGGTGATGCTCTGAGGAACATGTACTGCTTGAGACCCTACATAGTTACATGCAAGGACTAAGCATTAATCCCTGGAATGTCTCTCTGGCTCCCTATACATACAGCTCAATTGTGATACTGGAAGTGAATCTATATGATTATGTTTGTGATTTTATTTATTTATTTTACTTTACTTACCTTTTTTTTTTTTTGAAAATCAACAAAGACTTTTCCCCTCCCTATCCCCAGTTAAATAAATAACTTCAAAGAAAAAATTATCCAATGCATTTAGCATGTCCCATCTGCTAATACTCCTTTTTTCTTACCTTTTGGTCAGTTCTAGCTTGGTCTAAATCATCAGTCTTAGCTCTCAGCTTTGTTAGAATAGTCGTGAGGTCTTTGGCTACCTTCTGTATTTGCTGGTTGTATTCCTGGCTCATGGCCTTGCTCTGTTCAACTTCTTTTACTTTGCCCTGGATCTAAGTAACAAATAAAAACAGCAATACCACCCAGGGTTAATATTAGATACAAGATGCTAAAGACATTATACTTGTCAGAAGATTGAGGTTGCGGGGACATTGGTGGCCTTGGAGCCAGCCACTGGAGTTACAGGACTGTCTTGCTTGCAGCCTCGTTGGATATTGCATGGATTTTGGTTGCATTTCTCGCACCTCTTCCGTTGCTGTTTCAGCAAAGGAACAAAAACTGCATGCACAGTGATTCATCAGATATTTACAGAGGGCAATGAAGATAGCTATGTTTGAATCTAGTCTGTTGCATCTGTGTTTAAATAGCTTGGCAGCCTCTAGCATACACACTTCTGCAAGTCTTTTCCCACATAAAATGAAATATCCTTCCAGCTAAATTCAAGACACTTAATGATCTGTTAACTCTTTTCCTAATTTTCCAATTAAATTCCTGTAAGAAGGAGTTTCCTACTCTTGCTTTACTGTCAAGGGCCAGTTTGATATTTTTAATACTGTCTGTAGGCCATACAATATAGGAAAATAAATTGAAGGCCAGTGCTAAGAGCATATGGATCTGTCTTGGGCCAAGGCTAGAGCACATAATTTCATGGGGCTTAATTAGCCTATGGGCCAGAAATCCTCCACTCCTGTGATATGACAGAAGCATTTAAGAGAGTCCATAGAATAGAAGGTGAAAAGAGAAAAACTAATATTGACATTTTCTGATGGTTTAGGTTTGTCTTGATGGCATTCATAATTTTGCTTATAAAATGTGAAGAGAAGATGGTAAAGAGAATTTTTTTCTCTACATAAATGAGAGATCTTTTTAAAAATCTCTTTTATGTCTAAAAAGTCTACCAATTAAAGAGTAATTCTTTACTTTTTTTAATGGAATACATAAAAAATATAAGTGGAATACGTTCTTTCCAACTTCAATTGTTGGCCAATACAGCACCTACTTTCTGATTAGTCTTAGTAAATTTTGCCAGTAAAGTAACTCCTTTCTATAGTTGCACTGATTTTTGGATGACACCAGGTAGGTGATGGGATTCCAAAACTGTTTACTGAAAACACACAATATATCTTGGGTTTTTATTTCCTTCAATTTTTTTGTTTGTTTTGGGGCCACACCCAGAATTGCACAGGGCTTACTCCTGGATCTTTATTCAGGGATCACTCCTGGCACAGTTTGGGGGACCATATGAGATGCTGGGGATTGAATCTTGGTCAATTCTGTGCAAGGCAAACTCTTGACACAATGTACTATCACTCCAGTCCCATCCGACCCCTCTTTAAATCATTTTTTAAAAGGAGAAAGCAGTAAGTTATCTTTAATTATATGACATTATTATCTCTGATGTAATATTTTTCCCTCAAGATCACTAGCTAAATATAATTTTATACTGTATTTTATGGGCTGGAGTGATAGCACAGCAGGTAGGGCATTTGCCTTGCACACGGCTGACCCAGTCAGTCCAGGTTCGATTCCTCCGCCCCTCTCGGAGAGCCCGGCAAGCTATTGAGAGTATCTTGCCCGCACAGCAAAGCCTGACAAGCTACCCGTGACGTATTCGATATGCTAAACACAGTAACAACAAGTCTCACAATAGAGACATTACTGGGCCCGCTCGAGCAAATTGATGAACAACAGGAGGACAGTACTACAGTGCTACTGTATTTTATGTATATTAGAATTTTATATTAGAATATTGTAATATCTTGGCTTGGGGGTACTGGGGTCTCCCAGGTGATGTTCAGGAGACCTGGGCACCCCACTAGTGACTCTTGGCCCACCAGGAGTAGTTTTGTGGCAGAGCCCAAGGCTGCGGTGGGGGAGATTTAAGGCTGAGTGGTGCTGGGGTCCTCCAGGGCTGTCGTGCCCAGGAGACCACGTGATACCAGGACACACATCCAGGCCGGGCGGGTGCCAGGCAAGTGCTCTCGGCTATTCTCTATCCCAGCTGCTAGAGATCTGGTGTTGTTTTTTATGTTTCCAAGCTTTCATGAAGACATCCCATGAAAATCAAGGTCTTTTCTCCAAGAGGATGGAGCCTCTGAGAGATTGGAGGGACACGTCTCCCTGACCATCACCTGATCATGGATGGTCCCGAGGTCCAATGCCACTTCGGCCAGCTGGAGGGAAAGTTCCGCAGGTAATATAGTGTTCAGACCCAGGTACTTAGTCTTCTGTTCTTCAGCCGTCATCTCAATTTTCTGACGGTGATTTGTGACTTCTGTTAGGAGAATCTGAAGGAAGGATAAAAATAGGAAGGTTTCTCTTAATAAAGAGACAGAGTTTTAAAATTATTTATTTATTTATTTATTCATTTATTGCTTTTTGAGTCACTTCCGGTGATGCACAGGTGTTACTCCTGGCTCATGCACTCAGGAATTCCTCCTGAGGTGCTCAGGGGACCATATGGGATGCTGAAAATAGAACCCGGGTTGACTGTGTGCAAGGCAAACAACCCGCTGTGCTATCACTCCAGCCCCGAGACTGATTTTTATGGATTCAGAAAACAGCTATCAATTATGATTAAGTGAGAATAAGGGAAGCATCTTTTTGTTTTGGTTTGGTTCTTTTATGTTTGGGGGCCAACCTCTGCGATGCTAATTCCTGGCTCTGCTCTCAGGCTTCTCTCCTGGTGGTACTTAGGGACCATAAGGAATGCCAGGGATGGGACCGAGGTCAGCCACGTGCAAGGTAAGCACCCTACCTGCTGTCCAATCACTCAGGCCCTAGAGAAGCATCTTAAAGAGCTTGGTTTTTCTTTAATGTCTGAATAAGAAACATGACTGCTTTACAACATAAAAAGTTCAGCTCTTGAAACAATAACAAAATGCCCATTATATAGTTCTGAAAAAAGTTTCAAGATTTCACTGAATATAAACAAAAGTATCTGATGTAAGTCAGGGCAAATTTCTGGGGCTGTGGGGATAGCTTCTGGGCTGACACACATACCTGCAACATGCCAGGCTCTGAGCTTAACCCCTAACACTGCACGTGACCCCCTTCCCCTCAGCACCTGAGTCCACATACTGAAACATCAGCCCCAGTTCACTAGCTATGGCCCCCGGGTGCTCTGAGAGTTCCTTGAGAGGCATCCCAAAAGAAATGCTATAAAAACCGAGTTGATTTTCTTATGGGAATAAGGAATGTCTTTTACCTTAAGTTCTTCAAGTTGAGCATCTATTTCTATTGTTGGATTCTCCAAATACTCCTTCGTCTCTCGAACCCAAGATTTCACAGAGTTGATTTGAGTTTCCACCATTTCTCGCTCCTTCAGCTCCTGTTTCACCAGATTTCCGTTGCTTTTTATTTTCTCCTGCATGCTTTAGAAACAGTAAAGTCAGAAAGCAGAAGTTGGTTTGGCCTGCATGGAACTGCTCACATCCCATCTATGTGACATCATATGATCAAAAACAGATACAAAAAAAGTGAAATCTATCTTCTTTGAAAGTTAAGTCACTTCCCCTAAAAGTTACTATCATAGAAGTTACTGTCATTGGGGCTGGAACAATAGCACAGCGGGTAGGGCATTTGCCTTGCACGTGGCCAATCCGGGGTTCAATTCCCAGCATCCCATACAGTACCCCGAGCACCATCAGGAGTAATTCCTGAATGCAGAGCCAGGAGTAACCCCTGAGCATTGCTGGGTGTCACCCAACAAGCAAAAAAAAGTTACTGTCATAACTTTCAGTAACAAATTTGGTTCAAATATAACATAAATTATGTGATGTGAATATTTTTTTCCTTAAAAACTGGATTTTTGTGTCTACAGAAATTGGGATTTAAAGGAAGACTCAAATTTTTAAATTTCGTAGTTAATAGTGATCAGCATCCACATTTCAAGTCCTTATTTGAGTCAACATACATTTGATGAAAATATTTAAACGGGGAGCATGAGATTTGTTACATCAATGGAAGTTCTTCTATAAGTTCTTCTATGAGTGGAAATGTATCAGTGATATTAGCAAATAGTTAAGCTATTGACATTTCTCCCTTAGCCCAAGAAGTGATTCAGGTTGACTATATATCACTAAGATTAAATTGTTAATTTTGGTAAGTTCACTCCTAGTGATTGACTATTATTTGCCAGACTTTGGTAACCCTTGTGGTGTGATCTCTTTGGCATCTAATTTAACTAGGAAGTTCTAAAGCTTTATCAAAATTTGGTTCTAAAGAGCCCTTGACTAATTTACTTGCAAGCTTCCTTTCTTCCCTTATCTAACAGCTCCCTGAAAGTTACGGGTTTATTTCTAGATCTGAGGACACACTCCTCCCTGTTTGCAAAACATTCCCACATCTCACTGCCTGGCTCAAATCTGCTCCTTCTTCAAATTAGGCATCATTCTCTTTTGAAGTTCAGATGGGTTTGAAAGTTTTACTTTGATACATTTTTAAGTTTAGGCATCATAATTTACAATTTAGTCGTATTTCACTCATCCTGTGCTCCAACACCACACCCACCACCTAAACGTCAATATCCCTCACCCAATGTCCCCAGGTACCTCTTCATTACTCTCCACCCCCAATGTCCCCCAGGAAAACTCAGTTTTGCAGGTTGACTCTCAGGGACTATAGCTATTGGCCGTTTGTTTTTCCATTCCTCTGTTTCTTTATAACCCACACAGGAGAGATTATTCTGTATCTGTCTGTCTCTTCCCGACTTCACTCCGCATGTTACTCTCCAGTTCCATCCACGGATCAAGGAAGTGCAGAGTTTCATTTTCCCTTATAAATATAGAAGAATCAATTGTGTTTTTATATACTGCAGGGTTTTTGTTGTTGTTGTTGTTGTTATTGTTGTTGTTTTATCCACTCCTTGGTTTTTGAGCATCTCTTCCTACCTCATAGATGCTGGCTCTGCAATGTGTGCAAGTTAAGCCACACCCAAGTGTGAGCACAGATTGCACACGTCAGGGTCAGTGCATTAAAAGAAGCTTTCCGTGACTTCGCTTCCAGGTTAGTGGCCCCTGCTGTGTATTCCCTTCCTGAGATTCCCGGGGTCTTCCTACATAGCTTCCAGCTGCTACTAGCTGCCAGTCTCGGCTGCCTGACACCAAACAGCATGAAGATACAGACTGAAGCTATTTGGCTCATCCCTGTCATTCTAAACAGACAGATGTTGTCAGAAAAATGGTCGAAAGTTAAGAGAAATGAAAAGAAGGATGGTGAGAATAGTTACTTATTTGGATGGTATGGCAGATCTTTGTGGTCAAGTTTATTAACAGAGATTGACAAAAGGAACAGGAAGTGGTCCAGCCAAAGCCCCCTGAAAGGATGCCTGGCTTAAGTCCCCATGCCAAAGGCCTGGCAGGCTGAGACTCTCCTTCGAAGATAAGTAGCCGAGAACAGGAGACTCTCGAGACCCCATCGTTGCTCCATTCCCCTCCCCCCCACCAAATTCCCAGAACAGGCCAAGCATCCTTTCCTTATCAATTTGGCCCATCGAGACATACGGTCTATGTCTTTTCCTCCTAAATTCCTAGAATTGACCACACTACTTCCTTTTTGGGATAGGCTAAAATTATTTTATTATCTTTATATGACTGGCTCAGAACACTTCATAGTTGATCCAAATTACTATATGAATTTGTTTTGTTTAAGTTTTGGGGCCTCACCTGGTAGTTCTCATGGCTTACTCCTGGCTCTGCACTCAGGGATTACTCCTGGCAGTGTTTGAGGGATCGTATGGAATGCTGGGGATCAAACCTGGGTCAACCACATACAAGGCAAGTGCCTTACTTGCTGTATTATCTCTCCAGCACCGCTATATGGATTTCTTATCCTTTTTATGTTATTGACTGAGAATAATTTTATGGATGATTTACTCCAAAACTGGATATATGCTTTCCCCCAAAGCGAAAACTTCCCACCTAAAGTATCTCCAAATCATGCTATTAAATAATATCCTCTGGGACTGGAGCAATAGTACACCTCGCACTAGGCAGAAGCCAGGTTCAATCCCCAGCATCCTTTCTAGTCCATCAAGCCTGGACAGGAGTGATTTCTGAGTGAGGATACAGGAGTATCCCCTGAGCACCACCAGGTGTTGCTTCCCTCCACCAAGAAAAACAAATAAATGAAATTAAAAGTATCCCTTAAAATACCAGATAGACCTCATTCTGGCCTCTACTGTGTCACTGTGTCATTCAGAACAGTAGCTTCAATAAATTGGCTTTGCTCTAGGTTCATCATTTAGCTCTTGGTAAATTCTTTGACCACACCACAGTGTGAGGCGTGGGTTGAGCCTCTCCTCCCAAACCTCCAGGGCAAACTTACTTTAAGCACCGATCTTGCATTGCTGTGATTTCCTGCACTGGGGGTAACTCTTCCCCAGTGGAGGGGGTGGTCCCATCCTGGAGCATGCTCAGAGCTTGTTGCTGCAACATGCCCAAGGCCGCCTGCTGTTCCTCCAGCTCCAGGAAGAAGGTGTCCTGAGATTCCAGGAGACTTATGAGCTCAGTTTTTGAAGCTTTCTCTGCTGAACTTCCAGGCAATTTGTCTTGCAGCTCATCAATCTTTTCCGTAGCTTTCTTAACCTATGCAAATGAACATATGACAACTCTCAAACCTAAGTACACTGGGAAAAAAAATAGGGCAGTTGCAATAAGTGCCACATCTGAACACTTAGGCATCAAAGCACATCAAAGACGGTGCTGTGAACTCTGAGTTTCAGGAAAGCAATCTCTTCCTGAATAGAGAGGAAAGGTCACTGATGGTTTTCAACTTTAGTCTCAAAATAATATCAAGGCATAACATAGAAAAAGGGGGTTTGTTTCTTTTGCTTTTAAAGGTAAAGGTAAAGGCCCTCCCGTTGATCGTCGATTTGCTCGAGCGGGCCCAGTAACGTCTCCATTGGAGACTTTGTTGTTACTGTGTCTGGCATATCCAATACTCTCGGTAGCTTGCCGGGCTCTCCGAGAGGGGTGGAGGAATCGAACTCGGGTCGGCCATGTTGGCCGCTTGTAAGGCGAACGCCCTATCTGCTGTGCTATCGCTCCAGCCACGCATTGCTGGGTGTGACCCAAAAAGAAAAAAAAAGGAAGGAATCAAATACTGGACTTAGGAAATGAATTAAACTTCAGGGGTTTTTTTGTTTGTTTTTGTTTTTGTTTTTTTGGGTCACACCCAGCAATGCTCAGGGGTCAATTCCTGGCTCTGCACTCAGGAATCACTTCTGGTAGTTCTCACGGGACCATATGGCATGCTGGGAATGGAACTCAGGTCATCAGTTGTGCAAGGCAAACACCCTCCCCACGGTCCTATCACTCTGACCCCATTTTCCTGTTCATTTTCTCAGCAAGGAATAAAGAGTTTTGTATTTTTTCACAGGCAGGTAGAATTGTCATACTAAGAGCCCAGCAAATGGAGCAAAGTAGACTTGGTCTCTTTTCAAACATTTATTTGCTTGATTTTCTTTTTTTCCCCCATTGAAGCTACATTGCTAATAGTTAAACTTCATTGTACTGCTCTATAAATTTCTGGTTTGCACAACTGAAAATCAATCTCTACCCATACTTATAGGTATAGAACAGATCTATACAGTCTTTCCTCACTGCAGGTTCAAATCTATCTACCATATATTTGTCTCCTGGGTACCAACTTGGTTTTCTTGAGTAACTGGATGCTGACTTTGGACTACACTGCACATCACATGATGAATTCAGCTTTACAATTTGGCTTAGATGGCATAAAAGTAAAGACTTCTAAGAAAAAAAAGTGTTAGTGCTTTAGACAGGCAAGAAATGGGGCCAAATGCCACTTTTCAAAACAGACACAGCCATGGAGGAAATAATCATTTGAGCCCATCCAGAATGGCGGTTACCTTGCTGTTAAAACTCTTCCACTCATCCACAGCATCTTCCAGAATCTTCTCCTGGTCCTGGGCCACTGCACGGAGACGTGCCCAGCGCTGCCACACGGTGGTCGTGGACCTGCCAATGGTGGCCTTGCTGGCGTCACTGCCAGCCTTTTCCAGATGTGAAGCCTTCTCTTCAAGGGCCACAATTTTCTCATGGAAAGAGTTCACTAGTGACACTAAGTCCTAGGATTGGGAACCAGACAAAGGGAGAGAGAATCTTTCAACATTCTATGGCTTTTGGTAAAGTCCAAAATAACTTGCCAAGGAAAATGTTCTGCTACACAATTTCTTTTGTCTCCAGTAACTCTTACTTTTACATTGAATTCTTTTTGGAGATAGGCTGGGAATTTTTCTAAGAGCACAGTAAATATTTATATTAAAAAGTTATTTACTGGGGCTAGAGAGATGGTACAGGTATTAAGGCATTACTTTGCATGGGGCCGGGCCTGGTTGAATACCCTGGAATGTATCGGGTTTCCTGGAGCACTACCAGGAGTGACTTCTGAGCAAAGAGTCGGAAGGAAACCCTGATCACCACCTTGTATGGACCCAAAGTCAAAAGAGAGACTAGCAATACTGCCTCAAAAATGATTTATTACTTGAGATGACACATTCTCATTGTAAATAGCCACACAAATATCAGCAAGCTGAATTTGATATTGAAGTATGTACATTCTGCCTTATATTGCTGTGATAGATCAAGGTTGATTTGTTATTGGGTTTGGAATTTTTTGTTAAATGCATATAACTTATGCCTGGCATGTGTTTCAAAATGAACTAAGCAGCATATCTTATCAGAAGCAACTTTCTCTGCAAAAGTCACTTCTCGTACCCAACTGTGTATTTCCAAGTTGGGTATAAGAATCATTAAAATCATTAACACATAAAATCATTAAAGCAATTAATTGATTAAAACTCCTCTGAAAAGTGATTAAATATTCTTTATATTTAAGGATTATGGGAGCTGGGTTTTATCACGCGACATCTTATTATCTCATTTTTACTTTGGACAAACTGACAGGCTACTGAATGTAACCTGCCCACATGGCAGAGTCTGGCAAACTCCCCATGGCGTACCCAATATGCTAAATACCAGTAACAATGATGGGTCTCATTCTCCTAACCTTAAATGAGCTTTGATATGGCACTTTTAAAAAAAAAATCTCAGGGCTAGGATGAAGGAGACGTTACTGGGGCTTGCTCAAGGCAATCGATGAACAACAGGATGGTCGTGATCATGAAGGATTACGGGATGCTGACCTGCTTCTGGGACTATCTTACTATCTGCATAGAAAGATAGTCAATGTTTTATTTGATATAAACATAATCTTAACTACAATTATAACTAGCAGAATGAGAGCGAAGGGATTATCGGAACAGCAGTAATACTTACCTTGTGCTCTGACAATTTCCCTTCTGCTTCCTGACCAGAAGACGTTTTCAACAGCGAAAACTCAGACAACTTCTTTTCCGCATCATTCATCAATGTGATAACCTCTTCCCTGGCTTTCTGGTAATCCTGCCACTGGACTGTGCATCTTGGAAAAGTTGAACACAAATCAATAAGCAAGGAGAAAGCACATTTCCATACAGAGTGCGATGCTCAGATGGCAAGAGGCTTACATGAGCAGAATGAATGTGCTAGTGTGCCTCACTCAAAAAGTCCCATTTCTAGGAGAAAACGCATTTGACTAAAACACAAAGAATGAAAGAGCTCTAAGTACCTCTGCAGGAGATCTAACTGGGCGTGGGAGTCCTGCGTGAGTCTCTGGCTCTTCTCTTGCAGGGATGCCAGTTTCTGGGCCAGACCCTCTTTCCCGCTGGGCTTGATGAGGGGGTCCAGGTTGGCCACCAAGCCTTGGAGCTCCTCCAGATTACTTTGAAACTGAGCCTCTGTGCTGAAAAACTCCATGTGACTTTTGAGATTCTCCTCTGCACTCTCCACATCCAGGCCGTGGCCTGTGAGCTGCATCATTTCCTGGGCATCCTCCAGCCAATCATTAGCCGCTTGGAACACTTGATAGTACCTTTGACATTGACCGTATATTTCAGTCAAGGTAGCCTGAAAGACAATCATTGCAAGCACAATCAACTCTCCCTTGAAATGGGTTTGCAGGAAATAGACAAATTTCCCAATCTCTTTTCCAGCTCTCAGCCACGGGAATATATGTGTGTAAATCCATGGATAAATTGGTAAGATTTAGAGAGATGCAATCCCTCACCATCTTCCCCGCCTTCATTGTTTTTGTTATGTAATCCTATCATGGCAGTTCAATATATATAAACAATGAGATAAATGGAATAAAAATGAATGTGGTCTCTGGACTAGTTCCAGAACTTTCCTTCCTTTCCAAAGAAAACCAATTATGCTGAGAAACGGGGAGCAGACAGGATATTTCCTGAAAGAAAATGATGTCTCACGGGATTAAAAGCATTAAAATGCCGGTGGTAATGTAACCTGGGACAGTGATGTAGAATGTAGTGTAGAGAGTTCTTAAGAAATTAAAAATAGAACCACCATGCGATCCAGCAGTTCTATTTCTGGGAATTCTCCAGCGGAAACAGAATCATTATCTCAATGAAGAGATCTGTCTGCCCATGTTGGTAGTAGCGTGACTCATAATAGGCAAGGTATGGAAACAACTTAAGTGTCTGTTGACAGACGAACGGATTAAACAAACGGGATGGCATACACACAGAGAACCTTACACAGACTTTAGAAGGAAATGCTTTCCTCTGTGACCCCATACATGATGTTTTTTCTTTTTTTATTTTTGGGTCGCACCTGGTGATGCACAGAGGTTACTCCTGGCTTTGCACTCAGGAATTACTCCTGGCAAAGCTCAGGGGATCATATGGGATGCTGAGAATCAAAACCCGGTCAGCCGCATGCAAGGCAAATGCCCGACCTGCTGTACTATCACTCCAACCCCGCCCCCCCCATGGATAAATTTGAACCTAAGGAATATTAGGCTAAGGTGAAAAAGTCAAACAAACAAACAAACAAAAAAGAAGATCTAGCATTAAAAAAAGGAGGAAAAAGTCAAGTTCATAAGATAGAGAGTAATAAGGAATATCTAGGACTGGGGTGGGTAGGAGAGAAGCTGGTAGTAGTTAGTGAAATGTTACATAGTTTTAAATATAAGTTGAATAAGGTCTGAGGAGAAAATGTGTGAGATGGAAACCATGTTTGATGATATTGGTGATTGAATTCTACAAAATAGAAAAGTAGAAATTTTCTCACCAGAAAACCAGAAAAATAAACATGTGAGCTGACAGATGCACTTATTAACTTAGTGGGGAGGGAAGGGTCCTCTCCGAGTATAACCTATATCAAATACTCTGTGCTCTGTGAGTATTTCGTTCATCAATTATCCCTCAATAAAGCTGGGGAAAGGAAAAGAAGTATAATAAGACAAAGCTTGCCAGAGCAATCAGCAAGCTGGAATTGAACCAGTAGCCCTCACGCCTGGGCTGACACTTTAGAAGCCTCTGAGATCAAAAAGCTGGCCTTTACGCAATGAAGTCCATTCAAGTGTAGGAGGGAAAGGACACTGTCATTGGCCACTGGAATTGGGACTGTTGACTAAACCACCCTCAGCCTGCAGAGAGCAGAGAAATGGCAGAGCAAATAGCTGCACAGTGAGCCCTTCACAAGGAAGAAAAAGGAGCATGCAAGAAAGAGTTAGGATGGAAATTGAAGTGCTCAGAACCACTATCTCAGGAGCCTGGCTCAGGACCATCCATCCAACTGTCATTTACAAAGGCGGGAGTCAGGATGCCTAAGTAGATTCAAGATTTGGGCACAGAATTACCAAGTGAACACTAGTAAGCTTACATGACAAATACTTGACAAAAAACTCACAATTCTAGATAACTTTGATGAACTCTTTTCTTTTTTTAAGAAGTCTTAAATCAAGATGAAAAGTTCCATATAGACTAAACTGACTCTAAGAAGGTGGAAATTCATTTCTATTTGTTTTTGGAAGCAAAATGGTTTTTACTGAAAGAAATTTCTTAGAAAGACATGAGGGGAGAGAAAGAACACGGATTTGAAGGAGCAAGCCTAAAAAAAAGAGAGTGTGTAGGAGAAAACAAGGGCAGAAAGAGCAAGAAAGAAGAAATATGAGTTTAAGAGAGAATATAGGCAGAGGGAATTTGAGGGATGGGGGGAAACTGAGTACATTGGTGGTGGGAAATTCCACTGGTGGAGGGATGGGTGATGGAATGCTGTATGACTCAATCCAGTCCGGTCCGGTCCAGTCCTCCCACTGTTCATCGATTTGCTCGAGCGGGCCCAGTAACGTCTCCATCATGAGACTTCTTGTTACTGTGTTTGGCATATCGAATACATCACAGGGAGCTTGCCAGGCTCTGCTGTGCGGGCGAAATACTCTCGATAGCTTGCCGGGCTCTCCGAGAGGGGCGGAGGAATCGAACTCGGGTAGGCCATGTTGACTGCTTGTAAGGCAAACGCCCTACCGCTGTGCTATCGCTCCAGCCCATGACTCAATCATGAACAGCTTTGTAATGCTCTATCTCACAGTGAGATGATTCAATTTAAAAGAGAGATGGAGGGAGGAGAGCAAGAGAGGGAGAGATGGGGAGAGAGAGAGAGGCAGAGAGAGACAGAGAGACAGAGAGAGAATGAATATGAGCTTGAAAAAACAAAGCAAGCTGGAAATCAGAAGTTTCACTAATAAAGATTATTTTGGAGAGCCCAGCAAGCTACCTAGAGTATCTCACCCACACGGCAAAGCCTGGCAAGCTACCTGTGATGTATTCGATATGCCAAACACAGTAACAAGTCTCAATGTTACTGGACCCATTGGAGCAAAATCGATGAACAACGGGAGGACAGTGACAGTGACATTTTGCAGAGCCAAAGAGACATCTCAGCAGGCTGGATGCATGCAGGACAGCCAGCCTTACGCACCATCAGGAGCAACCGTGGAACACAGAGCCAGGAGCAACTCTGGAGTACTCCTAAGTGTGGCTCTACAAAACATCTAACAACCACAAAACGTTTTACCCAAATGTTGACCTTCAGAAACTGACCAATGGGTGTGAAGCTTAGTCCATGTGGAAAATCAAGTTAAACAGTGATGGATAAGGGGCGATCAGAGCTCAAGCACAGTACGTACATCTAAGGAGGCTCCATCAGGATCCCTCTTCCAAAGAGAAAAAAGCGAAAGTAACTTTCCCAAGAGTGGAGATGAAAGTTCAATGGTGCCTGACTCACAGCGTGAGCTGATATCACCGCAGGGAAAGGGGTGCGCTAGCTCTGTGGTTGGACAACATGCCACAGACTCAGAGGGACAGAGACAGGGGAGTGAAGGAAATGAGCCTCTGGAAGTGACTCACTTTTTCGGGCTTTTGAAGGCCCAGCAGCTGCTGACCACGGGGAAGGCCACACTTTAGGAAGGCAAAACGGTAGTTCCGTGCCTTTTTGCACTGCGCCTCAGAATTCCCACTAAGTGAAGCCACATGCTGACTCTAATCTCTTCAGACTGCTTGCACGGGAAGCGGCAGTGACTCTCCGGGGCAGGGGTGAGTGAAGAGATGGGGACCTGAGGGGAGATCCCAGGAGGTCTGACTGCCTGGTTGACTGGGCTCTTGCTGGTGGTGAACATTTGCTCTTTTGCCTGCATCCGGCCCATTGAGCTATCTTGTTGGCTCTGGGTAATAATGGTTATTACATAAAAATTCTGATTTCTGGCTTGCTTTTTTCAAGCTCATATTCTCTCTCTCTCTCTCTCTCTCTCTCTCTCTCTCTCTCTCTCTCTCTCTTTCTCTCTCTCATTGAACCACCAGGAGATAATATATCACAAAGCTGTTTCTGACTGGGTTTCAGTCACACAGTATTCCAACACCCATCTCTCCACCAGTGTAATTCACCTTGCTCCCAGGAGGCATATTCAAGCACTGTTCACTGAAAAGGGACACATTTCAATTACGGATGCACTGAGATCTATCTCTGTTAACAGTACTATTACTGTTTATTTCTCTGAAAGATAAGAGCTGGCTGAGTTACAGCTAGAGGGATGTCTACAAAGAAACCCCACAAAATGAATGTCAGCGCAAGAGCAATGCAAGCATTCTCTGGTGTCGGCACCGAAGATGATTCTACAACTAATTTAAGGGGCTGGAGCGATAGCACAGTGGGGAGGGCATTTGCCTTGCACGCGGCAGACCCTGGTCCGATTCTCAGCATCCCATATAGTCCCCCGAGCACCGCCAGGAGTAATTTCTGAGTGCAGAGCCAGGAGTAACCCCTGTGCATTGCTGGGTGTGACCGAAAAAAGCAAAAGCAAAAACAAAAACAAAAATACAACTAATTTAACGAAGGAAATACTTAAGGAATCGACGCTACATAGGTGAAGAGAAACAGGTATTATGGAGTGAGGGTATTGTGTTGGACTGTTATCTGCATGAAACCTTATACTTAATAGTCCTGTAACATTGTAAGTCATGACAACTATATATTTTTAAATGTAATGCATAAATTATTTCTTAAAGAAAAAAATTGTTTAAGGAATCATGCTGGGGCTAAGACACAGTACAGTGGGTAGGGCGTTTGGCTTGCACGCAGCTGATGCAGATTTGATTGCTGGCACCCTATCTGGTCCCCTGAGCCCCACTAGTAGTGATCCTTGAGCACAGAGCCAGGGGTAAGCCCTGGGCCCTGCTGGGTGTGGCACCTCACACCAAAATATCAAGCAATGGGGGCTGGAGCAATAGCACACGGCCAACCCTGGTTCGATTCCCAGCATCTCATATAGTCCCCGGAGCACTGCCAGGAGTAATTCCTGAGTGTGAAGCCAGGAGTAACCCCTGAGCATCGATTGTTGGGTGTGACCCAAAAAAGGAAAAATAAAATCCAGATTACCAACCAACAAAACAAGAGTCATCAACACTAACCCAGAAAACAAGCCCCCAGACATCGCCCGGGGTCTCTTTACCCATGGACAGAGGAGCACTGAGCAAGGAGTCCACCGACCTGCCGGGCGCGCAGCGCTTCCTCCACGGCGCTCTGCAACTCGGCCAGCTCGGCCAGGGTGCGCTGCAGCTCGGGCGACACCAGCTCCTTGGCCCGGGCCACGCGCTCCGTCTCCTTGTCGCTCAGCGCCTGCATGATGCGCAGGCGCGACTGCACCTCCTCCTGCTGGATCTGCATCTTCCTGATCTCCTCCTGCAGTTCCTGCAGGCTCAGCTCCAGGCCCAGCGGCCCGCCCAGCTCTTCCTTGACGCCCCTCAGCCAGTCCCGGGAGCGGCTCATCTCCGTCTGGAAGTCGCGGCTCTGCACCAGGCGACGCTCGCACTCGGTCACCGTGACGCCGATGGCCGCGGTCAGTCCCCGCAGTTCCTCGCGCCAGGCGTCCAGCTGCAGCTGGGCCCGTTGGTGGGCGCCGGGGTCCAGGTGGGGGAGCAGCTCTTCCAGGTGCTCGGCCACGCGCTTCAGCAGGGTCCCCGAATCCTGGACGCTGCCCGCCAGCGCGTGGTACATCTGGAGCTTCTCCTCCGCGGGCAGCGTCTCCTCGTTCACTTTGCCCTGCTCGGCCCTCACGGCCTCCAGCTGCTTCTGCAGCTGCTGCTGCAACTTCTCGTGCTCCTGGTACGCGCCCACGGTGTCCTCCAGGAAGCTGAGCCTTTGCTCCGTCTGTCGCTTCAGCCTGTGGTACGAGGTGAGCAGCTGCAACATCTTGTCCGCCAGCCACGGTTGCCCGGTGCTGCGAAAGCTTTCCTTCTTCTGGTTCAGCTCGTCCACGGCGGCGCCGAGGCCGGCCACCTCGCCCACGAGGGTCCTGCAGGCCTCCTGGAGGGCCAGGGCCTCCTCCGTGGCCAGCTGCGTTGGGACTCGGCTCATTTGCAGGAAACGCTCTTCCAGGTCCTGCAGTGACTGGCTGGTGAGCTCGATGAGTGATGCATACTCCTTCCGCGCCAGCGTGGCCTCCTGCACTTTGTAGTACTTGTCTTTGGCCAAAGCCACGATGACGTTGAACTGCTGGGGCAAGGCACTGAGCTTCTCGCTGAGGTAGGCGTGGTCCACTTCGTTCAGCGTGGGCAGGATGGCCTGGCCGGCTCGCTGCAGCGTCAGCAGGAGGTTCTCGTACTCCGGAGACTGCTCCAGGATGTGTTGGTACCTGGCCAGCTGCGTCTGCAGCTCGGTGCTCTCGTTCATGAGGTTGATTTCGGGGAACGTGACGATGTCCGCCTGCTTGAGCCAGTGGCAGGCTTTATCGAAATCTTCCTTAAAGTGCTTCCTGGACACCAAACTCTTCTCCAGCTCCTGCAGCCGCTGACTGCACTTGTGGAGAACGCTATCATAGACACTCTGTAGTTCTTGCAGTTTCCCCAGCACCTCTGTCTTCTCCTGCTCTGTGATCCCTTTCATCACATCCCGGCCCTGGGCCCACAGGCCCGTGACTTCCGTCTGGTACGTCTTGAGGCTGGCCTGGGCCCCCTTGCACGTTTTCACCTGTTTGCTCACATCATCTGGCAAGAGGCAGATGTGATCCCGGAACATGATCTTCCGCTCGTGTTGCTGGATTTGGCTGGTGGCCTGGAACACAGCCATGAGGAACTGGGTTTTCTCAGACAGCGCCTTGTTCAGGTACTTGCGTCTCTGGCCCACTAAGTCGCCAAGGCAGTTCACGTGCCCTTGGGCCTCAGACAGGGCCTTCTGGATGACCTGGCGCTCGTTGAGGCCCAGATCAGCCATCACCCTGTCGGCGTCCTTGGTGAGGGACTTGAGGAGGATCTGTTTGGCCTCCAGCTCACTGCAGAGGGAGAGGTGGTCCAGGAGAAGGCTCTGAGCCATGTCGGGTGGCGGGCTCTGCTGCAGGGCCTCGGCCATGCCGGGCTGCTGCTCCACTGCCCACTCCATCAGTTCCCGGAGCCGCGCCTGCACCACGTTCAGTTCCTCCAGGTTGTTGACGGACACCTGGATTTTCCGCTTCACCAGGTCCTCGAGCTGCCGCCAGCGCTGCTCCAGGTGGCCCGTCTGCTCCTTGACTAGCTCCTGGTCATCTAAGTTCAGATGCTCCATCAGCTTCTGCTTTTGGGCCTTCAGCTCCTCCACGGCCGGCTCTTGCTCCTGCATCGACAACGTCAGCTGTTTCAGCACATCCAGGTGGGTTGCAGTGCTCTCTGCATCAGTCCTGCAAGTGGAGGGAAAGGCAGAAAGACAGGATTGGTTCTGGGCACTTGCTGTGCTGGGATGAATGGTGGAGAAGGACACTTGCCCCTTTCCTGCCCGTGGAGGTGAGTTAAACAGGGTCCCCGCGAGTAGCTCGGCACTGGGGCTTATGGGCGAAAGTGCTAAGATCATGATGGAGTATGAAACATACAGACATTTGGACCACACACAGCAGTGGTCAGGACTTACTCCTGGCTCCGTGCTCAGGGACCACTTCTAGTTGTGACTGAGGGGACCTGGGGATTAAACCACAGGTCATGCATATGTCAGACAAGTGCCCTATCCACGGTACAATTCTCCAGTCCTGAGACCTGCATATTTTTACTTCAGAAGCTGAACCAGTTCATATTGTCTAAATATATCTCCTCAGCATCTTTGAGGTCGAGCTGTTCCACCATTACACCCTTTAAGGGTCGAGTTTGGATTGCACTCAGCAGCTCAGAAGCTACTCTTGGCTTTGTGCTCAGAATGGCCTTGGGTGGTGCGTGACCCTATGTGGTGATGGAGAGAAGACCAGTGTCCCTGACTGTCAGGCAAGTGCCTCCACTCCTGTGTTCATCTCCAATCACATCTGGCCCATGCTTTTAGCTTCCCCTGGACCTACACACTGAAGAGAATTGGATATTAGTATTTCTGGACAGGATTTGTAGAAAGACTGAAGATGGAGAAGCATTGATTCACTGCATTTTGGAAAATCATGGGAAGAATTTAATAGCTGACCTAGGATTTATGTGTTTGGTCATGGGACGATGCTTCAACAGAGTGTTCCACGGTGTAACGTGCCAAATCTAACCAATGATGCCAATGGTTACTTGGAAATTTTTAGATATGTTTTTACTTATCAGTAGAAATATTTCAAACTAGGTGGGGGGATCAGAGAGATAATATAAGGATGAGGACACATTCCAAGAATGCACCTGACTCAGATTTGACCCTGGCACCAGATGGCCTCCTGAGCACTGCTAGTGTATCCTGGAGACCTCCAGCACCCCTGGGCTTAGCCCTGATCCAGAATCATGTTCTAAGACCCTAGTACTGATCTGGTGGTCCAGATGGCCAAGTGTTGTTGGGAGTGGTCACGGGACTCCTGGAACTCCACTGGGAGCCTCTTACCACAAAAATATGTGCCGAATGCAAAGAATACTCAAGCCTTTAGTTACAAAGCACATATAAAACTGTGACTATTCTCATTTAAAAAATGATTAGTCCTAAAATGTGAAGAAAAGGCCTGGGAGGCAGGACAGAATGAGCACTACTAGGGACAAAGTCTCAGGTGCTTTAGGCCAGCCCAATGGAGTGACAATTTTCACTTGTATTTATAAGTTACAATAAATACAAGTTTTGGCTGATACTTAGTTTAGTCTAATGACTAGTAAAATATTGAGCACCAAGAAAAATATTATAAAAAATCAGAAAATTTATGCATACATAAATATATAGTTATATATACATATGTATGTATATATAGTTTTTATACACATGCATAACCTTTGGTGATTAACCCCCTTAAGAATATTGTTTATGGTGATTTAACTTCCTTGAGAACATTCCAGTTCAGCTTTAATTGAAATGAATCAATAAAGCATTTGGGCAGCTTTTGTTAGTCACAAAAAGAACAGAAAGATTTCCATGTGATCAATACACATATGCTACTTAGGGCTGGTGGGGGATTCACGTTCTCCAAGAAAAATCTCGAAGAATTTTATTTAAAAATCATGCATTAGTTGAATTTAAATTATTAACTGATCCATAGAAAACATTGTACAAGGGAAAACTTGTTGAAATCTCATAGAATATACCATCCTAGAGATTGATAAGGCATCCTGAAACATGCAGATCAAAGATACCTGAACACATGAATGGGAGTCTGGGAGTCATGAAATATAACAGGAAGCATTTTTGCAAAGATCTTTGATGTCACAGGGTCACACATCATTGTATCACTGGATATTTGTAACTTTCAGCTTACAGAGAAAAAGTGCCCTGTTCTCAAACATTTTTTTTTAACTCACTGGTTCAGCAAGGAAAACCATGGCTGTTTCCCTCTGAGGACTTTAAATTATTTTTCATGTGAGGAGGAGTTGGGGGGGTTGGGGCCACACCCAACAGTGCTCTGGGTCTATTCTTGGTTTGGTGTTCAAGGATTATTCCAGGTGGGGTCAGGAGACTGTACAGGGTACCAGGGATCAAACTGGGTTTGGTTGCAAGCAAGGAAAGTGTCTTACCCACTGTACTATCTCTAGCACAACATTAAATTCTTTTTATTTGTTTTTTGGGCCACACCTGGTGATGCTCAGACGTTACTTGTGACTCTGCACTCAGGAATTCCTTCTGGCAAGGCTCAGGGATCATATGGGATGCTGGGGGTGGAACCTGCATCAGCCAAATGCGAGATAAGCATCATACCCACTGCACTATCACTCTAGTCCAACATTAAGTTCTTAATAATCCTCTACCAAAACGAAACATGAAGGCAACCAATATTCAAAATAGAAGACATGGGGTCAGAGCAATAGTAGAGTGGGAAGAGTGTTTGCCTTGCACGTGGCCGACCCAGGATCAAACCCCGGCATCCCATATAGTCCCCCGAGCACTGCCAGGAGTAAATCCTGAGTGCAAAGCCAGGAGTAAACCCTTAGCATCTCCAGGTGAGACCCAAGAAAACAACAACAACAACAAAATTATCTATTTTTTTTCAAAAAGGACATTTTACAATTTTATAGGAATGAAAAACTTCCAGTTTTCTATTTGGGTGAGCTACTAGAGAATGTCTCTTACCTGGCCAAGCTATCCCATTCCGTCGTGAATTTTTCTAAGAAGGCTTCCACAACGTTCATGCGCTCGTGGTAATCTCTTGTCCTCTGAAGGTCCTCTTCCCTCTGCAGACTCAGTGCGCTGGCCTGGCCACATAGCTCCTGCCACTGGTCGTTCAGATGGGCGATCTCCTTGTGTTCAGGGGACTCCTGCTGCTTCGTTAACTTATTCACCTTTTCCGTAATCGCTGCCACCGAAGCCTGTTTGCTTTGCAGCTTCTTAACAAACTCCTAAAGGAGAGGGGTGATGAAAGCACACATATCAAGCATTAAAGGTCCAAACAGAGAGCTGAGGAAAGTGGAATCTCTCTGAGCCTGGTCTTGGGAGATGGAGAATGAACAAATCATAAGGAACAAAGGGAAACCTCTGACGTTCTCTTTGGGGACTTAAATTTCCGAGTGTTTGAAGATCAAACACTGGCCTTTTCTTTTATTGTGTTACTTTGAAAATTATGAAGACAAACTGGAAAACGTAAAACAGTCTTAAAACTACTAAGGGAGCATAATTCATGTGCTATCTTAAAGTGCTGGTGGAGTTTTCAAAACACATTTCAAGTTTCTGCTTTTTAGAAAAATATCTAACTGATGCTATCTCTGGTCTATTTTTTTTCTGTATATGTAAATAATATATCACGATTCACTCAAATGAGAGATAGAATCCGGAGTTCTGATCTCCATCAACGCTCAAGAATCAGGGACGCTGTCTCATTTGCCAAGGCATCACAAATCAGATGGACTGGACACATAATGAGGTTTACAGACAACCGCTGGACTAGAGCCATTACTGACTGAATTCCATGGGACATCAAAAGATCCCGTGGATGCCCACCTACAAGATGGTAAGACTTCTTCGTCAAGACCCTGAATGATCGGTTTGAGGCTCTGCATGTTCCTAGAACGAACAGATGCCACTGGGCTACGCTAGCACGCAACAGGGATGAATGGAGACGTTAATGGCACCCGCTCGAGTAAATCGATGAATAACGGGGGATCAAGTGATCAAGTGATATGTAAATAATGTTTTGGTAAAAACATAATGACTCACTATAAATTTGTTAAAAAGTAGGGGCCAAAGAGATATTGCAGGGTGTCGAGCGCTTGCCTTAAAATGGCTGACTCAGATTTGATCCCCTGGGACTACAAATGGTCTCGGGAGCACTTTCAGGAGTGATCTCTGAATGCAGAGCCAGGAAGAAGCCCTGAGCATAGATAGTGTGGTCCCAAAGCAAACAACAATGGGGAAATATGGTACAATTTCCAATCAAGCTGACAGAGTAGTTTAAAGAAAAAATAACAGGTCAAATCAATCCTAGAATTACAATTATATTCCTATTGCATTGAAAAAAATTTAGTTTATATCAGATATTACATATATATTTAATTAGTTGATTGCTTTTATAATCCTACAGTATCAGTAATACTGTGATTAAAAGCAAAAAAAACTTATAAATTGTTTAGTGTCATTCAGGTTCTGTTGACTAAACCCTAGCTGCTATGTTTAGAAATATACTTTTTAGTTGGTTGTTTTGGGGCTGGAGCGATAGAACAGTGGGTAGCATGTTTGCCTTGCATGCGGCCCACCTGGCTGATCCGAGTTCGATTCCTCCGCCCCTCTCGGAGAGCCTGGCAAGATACCGAGAGTATCTCACCCACACAGCAAAGCCTGGCAAACTCCCAGTAACAACAAGTCTCACAATGGAGACGTTATTGGGCCCACTCGAGCAAATTGATGAACAATGGGAGGACAGTGACAGTGACAGTTGATTTTTAAGAACAAGTGGTCACTGGGAGCTATAGGACACTCAAGCGTTTTCTCTTTGACTGGTGCCTTCCTGTATGCATGAAGGTTTGTTTAGATCCTCTTTCTTTTTCTTAAAAGCAAAGCTGATGTGGAGAGAGGTAACTGCCTACACAGTCCCCTGGGATTCTTTGTTCTCCGGGATTCCCTGAATCCCTACCTTGACTTGGGAAACCATATTCTGAGCAATATTGAGCTCCAGCTCTGAATGTCTCCTCTTCATGTTCTGCAACTGCTGGTCAGCATCCTGGAGATAAATCCAAAGCTCAGCTTTCAGGCGCTTGATTTCCTCCCAGCCCTGAGTGAGGTTCTGTGCCTGGGTCAGTCTTTCTTCAATCTGGAGAGAAGACAGAGGCAGAAGAGGACATCACGACACAAACACTGATGTTCAGTGACTCAGACCTGCAGTTCTTCAGCATAGCCAATACACACGCACATGTGTAACACACACACACACACACACACACACATGCACACACATTCAGTATCAATCCAAAAGGCACTCTTTGCTGCAAGAAAATAAAACATTCTTTCTATTTTTTTTTTTAAAAAAGGCCCTCCCGTTGTTCATCGATCTGCTCGAGCGGGCCCAGTAACATCTCCATTGGAGACTTTGTTGTTACTGTGTTTGGCATATCGAATACGTCACGGGGAGCTTGCCAGGCTCTGCCGTGCGGGTGAGATACTCTCGGTAGCTTGCCGGGCTCTCCGAGAGGAGCGGAGGAATCAAACTCGGGTCGGCCATGTTGGCTGCGTGCAAGGCAAACGCCCTATGGCTGTGCTATCGGTAAAGATTTTTTTTTTTTTTGCTTTTTGGGTCACACCCAGTGATGCATAGGGGTTACTCCTGGTTCATGCACTCAGGAATTACTCCTGGCCGTGCTCGGGGAACCATATGGGATGCTGGGAATCGAACCCGGGTACAATTTCCACGTGCAAGGCAAACGCCCTACCCGCTGTGCTATCACTCCAGCCCCGTCTAAAGATTTTTAAATGTTTAAGAAATTCACAATCAGAATTGTGAAACTCTAAGAGTTTGAACTATTTATTAGGTCACAAGTAGCCTTAGTAGCTTTGTTATTTTAGGCACTTAAATAGACACAAACAGGGAGTCTGTTTGACTCTCATGAATTTGGAGTTAACTAGTGAAGACGTACATTATTCTCTGGTGTACATTTGTTGACATACTTCTAATATAACATCAAGCTTAGAAGATTTGGGGTATGTTTTGATTTTTATCACTGGTTTTGGAAACCATATACTTTTTTCAATACGTTATTTCTGTAAAATGTATACAAAGTGCCATTTTCCATAAGGGTTGTGTGCTTGGTAATAAAAGTGAAAACCTGACATTACTTTAAGATATTATGTGTTCTCTTTCGGTGGTTTTACTATTCTGGGAAGATTTAATCAACTGAAACCCAACACCAAGTCTTATATTGCTTTTCTAGACCCAAAAAGTGGAGTTTAAGGCCCCAGAGGAGATTTACAAGCCCTATGCTGCCATCTGCTGGCTGTCTGTGGTATTGCATATATTTCTCCCCTGCCCCCACACTGCAAGGTTCAGGAAATTCTTTTACATAAAAATATTACCTACAGAAAGATATGGAAAAGGAGAAAAAAAAGATGTGCAATGGGTGAATAAGTAATGGTAATTAAGGAGGAAAAAAGAAGAGGAAAAGTTGCTAGATCATAGTTCAATGGCACAAAAATGTCTGTTCCAACTCAGTGGTCTTGTATCAAAACATCCATCTTATGTTTAGTTATTTGCAGTTTAAATATATAATTGGTAACATTGCAGCAAAAATACTCCAAGGACACTTTTAAAAAATCTAGACTGTAATACTCATGAAAGGAAACATATTGAAACAAATCCAATGTGGTTACATATTTTCTTTTTCCTTCTTCTTTTTTTTTTAAATTTACCTTTTGCTCTGTTTGTTGAATGTCTTTGGCCGTGGCTTTCACTGAGGAGTTTGACAGGTCACACATGGAACACAGGAGATCTAAGTAGGTCCTGGCCTGTTCTTGCAAAGCTCGGAAGTGTTTGACCTGGAAAAAAACCCATAACTGTTAAGAATTGGAAGAGGTGTCCTATATCTAGGAATCCTGTATTTATTCCCTTTGTAGTATTTAGTTGACATTTCAAGGACCACCAAACTATGCTCATTATTTTTACCATTGTTGGAAATTTGGGGCTTTCAGGAAAGAATTCAAAACACACTGTCCCGGATCCATTTGTTTAGCAAGCTGTTTCTCGTTGACGTTTGGGAAGGCCGTCTGGTCTGGGAAAGAGGAACACCCAAGAAACTTCTCCAAACTTCCAAGATTCTTGGGTCACGTGCTGAGATGTTTTTGCATTTCAGAGAGAGCTGATACTCTATATTCTGGCTGTGCTCTTTGAAACGTACTTTGACATATCGGTGACATAAAGCAGCGTGTCAGAGTACGTTTTTCAGCTTCACTGGAGTTTGATTTTTAAACTGAGGGAGACCCTGAGACAATGGTGGCGGGAAATAGACACTCCGGTGGGTGTGTGTGTCAGAGGGTTGATGCCTAAAAACTCATCATCATCCACAGTGTTGTAGAATTGTCAATCAAGGTGAGTACAATGAAAAAATAAAAAGCCAACCACCACACAGATTGCCCTTTCTCTGCAGGAAAGTCAGAAGTACTTCCCGACTTTCTTAAGTCCAAGCAAAGCCTCTCCTTGTGGCTCTGTATTCTCTGCATAGGAAGCGGAAGTGAAATATTTCTCTGATGCTATCTGAAGTCTGCACTTCTCTCTCTCTCTCTCTCTCTCTCTCTCTCTCTCTCTCTCTCGTATGTTTTTGTAAATAGTATTTTACCATAGGAGCTGTACTAAGACATTTGCTGTCTTGGTTCAGGATTTCCTTTTCTGTTTTCTTATGTATGAATTTGTTCTCCTGAAAAATACCAAGGTCAATTTCTGCTATTTGTTACAGGTTGACCTGCCCGGGGGGGGGGGGGGGGGGGGGGCACTGCACCCTCTGAGCTCTGTTTCAGACAAATACATATACCTCAACCTCATCAACATGCTAACAGCATTTCCCTGGTCCTTTCCTTTATTACCTGTCATCCTCCTCTTTTTACTCCCTCCCTTGATTTTTTTTCTTCTCTGTCCTTTCTATTTCTATAATCTAGGGTCCAGAATAATATAGCTATTCCCTTTTGATATTTTGCATTTCTCCCATCTTGTTATTATCCTATATTGCACGTTCTCTTTTTGATGTGGGGCACCAAACCATTGCTCTGAGGAACTTCCACTTTTGGATCCACAGAGCATTTCTGAAGAGACTTACATGAGGTCTGGGAGTACTGAAGGTGATGGAGCCAAAATGGGTCATTAAGAGGAGGGGTGGGGGGTCCTGCTGCTAGGGGAATAAGCTGGACTCCAAAGTCTTGAAAGACAAAGCCTCACTTTCCCCTGAGCAGTGCCACACAGACACTGCATTCTCCTGGGGAGCCAGCCCCACCTGGCCGCTACCTGGTACCCAACACATTTTCCTGAAACATCTGCACAAATCCCAGAGTAACCGACACTTTCAGGTGCTTGGTACCTGTTTCATGGCTTCTGCTCTGCTCGGAGGAGGATGTGGACTGGGTTGCAAGTCAGGCTGCACCGCGGAGAGCCAGGCCTGGCACTGCTGGAGAGTGTCCTGTCGGCTCACGTGCTTCTGAAGCTCGTGTTCCAGACTCTGGTACACCTGGGGCAAAAAGGTCACACTGCAGTTGGCAGAGCTGTCGTGGATCACGGGAAACAGACAAAGCCTTAAGTCCATTTCAAGGGGTACCATCATCACCTCTAGGATTGCCTGATGCCACAGAGTTATCCACGAGCTCACTTAGCTCCCGAAAGACTACAAAGGAGTTCCATGAACATTTCCAGACTGTAACTTCCCAACCCACACATTGCACAGACACCCCGATCAGGGCAGGCGATGGGGTCAGGGCCCATGGAAGCAGATCCGGCTCACAATCCCTCCGTGTTGGAAGGAAATGATCAAAGCCAGCAGTTTTGTGGCAGCTTCTCTCTCCCGCCCCATACCCTCTGAACAAACATTGCTCTTTTGTTTATGCTGAAAGTAAAAATAAAATGCTCTTTGGTTACACAGAGCATTTCTGAAGAGATCAGAAAGAAATCACTGGTATTTCTCTTAACTTTCTCCTTTAGGGAAGGAACAAATCGAAACACAGAACTTTCCAGGTGGGATCCAGAGAGACCCCTATTCTGGTCCTCAAGATGTGGCCTTTATCCTCTCTGATAATCTATTTCCAATGACGTTTTTATTCATTTTTTTGTTCACAAAAATAAAGGGGCTGGAGCAATAGCACAGTGGGTAGGGCATTTGCCTTGCACGTGGCCAACCTGGCCGACCCAAATTCAATTCCTCCACCCCTTTTGGAGAGCCTGGCAAGCTACCGAGAGTATCTCGCCCGCATGGCAAAGCCTGGCAAGCTACCCGTGACGTATTCAATATGCCAAACACAGTAACAACAAGTCTCACAATGGAGATGTTACTGGGCCCGCTCGAGCAAATCGATGAACAACGGGAGGACAGTGCTACAGTTCTACAGTGTTTGTTCACAATTAAGAAATCCATATGGCACGACATCACTACTTGAGAGGAAGATCAGATTCCTTTAGATGTCTAAATGTGATACCGGGCAACTATGGCCACTGGAGTAGAGGTAGTTAATTTAATTTAGTGTTGGCTTATTTGAACAGATCATTCAAATGTGTCAGCAGAAAAGGAGATAAAGAGACACACATAATACCCTCTCTGTGACAGTATGGTAAATCACAGTGCCAAAAGGTAGTGGGGTTGGGGGTGGGGGTGGGGGATGAGAAGAAAAAAAGAAAAAGAATATATAGTCTGTCAAAGAGGCAAGATGGGAAGCAGGAGGAAACTGGGGACCTTGGGGGAAGGGATCAGTGTTGGAATCTTGCACACCAGAAACTCAATTATAGCTATGCCACTCTGTAGGTCACAATGAGCTAATAAATTATTTTTTTAAAAACAGAGAAAGTGCCTGTCACAGAGGCAGGCTGGGAGGCTGGAGGGAAACCAGGGACACTGGTGGAAGGCAGTGGACCCTGGTGAAGAGTGGTGAAGGAGCTGGTGTGGGAACATTGTATGCCTGAGATTTTTACATCATGAATAATTTTGAAGCCCTGTAATTTCAGTGATTCAATAAAAAATTACATAATTATTTTACAAAAGGTGTAAGAAACCTAGTGTTTATTTGAATTTCATGGCCTCTGGTGTGCAGGGGTAAGCAGATTCTTCAGTGGACCAAATCTTTTTTCACTGAAGTATAGAGCTTGATGCTTAAGGGGAAAATATTTGTGGAAACAACTTTCATCTTTAACCTCCCATCCTGTTATCATCCATATGGACCAGTTCTCTAGAAATTATTCTGTTGAACTGAGTCAACTTGATGAGAGTCACAATGCAGGGAGCTTATTTTCCAAAGACAAGTTTAAAGTTCCAAACTGGGGGCTGGAGCGATAGCACAGCGGGTAGGGCATTTGCCTTGCACGAAGCCTACCCAGGTTCAATTCCCAGCATCCCTTATGGTCCCTGAGCACTGCCAGGAGTGATTCCTGATAGCAGATCTATGAGTAACTCCTGTGCATCGCTAGTTGTGACCCAAAAATCAAAAAAAATAAAAATAAATAAAGTTTAAAGTTCCAAGCCTCCCCAGGCCAATTATAAAGCACTTTCAGAGTGGCTGGACAGGTTCTGCTCAGGGACACACAGTGAGTACCTCATTCTTCTTTAAAGATTGCTACAAAAACAAAGGATTTAAAACCAAACCAAACTGAAACTGAATTCTAATAGGGGAGAAGAGAGCTAATGCACGTCCTCATTTCATTTTAGAAGCTATGTTCTCAGAAAATAGAGAAATCCAAACATTACCTAATATGTCTATTAAATTTAATTTATTCTCAATCAGCCAACTAATTTCCATTTTACCCAAAAGACAGAATGAAATATGATTGCTTTCAAGATCTTTGATCCTATTAGAAATCAAGGCCAAATATGTCAGTGAAGTTTCTGGAACAAACTTTTCCATTAGAAAATGAAGTAAAAGAAGGAAATCAGATTAATCTTCAGCTCTTCCATACAGACAAGAGAAGCAACCACTGAATTATGCTCTTCCAAGTCATCTATTCATCAGTTTGGCCATGGAACAATTTCATTAGAGGACCCCTCTTTATTCTTACTCCAAAGAGAAAAGGGAAAAGATTTTTCTTCTTTTGAAATGTTGAACCAAAAGTATAGGTTCGCTATGTTCATAGACTCGTAGCTACTTTTAAAATAGGTATGTTTGTCTTTTGAACCATTGCCAATGTTTTGTTTTGTTTTTTGTTCTTTAAATTTTCAGACCACATCCAGCACTGACTCCTGGCCTGCTGGTGCTTGGAGAACCTTATCAGAAAACTCTGAATTGGCATTTGGGACTTTCCACAATTCCCTCTCTTTTACAATTATCTGTTAGGGACCACAATCCTTTCACCCTGCCTTCAACTGGCAGGGAATAACTGGTGGTCACATACACAGTGCTCAGGGCTTACTTCTGCTTCCGTTCTCACTCAGGAATCACTCCTGGTGGTGTTTGAGGGACCAAATGTGATGCTGAGAAGTGTCTACACTGCAAGGCAAGCACCTTACACCCTGTATTATCTTCTCATTCCCAGTCTCTCTTTTTAATTAACTCTTGAAAGTGAATTTTTCAGGTCGAGGGAATTACCAGAAATCACCAAGAATTTTTCAATTTAAAATATTTCTCCCCCATTTAAAATATTTCTATTGTACTTTACATAGGGTGGTAACAATAGTGTTAGCTTTTATGGTTTTGATGTACAAAGGTCTTGCACCTTCACCACCACCTAGCATTTATTATCATATTATTATTATATAATATATTATTATATTATTACTATTTATTATTATTGTCATTATTATGAAGAACACAGACTTTCCCCCCTTGTCACTTCTTGTCAATTTCTATTGACCAATTTCTTTCTGAACAGCCCAGTATAACAAAATACAGGGACTCATTGGAATACCTGGCAAGCCACCTGTGATGTATTCGATATGCCAAACACAGTAACAACAAAATCTCCAATGGAGACGTTACTGGGCCCGCTCAAGCAAATCGATGAACAATGGGAGGGCCTTTACCTTTACCTTTACCATTGGAATATCATTTAAAATATTTAAATTGATAAAAATAAATTAACTTCATTCAAGTTTTGTTAAAAAGGTAATTCCTACCCACCTTTGACTTCTATAACATAGAAGTTACATTTTGGTGGAAGTATATCCATGAACATATAATTCAAATTTTGTGCTTATAAGTCTTTTTGTTTATTTTCAGTAGAGTAAAAATACTGGATTATAGCAGGATCTAGGCTGCAGAAAATTTTTAAAGAATTGTGAGAATTACAAAATATATTTCACGGTCACGGTCCTCCCGTTGTTCATCGATTTGCTCAAGCGGGCCCAGTAACGTCTCCATTGTGACACTTGTTACTGTGTTTGGCATATTGAATACGTCACGGGTAGCTTGCCAGGCTCTGCCATGCAGCCGAGATCCTCTCGGTAGCTTGCCAGACTCTCCAAGAGGGGCAGAGGAATCGAACTCGGGTCGGCCATGTTGGCTGCGTGCAAGGCAAACGCCCTACCACTGTGCTATCGCTCCAGACCCTTTATAAAATAAATGGCTGAATAGAAACATATTTGATGATGTGTTAATAAAAAGGAGGGAAGCATAAGCCAAAAAGATGGTACAGGAAGAAAGGTAATTACCTTGGATGTGCCCAACCCAAGTACAATCCCTAGCACTGCCTATGGTTCCCTGAGCCTACTCAGGAGTTGTCCCTGGGTGCAAAGCCAGGAGTAAGCCCCAAGGACTGCAGGATATAGCCCCAAACAACAAGAAGAAAACATAGCAACAACAAAAAAACAAAAACAAGCAAACAAACAATCAAGAAAAGCAAAAGTAAATATTATTCTCAAATATCTTGATTTTCATTGATAGTAAGAAACAGGTGTTTCAGTGGCTAAAGAAATAAAAGAAGGAATAAAATCTGTAATTTAAGAAGAAATTATAATAAAAGAATGAGCACATTCTTTTTAAAAAAGAATCAAATAGGAATTAGAAATAAATGATAAAATCTAACATTTCAATGAATTGCTTAAATAACAGAATGAACCCCAGCAGGTCTGATTGTTGGGGGGAAATTCCAAATAACAATGGTGCATCTTTTGTCAAAATAATAAATGTAATCTAAGTAGAGAGAGAGTTAAGTGGAAATCATCTGCCTCACAGGCAGGGGGAGGGGTGGGATGGAGGGTATACTGGGGTTCTTGGTGGTGGAACTTGTGCACTGGTGCAGGGATGGGTGTTTGACTGATCATTGTATGACCGAGACTTAAACCTGAAAGCTTTGTAACTGCTCTCACGGTGATTCAATAAATAAATAAAAATCTCTCATTCAATAAATAAATAAAAATAATCGATTTGCTCAAGCGGGCCCAGTAACGTCTCCATTTTTTTGAGACTTCTTGTTACTGTGTTTGGCATATCGAATACATCACGGTAGCTTGCCAGGCTTTGCTGTGTGGGCAAGCTACTCTCAGTAGCTTGCTAGGCTCTCTGAGAGGGGCTGAAGAATCGAACCCGGCTTGACCGGGCTGGCTAATAAAAAAAGGAAAAAAAAAAGAAAAGCAAACATTTGAAAAAAATGTCTATGATCAAGAAATTGGGGGAAATGCCTGAAATTCACTGTTTTCACCTTAATCCAGTGTAATCACAACTACTGTTGCTTTGGGGGCCATGCAGAACTGGGGATCAAACTGACTCAGGGACTAGAACATGTAAGGTTCACACCCCAGCCCACTGAACTATCTCTCTATGGCCCCAAATAGACAATATATTCAGTATATGCATAAAATGTGAAATCACTCCATCTTCCATTTCTATCTGGATGAAAACAGCACTTAAGCATCCAAATTATTCTTAAGACTCTAAAGTACATTTCCAGCCCCCCGCCCCCCCTTGATTCATTCTAGAACATTCCAGTAGAACGCACCCTCTGGGCTGTGCTGCAGATGGCGGAGTAACTATCCTTCGTGCCCTGCAGATGTCCTTGCACATTCTGTTTCAGTTTCGCTTGAAGGTGGTCTGCACATTGGCTGATCAAGTTGTCGCCTTTCATTTTAAGATTGTCCAAACGTTCTTCAAAACCAGCAATTTCTTCCATCATTGCCTATGGAAAGGAAACAGTGTTTGTGTAACCAGGCTTTGCATTAAAATATTTATCAAATAGCAAGCTTAAGATAATCGGACTCTGGGGCTGGAGCAATTAGCACAGCAGGGAGTGCAAGATGATACCGGGTTTGATCCCCAGCATCCTATATGGTCCGCCGAGCACTGCCAGGAGTAATTCCTGAGTACGTGAAGCAGGAGTAACCCCTGTGCATTGCTGGTGTGATCCAAAAAGAACAACAAAAAAAGATAATCTGACTCTTTGGGGGAGTTTTCAAAGGAATATTACAATAGATCTCAGTTACTAGAGTAGCAAATGAAAGCAAAAACAGCGATGTATTTCCCATACAAGAGGAAAAGAGACGTTACGTAGAGAATAATAAAGTCAACTTGAAGACCAGAGTGAGCTGGGGGAGGGAAATAGAAGAAGGAAGGGGAGAAAGAAAAGAGTCTCAGACAGGAAGCTGGCTGGTCTCAGACAGGAAGCTGCTCCGTGGTATTATTAACAGAGAAGAAAATTGTTCATGTCTCTAATAATGATAGAAGCACTGTAGCACTGACCTCCCATTGTTCATCAATTTGCTCGAGCGGGCACCAGTAATGTTTCCATTGTGAGACTTGCTACTGTTTTTGGCATATCGAATATGCCATGGGGAGCTTGCCAGGCTCTGCTGTGTGGGCGGGCTACTTTTGGTAGCTTGCCAGGCTCTCCGAGAGGGGTTGAGGAATCAAACCTGGGTTGGTCACGTGCAAGGCAAATGCCCTACCCACTGACTGTGCTATCGCTCCAGCCCAGTAATGGTAGTATAATTTATATATTAAGTAATCTAATTATTCTTTATTGTACATTATTAATATTCAGTGGCATTAACTTACACAATAATATATTAATATTCAATGGAATTGATATGTACTAATGTATTAATTTATATAATATTTCTGAGAAAATATTATATAAATTAATACATTAGTACATATCAATTCCATTGAATATTAATATTTACTTTTAGGGCTAAATATGCATACTAACAAAAACATTTGCCACTAATTACCTATCTGGAGCGATAGCACAGCGGGTAGGGCGTTCGCCTTACAAGCGGCCAACATGGCCGACCCGAGTTCGATTCCTCCGCCCCTCTCGGAGAGCCCGGCAAGCTACCGAGAGTATTCGATATGCCAGACACAGTAACAACAAAGTCTCCAATGGAGACGTTACTGGGCCCGCTCGAGCAAATCGACGATCAACGGGAGGGCCTTTACCTTTTTACCTTTACCTATCTTCTATTAATCAGGAACTATATCTAGGCCCTGATCACATGCATTATTATAGCTGTCAAAACCCTGATGGTTATATAACATGCTCAGATGCACATAGCTCACAAATGATAGTCTCAAGCTTTGCACCCCACTGTGCTGACTCCAGTTTACATATATCACTACCTTGTCATGTAGTGATCCCCTGAGCAGAGGGTTCAGTCCCTAGCACCTCTATAGTCCCCAAGTTCCATCAGGAATGATCCCCAAAAGTAGAGTAAGTTCTGAGCACTGCCAGGTGTGGCCTCCAAACCAAAACAAAGTTAAAAATGAAATGAGAAAGTGTTAATTTCCAACTATACGTGATGCTAAAGACAAATGCCATACCTAACACAGGATTCTGGGTCAGTATATCTAAGGGAAACTTGGAGAGAGGGGGGTTCGAGGGGCTCGGTAGCCTGAATATACCACTTTTTCCAGCGGTGCTGAGTGAATGGTTCTTATATCCACCACAAGGAAAAGCAGGCTTTCTTCTAAGCTGGAATAGAACCACCAAGCCATAAGGTTATCTGACTACATTTTATTTAGCAAGTACACACAGAAAGGTAATTCCACGAGATGTTCTACTAGATACGGCTAGGAAGTCCAAGGCCCAGAGAAGTGAAATTAATGTCTTTAAGATCCATTAGTGAATATCAACCATGTCATGACTAAAATTCATGACATGAGGTCATCCAAACTTCCCAACAAAACTGTGTATAGGGATGTATCTCAGTGGTAGAGCACACACTTGACATGTATATGACCTTAGGTTTGATCCCTTTCTCCCCCAGTTGTGACCTCACTACATCTGTAATGTGGTACAGATAATTACTCAAAACACATATTAATCAAGGTAAGAATAATCTATTGGTTCTTCTTCTGTTGTTATTATTATTATTGCTGTTGTTGTGTATTTTGGGGACCATACCTAGCTGTGCTCAGGGTTTACTCCTGGTTCTGCAGTCAAAAATCACTTATGGATCTCAGTGGTCCAGGAGTGATGACTACCCAGTGTTCAGGGGACCATATGGGGTGGTAGGGATGGACTATTGTCAGCTGTGTGCAAGGCCAATCCTCTGTATGCTGAACTATTGCTCTGGTCCAGGGTAAGAACACTTTAGAACAGCATCATTCTTTGTGGCTTACAAATGCCTTCACATACATGATTTACTGTGATGTCCTGGTTGAGTGGACTGGACTGTTGTCCACTTTCTAGAAGAGGAAAGGAGGAAACTCTCTACAGTCAGGAAGAAGGGAATATTACTCCTGTGCAGACTTTAGGACTATTCCTACTAGACCCTAACTTTGTACTTTTCTAAAGGAAAGATAATCTCCTTGATAAAGGCCATCCCTGAAAATTCTGTGGCAAAATCTATCACTTGTGGTGATCTGTTCTAATGTTATTCAGGAGTTCAAATGCTAGGATTTAACTGTGGTTGATGCTTTCATATACGCATATGGTCACGCATACCACACTCATGTGGACACAAACACACACACACATGTATACAATGTAGTTACTCAGCTGTACACATGCACATACTCATGCACACATACATGCATGTGTATATGCACACAGGCATGCACTTACACATACATGCATGAACACACAGACTCATGCCCACACATGTGCACACACATGGGCGTGGTGGTTCTAGCTCCTGACAGGGCAGCTTACCTTGTGGTGGGCGAGTTGTTGCGTGATGGTCTCCAGACTGCCAGTCTCCATGAGATCTGGTGCCACCAGCCTGCCCGACATTTGCAAGAGCCACTTCTCCACCTCTTGGAGCTCACTGTTGTAATCTTCGTGGTCCTTAACTTTGACTTCAAGACTGCAAACATGCTCCTGACAGAACAAGCAAAGGTTGGTGGCTTGTAGGGAATGGAACAGAATCCTACTGAAACTTTTTCCTATTTGTACAAATGCAATACATTTCACAGGGCAGGTCAAGTTCTCTCACTGAGGACAGGAAAAAAAAAAAGGACAACCATCATGCCAATTAAATCATCTGAGCTACTCCAGGAAAACCACAGCCTACCTCTAAACTCAATCGTGTCAATCATGTGCTAGCAATAAAAAATGATTGGTTTTAACTCCAAATGCTTAACGATGTACAAAAAATAAACCAAGAGGTAAACTAAAAGGAAAAATATATAGTAGTCCTTAACTATTTCAGAGAGAGAAAAAAGATTCTGGATCTCCTGTTGGAACAGGTCAATATGGTTTCACTGAGTTTCTGACGGCGTCTCACCTTTCCTGAAGTGCAGAGGGCCTGGTAATCACTTTGCAGTTGATCGATTTTGTCCTTTAAAGTAACATCCTGCACCAGTTCCAGAAGAGCTTCTCCTTTTTCTTGCACGGATTTTACAGAGGGCTCATGGGACAGCACCATTTGTTGAAGTGACTTGAATGACAAAGGAAAAAACAAGAGCCAGATCATTTCCCTGTGTCAAAGTAAACAGACACTAAAACTGGGGATGTGCTGTAGCCCCACGTAACATTCTGATGCATACTTTATGAGACAATAACTATCAGGTAAGAATGTGATGTTTTCTTTCTTCTCATCTGATCAATATGGTTTTAAAACACAAAGGAAAAGTAACAACACTGCACACTGTCCTGGTCATGGAGAGAGGAAGCATAGGGAAGGATTATGGTGGGTGACTCTGACTCCAGGCCCGTTTCTGGCTTCTAGCTCATTCTCTTCCATGGAATGACGGGAGCAAGGTAGAACTTTTAGGTTTGGAGCTCACGGAGTTCATCACAGCAGGGGCTGGATATGAAGGGAGGGAGGCGAGGCCTAGCTGCCAGCTGGCTGGGATAAGCTCAGAGCACCCACATAGATCAGGAGGAGGGTGGAAGTGCAGAGGGGAGAGAAAGCAGATGTGATGCATATGCAGTGTCTGCAAGGACAAGCTGTGGGTCTCAGCAGAAAAGGCAAAGGTGGGGATGAGCATATTGGCCGGGGGAGGAAAAACCTACAGTCAAAGCTGTGAAGTGCTTCCCCAGAATACAACTCGAAAAAGCCACAGCTCATTGCTTAGTTCAGACTGAGAACAAAAGTTATTTATACATATGAGCATTGGTGGGCTGGAGCGATAGCACAGCGGGTAGGGCCTTGCACGCAGCTGGCTCCGCCAAGCCGGGTTCGATTCCTCCGCCCCTCTAGGAGAGCCAGGCAAGCAACTGAGAGTATCTCACCTGCACGGAAAAGCCTGGCAAACTACCCGTGACGTATTCAATATGCCAAACACAGTAACAAGTCTCACAATGGAGACGTTACTGGGCCCTCTCTAGCAAATCAATGAACAACAGGAGGACAGTGACCGTGATGAGCACTGGTAATTGAAATACTTGAGTACGCAAAGCATATCGTTTAGTGCAATAACGCTGTCATTCTTCACCTTTTTTGGGGGGTGGGATTTCAGATCACACCCAGTGATGCACAGGGGTTACTCCTGGCTCTGTACTCAGGATTTACTCCTGGAGGTGTTCAGGGGACCATATGGAATGCTAGGAACCAAACCCAGGTCGGCTGCGTGCAAGGCAAACTCCCTATTAAGGCTCTAGCCCCTCATTCTTCATCTTTAAGAATGATTAACTGGGTAGTTTATGACATCTTATAAAGGTACACCTTTTCAGGTATAGAGCTCTAAAATCAGTATCTATCTATCTATATATAATTATGAAGCAAACATATATATATCATATATTTCATGTTTGCTTCCTAATTCTAGTTTCTGCACACACACCAAAGAATCCCTTTACTAGTCTCACCTTTTCCCTTCCCCGTTCCTTCTGCTAAACACTGGAATGTTATAGGCTCCTCCCTCCTCCCCTTCCCTTCCGTTATCCTCCACCCCTTTCTTCCTCAATGCTGGAGAGAGAATCCGAGCTTCACAAATGTGAGGCTCTACTGCTAAGTTCTTTCCCTAGCCCTGCTTTTTTCTTATATGTTCCAGATGAATCAAATCATATGGCGTTTGTCTGGCTTGTGTCACTAAGCCTAACACCCTGGAGTTCTTGTGCTTGGGGGCCACACCTGACAGTGCTTAGGAACTGCTCCTAGCTTGTCCCTTGGGGTGTGTTCTCTAGTACTCAGGGGAGGAGGCAGTGTGGATGATTGAATCTGCCCCCCCCTGCACGCAAAACACATGCCCGGCCAGAGTCCTACCCAACTCTACATGCTTCCAAAAGCCAATTTGAATGTGTTTGGTTCTTTTATTATTATACTATTATTTATTATATTGAGCGAGAGCGATAGCACAGCGGTAGGGCGTTTGCCTTGCACGCAACCAACATGGCTGACCGAGTTCGATTCCTCTGCCCCTCTCGGAGAGCCCGGCAAGCTACCGAGAGTATCTCGCCTGCACGGCAGAGCCTGGCAAGCTCCCCGTGACATATTCGATATGCCAAACACAGTAACAACAAAAGTCTCCAATCGAGACGTTACTGGGCCCGCTTGAGCAAATCGATGAACAACGGGAGGACCGTGACCGTTTATTATATTATTACATTATATAATATTTATTATATTATTTTTTATTATTTATAGAAATAATCTTCATTGGGTAATTAGATCTCATTTTAGTTTATCAAATGTCAGTTTATGAACCTTCAGTACTCAAAGGTCAGAAGGAGACTTGATTTATTTTTCTGAAACAGATGAAATCTGTGCAGGTGAGAGCCCTCTACCTGGCACACACTGCGGGAATGGAGCTCCTGCATTCAGTCAATCTTTGATTGTCAAAGGGTTTTCCCAGATGGAAACTGAACTCTGATGTGGAGCCTGCATGCTCCATCACTGTGAGTGGTGATAGAATCACCTTCCAGAATACACACAAACACACACACACACATGCACACATGTGCACACACATACAAACACATACACACAAAACACATGCACACACATGCACACACACATGCACACACACATGCATGCTTGCACGCACACACAAACGCATGCACAAACATATGCACACACGCACAAACACATACACACAAACATACATGGATACACATACACACAAACACTTGCTCACATACATGCATACACACATATGCATGCCTGCACACACAAACACATACTTACACACGAATACATGAATACACATGCAGACACACATATAAACGCTTGCACAAACATGCACACACATGCACGCACACCCATATGCGTGCTTGCACGCACACACATACACACAAACACTTGCTCACACACATGCACACACATGTGCACACTCATACACACAAACACATGCATGTACACATACAAACACTTGCACACACACGCACACGTGCACACACGTATGTATGCTTTCACACACACATAGAAATACTTGCTCACCCACATACACATACACGCACACACACATGCACACACACATACACAAATGCGTGCATGCACACACACACTCACATACACACACCCTTTCCAACCTCCCTGTTCATCACTCTGTCACAACGCTCTACCTTGTATTTGGACAACTGAGCTTTTTTCTCATATAGCTCCATCTTGGCTTCTTCCGGACCCTGTAGGATCTCTTGGGACTCTGCTATCCATTGTGTCAGTGCTTTGTATTTATCCGAGAACTCTTTGGCCAAATGCAGGCCTTTCTCCACAGTCATGTGCTCCTTCCGGACTGTGCTGGTCAGCTCCTTCAGCTGCTCCATGTGACTGTGGATCTCTTGCCGCAGTGTTTCTGCCTCTCCATCCTCCAAGTACTGCAGTGCTTGCTCGCCTTTCTCCCGAGCCGATTTCAGCAAACTGTGGCCTTTCTCCATGTCTTTCAGCAAGCCCTGAGAACAGAGGGAAGAAGAAGCCACCACTGAGCCAGTTGCATTTTCTTTTCTTGAGGAGAAGAAATGAGAGAATGACTGCACTCATTTGTGGGATTAAAAAAAGGGGGTGGGGCGGAGGGATAGCACAGCGGGGAGGGCGTTTGCCTTGCACGTGGTCAACCCAGGTTCAATTCCCAGCGTCCCATATGGCCCCCTGAGCACCGCTAGGAGTAATTCCTGAGTGCGTGAGCCAGGAGTAACCCCTGAGCATCACTGGGAGTGACCCCAAAAGAAAAAAAAAAGGCACATAGTATGAGACTAACATCCGGGAAAGTAGAAACAAGGGCCAGGACAAACGGTCCATGGTTGGAAGCCTGCCTCAAGGGCTGGCGGGGGAGAGGGCAGTTGGAATAGAGAAGGAACCATTATGACAATGACTATTGGAAGGGATTGCTCTGGATGGGAGATGTGTGCTGAGAGTGGGTAAAGGAGAGAGAGAGAGAGAGAGAGAGAGAGAGAGAGAGAGAGAGAGAAGAAAAGAGAAAAGTACCTGCCATAGAAGCAGGCTGTGTGAGTTTATAGTCCATTTTTTTCCACTTGGGAATTTTTTTTTAAATTTTTATTAGTGAGACACCATGAGTACAGTTGTAGACTTACAAGTTTTTGTGCTTGGGTTTCAGTTATACAATGATCGAGTACCCATCCCTCCACCAGTGCCCATTTCCCACCACCACGGGTCCCAGTATCCCTCCCACCCCCCCCCCATCCCCCCATCCCACCCTGCCTCTGTGGCAGGGCATTCCCTTTTGTTCTCTCTCTCCTTTTGGGTGTTGTGGTTTGCAAAAGAGGCATTGAGTGGCAATCATGTTTGGTCTAGGGTCTATTTTCAGCATGCTTCTCCCATCCTGGGAGGATCCTCCCAACGGAGCTCAGATATAGTCCAGTTTTTGACAAGCTCCCCCACCCATCAGACCTGGCAAAATAAATACACGCGATTCCAGCATCTCCGTGAGAGAACGGAGTAGCTGAGGTAAAAGAGAAATCTTGGGAGAGAGCTGAGTGTCCGTATCCTACCTCCAAAGCCTTCATTTTTTTCCCCATCATCGCCTTATCCACTTTGTCAATTTTGACAGCCACGTTCTTGAAGTTTTTCTGCGTCGAGTGGAACCAGTCTGAATAGGAACTTAGGGATGATTCCGATTCTTCCAAACTCTGGATCTCTTCCTCCAGGAATTTGATGTGTTCCTTGGAAAGAGAAAAGAAGGTTGAACATGGGACCAGATGCCATGGGGTTTGGGATGAGTAGGTCTCTTCGTAGGAAGCCAGAGGAAGGAGAACATTTGGGCGACTGATATGCTCGGGCTGAGCCCGGGCTCTGCTCACCAGCACTTGTAGGAGAAGGGCCTGGTATCTGGATGTGAGCTGAGTGGCCTGGCAGCCCAGACGGCTGCTCACACGCCTCTCGTCAAGGATCTCCTGTGCCCGAGCTCCAACCTCCTCCACTTCATCCCTGTAGGCAACGACTCCCTCATGCCACTTCTGAAAAGACGAGAGTGCAGGGGGAAATTGTCAGTCTTCGGCATTTATTTGCCAGAGGTGGGGATGGGGGGAACCTCACACCCAGCAGTGTTCAGGGGTTAGTCCTGGCTCTGCACTTGGGGATCACTCCTGGTGCCGCTTTAGGAAGCATCTGGGCTGCCAGGGATTGAACCCAGGTCTTCGGCATGCAAGGCAAGGGCTTTACGCACTGTGCTATCTCTACAGTCCCAACCAGAGGCATTCGTGAGAAGGATAAATGTTTCTCTCTCTCTCTCTATACACACACACACACACACACACACACACACACACATCACTGTTACTGTCCTCCCATTGTTCATCGATTTGCTTGAGTGGGCCCAGTAAACGTCTCCATTGTGACACTTGTTACTGTGTTTGGCATATTGAATATGTCATGGGGAGCTTGCCAGGCTTAAATTAATAATAACCGTGCAGGCGAGATACTCTCAGTAGCTTGCCAGGCTCTCTGAGAGGGGTGGAGGAATCAAACCTGGGTTGGCCAGGTTGGCCACGTGCAAGGCAAATGCCCTACGCACTGTGCTATATATACATAGCATCTATGTGCTCTTCATCTATGGTTAAGTAATGCATAGTTTCTCAATATTAATTGATTTTAGTATATGATTAGAACATTAATTCTGAGGGACCAAAGTCATAGTACAGTGTGGGAGGGCGTTTGCCTTGCACACGGCCCACCTGGGTTTGATCCCTGGCACTCCAAATGATTCCCTCAGCCCACCAGGAGTGATCCCTAAGTGCAATGCCAGGAGTAAGCCATGAGCACTGCTGTGTGGCCCCTTCTCCCCAAAAAACATTTTTGAAAACTATTTCATATATAACCTCATGAAATAATTTTTACCACAATGTGATAAATTGTACACTTTTTTTTAATGCAGGAGTACTGCTATTTATTCAGCCATTGATTATGCTTATTGAAATGGGCATGAACTCCACTGTACACTTCTTATACCCGTTTTCCTGTGAATATGATACTCAGATCAAGAAAAAATAGAGGTGCAATAACGTCGTCCACCAAAGACATAAACATTAACATTAATGCTATTGCAAACTGTGTAACCTCAGTAATCAAAATCAAATAAAATTATATTTTATCTTAAGATGCAATTCTTTCTTTGTGCATTTAGAATGTATTTTTCTGACGTAATTTTCAATGTGCTGCATATAACCTAATAGAAATTATGCCATACAAAGTGCATTTCAGTTATCATTTTCAGTTTAGTTAAGTGAAATTTATTTAAACAGAAAATAGATGGGCATATATTATGTCTTAAAATAGATAAACAATGAAAAGAAATTTCAAAGGCATAGGCATTAAACTTTTCATGTGCCCTAGATTTACATGAAAGTTAGAATAAAATTGATTATCAAGTGTTATTTCAGTGAACTGCATATCAGAACAATTTTATATCAGAACTGTAAATTTAAATGATTCTAGTAATAGCACTCATAGCTTTACAAAGTAAGGTAATAGCACTTTGAAAGAAAATATAAAACATTTAATTAAATTACAAAATAATTTTACAGTCTATAAAATATTATAGTATAGTATAATTTATAGTATTTTATAGTATGGGCCGGAGCGATAGCATAGTGGGTAGGGCATTTGCCTTGCACACGACCGACCTCGGTTAGATGCCTCTGCCCCTCTCAGATAGCCCGGCAGCAAGCTACCAAGAGGATTCTGCCCGCATGGCAAAGTCTGGCAAGCTACCCGTGGTGTATTCGATATGCCAAAAACAGTACAAAGTCTCACAATGGAGATGTGACTGGTGCCTGCTCGAGAAAATCAATGAACAATGGTAAAACAGTCCTTTATAGTATAATGATTTTCATTATCTTATGAAATACTACATTTAGATTGTTTGAAATGACTGCAAGCAGAAGAATGTTCTATTGTAATTTGTTTTATTCAAATTAAAAATCTTTGGTGACTTTGGAACTACCCACCTGAAGTGCTCAGGGGCAATTATGGGCTCTGTGCTTGGGAGTGACTGCTAGCAGTGGTGGCAGGTTGGGGTACAAAGCCGGGAACTTGAAAAAGAATCTGTAACACTCAAGGGTAGAGTTTCTTACCCTCTTTGTGATCTCCATAATCCCTGTTACTTATTTTATCTAGGCAAGTGGAAAGAGGTTTTGCAAGATCTTAATCTTAGACTAAGTCACCAACATTTCATCTACTTATTTGGGGGTCGCACCTAACAGTGCTCAGGGCTTACTCCCACTGTTGTGCTCAGAGATGACTCCTACTATGGTTCAGAGGACCATATGCAGTGCCAGAATTAAACCAGGATCACGATGTGAAAGGCAAGCACTTTACCCACTGTACTATCTCCCCAGCCCCAAAGTTTCCAACATTTCAGCAAACCATGTAGCCTTGGTAACAGCTGGACAAAGATCAGAAATGTCTACTTGTACCTTCATCTGATGTAACTGCATCTCCTTGGCAGCCCGGTTGGACTGACGTCCGCTTCTGAGACTCACTTTCTCCTCCAGGGGTTTCAGCCATTCATCCACTTGCTGAAACTTCTGGTCGATGAGCCGCAGCTTGTTCACGACATTATTGAACTGAGTCCGGGTTTCCAACAGCCTCTGCTGGTAAGCCTGCCAATCCTGGCGGAGCGATTCCAAGGCCCGATCCTCTGTCTGCGGAAGGCCCGAGGGGATCACATCCTCTCTGGCGTGCAGTGCCGAGTTCAGCAGCGCCTGGCCCTCCGCACAGCGTACCTGGAGTTCCTGCGGGAGAAAGTTCTGGATGTCACAGCACATCCAGAGTTCACCCCAGCACAAGAGCCTCAGCCACACCATCCATCCCAGCTTGGACTTCACATTAGAAAAGTTAACTGGGGCTGAAGCGATAGTACAGCGGGTAGGGCGTTTGCCTTGCACACGGCTGACCTGGGTTTGATTCCCAGCATCCTATATGGTCCTCCATGTGGAGACTGAGGAAAGCGAAATCCAAACACTGCCAGGAGTAATTCCTGAGTGCAGAGGCAGGAGTAACCCCTGTGCATTGCTGTGTGTGACCCAAAATGAAAAAGAAAAGAAAAGAAAAGAAAAGAAAAGAAAAATAAAATAAAAAGGGAAAAATAAATACTCGGGCAGAGCGATAGCACAGCAGGTAGGGCGTTTGCCTTGCATGTGGCCGACCCAGAATCGATTCTTCTGTCTCTCTCAGCTCAGCAAGCTACTGAGAGCATCCTGCCCACATGGCAGAGCCTGGCAAGCTCCCTGTGGCACATTCAATATGCCAAAAACAGTAACAAGAAGTCTCACAATAGAGGCATTACTGGTGCCCACTCGAGCAAATCAATGAACAACTGGAGGACAAATGCTACAGTGCTACAGTGCTCATCTGTAAAGTGTCAACTTCAAATTGACTCATATGCCCGCAGCAGGAAAAAGATTCAGAAATATTTCTGATGAACATAGCTGACACAAGTGCATGCCAATATTTTTCTCAATCAGCCCAAAAATAATTTCTGAGACTGGACTGTTTCACGTGCAGGAAAAAAAAAACTCTTGTAATGAAAGGATTATTTTTGATTTTTTAGTTTTTAACATCCAAGTCTTCCCAGGGCTTACTCCTGGCTCTGTGCTCAGGGCTGACTCATGCCAGTGCTCAAGGGACCCTATGGAATGCCACGGTTTTATTCTGGATAAAATGTGTGAAAGGAAAAGGCTCTACCTGCTCTGCTATCTCTCTGCCCTGCAAAGCTTTATTGCTTAAGAAATAACTTGGGCTTATTAGAAACTGTTCAAAGATCTGAAGCTTCTTGCCTAGACGTTGAAGAGGATCAGTCGTCAGGAAAGAAATAATGAATCCCTCTCCATGGAGGGAGCAGCTTTGCTAATACCATGGTCTTGAAAATGTGGAGACTGAGGAAAGCGAAATCCAAACCTGGGAGACTGAATTATCAAACCTGCTCTCCAGGTGTTCCCCAAAATAGTTTTCTCCATTAAAACATCAGCTCAAAGACACACTATGAATTTAAAATAAATCAAGTCTTGGAAAGCATAAAATAGATTTCATAAAAAGAAAAAAAATATATATATATATCCTTCATGACCTTGACAAAATTATGTTGTATTTTATTTATTTACTACTTAAAAAGAATTTATCTGGAGGCTGTGGAGAGAGCACTCCTGGGCAGTGTGTGGGGAGCCAGGTTTATGGCTGGTAGGGAGGTGTTGAGTGGGTTAAGCAGATGGTGTTGGGGATCAAACCCGGAGCCTCTCATATAAGGGGTTCTACTGTTTGAGCTATATTCCTGACTGAACAGTGCTACATTTTATTCATTATTTATTTATTTATTTATTTATTGGCTTTTGGGGTCACACCTGGTGTTGCTCAGGAGTTATTTTTGGCTCTGCACTCAGAAATCACTGCTGGCCTTGCTCAGAGGACCATTTGGGATGCTTGGGATCGAACTCAGGTCAGTCATTTGCTAAGCAAACCTCTATGCACTATACTATCACTTTGGCCCCCAATGTTGCATTTTAATGTCAAAAAAATTGTATCGTTTTTTTAATTATCTAGTGTTGAAAGGTACCATGTAAAATTCTAGTGATAGCTGAAATAATGACAGATACTGGTTGTTCTCCACTCTTATGTACATGTAATGGAACAAAAGAAGAGAACGGATTATAGCCAATAAAAACACACACCCTTAGATACTTATCCCAGATCTAAAGTTTTCAAGGTGGGGTGAGAAAGTTGCAAGTATAGAGAGTATTGAAAGGCTATGGTGAGGGATATTACACCACTGTAGAAGGTGTGGTGTGGAAATAAGGCATCCCTAAAAGTATAAACATTTACACTCTTATAAACCAATGTTACGTCAGTAAAATTAAACAACATCATGTTACAAGGAAGTTTTAATCTCAGTTCAGACCATTTGAAACTACTCATATCTGATCATTTTTTATCAACAAAAAATAGCCATCTAAATGATTCAACAGATGGAAATATTTCCCCCTTAGATATGAAGTCATTCAGGAATGTTGTAATATGGGGCCAGGAAAAATAGCCTGAAGGATTGGAGCACATGTCTGGCATGCAGAGGGTTCATGGTTTCAGCCCCAGCACCCAGAGACCTTTTCACATCACCAGGGATAATCCTGGAGCCCTGTCCAAACATATAAATCCACCCCCACAAAACTGCGGTACAAAACCTGGGAGAAAGCAGACTACTCATTGCTATGAGCTCAGAGTCTGCTTAGAGCATCTGCCTTGCAAAGAATCCTGGGTTCAGATCCCCAGGTGCCACTGGTTCACTGAGCACAGTCCCGCAGCTCCTGTTTGAGATCCCAGGCACCAAGCCAGCTGTGCAGAAGCCACACCCAGAGGAGTGCATGCCTTCACAAGGACCGTGACGGAAACCATGTGCCAGCAACACAGCCAGGAAGGCAGTAGCTGGTGATCAGACAGAACATCACAACTGCAGCCTGAGCCTCCGAGGAGAGTGCGATGCCAAAAGTATCCAGCCAGCAGGGAGAGCCACAGCTGCTGTGTGACCCCCAAAGACCCACAGTGGCAATGATGTGAGCACTGCAGTCAGGCATCTTATCACCTCGGTCATCAGGATGGCCACAAACACAGGCAATATTTTTTTCTTTTTTGGGTCACACCCAGCGATGTTCAGGGGTTCCTCCTGGCTCTGCACTCAGGAATTACTCCTGGCAGTGCTTGGGGGAACATACGGGATGCCAGGAATTGAACCTGGGTCAGCAGTGTGCAAGGCAAACGCCTTACCCGCTGTTCTATCGCTCCGACCCAAAACACAGGCAATTTTGAATCCAAAATGCAAATTATTCTTAAACTTCACTTTCTAGAATGCTTTTCTTTAATTTTTGGTCTGCCAAGCTAGAACTGTCAAAGGCATGTAAGAAAGAAAAAGTATTTTGGCCATATTGGCTCTGCCTATGCTTGGTGGTGCTCCAGGAACCAAATGTGGTATGGGGAATTGAAACAGTTTAATGCTGCAGGTATATGCAAGGCAAGTGCCTTAAGCTTTGGACTATCTTTTAGGATATAGAGTAAATGTTTTAAACTTTGTGGACAAGACAGTCTCTGCTACAGCTATTTAACCCCAGTTCTACAGTAGACAGAGATGAAACTGAAGTGAATGCATGGTTGTATTCTAAGAAAACTTGACTTAAAAACAGGCAAGGAGATCACAGGCTGGAGTGGACGATTCCTTGTTCTAAATTATTAACTATTTCAAGCCATCACCCTCTCCACGTTTCTGTTTTCGCTACATAAAAGTCGCAACTGCATCAGAGCATTTCATAGTATTTCACACATTTCAAGTAAAGAGGAAGTGATTCAATATTTTTTAAATGTAAAATATTCTATAAACCCTCACCAGGCGTGTCTAGAAAAACTGTTTGTGAAAGTGGCCTCTTTGGGAACTGAGTCACGTGTATGGCTCATACACACCAGGATATATGTACGTCAATGTATGCACACCAGGATCATATAAACTCCTCTTGCCCATGGAATTCACTGCTGCAGTCACTTCCTTTTAACAGCTATAATAATTCAAAATCCTTTCAGGTAAATGACGTGTGGTGAAATAAAACTCTGGAGCTCATCTGGGACCACAGCAACAGCCGCTTACACGAAACAACTGCCTTCTAACCAGAACAAGAGGAACAGCTGCTGGGGCCCAGTGGGCTGCTGGCCTCGTTCCGACACAGAAGCCGAGAGAGCTCACTTAGACTCTGCGTGCCAAGAATGTCTGGAGCACAACACTGAGAGGGCTGATTAAGAGAAAACAGTCCAAGCTACCAAAACAAACGACGCTAGCTCAACATGGCTGAGCAGAACATCCCACAGATGCTGAGAACTGGGTGAATGAGAGCCTTGATGGAAAGTGACCCTTGTTAGCTTGTACTGATTTGTGAACAGAGCATCGTGTCCATCAAATTCTCTCCTCCTCTCATTTCATCCTTCCTCAGAGCTCTGTCGAGGAAACTGAACCCCTAGAGATTCTTTCTAGTCTGAAATCACCCAGGGTCAGTGCCAATATCCTAATATCAGCTACTGTTTCCATACTCCCTGTGGCTGAACTGAAATGGCCATTTATCGGATCCCTCAGTGAAAACTATCTCGGCCTCTGTCTTATCTTCTAAACACACATGTTACTGGGGGAACATGGAGTTCTCTCTGTAGCTTTTCTCCCTATGTGATCTCTCCAAGTTAACCTGAAGTTCTCTCTGATCCTTCCATAAAATGCCCTTGCACTAGTCTATTACCGGCAGTATCACATTGTTTATAATGATGGCCCAATGGCTCTGCATTTTTCATTAGATTGCAAGTTGCTGGGAGGTAGGACTAATATTTTGAGCATTTTTGCCTGACTAGAGGAGCTCTTCCAGTCAGGCAAGCATCTTCCAGTCAGGCAAATATAAAGATATCTTTATATATCTTCCCTGCAAGGAATCATCAACAAATGCCAGATGAGTAATACTATCAAAAAGTGGTCACACTCAATTTTCCCCATTGTGTCTGTCACTGCACCCTGAGAAAATCACTGACCTGGGTCCCAGCATTGATTCTAGTTCCTCTGATTCCTTTCTCTAATTCTCTGGCTCTCCATCTGTACTCTCAGGATGTGTGGGTTTGGGGTTGAAATCAAATGGCCAGGATGGTGCCACTCATTGAACTTTTAGGACCATCGCATATTACTGACTTTTGCTGCTCTCTCACGCCTAATTCAATCTTTTAGGAAGAAAGAGCCAGGAAGGCCTCAAATTAGATGGCGAGCCAGCCATTCCTATTGGTGGCCACTGGTGTGGCTGAACCAATCCCACAAGCCCCAGTCAAAATTGCTCAATCAAAATTGCTCCCAAATTGACGTTCAATAGCAAATACTGAGGTTCCAGCTTAGACCTGGCTAGGTTTCACTTAGGAAGCAGGAGTACTTTGGGGATTTGAAGTTGGATCACACTACTGTTTTAAATTGCTTAAAACAGTAATTCCATATTCTGGATTAAAGTCCTTTGTTTGAAGCTGAAGTTGATTTTACCTGAAGATCCCGCAATGTTGTCTCCTGGGTCTGTGCATCTCCTTCAAGAACTGAGTATCGATCCAGTTTTTCTTGCTCTTGCCGCAGCCAAACCTCAAAAGCCTGCAGGTTTCGCTGATACTCTTGATGTAGGCGAACGAGTTTTTCAGATTTGGTGATGGCTTCCTATATTTGCATTCAAGATAATTTAAGATGATTGATATAAGAATATTTTTCTACATGCCATAGCAATGTATTGTAAAAAATGCATATCTTCAGTTTGAAAAGGGCTCAGTTATTCATTGTTGGAACATGATTTATTTCCTAGGAGAATGAAACTCCAAATTTATGTAAAGTTATGAAAATACAATGTCATAATTAATGAGAAAAATATCATTCTGTTGCATTCACTACCTAATCTCTGAGTTCCTTATGGCATAACAAAAATACATTGGAAAAAATTTAAGTTTTATGTCATAAAAACATGATTTTGCACATAAAAAATAGAAATTATTATCTTGTGACTAGGATGTGCCCTACAAGTTATTGTTTTTTTTTAAGTGAGACCTATATACCTATATCAGAATGATCGCTCCTACTGGTATTGCCAGATCTAGAAAACTCTTACTACCAGTGATAAAAATGCATTTATGAATTTTCATGAAGCTGCTCAATATCTCTTTCTTTCCCATTTTTAAAATTTTTTTTTAATTTTTGGGTCACACTGGCGTAAGCTCAGGGCTTACTCCTGGTGATTTGCAGGGGCTCTAGGTAGTCCTGTGTACTGAACATGAGTTAGATGCACACAAGGGCAGCACCCAATCTGCTCTACTATTTCTCTGGCCTTCTAATATGTTTCTGAAACTAGAAACATTCTATGACTTTTTAGTTGAGAATGATTTCCCTTTTATAAATTTCCTATCCTAACAATGTTCAAGGGACTTGGTGTCTCCCAAGAGTGTGTTTAAAACATTGAGATGATTTGGCTTCTTTGATTCTATCAGCTGTTCCTGCCAGTACAGGGTCGTTACATCAGCACAGCTCCGGGGACTTCTAAGAAAATGGCTCTATACATATCACGGTCAGCCTTACCTCAGCTCTCTCTTTGATGGCTCTATATCGCTCCTGTAGATCCTGGAATTCCAGCTGGGTGACATAGTGCTCGGTCATGGCAGCCCCTTTGGCTTCTATGGTCTCCATCAACGTACTGTGACTTAGCACTTCTTCATTCAATAACTAGAGAGCATAAAAAAAAGAATAGACATAGACTATTGGTTCAATGACATAGACTATTGGTTCAATGACATTACCAAGATTAACAATTTTTAACAGCACACTTAATAAGCGATCTCAGCTTGCTAATCTGCAAATAAGTATCTATCTGAAGAGTAGGACTCTGTATATTTTTTGTCCAATCCCCCAAATTTCTCAAGATATTGATTTCAACTGGTTTGGATATCTCGAACTTGATTTGAGATATGGGATCCTGATAATCGCCTCCCTATTCATTCCAAGTACCTCACATCCACTTCTCCTTCATCTCTTGTCAAACAGTAAACATCACTGCTGTCCATCTGGCACCACTGTCTGCCCAGGTGGTCAGCCAGAACATTCTCAGTCAATTCACCCAGATGGTCATCTAGAGTATTCTCCATCAACCCAAACAAGATGAGGCCCTGTCAGTTCTGTCTCCTCATTATGTTTGGTAAACTGCCCTGCAAGTGTTATTCTCCTCTTTCAGACTTCTCAGTGCTCTGCTGGTGGTAGATTTTGTGCCACCAATTCTTCCCTCATTCATTTCCCAATGCTCTCCACACAGCAGACTGGGTCATGAAGAGGTTGACAACTGTAAATGGAATCATGGCAGCACCATTGAAATCACTGATGATCTTCCTAGTGCTGTCAAGATCAGTTCAACATGATTTGGTCCGGCCCCCTCAGTCAACTCAACTCTAGCAACATCTACTTACTTTCCTCTCTAGCAACACACAAACTTTCTTTTAGGGTTCTCCCCACTTTAGTGTTGGTGTTCTTGCCGCAAAGTCCATCTCAAAGGCTCTTTTTTTTCTATTTGGGGTCACAACTGGTGATGCACAGGGCTTAGTCCTGGCTCTGCACTCAGAAATTACCCCTGGAAGTGTTCAAGGGACCATATGGGATGTTGAGGCTCTTTTATTATTTTTTACCTGGAAGATTTTTCTCTGCACTAAATTTCTTACATCCCAGTCTACATGTCAACAGTTTCAGGGAGATTTTTTCTGTGCATTCCCAACTCCTGGGTGTTCATTAGTGAGTCTATGTACCTTCACCAAAACACAATCATCTCTTTTATTTAATGGAGCCTGACACAATGGCTGCATAGAGCAAATTCTCAATAAATATTTGTTGAATTTTCTGAGAATATACCCAAGGAGCAGTGATCAGGGAGCCGGAGTCTTTCCTGACTGCCCCAGTGATGCTTAGGGGGCACTAGTATCACATCTCACAGTGCTTGAGGGCCATAACAGGTGATGTTTTATGGAATCAGAAATGCCAAATGCTTCTAGGGACTGAAATCTACGTTGAAACATGTGAGACATGTGCCCTAACCTTTTTACTATTTCCCTTGCTCTGACTAGAAAATTTGATTGGTTCAACATTTATCATTATTATGATTCTTTAATGGAGAAAACGAGGAATAGCTTAACTTGCAGGTACATACATGACATCCAGACAGGTCTAGTGCGTTGGCATAGAACACATTAGCCCTATAGTTTTCTAATAACTTTCGTTTATTGGGGCGAGGATGCACTTGGCGGTGCTCAGGGCTAACTCCTAGTTCTGCAGTCAGGGATCACCCCTGGCAGGCTCAGATGACCACATGGGGTGTTGGGGGTCAGACGTGGGTTGGCCATGTAATAGTAGATGCTCTACCATAAGTTTTCAAACAACTTTCACTTCACATTGACTCCGTGTCAGACAAGAAGCTGTGTTTATCATGTGAAAGAAAAAGCACCTGTATTCATTCAGAGAGGTATGCAAGCCTACATTTCCTAAAATTGATTTTTAAAAATCTAAATTATCAGAGGGCATGAAAACTAAGTCTTGGGAAGTGGAGATACTCAGCAAAAATAACTTTTGAAATTTAGGAAAGTAAACAAGTATTTGCCAAGGCCAGAGGATGAGTTTGGATGTTCTGGGATGAGATTCTGCAAAGATGGGGATTCTTAGAAGATGATGGCACATTCTGGAAATGATGAGAAATTCAATGTGGCTTGAATGTGGGTAGAAGGAAGGGAAAAGAATAAGGGAAAGAAGAATGGCAAAGGAGATGATTAAGAGTCCTGCAAAGCCAGTGAGCGAGAGAGTGAAAGGTGAGTCAGACAAGGAGAAAAGCATGATGGAGCCATCCACACTTATTCAGGGCGGCAGGATGGAGACAAGGGACCAGGAAAGGAAGGGGTCTACAGAGACTCCAGGAAAGCAGGTAGATTATCACCTAGGGGAGAAGTTAGCAGGACTTAAATTCTTCATAGGAGGTGGGGATGGGAAAGAAAGATGCAGGGGGTTACAATGAAGGGCATTCAGCACGGGTGACACACATGAACCTGAATTAAAAAGAAATGAATATGAAGGATTTAGGAATGGACAGTGATAAGTACTGCTCAGGACATGATATGGTTGACAGGATACAGGTTGTGTGAAGCATATTCCTTGGAATAAGGTAGCTGCTGTAAATCAGAGGTCTCTGAAATGTTACGTTTCACATTACTATCAGGAAGATAGAAAACATACTTAAACATACATTGAAGAAAATTTTAATTATTTTGGAGAGGGCGATTTGGGTTACACCTGTATTCAGGGCTTACTCTCGGCTCTGTGCTCAGGGATCACTTCTGGGAAGGCTCAGGGGTCCGTGCGGTGCTGGAGATTAGACCTGCTTCAGTAAAATGCAAGGTAAGAGCCTTACCTCCTGTGTTATCTCTCCCATCTGTTTATTTATTTTGAAAAACCTTTACATGTAACATAGTTGACCCTTAAATAATACAGGGTTGGAGATGCTGATCCCATGCAGGCAAAATTTCTTATACTTTTTTGACTCTTACTAAACTTAACTACTTGCTAGTTAATCTTGCTTTCAGCAAATTAGTAAAGGCCTTGCTGAGAGCATGAAATGCTGACTAATAGACATTTTATATTTTTTATGTATTGTGTACTATATTGTTATAATAAAGTAAACTAGAGAGGCTGGGGTGATAGCACAGCAAGTAGGTCATTTGCATTGCATATGGCCAACCCGGGTTGATTCCCAGCATTCCTTATGGTCCCCCAAGCACCACCAGGAGTAATTCCTAAGTGCATGAGCCAGGAGTAACCCCTGTGCAACGCTGGGTGTGTGTGACCCCCCAAAAGCAAAAATAAATAAATAAAGTAAGCTAAAAAAGAAAATTTCATCCAGAAATATATAAGGAAGAAAAAATGTATTTAAAGTATCAAACAGTGCAGGAAATTTGTTATAACTGTTTACAAGAAAATTCACATTTTCATGTTGTTGTGCAGAACCATTATAAAAAAAAAGCACAAATGGAATATATAAAAGTATGTTATAAGAAGAAAGCATTTTGTATCTTAATTATGAGATAATAAAAACATATCTCAGACTACCAAACTTTAAATGGCCTATATTCTAAATTATGGATCTATGAGACTTTCCTGGAACAGTAAAATTTTGCTCACTTGTACCATGAAAATCAAACAGTTGTCTAGGTAAAGAAGCTGTCAGGAATCACAGGACATGCCTCAAACAGAGGCAACTTACAAGTACTGCCCTAGCATTGGGCCTTAGCACACATCCAAGTACCATTGCGGAATTCCCAAGGGGAATCTCAGAAAGAACAACACCGAAAATCCGGTCTCACCTTGGCGTTCCCCAGGGCAGCAGTCTTCTCCCGTAGCTCTGCCCGCTGCCGTTCAGAATCCTCCAGGCTGGCTTCCACGCTGTCCATCCAGCTGGAAAACTGTCGAACGTCATCCTGATAGCTGGTCCACTTAGAAAGAGCTCCTTCGAGTTGACTGGAAGGCATGAGAGGCCAGTGAGCGAGCTCTGTGGTCCCCTGCACCTGCCTTACCATCCGCTCAAGCCCCCAGAAGGCCAGCCATCTGGACAGGGGCCCCTGGGGAGCAGGTGGCATGACAAGGGGTCTCACATCCTGGTTAGATCCCTGGCAAGCCTGGCCTCAGGAATCAAGGGGCAGAGAGGTCTGTGCAGAAGAATGGGAAAGTGGGTGGGGTTGAACATGTGGAGGCAGTGATCCGGTCTCCACAGACCTAAGGGCAAACTCAGGAGGACCATCCCTTCAATCTCCACCCCTGCAGCGAGGTCCCCGTGGAGCCCGCTCTTGGAGCATGGGGAGAAACTAGATGGAATTCCACCAAAGGAGCTGCACACAGATTGGAGGATAACGGCACATTAAGGGGGCAAGGGAAAGCAAGTACTCTCACTGAGTTGCATGACATTAGAAATCAGAAAAGCAGCCAAACAAAACCTGCTCATTTCTCGTACACATAAACTATGCACCTCCTTCTTTCAAAACCACATTTTTTATTTTTTTGTCTGTTTTGGATTCGGTTTGGTTTTGGGGGCAGTGCTCAAGGCTTCCTCCTGGCTCTGTGATCAGGTATCACTCACGGCTGGGCTCACAGACTCTATAATGTGCGAGGGATTGGTTGGCTGCAGGCAAGGCAAGCGTCCTGCATGCTGTCCTATCTCTCCACACACAGGACATTTTCTTTTTTCTTTTCTTTTCTTTTCTTTTCTTTTTTTCCTTTCTTTCCTTTGGATCACACCCAGAGATGTTCAGGGGTTACTCCTGGCTCTGCACTCAGGAATTGGCCGTGCTTGGGGGACCACACGGGATGCCAGGGATTGAACCCAGGTTGGCCACGCGCAAGGCAAATGCCCTCCCCACTGTGCTACCCAAGACCAAATTTTCACGGAGCCAGAGGTTCACCTCCATTCATCAGTTGTATCTGATTCTGTTCTCCTGCATTGGGTCATTTTGTGGCAGCAACTCTGGGCTTTGCCTCCATACCCCTGGGATCTTGGCACTAGACACAGGACACCTGGGGCTTCCACTTACCGACTCTATGGCCACTTGGCTTGAGGTCACTCCCTGTCCTTGGTGGCCTCTCTGCTTGAGGATAATGTACCTGAGGGGTGCCAGGCTCTGTGGCCCCTGTGTCCCCTGGGAGCTGACTCGCAAACTCTCCTGCATGCAGCCTGTTCTACCCGGGAGCTGACTTGTAAACTCACAAACTCTCCTGGGAGCCTGTTCTATCTAACTCCCTGCTCTGCCCATGGGACTAAGTCCCAGCAGCACCCCAGGGAGGTGCTTGGTACTGTGCCCCCTTTTTGGCGCAACCGCTTCCTCACTGCTTTCCTACCCCCTGCTAGTGCTTTCTATTTTTCCTACTTGGTTTTCACTACTATATTATTATATGACAAACTCTTGTCTTTTCACTTTATCACTGAATAACAATAGAGAAAAGTACTTGTAAACCTTATAGTGTAGCAAACCAATGTCACCTCAATTGATTACAGAAAATAAATCCTAAATTTTTTTTCATACAAAGGTTGTAACCACTCAACATTTAGTTATGTAATCCCATAAGGCAGGGGTCTTCATAAGCCCCCATTGAAGAAGAGAAGTCTTATTTTTAGTGTTTTCTGGGCTACAGAAATTTAAGCCTGGAGTTGTTGATGTCACCTAAATTTTAAAGAAAAGGTGGGGAAAAAAGAGAAAAAGGGGGAGGGGAAAGTGGAAAGAAGGAGAGGAAGGAAAGAAGTTAGGAAGAGAAGGAGCTTGGGAGGGAGGAATGATGGGAGGAAAGAAAGGAAGTAAAAAGGAAAGATGGGAGAAAAGAATAATGGAATGAAAGTAAGATGGTAAGAAAAATTAAAAGAAAGGAGAAAATAGGGAAAGGTACGGAGGAAGAAAGAAACAAGAAGGAGGGAATGAAGAAAAGTAGGAAGAAAAGAGGGAAGGTAGGAAGAAGGGAAGGAAGAAAGGAAATGAGGGAAGACAGAAAGAAGGGAAGGGAAAAAGCGGAGGGAGGAAGGAAGGAAGGAAGGAAGGAAGGAAGGAAGGAAATGGAAGGAGGGAGGGAAGGAGGGAGGGAGGGAGAGAGGGGGAAGAAAGAAGGAAGGAGGGAGGGAAGAGAGAAGAAGGAGGGAGTGGGGAGGGAGGAGTGGAGAAAGGAAGGAAGGAAGGGGATGGAGGGAGGGAGGGAAGGAGGGAGAGAGGGAGAAAGGGAGGGAGGAAGGAAGAAGGAAGGAGGGAGGGAAGGAGGGAGTGAGGAAAGAAAATGGAAGGAGGGAAGGAGGGAGGGAGAGAGGGAGGGAGTAGCAGCTGAGCTCTAGACTGATAACCCAGTAAAGGCTTCTCAGGGTTGGGGGTCAGTTACCTCTTACACCGAATTCCTGTGGACAGAAGGGAGGCCCAGGTGTCCTTCACAGCCTGCAGCTGCTGCAGCAGTGCCGGCGAGCCCTCGGGAGAGGTGTTCTGCAGGACAGACTCGCCCCTGGTCATGATCATCTTCATCTGGATCTCCTTTTCCTGCTTCACTGATAACAGCGCCTGCAAGAGCAGAGTTTTGGCTCATTTTCTGACCTGATGCATAAGAGTTCCCAAAGATAGAAGGATGATGAGTAGCTGCACTGAGCGATGATCTCTTAGGCAGAGTAGGCAGGGGAACGATCCCTTGCTGGGGTGTCTGGGGCCCTCACTAGTCACAACTGTGACCATCCACTCATCACAAAATTCTCTGAACTCCTCTTTCCCCAAAGCTTCGTTGTGATGAGCTGTCATGAGACAAAACTCACTGAACACCAAGCGCAGAGATTATGCAAGGGCACGGGAGAAAGAAGTAAAAAAATGTAAAAGTCTCGAGTATAACAAACCTATGAAATGGACTGATGGATATTACACGATAAGGCCATTTCAAGTTCCTTACTTTGAGAAGGTTCTCCCAAGGGGTTCCCTGTAGCCTGGGGACGCCTTTCCCTGATTCTTGGCTAACTGGGCTAGTGGTTCCCTGAGAGGGTCAGAGAATGCAGTGCTGAGCAGGAGAACCTGGGCCAGCCTAGCAGCTCCAGAGATGCACCCTAAAATGATCAGGGACCATATGCGGTACCAGGGATCAGCATGAACCAGGATCGGCAGCATGCAAGGTATGCGCCACCATCCCTGTACTATCTTTCAGACCCCATTTCAAGTTCTTTAAACGCACGTCACTTTCCATGTGTATGAAAAGGGAGCTTTAATGCAAAGCTGCTGGGGTCATCACCAAAAGCCAAAGTTGCAGTTCTTCTTCCAAATCCCCTCAGCCTCAGTTGCTCACTGCCATCTGCTTTTGCAGCCCCAAGAATGAAGTGCTCTTGGAGTCTTCTGTGCTTCCCTGATGCTTTCCTCGTTTTGATCCTGTTCTCATTCACAAATTTCAGCCTTGGGCTGGACTTCCAGGGAACCCTGCTCTGACCCCCAGCGACCCCAGCCCTTCAGCCCAGCTTCATGCACCAGAAATACATCCTTCTCTGTCTGCTCTTAACCTCTGGGCCACAGCCTCCGACTCAGGGCTGTGTTTCATTCTGAGATACCCCGGGCTTGAATGAGAGAGAAGAATGCAGGCTATACACATGGTTCCAAATGCAAAGTAGAACTAGTGTCTTGGGGTGCAGAAAAATCCCCCATAGGATAGAAGCAGGGAAGTGAGTGGAATAAGAGCGGAAATGTTTCAACCTACAAAATGTTTCATGGTTGTAATCTATCTTTCAAAATAAATATACCCATGAAGCATTCCAAAATGGAATCTCGTTGTTGGTTAGCAAGCAAGCACCCACAGCTGAATTGTTTTCTGGCTTTATAATACTGTTGGATTTTTCTTTGATCCATATCCAGCAGTGCTCAAGGCTGACTTCTGGTTCAGTGCTCATGGGTCATTCCCGGCAGAGTCAGAGGACCATATGTAGTGCCAGGGATCGAACCTGAGCTCCCTGAAACACCCTACCCACTGCACTATCACTCGAGTTCCTGGCTTTATGATTTGAGAAGGCATTCAGGGGTGGATATGTCCAGAGGGAAATGACTTGGGTATGAGGCATGATTACATCTGGACATCCTACTACACAAAGAGCATTTTCTGAATGTTTGTGTAGGAGAGAGACAGACAGAGACAGAGGTACAGAGATAGAAATGGAAATAGAGAGACAAGAGACAGAGAGAAAGACAGGGAGAGAGAGAGAGAGAGAGAGAGAGAGAGAGAGAGAGAGAGAGAGAGAGAGAATCACATCAGGCAGAGCAATCCCAATACAGCGATTAAAGGCATTTCCCCGGAGACGCCAACCTCGAGTTTGAGCAGCCGGCTGTCCAGCACGCTCTTATCCGATGTGGGGTGGCAGTAAGAGTCCAGCATGTGTACAGCATCCGTCATCCAGTCTTGCAGCTCCTTCATCCCGAGCGAGAGCTGCTGGTGCTCGGCCACAATCCGATCCAACCTCGACACTTTCTCCTGGAAGTGAGAGAAGTGAGTGTCCCACTGTCTGATGTACAGAGGCTCCACCCCTCAGACAATACCAATCGTGACTTGTTTGCAATAACCACAATCAGGGCACCCCACACCCCAGCTTCGAGGGTATCATCTCAGAAGCACTCCACCTTGGAGTTCCTATCTTTCTTTAGAGCACACATTTCCTGTACTTCTTTACTTTGTATATTGCTCTCTGGATTATCTCACTTTCTCTTTGTATTTTTCTCTTTAAATTTGTAGATGACTTATTTAATGACTGAAAATCAAACAAATTATAATCAGCCAGAGGTTCCTATGATGTGCTGATATGAGCATGTATGAATCTATGAGATGTGACTTATCTTTTTTAAGTAGTATAAATATAGGAATATTTAGTAGTATAAATATAGGAATATCTTCGTACACATGAAGGTACTGGCAGAGGGACAAAGCCACGTGGGTTCCGGGGCCGAGATCTCCAAGCCTACTCGGATTGGAGTTGAGCATCCTCCACCCAGATCCTCCAATTTCCAGTAGGCGGGGGTCACACCCACCACCTGGCCTCCTGGCGCCGGTGTAATCCCATCAGCGGCCAAGACTCAGAGACTATAAAATTCAGCTCCCGGAACCGCGCGGCCGCATTCACGGCCGTGCGACATCTTATCAGGACATCTTTTTTATGACATCTTATTATCTCATTCCTACTTTGGACAAACTTGCAGGCTATCAAATGTAGCCTGCCCACAGGGCAGAGTCTGGCAAACTCCCCGTGGCGTACCAAATATGCCAAATACCAGTAACAATGATGGGTCTCATTCTCCTAAAGAGCCTTGAATATAATCTCAGGGCTAGGATGAAAGAGACGTTACTGGGGCCTGCTCGAGGCAATCGACGAATAACAGGATGATGAATGAATGAATGAATGAAATATAGGAATATTCGATCAAATGTAGAAACATTATAATGTCACTGCCTATTAGCTGAGTTGTTCTTCCTCTTTATGATAATTGTACTTTTTCTTTGGAAAGAATCAGTACGATTTCTTCTTAATGTTTTGTCTGGTTCCAAATCAAAATATCTTCTAGCCTAGCACATTTGACTCTCTTCATATCACATATATTTAAACACAGGGACCATACATTTAATTTATGAATTGTAAGTTTTGTCCAATATGCGGAACATTTTATGAATATAGTTTCCAACTCTTTAAGTATCTCACATGTAGTTTTAAAAGTAGAATCTAAGTACAGTATCCTAAAACTGAATCTAAGTATAAAATAGTAAAAATTTTCCTTTATTCGAATGCTTTGAAGGCAAAAATGTAAGCCATTATATAAAAAACAGAAAAAAATTAGTATAAACATATATTATGTTTACATGTTCGGATCCCTTCTGGACCCAAACTATATTACAACTATATAAAACTCCAAGTGGGCTGCCCCACAAAATTAATTTTTTTGTGTGTTATTTTTGTCATGTGGCCATACCCAGCAGTGCTTACGGTTTTCTCCTGCTCTGAGCTCAGGGATCACTCCTGGTGGGGCTCAGGGGATCCTGTGTGGTGCCAAGGGCCCAACAGGGGTCCTCCACATGAAAGGCAGGTCATTAAGTCCTATACTTTCCCTGTGACCCATGCCCTACAAGTTTGGGAGGGATCTTATTACACTAGTTCTATGTTCTTGGAGAGGGAAGAGGCTACTCCCATTTTTTTTTTCCTAGAGAGCCTAAAAGAGATTTTATCAGGACTCACTATCAATATTGAGTCTACCCTAAAATCTGAAACAGAGGACTTGCGATACAATTATAAAAATAATCTCTCCCAGCTCAATCTGAATCCCCTAATTTAAGATGGTTTGGATTCTTGCACTGTTGAAATAACTGCATCTGAGATTCTTTTAGACTTTCAGTTCTGTGGTTTCCTTGATGTCAATGCTCCGGGTCTTTAAAATAAAAACAAGGATGGGGAGCAAGTGTTTCACCAGTGAAGGAGCTATTTCGTACAGACCTACAGATCGCTCAAGTCCTAAAGATTACACACACTCAAGTTCTTGCTTTGCGCTGGGAAACACACAACATGAGGCAGCACAACCGTGTTTCAGGGGATGGCGAGGCCGGGAAGATCACGGAAAGACCTTTGGCCACTCCAGGCCTGGTCCTGGCCCGCCTGCTCCCCTGTACAAGCCTCGCAGACAGCCGACTCATCACACATGGCACATGGCAGGCATTACCTTGGTTAGGTTGCTTAGTGCTAGATACTGAGAGGCCAGCTGCGACACTCTGTGCATAAAGCTCTTGCTGGCAGCTTGTCCTTCCCACAGCTGCTGAGCTTTCTCTTTGAGCCTGTTGAGCTGAGGCTCGTAGCACTTTATTTCCTCAAGGACAGACTGAAAAGCACAAGCAAGTTACTAGTAAGAGGATGGGGGGAAAAGCACATCGCGGACGAAGACTTTGACCTGAGGAACACAGAAACGAACACTTGAGTGGGCAAGGAGTGTGCTCCGGGCTGTCTTCAGGATTTCCATGCTATGGACAAGTGTGGACTGCGGGACACCAACACACATCTCCACAGACAGCCAAAAAACACAGAGGGGACTTGAGGGCTCATGCAATCAGGGGGACTCGGGAGTGGGTAACAGGAGGACAAGAAGGCGTGCTCTCCACTGGGGGGCGCTGCATGCACCGAGGACGTGAATACAGGCCGGGCACTGGAGGGGCCGCACCTGGAGCTTCTGCTGCTCTCGCCTCTTGGCCGGCAGGTCGTAGAGCCGATTGCTGCTTTCGTGAACCATCTTCTCAGTTTTGCTCAGCCACTCCTGCAGAGGCTCCGCACTGACTTCAAAGTCCTTCATCTGGACCTTTAGATTCTACAAGATAGTGTCAGAGATGGACTTTTATTTTTTATATCTGGGGTATTTGCAGCCACATTTAGCCCTTTACTCAGGGCTTACTCCTGGCTCTGTGCTTGGGAATCCCTCATGGTATGAGTAAGGGTGATGAGGATTGGACCCAGAGCAGCCATGTGTAAGGCAAGAGCCCTACCCACTGCACTATCTCTTTAACCCCAAGTTGGAAATTTTTAAATTCTGGAGCACGTGGCTACATATGTGGCCACATATGTCTCCAAATTCCTCAATACTCTGCCCAGCAGGAGCACAGCAAATTAGAAACCAACTAATCTCAATAAACAAAACAAACTAACAAACAAAAAACATACAGTTCAGGAAGCCCTGAGTGTACTGGTGAGGTGGGGTGGGGTGAGGAGGAATACTGGGGACATTGCTGGTGGGAAATAGACACTGCTGAAGAGATGGGTGTGGAAACTGTATGACTGAAATCTGATCATGAACAGCTTTTTAACTATGTATCCCACCATAATTCAATTAAAAAGAAATAAAATTTATAAAAAAACACACAACCAGTCAGTTTCTTGGGGTCAGAGCCATAGCACAATGGGGAGAGTATTTGCCTGGAACATAGTTGTGCCAGGTTCGATTCTCCACACCCCATGTACTCCCCAACCCAGCACTAGCCAGTGATCCCTGAGGGCAGAGCCCTGAGTGCAGAGCCAAGAATAAGCCCTGAGCACAGACAGGTGTGGCTCCAAACAAAACAAACCAAGGAAAAAAAATAAAAAAGAGACCAACAGGTTCCTCACTCAGCCTTTCTCAGTCAGGATTCTGGGAGAAAGTCAAATCCTTGCATCCTAAAGCAGTCACTGCAAGAAAGAACTATCTGCTCCCCTATGCATCTAGAATGAAATGGTTATGTTTCATCCTTGGTAAAAGTAAGGAAACTAGATTCCATTCTGAGGTTAAGATAAGGAACCTTAGTGTAGACTCAAGGAACCCAGGTATAAACTCAGCACACATTTCATTCACATCTGATTCTAATCTTCAGGTCCAGTCTAATCTGTGTTGATGATTCCACAAAAACCCATGTGGACACCAACCTTCTCAAATTCCCAGCATGAAGGCCACACTCATTCCCTGTACCCAGACATATAATTCCTTTTTCTGGCTATGCACACTAATCTTAGAAAATTCAATGGTACTATGTTAAAAAGACATCTTTCTGAAGCTTGCCTTGAATTCTCCCAGTAGAATTAACTGCATCCTCCTTTTCATAATATCCTGAATCCACCTATATATACTCTAATCATCTCTTTGTAGATTTATTATCCTTCTAGAAAATAAATTCCCTAAGGAAAGAGAGAAGACCAATCTCTTGTTCTCCTAATAAAGCGCTATGCATTATTATGTCTCTATCTTAATAAGAATGAAAGAATGCATGAAGGAAGGCTAGAGAGAAAGGTAAGAAAGCAAATAATTTCTGATGAGCAGTCTACTCGTGGACATTTATTTTTTACAAAGCAATCTAGTAATTAAAACTAGATGTGCTACATTCAACAGCTAGTGCTCTCCAAAACAGGCCATACGACACTAATGATCACTGCAAATTAAGAGTAAATTCAAGGCTTTGTCCAGTAGTTACTATTCTCTACTGTATAGATGGTTAGCATGAGAGAAGGGCCAATATTGTAAAGAAAACTACATGGTCTTAGCTAAGAAAGAATGAACTGAGGAAATGCACATTTTCTCTTTCTAGATATGGATTCTCTATTACTTTCCCATTCTGCACTAATAATGGTCATAATCAAACCAGGGGTCTATTCTGCCAGGCAGTACTGTTCTGAAAGGAAAAAAACCTCATCTTTATACTTCTCAATTTTCCTACAAGCAAAGAATTGGTACAAAAACAAGTGGTCTCACAATTAAAAATTAATTGTGGCAATAATTATGTTATGATTTTAATAAACTAACCCTCCAAATATGCTTCTTGATATCTGATTTAGTTCTAATGGACCTTGGATCGTGGCATTTGACTAGAAATTTCTGTTCATTCTCTTACAACAACTTCCCAAATTGAGGTATTGCAAATGAAAATTAAGTGATGCTGGAATGTAAAACAACTGCTCTTGGAATGGTGCCAAGAGATATGCTACTCAGTTCTTCAGGGAAGCTCACATTCCTTGCTGTAGAACTATTCCTTACAGTTCTTCAAATTCAGAGAAGGAAGACCAAGACCACTGAAATAGGAATTTGGATCTACTGAAAGTACGGTTTACCACATGGACACAGGGGCTGCGATTTTTGCTCATTCAATCACATTCAAGTGTGAGCTACTAGTGGGATACACTAGTGTGAACGTCTTAACTGACAACAACACACAACGCAGCACACACATACACACAGCCATTAGGTTATACTCTACCTCCAGGGCAGATTCCTTTTGGTGGAGATTTGAATGAAAATTTTTCCAATCTTCTTTTGCAGATGCAATTTTGGCTTGGATGCCATTAGCTTTTTCTTTGGTCAACAAAGTACTCAAAAGTTCACCTTTTGATAGCATCATGTTTAGCTTATGCTGTCCATTTTCACTTTCTGACAAAAATTCCTATAAAGAAATATAAAGATCTAGGTGTGAGAAAATATATATGCTTTAAAATATATCGCTGTTTTTCACTTTTAGGACTTTTCTTTATTTTTTTAAAATAAATTGCTGTTATTGACTTGTTTCTCAATAACATCAAGGAAATAAAAAACTTTCTGTATATATTAAATGGAGATTTTTTCTCTATCTTTGTTTTTTGATTTGTGGGTCAAACCCAGTGATGCACAGGGATTGCTCATGGCTCTACACTCAGTAATTACTCCTGGCAGTGCTTGGGGGACCATATGGGATACCGGGGATTGAACCCAGGTCAGCCACATACAAGGCAAATGCCCTACCTGCTGTTCTATCACTCTGGCCCTATTCTATATTTATATTGGAATAACAATGTACCTGATATGGTTAATGGACAAGTTAAATGAGAAAATCTAGACTACTCAATCATAATACTTTCCACTGAGATTTATTATTTCCTGTCTCTCTTAATATATAAAGATAACATGCAATGTTAGTGAATGTAATCATTTCTTTGCACAAGCAATTATTTCAAGTAGGTATTTATTTAAGTTTCTTAGGCAAAAGTTTAGTGTGCTTTAAAGGAGTTGTAAAGAATTTTTTAATTTAATCACAGTGAGATATACAGTTACAAAGTTGTTTATAACTGGGTTTCAGTCATATAATATTCCAACACCTATCCCTTCACCAGTGTTCATTTCCCACCAGCAATGCCCCAGTTTCCCTCCTTCCCCCAGACACACCTCCCCACCTGTCTTTATGGCAGGCACTTTTCTTTTTTCTTTCTTTCTCTTGCTCTCATTTATTTTGGGCATTATGATTTGCAATACAGATACTGAAAGGTTAACATGTATATACCTTTACCTGCTTTCAGCACTCAGTTCTTGTCCAGAGGGATCATTTCTAACTATTATTGTCATACTGGTCCTTCCTCTATCTTAATTGTCCCTTGCCTCCCAAACACTTGTGGCAAGTTTCTGACCACTGAACAACCTAAAGAAATTTTTTTAAAATTGACTTTATCATTTAAAATTGATAACACTTAAAAGTAGGTAAGGGATATTCTTGATAACCTTTCGGTATCAGTATTGCAAACCACAATGCCCAAAAGGGGGATAGATAGAGAGAGATATAGAGAGACAGAGAAGAAAAGTTCTGCCAAGATCTGCCAAAGAGGGAGGCAAGTGGTGGTAGGGGGTGATGAGAGGGAACCTGGGGACCCTAGTGCTGGGAAATGTACACTGGTGGAGGGATGGGCGTTGGAATACTACATGAATGATAGCACAGCAGTAAGGCATTTGCCTTGCACACAGCCAACATGGCCGACCCGAGTTTGATTCCTCCACCCCTCTCGGAGAGCCCGGCAAGCTACCGAGAGTATCTCGCCTGACAAGCTCCCCATGATGTATTCGATATGCCAAACATAGTAACAACAAAGTCTCCAACGGAGACGTTACTGGGCCCGCTCGAGCAAATCGATGATCAACGGGAGGGCCTTTACTTTACTTTACTAAAATAAAAATACATAAATAAATAAATAAAATTGGTAACACTCTTACCTGTATTTTTTGAAGACTAGTTGAAACTTCATTAATATTTTGAGGTATATCAAAACATTTGGCTGTAGTGATTTTTGCATTAACCAACCATTGCTGGAAATCCTTGAAGGCTCTTCGAAACCTTTGCTGTAAAATCTCCTCTTTATTCTGACAGCCCTTGGAAGCTTGTAAGCAAAGGCTAAGGCCAGGATTTTCAATATTGAATGTAAGGAAAAAGAATAAAATACATTTTTTAAATGTTTGTAAGATTCAACAGTTCTTAGCTCATATACTCTCATAACAGTAATATATTTAGTGATCAATGGATGATATCATCTTTGAAATCACCCCTATCAATGACTCGAACCTCTAGTGTTTCACTTGTAGAAAAATATTTTTTTGCCTTTTTTTTGGCCTTTTGGGTCACACCCAGCATTGCACTGGGGTTACTCCTGGCTCTTCACTCAGGAATCACTTCTGGCAGTGCTCAGGGGACCATACGGGATGCTGAGAATTGAACCCGGGTTGGCCACATGCAAGTGGTCACTCTGCTATCACTCCAGCCCCTGTACAAAAATACTTGGGATTTACAACTCCAACGCTGGTCAGTTCATGCTCACCGATTATATTCTTTAATCAAGCCAGAAACCTTCCCACTGTATGTGCTCAGGTCCCTGGAAAATCGACAAAGTTCATTCAATTGAGACTTGAGATCCTCGGTCTTAGGTTCTGCTTTATGAAGTGCATCGAGTATCTCCTATTAAAAATAACAATCAGAGAAGGAATATTAAATTAAGCAATTTCTTCATGCTAATATTGTGCGCATAAATAAAATAAATTATTAGTAAGGAAAGAAGAAGGTGCAGATGTAGTAAAGAAGTGAAGCCTCTTTTTAAGATTCCCTTTGGAAAATAACTTAGCTAACTTGTAGTTTTTTCAAGCCTGTGGTTAGTACCTCAGTATCAAATGCTGCCCAAGTCTTCAGATAATCAAGGGGTAGGAGAAATAACTTCCAGTGGGATAAAAAAAGGAAAAATAAGGCAAATCATTTTATATGATGAAGCCACTGGAATACATACATGTATATATATGGTACGTGTAATATATACATATAAAATACATTTAATATAGCAATGCAGTTAGAGAGGAAATAATTTTATGCTTCTTAAATGGCATATGTAGTTAACTTTCACATCAAGAGTTTCTTATAATTCGGTGGTCTGTTTCAATCAGTAATCCACTTCATACTTTCATTCACTCAATGTGCCATTCATTCTTGTGTATTCTGGGATCCCCTTTTTGGTGAAAGGCAAGATTATTTTCCTTGATGAGCTCATAGTATAATAGATGAGAGACACTTGGTTGATCATAGCAATGTGGATTTCTCTTTTCCATTTTTTCTTATTTTGGGGGCCACACCTAGAAATGCTCAGGACTGTTTCCTGGGTCTGTGCTCAGGGACGACCCCTAGCAGACTTGGGTGCCCAGAACCAAACCTGGTCATCTGGTGAGTCTTGTGCAAGGCAAATGCCCTCCCTCCAGTATTATCACTTCAGCCCCACTATTGTGTATTTATTTACTTTTTCTTTTATTTCTGGGTCTGGAGCAATAGCACAGCGGGCAGGGTGTTTGCCTTGCACGTGGCCAACCCGGGTTTGATTCTTCTGTCCCTCTCAGAGAGCCCAGCAAGCTACCAAGAGTATCCTCCATGGCAGAACCTGGCAAACTCCCCGTAGTATATTCCATATGCCAAAAAACAGTAACAACGAGTCTCACAGTGGAGACGTTACTGGTGCCTGCTCTTGCAAATCGATGGGAGGACAGTGCCACAGTGCTGGGGAAAACTTGTGGGGCTTAGGGCTTACTCTTCGCTCTGTGCTCAGAGATCATGCCTGGCAGGCTCAGGAGACCACACGGGGTGCCAGGGATCAAACCCGGGTTGGCCGTGTACAAGGTAAATGCCCTGCCACTGTACTATCACTCTGCCCCCAGCACTGTGTATTTCTAATCCAAAATAAAACCTGAGACATGACAGACATTTCTCTGAAAGCATGGTCATGGCCACTGAGTATTACCAGGAGCTTTGCAAACTGTGTTTCTTTTACAGGGCTGTCACGAAGCAGAGTGAGATTATGAGTGTCAAAGAAAACTTCTGGCAAACTGAGAAATATATAAAGTTGAAGAGACAGGGGACTAGAGTGATAGTATAGTAGGTAAGGCATCTGTCATGCATGCGGCAGACCCAGGTTTGATCTCAAGCACCCCTTATGTTCCACCCTGAGTCTCTCTAAGAGTGATCCCTGAACATAGAGCCAGGGATAAGCCCCAAGCAATGCCAAGGATAGCCCCAAAACTAGAAGATCCCCTTCAACAAAATAAAAAGAAAAGGAAAGGAAAGGAAAGGAAAGGAAAGGAAAGGAAAGGAAAGGAAAGGAAAGGAAAGGAAAGGAAAGAAAAGGAAAGAAGGAAGCAAGGAAGGAAGGAAGGAAGGAAGGAAGGAAGGAAGGAAGAAAGAAAGAAAGAAAGAAAGAAAGAAAGAAAGAAAGAAAGAAAGAAAGAGGGGCTGGAGCAATAGTACAGCAAGTATGGCTTTTTCCTTGCACACAGCCGACCCAGGTTCGATTCCCAGCATCCCAGATGCACTGCCAGGAGTAATTCCTGAGTGTAGAGCCAGGAGTAACTCCTGAGCATCGCTGGGTGTGACCCAAAAAGAAAAAAAGAAAAAAGAAAGACAGACAGAAAATGAACACAGAAATGCCCTCCATTCCAACTGAATGGGACTCTGTGGGTGATACTAACACCAAGGTAAAAGAAGAACTAAGGAGGAAGCACAAAGCTGAGAGTAACTACTCAGATAGCCATTGCCACTGGCTCCCATTATTTTAGAGGTATTTACTGAGAGATGGCCTGGATTAGTTAGGCACGTGTGTTTCTCAACAAACAGGGCCTGTGTGCACTTCTCAACACAGTAAATAGCTCCATTGTACAGTCCCTGATCCCCATCTGAAAATGAGGCACGGTCTTGGCTCGCCCCTCGCCCTCCGGTTCCCGGCCAGGGATAAAGAGCTCCGGTCCACTCTGAGTCTGAGAGTGCTGCTCCTCAGTGCTGAGTACTGACTTGCAGGAGGCTGAAATATATATTTGCAAAACTGGGTTTGGATAAACTTATTTTGTGTTCATGACTTGTTTCGGGTAACCTGCTTTCCTGGCATTGTTTTGAAGTCTTGATATTAGAAGGTATGAACATGTGCAGCAGGAAATCACAAAAGTTGTAAGACTAAGCGGTTATGGAGATGTCATAAATGTGGAACAATGAAGGGTCCATCAGGGACACTTAACTTTATTTTTAATTTTTTTAATTTTATAAAGTAGTTCTAGGACTACTTTATAAAATTAAAAAAATATTTTATAAAGTAGTTTTGCATGGGAAGAGCCTGGCAAGCTCCCCATGGAGTATTCAATATGTCAAATACAGTAACGACTAAAGGTCTCAACCCCCTGACCCTGAAAGAGCCTCCAATCATTGGGAAAAGACGATTAAGAAGAGGCTGCTAAAATCTCAGGGCTCGGAGGAATAGAAATGCTACTGGCGCCCGCTTGAGTAAATCAAAGATTAACGAGATTACAGTGATACAGTGATATAAAGTAGTTCATAATATTTGATTAAGTTTAATACTCAAACACCAATCCCACCACCATTACACCTTCCCACCACCATATTTCAGGTGTTTCCTCCTACTTTGAATCCCATCAAATGGGGACACTTAACGTTAAGTAATCTCAAATTTGGGAGGATTTACTGAGAATGTTGGTCTGGGAAAGGTTATTTATTTTGTTTTGAAGGCCACGCTGGCTAGTGCTCAGGGCTGACTCCTGGCTCTGTGCTCAGGGATCACTCCTGGTGGGCTCAGAGGAACATATGAGGTTCTGGGGTCCATCCTGGGTCAGCCATAAGCAAGACAAGTGCCCTACTGACAGTTTTATCACTCGGGCCCCAGGTCACCTTCTTTTTGCGTGAATCTACATGGCTCTCCATAGACCTTGGGGCATTAGATCCCACCAAAGCGAGTCTGCGCTTTCTGAGCAGTGGCAGAGAATGAGCAGCTGCCAGTGAATGTGACATCCACCACCACAGCACCTGAGTTCTGCCAACATGAAGTTCCAGCAGCCAGGTACTGTCACTGCACTCACAGTTGATGTCTGTTCTTGGTCGGCTAAACCAACACTTCAAAGAACCAAATTATCTCAATATGGGACGTCTAAAACTCAGCTATGAATAACTTGCAATTACGGTCACTGTCGCTGTCCTCCCATTGTTCATCGATTTGCTTGAGCGAGCCCCGTAACATCTCCATTTTGAGACTTGTTGTTACTGTGTTTGGCATATTGAATACATCACAGATAGCTTGCCAGGCTTTGTCGGGCAGGCAAGATACTCTTGGTAACTTGCCGGGCTCTCTGAGAGGGGTGGAGGAATTGAACCCGGCTCAGCTGGGCCAGTTGCCTACAAGGCAAACCCGTACCACTGTGCTATGGCTCCAGCCATCACAGTGCTTTAATAAAATTAAATAAAATTAAAAACAGTCAAAAGAAAGAAAGAACCAACTCATAGAAACGTACAGGTCCACTAGAGATGACCTGATTATCTCTCTCTTTGCCTAGAAAGAGAGTGGCATTCAAGTAACATTGCCTCAGTTTGCAGTTTTGTTTTTGACTTCTTCAGAGATATTGATTTATGTTATCAACTAGAATGATATAAGTGAATTATGCTGAATAAATTAAGGGCAAAGTGAATTTGAGACTCAGAATATGATTTGAGGCAGACTAAATAGCCACTAGTTTTCTTCTGCATTTTGACCTTCACAGCCCCCAGACATTCCATCATTTCTTTCTAGAATGGTACAATAGCTTCTTAATTTGAGACCCATTCTCATTTTCTCCCCTGAATTTTGGATCTTGTAACCAGATAAACAATGACTTCTCCAGGACTCGCTTCCCATCTTCTTACTTCTTTGGGACTTATTTAAAGACAAAAAGCCACTTATTAGCACTCATCAAAAATGAGCATCCCTCCTGCCACAGAGGCGGGGTGGGGTGGAAGGGATGGGATGGGAGTGGTGGGAGGGATGATGGGACCATTGGTGGTGGAAAATGCACACTAGCGAAGGGATGGGTACTCGACCATTGTATGACTGAAACGTAAGCACGAAAGTTTGTAAGCATGGTGATTCACTAATAACAATTTTTTTAAAAAACGAGCATCCCATTTGGTTTTGCATTTGTTGGCCTTGCCCTAGACTGTGATTATGAGAAAAGAGATGCTATTCTCTTAGTTTATATTTTAAAAAAATTTAGCTACCTTGAGAAACTCAAGGTATTTTTATTTGCAAACTTTATAAATAATAACTAGAAAGTTTGTCTCTGAAATTTAAAACACTTGTCACAAAATTTTATGTAGATCTTTTCTTTAGTGGAGAACATTATAAGTATTTTGAAAAATGTATTGTTCACCAGAAAAGTAAAACAAACGGGTTCCCAAGTCTTTTAATTAGTCATTTAATTAGTAATGTCAAAATGTACTGTTAAAAATTTATAGGTAAAGGTAAAAGGTAAAGGCCCTCCCGTTGTTCATCGATTTGCTCGAGCGGGCCCAGTCACATCTCCATTGGAGACTTTGTTGTTACTGTGCTTGGCATATAGAGTACGTCACGGGGAGCTTGCCAGGCTCTGCCATGCGGGCGAGATACTCTTGGTAGTTTGCCGGGCTCTCCGAGGGGGGCGGAGGAATCGAACTCGCATTGGTGGTATAGTGGTGAGCGTAGCTGCCCTCCAAAAATTTATACTAAACATAATTTTGTAGCTTTTCCATAAATAAAAATATTTCAGTAGCATCAATTATATAAATGTTAGCATATATATTTTTGTCTCAATTAAGAACTGAAATGCAATTTCCCCCTAATGCTAATCTAGGTTAAGATATTTTCTACATTTCCAATTGGCTATTAAATACGTAAGTTTGAAAACATATTAAACAGTTTTATATTCTTTAAATTTGGGAAATTATGTATTTTTATTTGTAAAAATATTTCTTGAGTATTACTTAACTGCAGTAGGAAAAGTAAACATTTGAGAATCTTTGTGCTTATTATTATGACAGTAATAATATAGCTTGAGAAAAACAATGCCCTCAGAATTCCAGCAAATACTGTGTAGTACTGTAGCACTGTCCTCCCATTGTTCATCAATTTGCTCCAGCGGGCACCAGTAACATCTCACAACAAATGGTGAGACTTGTTGTTACTGTTTTTGGCATATCGAATATGTCATGGGTAGCTTGCCAGGCTTTTGCCATGCAGGCGAGATATCTGGGTAGTTTGCCGGGCTCTCCAAGAGGGGCGGAGGAATCGAACCCGGGTTGACCGTGTACAAGGCAAACACTCTACCAGCTGTGCTATCACTCCAACCCAAATACTGTACATTTATTATAATTTTTTCCTCAGTGCTACTTAGATCTAATAAACATATAGCATAAGTATAATATAAATAGCATATTAACTTAATATATATGTATAAGGTAAAGGTAAAGGTAAAGGCCCTCCCGTTGATCGTCGATTTGCTCGAGCGGGCCCAGTAACGTCTCCATTGGAGACTTTGTTGTTACTGTGTCTGGCATATCGAATACTCTCGGTAGCTTGCCGGGCTCTCCGAGAGGGGCGGAGGAATCGAACTCGGGTCGGCCATGTTGGCCGCTTGTAAGGCGAACGCCCTACCCCCTGTGCTATCGCTCCAGCATGTGTATATTAAACGTTTACTTAACACCTTTATCCTGTCACATCGTTAACATCATTCTGGACAAAATGCCATTATTAGAAATAAGAAAATCTGAATATTAAGTGACAGTGAATATTGGCATCGAACTTTGGGCCTGGAACTAAAGCTGCAGAAAGATCTAAGTGAAGAATTTTGTCTCTGATTTGATGGTACAATTGAAAATACATATTTTTATCTTTTGTCTTTTTATAACTCTCCCTATTACTTTTCACTAACACTGTCAACATAAAAGGAAAAGTAGCTCAGAATATTAATGCAGTTTAAATATTTCTTTTTTAAACATCTCATTCATATTAGTAGAAGGAAAAGTCAGGGAAACAAAAAAGAACTAAAACTATTATTATTTTTTTTACGTCAGTATAAATAATATTGACCACGCAAAAACAATGACCAACTTTCTTGTGTTTGTTTACAGAACTGTTTTCCATGTTTCAGTCATATATTAAACCCCAAAATCCAAATAAATTAGGGGAGGGAAAAAAACCTGGAACTTAATAAATAAAATTAAAAGGATGATTTTACTACTTTTTGGGAGTGCTTTATTTGTTTCAAATGGCTGGTTTTAGACAACACAGAGCTGGAAATATTACAAGACTTTCTTACTGACTGGAGCTATTTTGAAATGATTATAACATAAATAGAAACAGAAGTTTACTTTACTGAACTTCCTTTTAAGGACACCCACGATTCAAAGCATTATAAAACTGAAAGGCTTTCCAAGATCCTATTTAACAGTAAAAGAAAGAAAGAGGATTTCAAGTTTCTGCCCATTCTTCACTCTCTCTTTTAGGGGCCCCTCTTACATTCTAAAAGAGTTGCCATTAGTTTAAAAAGAAAAGAAAAAGATCTGGCGGTTGCAGGAGCCCGGGAAGGGAACCAGCAAGTCTGATGTGGGAGTTCAGTTAACCAGTGAAGTCGAACTCAACTGTCAAACCCACAGAGGGAAGTTAATCGGGGTAAAGATTATTACTTGTGTGTTAGACAATGACTAACTGCTTCTTCCCAAGATCTAAATACAATCACTGAATTGCTTGGAATAATTCACTGGCAAGGGGACAGCTATGACTCGCTGTCTATTTATGCCTCTGCCCACTGGCGTTTGTTTTCGGACTGAATAGCTGAGTGCAACGTTACAAACTCTTGCACCAGAAGAACGAAAGTAAGATACTGCCACGAACCAGCAACGTTTCTCAGATAAATAAGCACCCCTGCTCTCTATCTGCGTGTTCACAGCAGCGTGACTGAGTTCAAGAAGAAACGGAGTCAGAGTTGCTTCTTGAAATTAGGGGAAAACTTTTCCTTCCGAGTCTAAATGTGGCAGGTTTTTTTGAGTTAGCAAGGATACTACACTTTTCAAGTTACGAGGCGAACCAAACACACACACACACACACACACACACACACACACACACACACACACACACACTTTTTTTTTTTGCACAACCCCCAGCTAGAGAACCTGAAGTTCACTTACTTGTCCTTTCTGCCAGGATTCCACTATCTCCGCGTCTGTGTTCTTGCCTTCCAGGAGGGTTAATTCCTGGGCCCAGGTGCTCAGCAGGGCATGGAACTGTCCCAGGGCTTCTTCCAGCCGAGCCACTTGACCAGAGAACTCCTGCTCAGAGAGGGCCATCTGGCTCACCAGGTTCTCCAGGCTGCTCTGCGTCTGCAGCACACTGTCTTCCCACTGCTTCCAGTCGGCACGCAGGGCCTGCATCTCTGTGTCCAGCCGCTCACACCCACCGGCGCTTGTGTTCTGTTTCACGGCCGGGGCCAGCGCCTCCACTCGGCCCAGGCGGCTCGCACCAATCTCTCTGGAATCCATCAGCTCCTGTAATGGAATATTGCCATGGTAACCGAGACGGGCCCGTGAGTCACTGCACTGCAAGTTTCCAAATGTGTACAGAGAGGGACCCTGTCCCGCGCGAGGAAATTTTAGCCAGGGTGCCCAAGGGAGCCGGGATCAACCCGGTTCTCCCAGTGCCAAGTGATAATAGCCAGGAAAGGTCCTCGTGAGCACCAAGGCTGGGTGGCAAAGGAGGCTGAGGAATCATCCCTGATCCCAAACAAAGATCACCAGAGGCCTGACATCCAATATTATGTGAAACTGCTTTAATGGGAACTTCATAGCTGGCTGTCACGCTCTGCTCTTAAAAACATGTAAATTCATATTTCTCCTTACGTCAAAAAGAACTATGGCTAAAGCAAGCTCTGTTCTTGGTCTCTGGTCCATTCTCATCTGCTTCCAGAAGGGGGTGACTAAACTTATAACAGGAGTTATTGTGTCCCCCACAATATGACAATGAGCCCGACTCAAGTGCTGTGGCATCTTAAGTAAATATTTTTAGAATAACTGTATGAATATTTCAAGACATGCTCTCAATCAAATGTTTAAAATATCCTTTTAATTAGGCTTACCTATTGCTATTATTTTTTATTTTTGTTTGTTTTGAGGGCCACACCGGTGGTGCTTAGGGGTTACTCCTGCCATCAGGAATCACTCCTGGTGGGCTCTGGGGATCATATGGGGTGTCAGGGATAGAGCCTGGGTTGGCTGTGTGCAAGGGAAGTAACTTGCCCACTGTTCTGTCTCTCTGGCCTCTTATTTTCATTCTTAAAAAGTTACTAGAAATGAAAAAAAATTGGTTATCACTTTGATTTTGTTTTGTTATGTTTTAGGGCCATACCCAGTGATGCTCAGAGGTTACTCCTGTCTCCACACTCTGAAATCACTCCTGGTGGTGTGTGTAAACTCACACAACTTGGGGGGCACGGCACCCACACGGCGGCGGCTCTATCTCTCCCACCACCCGCGTTCGGTAGTCTCACCCTTCTACCACCCCGGAGAGGTCGATGGCGATGGTCAGGCGGAGGAAGGAACGAGGGCCAGGCTGGTAGGTATTAGTCGTAGTTTATTCTGATTCTCTCCTCATCTCTCCTTCTGTCTCTTCTTCTCTCTCTCTGCTCCCATCTCTCTCTGTTTCTCCTCGTCTCTCCTGTCTCTGCTCCCATGCTACTTCATTCTCCTTCCCCATCCCCCTTCATCCTCCTCTTCCTTCTGATCCTCTCTGAACTTCTGCTTCTTCCTTCTGCCCCTCTCTGAACTCTCTTCTTCCTTCTCCTGCCCCTCTCTGAACTCTCTTCTTCCTTCTCCTGCCCCTGTCTCACTCCTACAGTACAGTTAAATCCTCTCTCCTGAGGAATTGTTCCCCCAATTACACATAGGTGTGGTCACAATCAATAGGGGTGGAGATGAACAGGGGTAGAAATCTTAGCCTCAGGGAAGACCGCTCCTAGGACAGATCCTTCCTTAGCAGGAGGACCCACCCTAGAGCAGAATTCATGGGCGTGCCTCTCCTCTCCTTGTCCAACAAGCATATAAAATATTATATAAATCATTTTGTATGGATACAGTAAGAAATATCTTAAACTTATAGAATTGCTCTCCTAGGGCCATCTCGATCTCAGACTACGGTGCTCAGGCCAGATAGTCTTTCCCACCCCTAGCAGGATCCTAGTCTTGTCGTTACCTTTGGATCATGACAGCATTTGTCTATGATCAAACTCTTAACTTATAGTTAAGAATCGTGGCACTTTGGCCTGGCCCATTTCGCTGCCAGGGTAGCTCACTGCTTGCCCTGGGTCCATTCAGTCCCTCGTCGGGACCCTGCTTTTGGGGTGTTAGGAACTATGGGCAACTGAGGCTTAAGTCGAGAAAGATGATGCCCGGGAGTGAATAATATTCAAGGCCAATCAAATCCTAAATTACAAAGCATAATGTTAACGGTCTTCCTGTATCTATACAAAAAGGATATTACTTTAAAGTAAACTGTTCATAAGGCATAAGGAGAGGAGAAAGGCAATATTTCACTCATACATATAAAATCATAGATTTCTGGGAAACTGATCTTACAAACTAACAAAGTCTGATTAAGGGGAAAGCTGATTAACTGGGTAGGAAGGAGAGCATAGGAAAGACTGTTTACATGTTTACATGTAAACACAATGGAAGTGGAAGTGCCTCTGGAGCACTGTGGTGGGTGTAACCAGATAAAACCTAAGCTTCTTGAAGGACAAAGCAATGTTACCCAACAGTGGTGCTTTGGGGATTACACGGGATGCTGGGACTGAAATCAGGTTGGCCATATGCAAGGCACTCATCATACCTGTTGTACTATCACTCCAGCCCCATCACGTTGTTTTTACAATGAATTTCTTGCAGTGCTAAGACTCAAACCCAGCTCTCACAGATGTGAGGCATGTGCTCTACCACTGAACCACATTCCCTGTTCCAGCTTAAAGCACAAAAATATTGGAAAAGAGGTATAGTTAAATTTAAAAAAAAAACCTGAACTATGCATTGATGATTAAGTAAAATAGTAATACTTCTTTCTAAAAATAGATTCCCAAATTTCTTTCACTGACTTCATCTAGTAGTGCTTTTGTTAAAGGCAGGAATTTGGGGGCTGGAGTGATAGCACAGTAGGTAGGGCGTTTGCCTTGCACGAGGCTGACCCGGGTTTGATTCCCAGCATCCCATATGGTGTCCTGAGCCCTGCTAGGAGTAATTCTTAAGTGCAGAGCCAGGATAACCCGTATGCATTGCTGGGGGTTTTTGTGACCCAAAAAGCAAAACCAAAAAAAATAATAAAGGGCAGGAATTTGTTAGTATTAATACTAAGTTAAGACTTCCCTCCTGAATTAAATAAAAGGAAAAGATCATTATGGAAAAATTTCAATGAGAAAATAAATTAGACATTAACAATAGAAAAGTGGGTGGTTAAATATAAAGAAAACTTAACCACTGTGTTAAATATAAAGTGTTTATAAGATATCGTTCACATTTCGAGATTAGCTTAAAATAAATAAATTTTCTACAATTATACACAAGAGAGCCAGGTTTTTGTATAGATCATTTAAGTGTTTAGTTACAAAAGAATCCAAAGTACAAGCACATGAAATTCTGACATCAATTACTTTTTAAAATCTTATTTATTCATTAAGTTTTTGTGCCACATCTGGCAGTATTTAGGGCTTACTCCTGTCTCTGCACTCAGAAATCCCTCCTGGAAGTCCTGGGGGACCATAGGAGATGCTGTAGATTGAACTCAGATCAGTTGGGTGCAAGGCAAGAGCCTACCCACTGTACTATTGCTCTGGGCCCCGACACTCAATTAGACACACATATTCATCCTTTTCTGTAGCAAGAGTATCCAATAAACTTCCCATGTGTATCAGCAGATGGCATCAGTAATAGTTTGAAGAAAAATGGCAATTTTGGAAAGAAACCCATGCCTCTCTAATTAAGTGCTTATAATTGCCTTTATGAGTGATTTCATATTTGCAGTTCTGTTTATCGACTGTCCAAATAAAGGTTCCCAAAATACCCTTGTGCCTTGGCCCAGTTTTCTTTGGCACAGTAACAGGGCATTTCACTGGAGAGATGACTCTCTCCACTCATCTAGATTTTGGATAAGAACATCATCATTTCAAAGTGTTTTGAAATGACTTTTACATGCCTGTCCTTGTCTTACGATGAAACACGTTAAAAATATGATACACACACACACTCATACACATTTGATGGGAAGTTATCTATCTCTGAGTTACTCTGAGTTAGGTGGAGGATAACCTGGGCAAGAAAGCATGAGGGAGGTGCTTTTTACCCTACCTTCTGCATTTCCTCTGCACCCAGAATCTGTTTGGCATTCCCAGAGAGGCAAAAACGTACAGTCGAAATAACATCTGCGCTTCTATGTTCATTGCTGCACTGTTCACAATAGCCAAAATTTGGGAAAAAACCCGACTGCCCAAGAACAAATGACTGGTTAAAGAAATTTTGGTACATCTACACAATGGAATACTACCCAGCTGTTAGAAAAGATGAAGCCATGAAATTTACATACAAGTGGTTTTACATGAAAAGTATCATGCTAAGTGAAATGAGCCAGAAAGAGAGGGACAGACATAGAAGGACTGCACTCATCTGGGGAATATAAAGTAACAGAATGGGAGTCGAACACCCAAGAATAATTGAGATAAGTACCAAGGAGATCTGCTCCAGGGCTTGGAAGCTGGCCTTACATGCTGAGGGAAAAGGCAGCTCAGATAGAGAAGGGAACACCAAGTAAAGGATGTTTGGAGGACTTGCTTAAGATGCGATATGTATGCTGAAAGTATACTATAGACCGAACATGATGGCCACTCATTTGCAAAACCTCTATTGCAAACTCATTTGCAAAACCTCTATTGCAAACTACAACACCCTAAAGGAAAGAGTGAGCAAAAGGTAATTTCCTGCCACAGAGGCGGGGTAGGGGTGGGAGGGCTACTGGGATCATTAGTGGTGGAGAATGGGCACTGGTGGAGGGATGGGTACTCAATCATTGTATAACTGAAACCCAAGCACGAAAGTTTCTAAGTATACAACTTTACCTCATGGTGTTTCACTAATAAAAAATAATAAAAAGAAAAAGAAAAAATAAATTAAAATAAATAAATAAAAGGGGGGAAAAAAAGAATCTGTTTGGGACAGATGGGAGGACTTAGCCTCTATCTGCCTCACTTTCTTCTCCTCAAATTCTAGTCCTTCTCCCCTGATCTATCTCTTACATTTCTTCATACGGTTTTGCTTTTTGAAGTAGTGAATAAAAATACTTCAAAACAAGAGCATTGGGTCACGTGGAAAGCAGCTTTTGAAAGGAATTCTTTTCTATTATCACTATTCCCAAACAGGAATCTCGCTTAGTAACAACCATCCACCCACCCCTGGAGTCTCATCAACCTAAGAGGCCAGCAGTGGAGGCCCCAGGGTCTTTTCTCTAGCTGGACGCCATGTCCTTCCCCAGGATGCACGTGGCAAGGCCTCTCTGCCCTTCCTTATTGTTCTTTGTCTTTCCTTTTCTCCCTATTCCTGTTGGATCTTCTTCTGTGATTCCTTGAATAAATGAATTGAACACAGGCAGTGGCTGGATTTCAGGCCTGGGCCAGTTGTTCTCTCTGTTCTCTGCCTTACTCTTCTTGGTTCCATTTATTCTGGAAGCTTCAACAATAGGTAGAGGATTCTGCCTCTGCGCTTCAGCCCCGCTCCCTAACCTGATATTCAGACTTAAGAGTTCAACTGTCTCCCAGACTTAACCCCTGACACTTTGGATCCCATGGGTCACCACTGAGCCTTTCATTCTTCCTCCACAGTACCCCATCTCCTCTGCACGGACTTTTAATCTAAGACGGAGGCATAGTTGCAGAGTTCCTGACTCTAGGGTCAATTTCATCATGTCTACACAATCTTATTGAGTGCATTCTATAAGAAGTCATGTATATGCCCTCTCCCCTCTCTTCCCCTCCCCTCCCCTCCCCCTCCCTTCTTCTCCTCTCCTCGCCTTCCATTTCTCCCTCTTCTCCCCTCCATTCTGCTTTTTGCCTCCCCTATCTTTTCTTCTCTTTTCTCTTTCTGCCTACACCCAGCAGTGCTTAAAGACTAGTTGTGGACAGTGCTTAGAGTTGGCTCCTGGTGGCTACCGGGGGACCATGCAGTGTTGGGGACTGAATGTGAAGCCTGTGCTCCAACCCTCTAAGTAGATCTCTCTGGCCCTTGACACTAGTACTTAATGTGTTTGGTCTCACTTTTTATTTACAATCATTTGGGTGGCAAGTACTGCTGTTATTATTTTTTGCCAATAAAAATATTGAGACTCGAGAATTAGAGATGGGTAGGTAAAACAGGGGTTTAGTCTTGCACATGGGCAATCTCTAATGCTTCCTATAGCTCTGCAAGCATTTATAGAGTGATTTCTGAGCCTACAGCCAGGAGTGAAACATGAGTGACCCCAAACTCAAATATATTCATACATTAAAAAATTCAGACTTGAGGAAGGCAAGTGCACCAAGACCCATGAATTAAATCTGTAGAGGGAGGGTGCAGGATGGGTCTCAGGCTCCAGCACCTGAATCTGAAAGTAGAATGGTCTGTTCTTCCAAACTGTGTTTCTTACAGGATGCTCGGAAGGAACAGTTTTCTTTTAAACTGTGTCATATAGAACATGAGTAACAACAGCACTTGCCACTACACTGAAAGTTCCTTGAAGGATGCCCAATCCTGAGTGCGTAAAGTAATGGGTATATGAATAAAAGAGAATATTACTGACAACTGTCTCAAAGAAATATTTTAAAGAAGTATAAAGACAATATGCTTTCAAACATAGTTTTACTTCCTCTTTCTACAATGATGCACTATGCCTTTAAAAGCCTGTGAAGTCTTTAAAAAAAAAACATTTTTTGTTTTGTTTTTCCCCACATCCAATTGATTTCAGGGCTCATTCTCAGCTCTGTGCTCAGGGATCATTTTGAGGGACTAAGGGATCAAACCAGAGTCCACCATGTGCAGGGCAAGTGTTCCTGGTACTATCATTCCAGTCCCTATATTGTAAGATCTAAAGAAAATACTTTTTAAGCTCTTGGAAATAAATCCTCAAAATGGAGTTATTATTGGCTTGCTCTCTCCAGTCTATGTTCTTTCTCTCTTGAGCATGAATCTCTCTCTGCTTTTTTCGACTCTGAATAACCACAGGTACTTTCTTGAATATGTGTTTCTCTCTTTCCACCCCCTTAGGTCTTTCTCCCCAAGTTTAGCTCAATGAAACTACCTCGATTCACTGAAAAATGCAGTTATTATTGTTATCAATCATTTGTTCCAATCATCAGGGATAAGAACATAATTTCATCACTGTTTAAGTTATGATTATAATCTATGACTTTCTACAGGAGAAAAAAATGATTGCAATTGAACAATTAAGCAACAGGAAAGGAATGACACTAAATCTCTAGCTCCCTCAAATGTGTTAATTTCTATTTTCTATGTTGTCCTTATAAGGAGCAAATGAGGTGATAATTTTATGTCCTTTAAAGTATTTTCTTCCACGTTGTTTTCCTGTTGGTCTGGAGACCAGAACAAAACATCAGAATGACATTTCCAAGTTACTGCTCAAATACATTTACCTAAATCACTTCATAAACTTTCTTCCACTACATAAGAAAATAGTATTTGACTTTATCATTCCACCATGACAGCAAGGTATAGTTTTATGTTTCTGGTACTGCAATAAAAGACATGACCAGAAGTAAATGAAGGGATCATGTTCCATTTTGCCCAGAAGTTAAAGTGTCTTAAATTCTCTTCATTCTCTTAAATATGTTTAAAATTAATGAGATTCAGAGGTTGTAGAACACCAACAGACAATAAATTGGAAGGAAGCATTTTAAATTTTAAACAAAATATTATCCACTGCATATATGTATGTATGTATGTATATTTTTTAAATCTGAGATATGCTGTATTCAAGAATCAATGAACAGTGAAGTAGTAATAGTTGTTCCTTTTCTGACCTTAATTTTGGACAACTTTTTTTGAGTGGCCGAGGAATCTCCAGACATATCTGACCAGCGATGAAGCTCTTCCTTTGCTGAATGAAGCCAATCAGTGAATTCCTGGACTGCATCCAGATACATGAGGTGATCTTTCACCAGCTCTTCCACCTTCCGCATCTTCTCCTAGTAATCAAGCAAGAGACTACTTTAATAGCAGCTCTTACTGAGAATAGGAAATGACACAATAGGTCAGGTGACTTCATCCTCCTAATCCTCTAAGAGGACTTCACTCTTATTTATGAGTGTTCTCGATATTTAGTATATTATATTGAAATATGAAATCTTGAGTAGACTGAAAGACTTTGAGGAGACAAACATGTTTCCTCCAACTGAATTTTTTTGTGCTTAGCATAAATACCGATGTTTAGTGAATATAAGCCAATATCCTTTACTAATAATTTATCTCATAAAATGACCACAATAACTAGTGCTATTTTATTGAAGCAATGACTTATATTGCTTTTGCATATAGCATTCTGCTCAGCCCTTTAATTACATTTACTCATCTAAATTTCACAATGGAAATGTGATGGAGAAACGACTACCATCACCATTTTATAGGACAGGACACAAACAGAGGTTACAGAAGCCAAGAAATACCTCTTATGCTGCACCTTTGAAAAACAAAACCAAAAGCAACATTCAAGGTTGGTACCTTAAATTCTAGAGTTACAGTTCTCAATCACTAACAAAATTAAGAAATGTGGATAAACAAATTTACTTGCTAATAATTGTAGTATTAATAGTACAAATGAAAATGCTTATTTTCAACAGAATTTCACTAGCATTGCTACAAATAGACACTTTAAAAAATCAAGAAGGATAGTAATGGTTCAGAGATAAAAATAAAAAATAAACCTTGATGTGACATGTAATCTGGAAAATATGAAAAAAAAACAATTTTACTGATGAGAAATGTAAACAATATTATTCAAACAATTAAAATCAAGGCATAACCTTCCCGCCCCAACAGAGCCCCAGCAGTTGAAAACCTCCACATCCCAATTGCTGCCATGCTCAGAGCCGCTCTCCTCAGGCTTGGACTGAAATCTCCAAGCTCACTGGGAGCAGGAATGGGCCTCCTACCATCTCCCAAGTTTACCAGTGGCTTGGCAGTCACACCCACAAACTGGCCTTGGCACCATATAATCTCATCAATGGCCAAGATCCAGAGACACAGAAATAAATCTCCCAGAAGAGAGCTACATAGACCTAACCCTGAATGAATCTGCTCTATAATCATTATTCTAAATTTCAGAATTTCTGACTCACTCTACACCACTGTTGTACCAAGGGTAGCCCACAACATTTGATGGGCCTAGCAAACATGTTTGTAATCCCTTACACAAGGGCTTTATGGCTCCAGAATGAAATACAATATTCTTCACACACTTTCCTCTGAGGAAACTTTATTGAACCATTTTTAGTAGATTATTCATAACTGTCACTGTCACTGTCCTCCCGTTGTTCATTGATTTGCTTGAGCAGGCCCAATAACGTCTCCATTGTGACAATTGTTACTGTGTTTGGCATATCGAATACATCACAGGTAGCTTGCCAGGCTTTGCTGTGTGGGCAAGATACTCTCGGTAGCTTGCCGGACTCTCTGAGTGGGGTGGAGGAATCGAGCTTGGGTCAGCCATGTTGGCCACTTGCAAGGCAAATGCCCTACCCATTGTGCTATCACTCCAGCCCATTATTCATAACAAACAATGCAAAATTAATGGTTTCAGTTCTGCTTTGGGATTGGGTGTGGAAACATTGAAATATGGTGGTGGGAAGGTTCAATGGTGGTAGGACTGGAGTTTGAATATTAAATGCAATGAATTAATGTGAACAACTTTATAAAAATAAAATTAAATCTATAAAAATCAGGGCATAATTAGATCTGTATCTAATATAATAATTCATAATGATAGCTGAAGGCAAAAACTTTAAACAGTGATATTTGAGAGCCAAAGTGTATAGAAGTTACTTGTCATATGCAGGAGGCCCAGAGTTTTTGTTCGTTTGTTTGTTTTTCACCTTCGGTGGTGGGGTGTGTGTGTGTGTGTGTGTGTGTGTGTGGAGGGCATGGGGGGGAATACTTCTTTCAGGTTATCCTGAGGACTTACTCCTGGATCTGTGCTCAAGGATCACTCCTGATACTGGTGAAACATGAGGTATTGGGGATTGAACTGGGGTTCAACTTCATGCAAGACAAGTGTTTTAACCCCAGCACAATCTCTCCAGCTCCACAGCCTAGATTTGATTCTTGGCAGTGGATGGTCCCCTGAACACTACTGGGAGTGATCCCTGAGCTGGAAATGATACCTGAGCTCTACTGAGTATGGTCACGCCCCTTCACCACCAAATAAAGTAGTGATATTTGGGGCCCATATCATCTTACAACAACAAGAACAACGACAAATAAGTTGAATAACATCCAGGGTAGAGAAAGATGAAAAAATGTAAATAAAACACTGGAAAGTTAGGGGCGGGGAGAGAAAGAGAAAGATGAGCAGCCATAGGAGAGAAGTGTTTTGTACATAAAAATCTGCTCACCAAATGTACAAAGGTTTCATGGTACCAATTCCCCAGATCATTCCACCATAAAGTGCTCTTTATGGAGTTTTCAGTTTTCTTTTTCTTTTTTTTTTTTTTTTTGGCTTTTTGGGTCACACCCAGTCATGCTCAGGGCTGACTCCAGGTTCCACACTCAGGAATCAGTCTTGGTGGTGCCTGGGGGACCACATGGTATCCCAGGATCGAATCCAGGTTGGCCACATGCAAAACCACCCAACCTGCTGTACTATGGCTCTGTTCCCCAGAGTTTTCTTTTCAATGGAAGGCACTAACCTTGGCAACCGTGGTTATGTCATTAAACTGTGTTTTTAGTTCCTCCTGGGCAGCTTCCTTGAGAGACTCGTCTTCAGTTTTCTGGAAGAGCTCCCTGGCTTTTGCGGTGAGGCGGTGCAGGGCTCCCACATGGTCTTCTGCCTCTGACACAATGCCCTGAAAATGGTCCAGAAGGGCGAACTTCTCTTTCAGCCCCGGCTGCGGTTCTAAGGGGTGTTCTACTTTCCGATCCACAGACTCCATCCACTGCTCCAGTTGGTTTTTCCATTCTAGATAGTCATTCCACTGACTGATCACGGACTCCAAAGTGCTAGAATCAATATCCCACAGAAAAATGGAAGGTCACACTTATGTCAGGAGTAACACATCTCGAGCGGGCTAAGAAAATCCTTCCCAAACGTGAGCTGTTTGAGTGAGGAATGTTGTAAGGGAGGAGAATGTGGCTGGAAGAGCAGAAAAAATATTGTGCGAACCCACAATACCATTCATACGCACAGACACACACAGACACACACACGAGGAAAAAAGAAAGGAAGAAAAAAGAAGGAAAGATAAGAGCTGCAGGAAGCCTTCATATGTGCTTGCTTTATACCTGCTCTTATATTTAACAGAGGAGTCTCAATCTTTCAAAAGAACCAGAAAAGAGTTGATTTAAAATGATAAAAGTGTATTCTTCCATGTCTATGAATAAATTAGGGTAAAAAGTAAAGAATGCATACTGAACTGGAAGTCTAATGTAGTCTGATGTGAACTGACAAATTCCTGGCTTGCATTTTTATAAACGAGCACATCAGGGGTGTCGAGTGAGGAATATGCATATATCTCAACCACAGAGCCAACAGCAACTACACCAACCAACCTTAAAAGATGTGCCTGTCAAGGGCCATAGCAAAGAGGGTAAGGCACTTGCCTTCCACATAGGCACACGGCTGGCCTGAGTTCAATTCCCAGCATCGTCCCTCAAGTACCACCAGGAATGATCTTTAAGTGTGGAGCCATAAATAATTCCTGAGCACTACTGGACACAGTGCCCCAAGAAACAAACAAACAAAAGAATGTGCCTGTTAAAGAGGCAGGCTGAGGGGTGGGAGAGAATGGGGATATCAGTGGAGGCAACTTGACACTGATGGTGCAGAAGGTGTTGGAACACTATATGTGTGAAACTCTATTATAAACAACTTTGTAATTTATAGTAGTTAATAATTTTTTAAATTCGAGCTGAGGGAAACAATTACACTGTAATTGATACATGATTTAATTTCTTTGATCTGTTTATTATATTAAAACTAGTTAGTATTTGCTGGGAATAAAATTTAAGATAACCTTTTATGTACCCATATAGTTGGAAAATAAGTAAAATACATTATATTTAACATAGAATACTTAGTATTAAATACTAAAAGAATAACAGCTCAATATATTTATGATATAAAATTTCTTTTCCATACATAAGAATCAAACAGCTCTTCAGTGGGTATACTTTACAATTGTGAAGTATTAGATTTATACCAAGCAATTCCCTCCCCCCTCCCCCCTTGGTTACAGGCAAGACAATCACCCTATCACTGCTTAGGCTCAACAAGCAATTTTTAACTCATTTTACACTCTTCAATCCTCTCTGCATACAATCTTACAACCCCAGAGTTAAACTGTGGTAAAGGTAATTTCAGCATTGGCTTAACTACTTTCTTTTGGGTCAGTAGAAGCCTCATCAAACATATCTCACAAAGTTCCAATCTTTCCTCAAAGAACTTTCTAGAAAGTTCAAATCAATATCACCTCTCCATAACCAACCACAGAACCTGCATTCTTCTCCTGTCCCACAGAGTTTTAGCAACACAATCTGAGTCAGAAACTATTTTGGAATGTACTCTATGCTAGACTGTGAGTACTCGGAGGACAAAAATACTTTGTTTTGTTTCATTATTTTAGCTCAACCATTTAAACATTGCTTAATACGAAGCTGTCATTTGATTTCTTGCTGAGACACAGCCCAGGATCTGAGTCTATTTCTTCCATTTTATGTTTCATTCTAACATCCATGATATAGTTGTGTTATATTTATTAATCCATCTTCATGTTTATTTTAATGAAACTGACCTCTTCCCAAGCACTGGGGAGCTGATTTGATGTATTTAAAGATGGAATCATGCTGAGCCTATATTGCATTCAGGATTCCATGACAATTAGAAAGATGTAAAAATTTACACATACCCCTTCCCCCCCCCACACACACACACAGCACAGAGCAAATAAATTAAGCCAGTGTTTGTCCTGATAGAAAATCAAGGAATATAAAATCAAGGGATATAAAAATAGTTATCTCTGCTCCAGGACAACCTCAGAACTGGCTCATCTTACTAAGATTCTGGATTTTGTTAAGGAAAATAATCAGAAAAAGTAGACTCTACCTCTGAGCATAGACTGCAGAGCTCATGATGTTAGCCCACACGTCTTTCAGGGTCTGAAGCTGAGTCTGAATCACCTTCTGGCCCTCTTTGTTGCTACTTCTCAAGGCCTGTTCTCCTTTGCCAATCGCCATATTCAATTTAACTTCCCCTTCCCCTTTCATCAGAAGAATATCCTAGAAGAGAAGAGTGAATACTTGTCATCAAGAGTAGTGAAAACTTTGATGTTTTACAAAAAGATTCTGTTTTCCATGAGAATCAAGGTGGGAAATCACATTTTGGGGAGCAATGTTTTAAAACACCAGCTATAACAAAAATGTGCAAGTCCTATTCCAAAATATAACTTCATTTAAATATCAGGAATCAAGACTCTTAGAGTCAAATATTCCTTAATTTAATGTCTTGGAAAGCTTCCCCCCCAACCCCAGTTTAGAAATGACACTGGTTTCTCTTCCTTTGTTTTACAGTAAAAGAAAAATTATTTGGGAAGTGGAAGCACATGTGTTACCAGTCCTGTCATCATTGTCTGACTAAGTCCAATCTTTCTAGGCCAACTTCATAGATGACATTTAAGACTGGTGACTGGTGATACTCTTTGTGCTTCAATCCACATTATACTTCAGGTAATTTGGGGGTAGGGGGTGGGATGGGGAGGTTGTGTCATACCCACAGTGCTCAGGGATTTACCTGGCTCTGTGCTTAGGGGTCAGTCCTAATGTGTACACCATCTCTCCAGCTCTAAGAACTCATAACAAATAAAGCTACTCAACAGCAAGGCTCTCCTAATAAGCAAAGACGAAATTTCGTCTAGATTTCCAGCCACTGCCCAGCGCTAGGAGTGGAGGATGTTTGCGGGAACGTTTACTAAACAAAACTGAACTCGAGTGTAAAGTTATTGAATAAAAACTCTTCTCCTCCAAAGAAGAAAAGTAAGTCTTCTCTCTTTACCCAAGTTCTCCCATCTGGTCCACAGGACTCTAGCTTAGAGGCTCACGGAATGACAGGCCCCAACTCCGACAATTTGTCATCTGATTGAATGAGTCTTGGGGGAGTGACCGGTGTACAGATCAACGCAACCCATACCTGGATTTGGGAGAGTCGTTTTTCCAGGGCATCCTTGCTTCCGGTCGTGCTCTCTGCGCAGGACAGTCTGTCCTGCACTCCTTTCACCCAGGACCACATGCCCTGCAGGGCCTCCTCCAGCCCCTCATGCTCCTGCAGGGCCAGCTGACAGCCCCGGAGCTTCTCCTTGGTCATTCTGAGCAGGTTCTGGTAGGTAGAGAAGAGCTGGGAGCAGAGTCGCCCCTCCTTGCCACCCCCACGGCCGTCCTCACTGAGGAGCTGTCCTCGCTGGGAAAGCTTATCAAGTGACTCTCTAAAGCAAACAGAAAGGACGTATTTTTTAATCCTGACACTCAGCCACGCAGGGGAGGGACGAATGGTTGTTGATGTTGGAGCCATAACCAGACAAAAGTTCACAGATGACAAGCCTGTCCCGGGAACGAGGGGGTGGAGCTCAGTACCAAGTCGGAGGGTTGCCCAAACCATTGAGAGATCTGACCACGTCTGGGCGGGCTGCTGACCACGTCTAGGCGGGCTGCGGTCCAGGCCAGCCATGCTACTAGTAATTCATTTCAGAAATGGGCCCGGGCCTGTCTGCCTGTTGCATGGCTCAATTCTTATTTATGTCCTAACCATGAGCTGCTCTGAGAAGCTCCCCCAAACATTCTTTTGTATATACTGGAGATTCCTCCCTTATATAAACCTTTTAGTTCTTTGCTCTCTCTCCCGCTTCTTTTCCATTTGGCTCCTTTCTTTGTACCCAGAGACATTCTGAGGACTCTTATTCAAAACCAACATTTAATTCTTGAACCCAGCTGTAGAAAGCAAATCACTTCACAATGCTTTTTCAGCATGTCTGATTTGGGGGGGGGGGTAAACTCTAAATAATAGTGGTGAATCTTTTATTGAAACAATGAATCTAATCAAAGCAGATAGAGTGTTAACTAGAATTCATCTGCCCCACAGGGACTGGGAGGGGTGGGGGGGTGGGGTTTTATTGGGATTCTTCATGGTAAAAAATAAGTTTTGGTAAAGGGAAATGTGTTTGAAATTTGCATGACTGAGACCTAAACCTGAAAGCTTTGTAACCTTTCCCACGGTGATTCAATAAAGAAAAAAAAAAAAAAAGAAGGTGTTTGCCCTCTGCCTTGTACTTCTGTCATATTCCAACCCTCCAATCTGCCCCCAGTCTGACTCAGTTTACCAGATGTCCACCTTCTAGAAAAATCAGGTGGTCACGTGCGTCTCCTATGCCCACCGCCCAGTGTAATTGCTGGCAGACAAAAAAATAATGAGATGACGGTGATTATCATTATGGTCATCATCAAATCTTTCAAAAGGACATTTGAGACATCTGTTCATTTCGTGGACACTCTGCTCATCTCAGTTTGGAGTTTTGTTAATTGCTCAGAGGGAAAATGCCATCCTATGGGAAAGACAGGCTTCATCCTTCTGCGGAGTTCAGATTTCTGTCAAGCACCCCTACTGGGAAATTCCTGCTACCAGAAGAAGGGCAGATGTCTGAACACACATTGTCTGAGCTCCAAGAGCCTGGAAGCCTGTCTCCCCCACATTCTTCATTGTTTTCTAACAATTCCTGTGAAAACAGCCTCCCAGAGGCCTTTGTGAGGTCTCTATATGACTTTGACAATGCTGTATCTGCTGGAAAGATCTATAATGTTTATACTCAGCAATCTGTTTTCTGAAACCAAAAAGGCACTCAGCAACAATGTAAGATAACAATTTACAATCATGGTTAACACTTGTTATTTCAAGAATTGTTCAGTGAGTGTGAGATATGAAAGGATTGACAAATGTAGGGATCTGGTTGGGAAATATAGAACATGAGTATGATCAATGTACATTAAAACTAGAAGTGTTGGGGCAGGAGTGATAGTACAGTGGGTAGGGTGTTTGCCTTGCACACGGCCAACCTGGGTTTGATTCCCAGCATCCCACATGGTTCCCCAGCACCGCCAGGAGTAATTCCTGAGTGCAAAGCCAGGAAGAACCCCTGTGCATTGCCGGGTGTGACCCAAAAAGCAAAAAAAAAACAAAAAACAAAAACAAAAAACAAAAAACAAACAAACCCCAAACTAAAAAATAAATAAATAAAACTATAAGTGTTAATATCCTTACAAACACATAAACTACAATAAATATAGAATATTACTCTAAGATATTTAAAGTATTGGACACTTTTGGATTATCAATCAAAAAATCGATGGGACTGGAAGGGGCAAGGAACTCAAGTGACTAGCAGAGGACTTTGGGACTGCCCAGGGGTCCAGAGAAACAGCCAGGTAGGAAGAAAAAACTCAAAAAGAAAACACATAGAAGCTCTTAGCAGATAGTCCCAGATATCAGAGAGGAAGAGCACAAGAAGGACGTAGGCTTGCCAGCATCAAATAATTGAAACCCAAGCACAAAAATTTGTAAGTCTACAACTGTACCTCATGGTGTCTCACTAATAAAAATTAAAAAATAAAAAGAAAGAAAGAAAAAGGGGAAACTTCAAGAGTTGAAAAAAATTCTATAATTATTAGTATTGTGAGTCTAAAGAAAACCCGTGACGACCAGAGAGATGGTCAGGATTAAGGCACTTGTGTTGCATGCATCCCGATTTGATCCCCAGCTTGACACATGGTTCCCCCAAGCAGGGGTCACTCCTGAGCACAAAGTCAGGAGTCCGCCTGAGCACTGCTGTGTGTGGCCCACCACTGCCTCCCACCAATACTCCCCCCAAAAAGAAACAAAAGCATTAAATCTCGTGATGAAAGGTAATTTAGACTATTTTTTCCAAGGAAGGGTGGCTAGAGAACTAGATACAAAAGAAGGTGTAGAGTAATCTACCAACATGTAAACTCAATTCTATAGACAAAAATCTTCAGTTCCAATGATTTTGATCATTCGTTATTCCTTTGCTATGGCTATATTCTTATGTTTTTTTTAATACCAAGTATGGGAGAGACCTTTTTTCTTTTTTCCACTTTTCCTTCCTTCCTTTCTTTTCCTTCCTTCTCTTTCTTCTTTTTTTCCTTATTTCTTTCTTCCTTTTCTCTTCCTTCCTTCCTTCCTTCCTTCCTTCCTTCCTTCCTTCCTCTCTCTTTCTTTCCTTCTTCCTTTCTTTATTTCCCTTCTTTTCTTTCTTTCCTTCATTCTGTTTGTGGCAGTGGTGATACCATACATGTATAAGTGAATAGAACTAATTTGAAATTCCACAAAATTGTAAATAAATGGGAATACAACATTAAAATTAATATTATGGTTAATTCTGTGTTCATATATTTAAAGCTTCCATAAAATAAATAAAGCCTTCAAATGAAAAATTTAATAACAGTGAAGGGAATTAAGAAAAATGAAAAAGAAAAAATCTGAAAAGGCCTAAAAGGATAAAAGTGTGTTTTATTCAAAGAAAGGAATGTTGGTTTTCTATTAGAAAATTTTATATTATAGGTACTGCTGAAGTGTTCGCATTAATAGACACCTCATCAGACATAGAACATCTACTACAAATGAGACATTAATATCTTCAAGCATCTGCACTTTATAAGGGTGGGCTTTAGCCAAACTGCAGTACCCAGATGGAAAATGATCCATCCTCCAATGGAAGGGGTCCAATTAAGCAACTGAAAATGCCAGGAGTGGAGAAAACATTGAGGAAATAAACCCGGCACAAGGCAGAGTCCAAGAGGCACAAGCCCTAGAACGTTGCCTGGGAAAGGAGCCAGCAATCCTGGCTGAATCTGAAAGTTATAAAGAAACAAACAGTGCTGCGGAGAACAACTTCCAGAAAAGCCCAACTGCATCAGAGCTTTGGCTTTATTAAGACGACTAGGAGAATGAGTCAGTAAAAGTTAATAATTTTTTCCTTTGGATTATTTTTTTGGGGGGGGCACAATTAGTAGTGCATGAGGACTCCAAGTTCTGTGCTCAGGGGCACTCTTAGAAGTGGTCAGGACATCATGAGATGTAGGTAACATGGCCTGCCCCAACATACCAAGCAGGGACTCAGTCCTGGCTCAGTCCTTTGAGATAGCTCTTTGGCTTATAAAGTGAATCTTATTTTGTTTTATTTTTCCAAAATTTGATTTCAGGCACCATGATTCGCAATATGGGTAATGGCAAGGTTACACACACACACACACACACACACACACACACACACACGCACGTGCACTAATTTTAATAGCACATACTCCAGCAGGGTCCACTTCCCTCTATCACACATCCGAGTGTCCATTCTGTCCTGTTCCCTTATCCTCTTTCACTGAGATGCTTTCTATTAAAAATCTCTTCCCGGGTCAGAGCAATAGTACAGCAGGTAGGGCATTTGCCTTGCACGCAGTCGACCTAGGTTCGATTGCTGGCATCCCATATGATCCCCCAAGCACCATCAGTAGTAATTCCTGAGCAGAATGCAAGGAGTAACCCCTGAGCATCACTGGGTGTGACCCTAAAAACATAATAATAATAATAATAATAATAATAATAATAATAAAATGAAAAAATAAGTAAAAACCTCTTCCCAGCTTCGATTGCCCATGAGTAGTTGTTATGTTTTTACTATGTGACTTTATATTGTGCACATAAAAGAGATTATTCAGTATCTGTCCCTTTCCTTTTGACTGATTTCACTCAGGATATTACTCTCAGACCCATCACTGTCACTGTCACTGTCCTCCTGTTGTTCACAATTTGCTCAAGCGGGCCCATAACATCCCCATTGGAGACTTTTGTTGTTACTGTGTTTGGCATATCGAATACATCACGGGTAGCTTGCCAGGCTCTGCCGTGTGGGCGAGATACTCTCAGTAGCTTGCCAGGCTCTCCGAGAGGGGCGGAGGAATCAAACTCGGGTCAGCCAGGTTGGCTGCATGCAAGGCAAACGTCCTACTGCTGTGCTATCACTCCAGACCCATCACATAACTACAAATCACATAATTTTGTCTTTTCTAATGGCTGAGTAGTATTCCATTGTGTATATGTATCACAGTTTCTTTATCCAGTCATCTGTTCTTGGAAATTTGGGTTTTTCCCCCCCAAATTTTGACTATTGTGAATAGTGAGGCAAAGAACAGAGGAACACAAACGTCTTTTTTGAAGAGATTTTTGCTGTTGTTCTTGGGATAAATGCCAGAAGTGGAATTGCTGGATCATATGGGTGATCAATTTCTAGTTTATTGAGAACTATTTTGTTTATTAAAAAGGAGAGACCAATAAACATTTACAAAGCAATGCATGTGAGTTTCTTTCCCCACATCTATGCCAACACTTGTTTCTAATCTTAATGTATGCCAGTTTCACCAGTGTGTGGTGATATTCTTTTATTTTTTAAAAATTTTCTTATTTTCGTGATGTGAGTTTTAAATGGAACTAAAGGATGAAGTCTACAAAAAAAGCATCAAAACTGGAAGTTGTAGAGCATAATTTTTGTAAGTGAAGAATATTTTTTTCTTTTTGGTTTTGTGGCCAGCTTGGTGATTTTCAGGGCTTACCCCTGGATCATCACTCAGAAATAACTCCTGGTGGTGCTCAGAGGATGAAATGCAATGCTGGGGATTGAACCCAAGTCAACCACATGCAAGGCAGACACCCTACCTACTGTACTATCGCTCTGACTCCAGGAAAAGTAGTCTTATAATCATTTTATATTTATAGTATTCTATTTTCAGAAGCTGTATCTTCTAGTAAAAGGGTCTTATAATAACCTAGGAAAGGAAAGTTCAGTATTGCTAATCCAGTATTCAAAACTGGTATCAAGATTCAATTAAAATGAATGACCTGCTCAATATGCTGAGAAAAGGGAGACCGAAATTGAATGTGGGTGAGCTCCTAATTGCCATCTTGGTGCTCGGTCCAAAAGCCCACACTGTACAGGAAGTGCCAGACAGTCACATATGTGGGGCACTGAGATATGACAGCGTCCACACTACTAATCAGCCGACAAACAAAAGAAACCAAATACCAAGCCTAATACTTGTTGTTTCTAATAGAAAAAATTTCCCTATTTTTTTTTTCAGGTCAAATCTGACAAAAACATAATAGGGAAAGAATTTGCTCCATTCTAGACTTTACCTTGCAGCCAATAGTTCTCCCAGAAACATTTCAACTTTACGGACTTCATTTTTCTTCTCTGGAATGTGCTGTTTAGTCTCTCCTAGGTTTTCTGTACTTAATCTTTCACCCATTTCATGAATCCATAAGTTCAGTTTTCTGTGTTGATCCTCAAAACTAAAAAATAACAAGCACATACACCTTAGAGAAATTTCTTATAAGATTATTTAATTCATTAAGTTTGAATATTTGAGGTCATACTATAAAAAGTATGAAAGAAAAACAATAAATCCATCCAATTAACCACTTATTTCAATAAATGAACAATAAATCCTCATAAGGTCTCATGAGATTCAAGTAGAAAAATATTAACAGTAGCTAATCTGATTTCTTGGTAATGGGTGGTAGCTGCTGGTTGGATTTCACTTTCATATCAATGGGAACTCAACTCTATGTCTTACTACAAAGACCATAGAGGGGAGCCAGTGGGTAGAATGTATAAGTTGGAAGCCCCAGGAAATGAAAGCAAGTCATTTTTGTCTTTCTATCCTATGGGAACTTGACTAAGGCATAAGCAAAGGGCATAAGCTCCAAAAACAATATAAGTTGTCTAAGAAACCTGGACAAGAGTATGGAAAATTTCTGTGCCACCAGAAAGACATCTGGAGTAGTTATATATTTTTTCCACCCTGGAAAATGAAGCTTCTGCTATATATTGCTTTGTTCTGTATTTTTGTATTCACCACTATTGCTATAGCTTTCTGATTGGGAACAGAATTAACTGTTGTTTTTCTGCCACACCTAACCCAATTGAAGTAGCTGCAAGCATGAAACTACTTGAATATCCTAAAACTTCAGTGTCAAAGCTCTAATATCTTAAAATAGTCATACAGAGAACAAGTACGAGTATTTATGTCATTCACATTTACTAGGAAATAATGTTTCTTTCTCTTTCTTTACAGACCATCTAGCCAAAACATACCCCTCAAATCTAAGCACGAATTGTCCTAGTGTGAATCTGTATGAACGGCTGAAATTTAAAATTTCAACTCATAATTTTGAATCTTGTTTATTTATTCACAATCACTCTTTTCTCTAAGTCCTTAGAAATAGAGCCATACGTGAGGGAATCCACACTTAGCAAAAAGTCATACCTCCCGAGCTCTAAGGCGCAGTCCTGCAGAGCTTGTCTGTCTTTAAGGCACTGTTTCAGGAATGCTTGGAATTCCTCATTAGCCTTCGTAATTTGCTCCTGAATGCTACTGACCACTTGTTTAGACAAATGTGCATACAATGTTTGTCCCTCCTGGGTCACAGCATCCAGCTTGCTCTGCCCATCTCTCACTGAGTCCAGAATGTTCTGTTTAGGGAAATAAAGATGCATAAAAATTGCTAACAGAAAGAGACCCTGGTGTAAGGGAGCACAAATCACAAATCTATATTGAGATAGAAAGTAAGACAAGGAAGAAGGACAAAGCCAGAAGGAAGAAGGTCTTTAATAGGCTGGAGCTGAATGATGTATACACTTGGAATATAATTAAGGCTGATCATTGAAGATGGTGCCTGCTTGTCAGTCCTTAGAACCACTGAAGACAAACTGAGCAATGCACGGTCGGGAAGGATTTCTTATCAATTTCTTCTTGCCCATTTCTCCATAGATTCCCTGTGTTCTACCTAGTTCAGGCCCTACCTGTTCACATGACTCGAGTGATATCTTCTTCCCGACTGTTTCTTCTCCTCCCTCTCCTTCACTGCTTCCTTCTCCTTTCTTCGCTCCCCTTCCTGGGCTCCCTCTCTATCCTGCATACAAGGCCCTGTCCTCAGGTTCCTGGTTTTGCTACTCTGAGCCTCTCCTCTGGAGAATGACGTGCCTGATGTGGCTTCAACAGAGCAAAAGGCCCCTGTTGCTGTGCTAGCTTGGCTGTTCCCTGAGTCCTGGGCTGGAAACCGCCACTTAGACTGTTCTGTGTGATGCTCCTTCTGCATCTCACATGTAAAGGTGACAGTTCCCCAAGAGAAGACAAAACCTTCAAGTCTGACCTCAGATATGAGGTTACCAAGCGGAGGGAACAGTAAGCTTTGGGGTCAGAGGTTCGATGTGGAAGAGACACAGGGCAATTTAGTGTGGTAACATTGTACTCTTAAAACTTACTGACATTTGTCTTCTTGAAAACCCATGTTATCATGATACAACATAAAATAAATGAAAGGGGACCATTCCACCCACTCCTGGATTCACCATGTCTCCTACAAAATTAGCTCCCATTCCTATAGCCACCTTCCTAACTATTGCTAATGAGTCATCTACATGGTTGTCATTCAGCCATTGGGCAGAAGGCTCAGTGCTTAAGACAGAAACTTGGGGCAGGGGGCCCAGGGGTGCATGACTGCCACCAGAGCTAATTCCAAGGATGCAGGAAGGGGACATTGTGGTGCAAACATTCAACTCAGGGCCTTGAAAATATAGGAATATGCTCTCTCACTTGAGTTATCTTTCTGGCCCCTGTTAATCTTTATTTTTTTAAAGTAGGAGCACACCCAGTGATGCTTAAGGCTTACTCCTGACTCAGTGCTCAGGGATCATTCTTGGAGGTGCTTGGGGGACCATATGTGTGGTGCTGGGGATCAAATCCAATGTGGCCACAGCAGGCAAGTGCCCTACCTGCTATACTCTCTCTCAGGCTCCAGTCAATCAATCATTTCTTAACTGTTTCACAATGCTCTTCTCTTCCTGAATTCATCTATTTTTTTAATAATCAGTGAGATCTATAAAACTTATAAATTCTATTACTTTGATTTGAATATATTCTGACTTCTAATTTAAATTACAGGCCATTAAAATAAAAAAAAAAGAATCCAGAGCCGGAGTGATAGTATAGCGGGTGGGGCATTTGCCTTGCACAAAGCTGACCAGGGTTCAATCCCTGGCATCCCATATGGTCCCCCAAGCACAGCCAGGAGTAATTCCTGAGTGCAGAGCCAGGAGTGCAGAGCCTGAGCATTGCTGGGTGTGACCCAAAAAGGAAAAAAAGAAATAGAAGCCATGTCTTTTAAAAACCTGCTCCACAACAATGATGGGAAATAGACACAATTTTTTTATTACTTTAGTGTTAAAATGGAAACTAGACTGAGTTTTGAATAAATTCTAAAGAAAGTCAAAAGGCGAAGAAAGAATTAGAAAGTATGTAACTCTAGTCTATTTGCTCAACTTGGCTGCATATTGCTTTACTTCTTTTTTTTTTTTTATTAGTGAAGCACCATGAGGTACAGTTGTAGATTTACAAATCTTTGTGCTTGGGTTTCGGTCATACAATGATCAAATACCCATCCCTCCACCAGTGCCCATTTCCCCCCACCCCCCTCCCACCCTGCCTCTGTGGCAGGGCATTCCCCTTTGTTCTCTCTCTCCTTTTGGGTATTGTGGTCTGCAAAAGAGGCATTGAGTGGCAATCATGTTCAGTCCATAGTCTACTTTCAACATGCATTTTCCCTCCTGGGAGGATCCTCCAAACACCCTTTATTTGGTGTTCCCTTCTCTATCTGAACTGCCCTTTCCCCTAGAATACCCGGCTGGCCTCTAAGCTATGGAGTAATCCTCCTGGTGTCGATCTCAGCTATTCTTAGGTATTGATCTCATATTTTGTTGCTTTATATCCCCCAGATGAATGCAATCTTTCTATGTCTATCCCTCTCTTTCTGACTCATTTCGCTTAGCATGATACTTTCCATATTGTACCACTTGTATGTAAATTTCATGACTTCATCTTTTCTAAGAGCTACATAGTACTCCATTGTGTAGATGTACCAAAGTTTCTTTAACCAGCCATCTGTTCTTGGGCATTCAGGTTTCTTCCAGTTTCTGGCTATTGTAAAGAGTGCTGCAATGAACAAACAAGTGCAGATGTCACTTCGACTACACATTTTTGCCTCTCTGGGGTATATTCCCAGGAGTGGTATCGCTGGGTCAAATGGGAGCTCAATTTCTAATTGCTTTACTTCTTAAAGGCTAACGAAATTGAATTATCCTAGGGAGGAAAAAAGATTGAATAAAACATAATTTAGGAAAAGTGGTGATTCAGGTTTAATGTGAATGTACTTTGGTGCATGGGGTTAGGGGAAGAACTGAAATTTTCATACCTGAAGATCTTGGAGCTTTGCCTCTAGAACTTTGCTGTCACCAGTTCTATCTGACGATGCTCTAGCTGCTGCTTTTATTCCAGAAAACCATTCCTGGAATTCCTGCATCGACTCTTTTGAAGAAAAAAAATTCAAAAAGAAAAATCAATGCAAATTCTTAAATAAGCTTTCAGAATTATCACAATGCATTCATTCTTCTAGTATCTTGCTTTATAAAATATTCCAGAAAGAAAATAATAATAATAATACATTAAAGAATGCAGCATGATTTATAACCATAACTGTTCATGGCAGAATTAAAAATTTTCCTAGAGGAAAGATGAAGAAAATTTCTATTTCTGATATATCTGATTTCCTTCTTTTTTCTTGTGGCAAATAAAGAGAATGAATTTGCCTGAAGTTAGTTCATGTTTCTCTAACATCTGATGCTCTTATTGATTCTTTCTTGTGGCAGAGAGAGAGAGAGAGAGAGAGAGAGAGAGAGAGAGAGAGACTTAATTACTGGAATGTGTGTAAGGCCAGGAAGAACGTTCTGGGCATGTGAGAGCCATTTTTATGATCAAGGGAGGAGCCCTCTTCTCTTCCCGCCATCCCTGGCCATCCACCACAGACCTGGCCCAGCTGTCTCTCTGAGGAAAGCCAAGTCAACTGACATAGGACCAGCCACACCCCAGCTGTCCGGCTGCCACTGCCTCTCCTAACATCCAACTTCATTGTGTCACTTCATCAAAGCAGTGAGACTAATTTTCCACACAGCAAGCTCATGGGAGACAAGACTGTTACCAAAATGGTAGCCTTCTATTCCAAGGGGAGAATGACACAGCATTCTCCTCAGGATGTGAATTCCAGCTCAGCCTATATGCCTCAGCCCTCAAATGAGCTTCAAAAGCTTCCCTTCTGGAATGTTCCCTCACCCTTCTGCTGGTAGTTTCCAGGCAGCCTGAGGTTGGGATGCTTTCTCACAACAAATGATCCTCCATAAGTGGAGGCCTTTCGGAGCTCACCGTTGAAGTGTTTCTCCAGAGAGTCCTGCAGGCTGGCCTGGGTTCTGGAGCACAGCTGGCTCGCGGCTTCATGTTTCTTGATGAGTCCCGTCAGTGCACTGCCCAGCCTCTCAAGCTCCACCGAGTGGTACTTGCGGCACAGACCGTTGAGATTTTCTTGGGTTGAGCTAATGCTGCTTTGCTGGCTTTGAAGTTCTTTTTGTACTTCCTAAAGGAAAAAAGTGCAGTCTGAAGGAAATGCATCACATTCAAGAAACACACCTTCAGCTCCACAATACCTTTTGATTTTTTTTTTTTTTTTTTTTTTGCTTTTTGGTTTACACCCAGCCGATGCTCAGGGGTTACTCCTGGCTCTGCACTCAGAAATCACTCCTGGAGGTGCTTGGGGGACCATATGGGATGCTGGGAATCGAACCCGGGTCATCCGTGTGCAAGGCAAACGCCCTATCTGCTGTGCTATTGCTCCAGCCCCTCCGCAATACCTTTTGTAAAATATCTGCCATTCGATGCTATAAGAAAACCCACCCAGTAATATTTTTTAATTATTTTTTTATTAGTGAAACACCATGAGGTACAGTTGTAGATTTACAAATTTTTGTGCTTGGGTTTCAGTTATACAATGATCGAGTACCCATCCCTCCACCAGTGCCCATTCTCCACCACCATGGATCCCAGTATCCCTCCCACCCCCGATCCCCCTGACCCCACCCTGCCTCTGTGGCAGGGCATTACCTTTTGTTCTCTCTCTCCTATTGGGTGTTGTGGTTTGCAAAAGAGGCAATATGTTAAGGGACTGTTTGGAGAAGTATTTCTTAGACATCTGTGTTGATTTTTTTTTCTCTTCAGAGTTTTGCCCAGTTCCCCTTAGGAATAATTTAAAAAATAGCTGTTGGGAGATGGTTAACATTGGGGTGATAACTGGTGTTTATGGAACTCACAAGTCCTTGGTTTTAATCATTTGAATATCATTTCTTTTCTCCCAGGATTGCCTGGGGCCACTGCAGTTATATCCAGCCATGCTCAGGAGGTGGTACCAGGGACAAAAGTCAGAGCCCTGTGCCTAGCAGGCATGCATGCCAGCCCTTTGCTCTATCATCCTGGCTGGCTTTTCAATCATTTGATAGGAAACTGCTAATGAAGTTCCCATCTAAATTCACATGGCTCAGCAGCCATGCGGGCTCATCAGGGTAACAGGCCAAACTAAAATTACCAGAAGTTCATTTAAAATATCTGTCATTTTAGGTTGCAAGTATAATAAGAAACTCTACCAAGATAGAATTAATTCTGTATCTCAAAAATTCAACTCAACACTCAAGACTTACAGATAAAGGATCAAAAATATCATTCACAAATGTGACAAAAGACAAAAGACATGGATTATTTTCTCAGCTGGTACTCAGAAACTATGTCTTTCTGGAGATGAGAGCAGTCAGACTGACCAAAATGAATAATTAAGTGAAGAAAATATCTTTGGCAATCAAGTTTGGAGATTTGTGGGAGTTCAGTTTTATAGGCTCTATTAAAATAGTATTGAAAATATTAAAATTATTATCAAGTCAGTAAAGGAATAGGCTCTACAGAAATCTATTTTTTATTTTACTCATCTTTGATTTCTGTTTTTATATTACTCATTTTTGATTTCTTGTCATCTGTATTTATTTCTCCATGTGTTTCTTTGATGAGTCTCCTCTCACAAAATTTTGATTCGGTGTTAATATGGGTTACTGAGAACAGAGTCTACATTTTCATGATTTTAACCATGGAACAGACAAAAGAGGGCAACTCTGATTACCACTAATGTTTAGACACTCGGCAACTGACCTTCACTTTCTGCAGCCCTTCGCAAGTCTCAGTTTGGGCACAGTTCATCAATGATTCTTCTAGTTTTGTCAACTGAGTTGTTAGCTCATTGATAAATTTCTCCACTTGAGTACTTTGAGCAGTGAAATCTTTCAACGTTCCTTTTGCTTCTTCAGTAATTTCTTTGGCATGCTCCAGTTTCTGCCTTAAGTCTGCTTCTATAAACTAAACAGAAAGCAACATTTCACTTGACTTCTATGAAGACCAGAATTCAGTGGGTATTTCATCAATTTGCTCGAGCAGGCCCAGTAACATCTCCATTATGAGACTTCTTGTTACTGTCTTTGGCATATTGAATACTCTTGGTAGCTTGCCAGGCTGTCCAAGAGGGGCGGAGGAATTGAACCTGGCTCGGCCGGGCTGGCTGCGTGCAAGGTAAATGCCCTACCACTGTGCTATCACTCCAGCCCAGTGGGTATTTATTTCAGTAAAAAATATTTTAAAAATATTTAAGATTACCCATGGTCATTAATTCAATTTTTGAAAGAAGGGAAGTCATTTAGTAGGCATTGCCAAATAATTTTAAGTGATGGGAAACAGAAAGAATAAGAATTGCAGTTGATATTGGGCATTCAAGGGTTAGTTTTGATTGAAGCTCTGGGGAATATATGAGATCCCATTCTAGAGAGCTAAATCCACACAAATTTACCAAAATGGTTATCAAAATAGACCCTTCATTATTCTTGAGAAATTATTATGCACTTTTCTCAACTGGAGCGATAGCACAGCGGGTAGGGCGTTCGTCTTACAAGCGGCCAACATGACCGACCCGAGTTCGATTCCTCCGCCCCTCTCGGAGAGCCCGGCAAGCTACCGAGAGTATTCGATATGCCAGACACAGTAACAACAAAGTCTCCAATGGAGACGTTACTGGGCCCGCTCGAGCAAATCGACAATCAACGGGAGGGCCTTCTCAACTGTAATCAATACATTGAATACATGTCGCTATGGGAAAGTATCAGTCAATGGAAAGGATAAAATATTGAGACAGAACTCTTTGTATGTACCCAAGAGAGACCAGCCAGGCTAGTGGATCTTTGGGCACATGATTTGAAATAGCTCAGCCTTTCTGTTTGGTTCAGCTCTACCCAATCCTGCCTCACAATTCCTACAGGCTTGTGCCATTAGCAGGACATCAAAAGAAGATTTGCAATGGTGAGTCCTTTAAACTCAGGTCCTGAGTCAATGAATAAGAAAAATATCAATAAAGAAGTCAAGATTCATAAATATACTCCCTGTTTCTGTCTATACAAAAAAATCTATGGGGCAAGCTGAATTATGCCACTTCAAAAATTTAATATGAGAAAAAGGGAACTGTCCTAAATTATTTGGGCTAGATATTTTTATTAATATTGACACAATTAATTCTAAAAATGTGAATATTTTAACTCATTAGTATGATACTGTTTACTTAGTATTGATCATAGCAATAAGAATACAGCCATACAAATGTGTTTGTATAAAATATATTCTTTATAAAGTATACAAGTACGTAGTTTCATATTTTTTGTATAGTTTCACTTAAAGTAGTTATGATAAATCTTCCTGAGTGCTTACCTGAAGGTCTGGTGGTGTTTCTGGATTTTTAGTTAATTCTTTAAGATCATTCACTTTAGAATGAAGGTCTTCCAATTTCAGTGCTTTGCTTTTAACTTCAGACTGCCAAAAATAAAAGAAAAAGTAGAAAATCATAACTGAGTCCAACCACTGATACAGTCTATTTGACATGAAATAATGTTATTTTATTTCTAAGTGCTCAACTAGAAACTATAGTCAAAAATGTTTAATTTTTAATTTTTTATTATTTATGAATGTGAATAAATATCTACATTAACTATCATGTGGAATGTGAGGGAACAGATGGAACTTTCTCATTTCTCTTTTACTGGGATAAAAAAGACTACTGGAAATAATGTTAACCAAGTCTTGAGTCAACAACTTTCAATACACTGTTATTTATTTATGAATTTATCACTTTATTATTACTCTGGTAGCATTAAACTTTCAAGTTTATCAAAGCATATGCTCATTGTAGTGCCTAATGCCTAGAAATATATCAGATTTAACACTTTCTATGAAGCTATATTACTCTGATACTCAAAACTAACAGAGATATTACAAAAAAAATTCAGACCAATTTCATTGATGAACATCAATACAAAAATGCTCAACAGAATCTTGGGAAATCCAAGCACATAAAAAAAAAGTCATATACCACAGGGCAGAGTCTGGCAAACTCCCCGTGGCGTACCAAATATGCCAAATACCAGTAACAATGATGGGTCTCATTCTCCTAAAGAGCCTTGAATATAATCTCAGGGCTAGGATGAAAGAGACGTTACTGGGGCCTGCTCGAGGCAATCGACGAATAACAGGATGATGTATGAATGAATGAATGAATACCATGATCAAGTGAAATTCATCCCAGGGATGCAAGAATAGCTTAATATATGTAAATCAATGAGCATAATGCACCACATCAATAAACAAAAGGTAAAAATCATATTACAATTCCAATTGATGCAGAGAAAGCTTTCGGCAAGATTCAATACCCACTGATGTGAAAAATCCTCAAAAATATAGGGTTGGAAGGAACATTTTAAATTTAGTGACAGACATTAATAAAATGCTCATAGGCAGTATTATTCATAATGGTGAAAATCTGAAAACATTTCCACTAAGATTAGGCACAAGATGAAGTTGTTTAGTGTTCAATTTAACATTATATTAGAAGTCTTGGCAACAGCAATCAAACAAGAAAAGGAAATCAGAGGTATATAAATTGGAAAAGAGGAAGTCAAATTGTCTCTATTTGCAGATGACATGATGATACACACTGAAGACCCTAAAGTGTCCACACAAACAATCCTACAAACAAAAAACCAATACAGCAAAATGACAGGATATCAAGTCAGTACACCCAAAAATGATTTCATTTCCTGTATGCAAATAATGAATCAGAGGAGAAAGAGAGCAAAGAGTCTATTTTGTTTAAAATAGTGTCCAGATACATCAAGTACCTAGGAATCAATTTACTGAAAGAGGTGAGAGAACTAGTCCATGAAAATTTCAAGGTACTCAAGAAAGAAATAAAAGATCTTAGGAAATGGAAAAACATTTCATGATGGTGGGTTGCAAGACTCAATATTGTCAAAATGACCATTTACCTAAATTACTATATAGATCCAATGCAATACCTATCCAAAATCAGAAAACATCCTTCAAGGACTTAGCACAGTCAGTTACAAAGTTTGTGTGAAATCATAAAAGATCCTGCATAGTCAAAAGTATACTGAAAAATAAGAAACTGGAAGGCATCTCACTTTCTAACTTGAATCTATACTACAAATCCATAGTAATCAAGACACCATGGTCACTGTCACTGTACTCCCATTGTTCATCGATTTGCTCGAGTGAGCCAGTAACATTGTGAGACTTGTTGTTACTGTCTTTGGCATATCGAATATGTCACGGGTAGCTTGCCAGGCTTTGCCATGTGGGCAGATACTCTCGGTAGCTTGCTGGGCTCTCCAAGAGGGGTGGAGGAATTGAACTTGGGTCGACCAGGTCACTCGCGTGCAAGGCAAACACCCTACCCACTGTGCTATCACTCTATGGTACTGGAATAAAGAAAGACTCTGACCAATGGGTGAGAATAGAATATTCAAGAATAAGCCTCCATATATATGGTCAGCTAATTTTGAAATAGAAGCTGGGAGAATAAAATGGAATAAAGACAGCTTTCTCAACAAGTGGTGGTAGGGAATTGGAAAATCACATGCTAGGAATTAAATCAGTATATCATGCCTTCCAAAAAAAGTCAACTCAAAGTGGATCAAAGACTTTGAGATCAGACCTGAATCTATAAAGTACACTGAGGTAAACCTTTCCTCCCCGCCCCGACCAGGTCTCCGGCAGCCAACGACCTCCAGGACCAGACACCACCATGCTGAGACCACTCTCCGCACACCTGAAGGTACCGGCAGAGGGACAAAGCCACGTGGATTCCAGGGCCGAGATCTCCAAGCCTACTCGGATTGGAGTCGAGCATCCTCCACCCAGATCCTCCAAATTCCAGTAGGCGGGGGTCACACCCACCAACTGGCCCCCTGGCGCCGTGTAATCCCATCAGCGTCCAAGACTCAGAGACTATAAAAACCAGATCCCGGAACCGCGAGGCCGCATTCGCGGTCGCGCGACATTTTATTATGACATCTCATTCCTACTTTGACAAACTGGCAGGCTCCCGAATGTAACCTGCCCACACGGCAGAGTCTGGCAAACTCCCTGTGTCATACCCAATATGCCAAATACCAGTAACAATGATGGGTCTCATTCTCCTAAAGAGCCTTGAATATAATCTCAGGGCTAGGATGAAGGAGACGTTACTGGGGCCTGCTCGAGGCAATTGACGAATAACAGGATGATCTGTGATCTGATCTGTGATCTGAGGAAAACCAAGGCAGAATGCTCTAGTCCTCCAAAGAGTAGTCAATGATATGATTGACAGTGACTGCCATTGGCAAAGGCTACAGAATCAAAGTAAATAAAAAGGGACTGCATCAAACTTAAATATTTCTGTATGGGAAAAAGAAACAGAAGCTAAAATGAAATAAAAGCTGAATAGGAGGAAATATCACTATATCACTGTCATCCTGTTGTTTGTCAATTTACTCGAGTGGGCACCAGGAACATTTCTATTCATCCCTGCCCTGAGATTTTAGCAGCCTCTCCTTACTCATGTTTCCCAATGATTGGAGGCTCTCTCAGGGTCAGGGAAATGAGACCTTTTATAGTCACTGGTTTTGGCATATTGAGTATGCCACGGGGAACTTGTCAGGCTCTGCAGGCTCTGCCTGTGCAGGCAGGATATTCTCCATTTTCCACTGCTTACCGGGCTCTCCGAGAAGTGTGTGTGTGTGTGTGTGTGTGTGTGTGTGTGTGTGTGTGTATTTCTCACTATGATTTGTTGCTTACTGTCTGAACTCAATCAAACATGGTGTGATAATTGGAAAATGGGTAGGAAGTGTCTTATGATGTGTTGCCGCATGGTCCAGAAAGCAGCCTGGACCATGGTGGCAGTTGGGTAGTGGTGGCCAGCTGCCAGGGCTGGGTCCTTTAGGGTGAGGAGGGCTCCTGTCCACCTTCCTCTGGGGTGGCCAAAGTGGACACAGCCTGTCACAGAGTCCCAGGAGGAAATAGTCACACACAAAATATCAGATAAAGGGTTGACATCCAGTATCTATATATTACTCAGAAAGATCAAGAAAAAAATCTAAAAGACTCATCAGAAAATGGGGAGAGGAACTGAACAGATACTTCATGAGGGAAAACCAATGGATGGCCAACAGGCACATGAAAAAATGTTCATCATCACTTATTTTTAGGGAAATCCAAATCAAAGAGGCAAGGAGAATGGCACATATCAAAAATACTGGGAACAATCTCTGTTTGCAGGGGTGTGCTAATGTTTTCTGACCCAATACCTATATGGGTCAGAAACAATATGGAGGGTACTCAGTAAACTGAGAATGGAGCTCCTATATGACTCAGCAATTCCGCCTTTGGTTATCTAAGCCCAGGAAAGGAAAATATTCATTCGAAAGAATGTGTGCACACCATTATTCACTGCAGCATTCAGTACTATAGCTAAAATTGGGAATGAACCTAGATGTGTTGCAACAGATAAGTAGATCAGGAAGATGTGGTATATATACACAATGGAATATTATACAGCTATAAGGAATGATGAAATCATGCGCTTTGTGGCAACATGGAGAGAACTGAAAGACATCATGTTAAATGAAGTAAGCCAGAAGAAAAAGGATAACCATAAGATGACATCGCTTATCTGTGGTATTTAGAATACCTGGATGAGGGAATGCAGTGTTTTAAAGGGGGAAGGTGGTGGTGCCCAGTTCAACCATAGCCCCAGAGTATAAGAAGAAAAAAAAAGAGCAGAGAAGAGGGGGAGAAGAGACAGGTGAGGAGCAATGGGGTCCAAATCAGGGGACTCAAGTACAAAGGTGGGGCTAAGGAATGATAGAGCTAAATATCCAAACCAGAGAGTCAATAATACCAAAATCAAGAGAACCAAACTTTAACCACAGAACTTAGAATGGAGCTTATCAAAGGGGTAGGCTGGAGCTGGCAGGGGATATGGGAGGGAACCCGGGAAACTGCGTGAAGGGAAGGTGACACTAGTACAGGGATGGGTGTTGCAATATAATGCGTATGAAACTCAACTATGAATAACTGTAAATCACAGTGCTTTAATAAAAAATAATTTAAAAAAGAAGCATTTTAAATAAAATTTAAAGTAAAGTAAAGTAAAGGCCCTCCCGTTGATCATCGATTTGCTCGAGCGGGCCCAGTAACGTCTCCATTGGAAACTTTGTTGTTACTGTGTTTGGCATATCGAATACTCTCGGTAGCTTGCCGGGCTCTCCGAGAGGGGCGGAGGAATCGAACTCGGGTTGGCCATGTTGGCTGCGTGCAAGGCAGACACCCTACCCGTGTGCTAAAGGATGTAAAAACAGAAATCCAATTATGTTGAAAATAAACAGCCACTAATTTGTTTTTTTTTTTGTTCCCCATCCACACTAACACAGAGAGAAGACCAATTATAAAGACATTACCAAACACTCAGTAGCTTATTAACTTCATTAATTATCTGGGATCACAAAGGAACATTTAATAAAGTATCCTCTCTCCTGAAAGATAGTGTTTTGGTACTTGGATGATGCTAACAAACCTCTTAATTTGTTCAATCCAGAAAGCAATTTATCCTCCCAGTGAGAGGTGATAAATTAACTGCCAGACCCACTGACCACCCCCAAAGCTGCAGGAGGAATCACCCACACAACAGCTACACGAGGATACAGTCAGGCACTGAATAAAGTCCCAGCTCTGACTTTATTAGCTGATGACTACACAGTTGGGCAGCAGCATTGAAAAAACTTTCTGTGAGTGACTCAACCTGTGGGCTGGTATCTCCTGCCTGCTTGGATAATGGAGATCATTAGTAAGAGCCTGGGACGATGCTTTAGCAACTGGCAACCAAAAAGGAGGGTACGTACTGATTTGTGACATTTATCACCATTTCAAGCTCCAACATGTTACTGCCCATGGAATTGAAAGAAATGCCTCATAGCCAAGAATTTTGAAGTATTTCCACCACATAGATACAACAGATGTTAATAATTCATGTGCCCAGATAACAATAATATGTAGAAAAGAAATTAGGAAGTGAAAAGTTTCAAGGATTGAAATATCTTTGACTTGTAATAGCCTTCATTCAATTGCAAATTTACTTTACAATTTCATTCTTAAGAACCGTTATGTTTAAGACTGGGTCACAATATTTCTACAAATGTAATAGCTGATTTTTCCAAGTGATCAAGTGATATATATGCATGGCAGAGCCTGGCAAGGTCCCAGTGGCATATTTGATATGCCAAAATCAGTAACAATAACGGGTCTCATTCCCCTGACCCTGAAAGAGCCTCCAATATGGCAGTGTTGGGAGAGATGAGTAAGGAGAGGCTGCTAAAATTTCAGGGCTGGGACAAATGGAGACGTTACTGGTGGCTGCTCAAGCAAATCGATGAACAACAGGATGAAAGTGAAAGTGAAGTGATTTTTCCAAGCTAGCACAAACCCTACTCTACACATGCCGTTGTTTGAGACTTAGTACACATGTAACATTAAAGAAAATGTGTGAAGGGACTACAGATTTTCTCTCTTGATGATACTTTCAGTGTGGATAGTTTTGGCCATTACATTATACCCTGAGAAACTGGAAGTAGATGATAAAGTCTCTAGAATGTTCTCTAAGCCAAAGATATCTGGATAACTTTGATCATCCACCCACATTTTTTTTTCTCAGATTACAGTCAGGCAGTCTTGCATCTTGATGTTCCATGCATGCCAGGCACTACACTGGGTACCCAGGAAGAAAACACTCAACTTTGAGTACACAAGATTCTATGTTTTTAATGGGAGAAGAACGTGATGCTAAAAAATGCTAAAAAGTATTATGTATGAAACCCTGTCAGTAACAATACTGTAAATTATAGTGCAAAAAAACATATATATGTGTATACAAAGAACCTTATCGTAGAATCAGACTCCTGGGAGGAGCCAAATTGGTGGTGACATTGGTGGAGAGAAGTTGAAGGGATCAGAGCTATAAAATTGTGTGCCTGAAATCTAATCATGTATAACTTTGTAATTTCACAGTGACTGAAAAATAAATCCATTTTATTTTAAAAGAAAAATAAAGTGACACCTCCCCCCACAAAAAAAGAAACCCTTCATGTTTTGTAAAAAAAAAAAGTAACTCTGGTCATATCTTTCCCTTTACTACCTTCACTTTGTCATTAATAGTCCAATTTTTTTAATGCTTTTTTTGTTTGTTTTTGGGGGCTCACACCCAGTGGTATTAAGGATTACTCCTGGCCCTGTGCTCAAGTATCACTTCTGGAGGGGCTCAGGGGGCCATATCTGATGCCAGGGATTGAGCCTGGGTCAACCACATGCCGAGGCATGTGGCCTGCTCGCTGCACTATCTCTATGGCCAATATAATCCAATTTGACAGGAAATACAAAATACTGTAACTGAAACACAGCAGATGCCCTAGGAGTGGAGATTTTGATTAACCATTCTATTCTCAGTGACTGATTCAGTGTTTGGCTTATTACATCCGCTGATTAAGAATTGCATTAACTTAATGAAAAATGAAAGAAAGAAAATGGAATAAAAGAAATTTAAAATAATGATGAAAATTGTAAAGGTGGCTTTCTGGGAACCCCATGACATCCCTATATCCCAAACATTGTGAAGGAAATAAAGTTGCGTCCATTGCCTGTCTTTGCCTGTTTGGGGGCTGTACCTCCAGGAATTACTCCTGGCTCTGTGCTCTGGGATCACTCCTTGTGGTGCTTGGGGACCAAGTGCAAGACAAGTATCTTACTATAACTATACTATGTTTTCTATCCTGGATACCCCATTGCCTACCTGTTGGTGTTCTGGTTTTGGACCACATTTAGTGGTGCTGGGGACTTACTTCTGGCTGTTTGTTCAGAGATTACACCTGGTGGGTTTAGGGGATCATATAGGGTACCAGGGATCAAACCCAGGTCAACTGCACGTAAGGCAAAGACCCTATCCACTATGCTATGTCTGCAACCATTGCCTATTGTTAATTTTCAAGTCAATAGCTAGCCATCGCTAAGTTTTGTAATCCTCACAAATGTCTCTGAGAAAAAGAATGGACTTTCAGAAAAACAGACTTTTTTTAATTATTGTGTTCAATGTTCACCTGCACGCATATATATGAAAACGTAGTTGATGTACCTCAAATTCCTTGAGAAATTTTTCTGCTTTGAGGCTGTTGTTCAGATTGTTGATGCTGTCAGCCAGCTGTGGAACTGAATTGTTCGACCATCCATCAATGTCTTCTTTACTTGAAAGCACATTGTCCCAGATGGACAGACTGGCCCTTAGCCTGTCCATGTTCTCGTCGATTTTTTCAGAGACCTGAGAGAGAAATCAGAAGCTGTATCACAAGCATTGTAGCTTTAAGATTCTCATTGTCTGGCCAAGTAATATATGTCTTTTACTGAAAGTAATGTCCATGTTTTCTTAGTCAAAAAAAATATATTCTGGTAGGAAAAAAGCAAACTTGTGAAAAATTACTATAAGCAAATTAGTATAAGGGATTCAAATAAATGCTAGGCAAAATATTGTGTTCTTGGAGAGCTGATTGAGACATTCAACTATTATTTGCTAATTCGAAAACTAATAGGTCTATTGGAGTTCACGACAATGCTATGAAACAATTTTCATTTAGGGAAGTATTAAATTTATTTTTCAAGTGAACACATTAAGCACTTTTATTTATAATCCTAAGGTATAAAAAGTGGACATCAGGGGCTGAGCTATAGTACAAAGCTATACTTGCTTAGTATGTGTCTGACACAGATTCAATTTCCCAGCACCCCATATGGTCCTCTAAACATTTCACCAGGAGTGATCACCGAGCATAGAGCCAGGAATAAATCCTGAACATTGCTTCATTGACTGGTTTGTCTCAAGACAATGAAAAAAGTGGATATCAATTAGATTTGGATAGTATAAGTAAATGCACAGGAACTCAACAACTTAGCATGTTTTAACAAAAAAATGGAGGCATGTACATTTTTCTGCAATTATTTGATCAGACTAGGCAAATATTAATGTGTAACTTTAGTAATGTAGTTTTAAAAAATGAACCCATTATAGACAAAGCTTTGGAACCTAAGTATTTATGATCTCTGTGTTTAAAAAAATGTATGAATGCGTTGGAGAGTTCCAAAGAGATCAGATAAATTGTTCTGTGGTCAGAGCAAGAACTAAAACAGTGATATGTTCAATATTTTTCACTAAACATATTACATTCCTGGATCTGAGAGATTCTATAGGAGTTAAGCCTTGTGCGTGATTAACCCCAGTTCAATCACTAGCAACACATATGGCCTCCTGAGCATCCCATGAGGAATGAACCCTGAACACAGAGATAGGAGTGAGCTCCAATCACAGCTAGATATTTCTCTCAAAAATTACTCTTATTACTTTACTTGAAATTACATTGTGTCTTAACATTATAAAGGATTACATACATTCTTTCATTTATATCCATAATTCCAGAGTTTTCACAGAAAACTACTTCATTTTTTACTTATAAATGTAGTTACAAATGAAATTCTGAAAAGGCTGTGAATAATTTTTGCTTGTTCTTTTTCTTGGGGGTGAAATTTGGGACACAATTGGTTGTGGTCATGGAAAAGCCCTGTAAGGACACAGAGGGCATTTACAGTGACAGGGACTGAACTGGGGTCGGCATTTGCAAGGTAAGAGTGTTACCCCTCACACTATCTGTCTGGCTTTAAAGCTATGAATAATCGTAAATAAAAACAAAGTGATTTTAACTACTTATAAGTCTATATGAGCAATAATTTTTGTTTTGTATTTTTGGGTCCAAACTGGTGGTACTCAGTTCTAACTCCTAGCTATGTGCTCAGGAATCACTCCTGGCAGAATTTAGGGGACAATATGAGGTGTCAGGGATTAAATCTGGGTCAGCTACACACAAGGCAAATGCCCTAGCCACTATACTATTGCTCCAGCCCCAATATGAACATTCAAATCATTTTCTTTGAAATGGTATTGTGTGTTTTAGCACGGGTGCAGTTGAAAGTGGAATCCAGGTACTCTTGAAGGCAAGTCAGAGTGATGACACATATGTTTTGCATCTAGGCGCTCTGGGATCACTTTCAGGCATTCATCCACCCTGAGCCTGGAACAGTCCTGAATACCACAACCCGTGATTCACAAATGAAAACCAAACTTAATTCACATCTCAAGTAATGCTTTGCCCAAGAATGTGCTCGATAAATGTGAATATTTAAGCTGTCCAGTGATGCGCTTACATCCAACCATTTGTCCACAGCACTTTCCATGTCTGTTTTCACCAAGACAAAATCACCACTGTGAATGTTCTTCAGCTCAGACAGCAACTGTTTTCCTTTGCTGGTAAAGCTATCCAGTTCTTTCTGTTTATTATACATTTCATTCTTGGCAGTTTCATGCTGTAGACATAAACGTTGCCATGATTAATAAAACAATTAACAGTTAGTCAAAAATTTAAAAACATCTGCTTCCAAGAAATTTAACTCGACAGAACTTTTTCAGAAGCTCTAATGAGCTGTAGGAATATAAATATATATGTATATATATACACACACACATATATATGATTTCAATTACTAGAATTCTGATGTCAATTGTTTAAGTTGATACCATCAATATCAAGTATCCATTTAAATGTATAAAAAGGTCAGTAAAGAACGTATTGCAAATGAAAAACATGCTGAGTAGTCTACAAAAATAAATATATTTTGAATGATTACCTTAGATAAAGTCCATTTAAGATCCTCCTGATCTTTTATAGTAGTTCTGATAGCAATCACATTGCTGGCGTTTTCTAGGACTTTTGATACAGCTGACTTGAAGTTTTGATATTCTCTTACTAAGTCAATGAGTCCACTGCACTGACTCTGGCTGTCATGACAAAGAATATACAGTATTTACTACGGTGGGTTAGGAAAGGTAAGTGTTCTTCATGATTCGACCAGATGTAACGTCTGGACTATATTCAGTGACAGATGCTGCAATCAAGACAAAATCTCATTGTTACCTACTGGGGTCAAATGCTTGCTGGTCAGTTTAATGGAACTCTCATGATGAATGCTCATGAATAAAGAAATAACACAGAGAGTGAGACAAAAATCTAGGAGCACAATGACAAGCAATGATGCCTCAGATGTTTTTGGTCACTAAAATTTACAGAGATGTTATCAGTTTTTTTTATCAGTTTTCTAAAATTTAACTAATTTATAATGGGGTGTATTGAGAGGAGCAACCAAAACAAAGGGACCAGAGAAATAGTATAGGGGCTTTGTTACTTGTATTCAACGTGGCCAAACACCTTTCGATCCCCAGCCCTGTGTATGGGTCTCCAAGCATTGCCAGGAGTGATTTCTGAGTACAAAGCCAGGAATAAGACCTGAGAATTGCTGGTTGTATCTCCCTCCCTCAAACTAACAAAAAAAGAGAATGAGAGAATAACACAACAAGACAAAGCCATTATTCAATAACTAAAAGACACAGGTTTTTTCCCAATAAATATGAATTCTCTGAAAATTTTCAAAATAGAAATATGACTTTTAACTTTTTATGAGTATAAATATATACTACTACACCTAGAAATTTTTCCTAAGAAAGATATATTCACTAAGCTTAGGGTAAGATATCACTCTTCAAACCAATATTTATAATTGAAGAAAAAAAGAGAAAAATGTGAATGCTAATTCTGGCACATTATTAAAATCAAATATTGTGCAATCTCTAACAAAGGCAACCTTTAACAAATCATACCTTGGGAGAATATTTTAATACCATAGAATAAAGTTTGTAATGTGATCATATATTTAAAAGTCTAGAATTTTGTTGAAAATTTCTTTCATGTTGTGCAAAGAATGTATTGACGTTTAATATATTTCAATGCATAAGAGACACAAAATTATTTATCAATTAGTTTTTTAGAAAATTAATTAGGCATATATATGTTGACCTATTTATGAACTCTTTGTTTTACTGATTTTTATGATTAGACAATACTATGGTAACCCTTCTAGCTGTAAAATATTGAATTTGAAGTGTACCTATGATCTTAAGATAACTTCCCTGACAAATTCCTCTTCTGGGGGAAAAGAGTTTTAATGTCATTAAAGAGATGCCAAATCTCTAAGATCACAAAAGATGTGTAATTATTTACCAAATCAACAAAAATTAATATGCAATGAGTATCCCAGTGCTCCAAAGCAAACAAATAAAAAAAAAACATTTTCACTTACTTTTCATGAATTAATTTTTTGGTATCATCCCACATTACTTCTAGGCGGTTTATGTCCCTATCAACTTCAGGTGCCAATGCTACATCTTTCTGGGCAATTTGCTTAGCTTTGTCTTTCAACCAACAAAGCTCATGCTCATGAGAATTCAATTCATCTTCTAACTGATTGAAGACTCTCAACCTGTAAATTATAAGGTTATTCTTGTATTTAATAATAGAGTGAACCACACTGCTTCTTCAGAAAGTCTATAAAGAGAAATGAACAGTAAGTAAATGAATGCATATAAATGAATAAAGATCCCTTATAAGGTCAACTTTGTAAGACTCAGATTGTACCTTAAAAGACATTTAAAACCACTCTCATTATACCAACTTTCTCTTAGGACTGTATTGTATTTTCTTTTTATTTTATTTTGATCACTTAAGATTTTTTTGTTATTGTTTTAGAGCCCTACTTGGTGAAGCATAGGGGTCACTCCTGGCTCTGCCCTCAGGAGTCACTCCTGGTGGTGTTCAGGGTATCAGAGGTGATTCGGAGAACCAAATCTGGGTTAGTTGTATGCAAAGCAAGTGCCTTACCATCTATACTATCTTTCTGGCCCAATTAAGATTGGTACTGAACTTCAGCAAAGCAGGTGGGTACTTATTGTCAAAGACAATTAGTAAGCAATGCTTCTGAGCCATTACACCAAAATCGTGTTAAATAATGTTAATTGATAATTCCAAATTACACTTGTTTGATTCCAAATAAAAAATTTGACTGAGTTCTATAGGACATTGATGTCCCTCTTAAATATAGGTCTTTAGCAATATAAATACAAGGGTAGTAGAAGCCTATATATGAAAAAATGATGTCATAAAATTTAGTAGAGTCAAAAAATTTAAGAGCTTTCTATCTTGATGTATATAGCTATTTCCCTACTGCAACTAGAGCAGCTCTATAGATGAGAGAAGGAATGTCTGGTTGGAGAATGCCATCATTTATTTTCAACTTTAGGGTACCAATTGCAGAAACTTTCATTCCTAATGAAAGTAGTATTACATCATAGCATCATATGAACTGTAGTTGTATATCATTGAAAATCAACATTTGTCTATAGTACACCAAGGTCACTGCTGAAGGTCCATTTTCATCATCATACAATTGAGCTCTTTGATCTGATTCAAACTTAATTTCCTTTTTCCTTCTGCCTATTTCTCATAGACTGTATAGTCCAAGAGTTTATGTTCATTTTATTAAGCTCATCAGATAACAGGTAAAGTCACAATCTTCATTTATGGCCACTCTCCTCTGCATTTAAACTACTCTTCTACTTGTTTGTTTTCTCTACATCCCACACGTGGATGAAGTGATATTTATTTACATCTGGCTTACTTCACTCTGTATTTTTAATCAGAATACCGAGTGTATTGAAAAGATTGCCCAGGGAAATAGCTCATTTCGCATTCCTAATATATACTACTTGAATATTTGTGAAAAGTGGCCACACAGAGGCAGTTGCAGACTCATTCTTGCAGTCTGAGCAACACGCAGCAGAGTTTATAAAATGAGCATACAGAAATTATTCCGTTTAATTTCCAAATCTCAGTGGTGAGCAAAAGGCAAAAAATCCCAAGAAGGGAGGTGATTTCTTGGAGGTAAAAAGTGAAATGACTCAGATTTAGTAAACCCTTCAGACTATCATTTTTCATAGCCTCTGTATGACTTTGGTGAGCTGAATGTGAGGAATACTGAGAATTTGAATTTGTGTCTCCTGCAATTATGAAGTTCTTGCCATTTTTCACATTAGCCCTTTGATCCTCATGGCCTCTTCCACAGTCTTCCTTTGCCCCGGAGGCTATTTTTCCTTCTTTATTGTTAAACTGGTTGCATAGTTTATAGTCCAGAATAAGGCAAGTATCCCCAGGAGCTCGGGAGGCAAGTAACCCCATCACCTAACTAAAGTTTAGTAATTTTATTCTGATTTTTTTTTTTTGCTTTTTGGGCCACATTCTGGCAATGCACAGGGGTTCCTCCTGGCTCTGTGCTCAGGAATTGCCCCTGGCGGTGCTCACGGAACCATATGGGATGCTGGGAATCGAACCCAGGTTGGCCGCATGCAAGGCAAATGCCCTACCCGCTGTGCTATTGTTCCAGCCCCTTGATTCTGATTTTAAGGAAGCAACCCACAATGATTTTGACCAAGTCAACACAACCTGATTGATTACAGGCTCATGACTGTGTCTGACTTGCTTCTGCATTCTTCCCTCTAAAAAGATGGGGGACAAAATGAATCCAAAGACATTGAGTGGGGGTTGGGGGGAGTTTTACTACAGAGATAAAATAAGATGGAAATATAAAACCAAATTTCCCCTTAAGGAAATGAATGTGTTGGGCTCAGAAAGCATCACTCCCCTTTTTGCCCTACAAGAGAAGATTTCTCCTCTCTCTCTCTCTCTCTCTCTCTCTCTCTCTCTCTCTCTCTCTCTCTCTCTCCAACTCCCTTCAGCCACACTCCAGCCTTCTCTCAAGGACTAGCAGCCTCCTGAGTGAAATCCCATCTAATTTTCAGAACTACAAATCTACTTGAGTCACTTCTCCTCTGCTTTGATTTCTGCTGCAGAAGAGTCCCATGTCTGATCAGTTAGAAATAGCTTTAAACTACTTCAGCTGATCTACAGCTTCTACTATAAGATCTGAGTGCCTCATACAGAGACTGCAGGGAAACCCTTCAGGAAACGAAAACATTTTCAGTGCTTCTTAATGGTTGGTTACATTCATTTTATCCTCAAAACTTTTATTTATTGATTTGTTTTGAGGCTGTGTCCGGTGATGCTCAGGGGTTACTCCTGACTCTGCACTCAAGTATTACTCCTGGTGGTTTTGGGGGATCATATGGGATGCTTAAGATTGAACCGAAGTCAGTAATGGGCAAGGCAAGTGCCCAACCCACTGAACTATCTTTCCCAGCCACCAAATATTTATTTTTAATTGTGTTTTTGAGCAACACCCAATAGAACTTGAGGCCTAGTCCTGGTTGGGTGCTAGGAGTTATGCCCTGGTGGTGCTGGGGAGATCATGTGGTACTAGAGATCAAACCTGGGACTCCTACATGCAAAGCCTGTGCTCCAACCTACAGAATTTTCTCTCTGGTCCTTTCTTCAAAATATTTTTCCTTGGGACTGGAGAGATAGTATAGAGGGTAGGGCTCTTGCATTGTACACAGGCCATCATAGTTCAATCCTTGGCATCCCTTATGCTTTCCCAAGCACCTCCAGAAGTAATTTCTGAGTGCAGAACAAGTAGCGACCCTTACACATCAATGAATGTGACCCCAAAGGCAAACAAAAATATTTTTTGTCGTATTCCTTTTATTGTTGCTGTTTTGCAGTCAAATCCAGCAGCGCTTCAAAAGGAAAAGGAGAGAGAGAGAGAGAGAGAGAGAGAGAGAGAGAGAGTGCAAGGGAAGGACAGTGCCCCCCATAGAGGGAGGCTGGGGGTGGGGGTGGGGTATTGGGGGATGGTAGCAGGGAAACAGGGGACAATGGTGGTAGGAAATGTACACTGGTGAAGGGATGGGTGCTGGATCATTGTATGACTAAAACCTAATTATAAACAGTTTTATAATGGTCTATTTCACAGATATTCAATTAAAATTTTTTTTAAAGTAACATGGAGTTCATGCCCAATTCAATCAGCTTAATCAATGGCTGAATAAATAGCAGTACTCCTACACTGAAAAAAAAAATAATCCTGCATGGGGCTGGAGCAATAGCACAAGTGGGTAGGGCATTTGTCTTGCACACGGCCCACCCAGGTCCGATTCCCAGCATCCCTCCCATATGGCTCCTCGAGCATCGCCAGGAGTAATTCCTGAGTGCATGAGCCAGGAGTAACCCCCGTGCACTGCTGGGTGTGACCCAAAAAAGCAAAATAATAATAGTAATAATAATAATAATCCAGCAGTTCTTGGACCTTACTCCTGGCTACGCACTCAGGAATAACTCCTGGTGGGGTTCAGGGGACAATATGGGGTATCAGAAATTGAACCTGGGTTGGCCACATACAAGGCAAATGCCCTGTCCTACCAACTATACTATTGCACCGGCCTTATCTTTAAAACAGTTTCTAAAAGAAATTGCTAAGTAATGGGACTATTAAGGCCTTACGCAACAGCTGATTTCCAATCTCACCAGACAAATGCATCATGCAGTAAATCACTCACTAACCAAACACACAGATAAAGGGGTCTCCTCTCACCTCTGCGGGAGGGCGTGGCGGGCTGGTTCTTTCCCCTGCTCCCTGTCGGCCCGTTCCTCTATGTCCTCGAGGCTCTTCAGGAGCTCCTCTCTCTGGTCTTGGAAGGCTCTTCTCAGCGCAGCCAGGGCCTCCGCCTCGCTCTGCTTGCTTCCCAGAAGATTCTGGATCTTCTCAAGCTCCAGACTGAGGTGATCGGCCGCAGTCCTGCAGGAGGTCCTCTGCTCTGAACCCCCGCTTTTCAGACGGTATTGGGCTTTGGTGAGGGTGCCATCCAGCCCGATGGCAGCAGACCCCAGGGCCTTTGCATCTCGGACGGCCCCACCCAGGTCCTTCTTGAGCGCGGCCGACTGCTTCTTGCTCATGCTGTGCGTGGCCTCCACGGCCTGCCTCAGCCGGTGCAGCTGCCCTACCAGAGAGGCATGACTGTGCAGGAACTCAGCCAGCTGCGCCAGGGCCAGCTGCCGCCTCTGCACCACCTGGCTGGCCTCTTCGAACAGCTGGAAACAGTCCTCCGCCTTGCCCTGCAGGAGATGGTGGTCCTCGGCGCGGCCCAGGGCGCACAGCTTTGCCAGGTGAGCCCGCAAGCTCTGCAGCTCGCCCCGTTTGCTCTCCACCTCGGCCGCGTGGTCCTGGAAGCAAGAGAGGAGAGTTAACGATTCTTCAGATGACCCAGAGCTCACCATGGTCCTGTATGTCACAGCCCCCCGGGAGGTCTCGGCAACCACCGCAGGGCGCAGGGTTCAAAGTCAAGGGCAGCGGATCTTTGAGAAATGGTCTCAAAGCTTCTTGCTGGGCCTCTTGATGGGATTCGCATAAAGTTCAACCCTGACTGGGAACTCACGGGTGGACTCAAGAGTTCATGCAAAATTTTTCTTTATGGGTAGAAATAGAAAAGATTTGGGGGCTGGAGAGACAGGAAAGGGGTAAGGTGCTGGCCTTACACGCAGAGACCTAGGTTCGATCCCTGGCTCCCAGCAAGGTCCCCTGAGCACACAACCAAGAGGAAGCCCTGAGTACTGCTGGGTGTGCCCCAAATACCAAAAATTAGAAGAGTTTTCATATAATATAGGTGAGTATCCACATAGCTTTTAAAATCAAATTAATTTTAACTGTACCTATTCATACATAAGCTATCACATGCACTCAGATAAGTTAAACAGTAATTCTCACAAAACAAAGTATCATTAAAGTAAATTCTATAATTTGGTATTAGTTTTCAGCATTGGAGCAAGACATACTGGGAAGCTTAAAAATGAAAAGTCTCATGACTTTACCCTAGGAATAAGTTCTTCACCGTGAAGACACAGTGTCTTAACATAGTTGCCTATTTTTTTAAAATTTTTTTTATTAGTGAAACACCATGAGGTACAGTTGTAGATTTACTATTTGCCTATTTTATCTGAACTGGCTGCATCTGCTATGTTCACATGTTTCACATGAGTTTCATGCCGCTTGGACCCATACATTCAATTATTAAACTTCATGTGAATACAAAAGCAAATTACTGCCAAAGTTCTCTGTTAAATGGTACCTCCTATTGTCCATGAGTTCTCCTTAGAGAAGATGTTTCTTTTGTCTCAAAAGAATGTAACATACCTTGTGCCTAGTGAGAGCTGCATGGTGGTCCGTCATATTGATCTCCGAAGATGTTTGTAATTCATTGAGAAATAGCTTGATCCAGACAGAGAAGGAGAGCAGCAGTTCATCAAATTGCTGGTGCTCAGCAACCACAGACTGAAGAAAATTAATCCTATAAGGGAAAGGTAGGAAAGCTAAAATGTCCCTCTGGGGCTTAAGAGAGAGTAAAGCACTTGCCTGGCATGCTACTGACCCAGGTTCGATCCCCAGCATCCCATATAAACTCCTGTGCACCACTAGAAGTAATTACTGAGTATGGAGACAGGAGTAACCCCTGAACATTGCTGAGTGTGACCCAAAACTAAAAACAAAAAAATAAGTTAAAATGTCCCTTCATGAAGGTACATCATTCATGAGAAGCTTCTGCAATCACTTAGTCAAGGAAAAAAGTGATATTCTCCTATATGGATACATTGGAGTATTTGATGTTTTCTGCTTCTCACTTTCTTTCCTTCCTTCTGCATCTTGGGAAATGCCACCGCCTCCCCCCGCCCCTCGCTGGTGGTCCCACAAGTGACTCTTCTTTCTTTTCCCTTATCATCACATCAGTTAATGCATTTCCTATTGCACCCATGCCCTGGAATATTCTGGGCTCATCACTCCATTTCCATTGCTTCCATCTAGTCTAAATCACTTCATCTCTTGCCTGACCTCAACAACACATTAAACTGTTCTCCATTCTGCCCCCAACTTGCTTGCCTTCAATCCACTCTGCAGGTAAGAAGATCTATGGTGATTACAATGTCATCACAACAGTCTATGCCACAAGGGCAGCTTCTTGTTGCACACAGGGAGGTAATGTTAAATCCCTAAGAGGCTGAGCTTGATCACAATGTCTTTATAGTACTTAGTACAACCTAAACATCCTGCTCGTTCCTTCGTTCAGATGCATCTCCTCTCCCACGTCATCTTCCTTCCCCAGTCTCTCATGAGACAGGACTTTCCTTGCCTTATGATTGCTATTGCTCTAGTCCCTGGAAAGGTGCTTGGAATATGGCCTCCGACAAGTCATTGACTTTGTAGTAAGTCAGTCATAACACTGATAAAGTGTTATGACTTTAATAATAATAAAGTGGCTTGGGTTGAGAATCCAAAACCAGAATTAGCAATTCCACCTTAATTAAATATTGATTTTTATCACGGTGACTTATACCCAAATTTGTACTCAAGTGAACATTCATGTTCAGTCTTACAAAATTTACATTGATTTCATGCATAAATTATATTTTGTATTCCTCTTTGCATTTGTATTATTTTAAACATCCTTGATTTCTCTTGTGGAATAGGCAGAGGGCAGATTCTTCTCTATTCTAGAGAAAATGACTCATCTGTAAACAGTTGGCACCAAACCGTTCAGAGACATTTCCCAGAATCATTCATTTGTGCCCTCCTTCATTTTCTTCACACTCTGCTCATCTCTTACTGGTTCCTTGGTATACCAATGCTATCACATAACTCAGGGCAAGTTTTTTTCACTTTTATGGCACCAGAATCTGATCTTGTGCCTTATACTTAGCAGATATCCAATAAACACATAGATTGATTGAATAAATAAATGAATCATGAATCAAACACAAGTTTCATTGAAGTGAGCATGGGACTCTTTACCTCAGGACATAGAAGAGGACACTAATCATAGTTGACAATAAATATTCTCCAAACAAATAACCAGAAAGATTAAATGCACTACTTACCATTACAAGGCTACTTAATACAAATTCAAGGCAACAATATATTTTCTTGGATATTAACGTGAATTATGTCAAATGTCAAGTTAATAAAATAATTAACTTTGTCTCCAATTAATGCATTACTAATTGTTACTCTCTGCAAGGATCTACACTGAAATAAATAGAATATAAAATATTCACATATATAAAATATATGTACACAGTATATATTCATATAACACACAGAAAGAGTTTTTATTTACCATTTTTATTACATCTTAATGTAATAAAAGCAACATTTTAACTACCATTTTTTCTCCTGCACACAAACAACTTGAGCAATGATTATTACAAACACTTATCAATATATTTCAACTAGTTTGATCATTTGCCTTAACAGTGAACTAAAATGTTCCATTAGAGTTCATCAGAAATAATTCTTCTTGATGATTTTAAATTTGATGATTTTAATGACAAAAAAGGCCCTTTCCTTCCCTTTTATTAACAGCTGCAAATAGCTTAGTTGAATAGAGGTCAACAAAATTTTACTTGCTTAATTTAGATGCTCGCTATATATTTTTTCAAATGAGCATAATAAAAAACAAATCGAAAGCCAACCTCTTGCTAATGATCTGTGGCAAATCTCTCCATCGCTCGTCCAGCTGCTCCAAATGTAGTTTCATCACCTTGACATCATCTTTGGAGGCCACAGAGAAGAGTATTTCCTTCAGTTGCAAAAGATTGCTATACGTGGAGGCCTGGGATACAACTTCATTTTGCAGTGCCTGCCGGAAATAGAAGGATTGAGTACAGTCCTCATCCCAACACGACCAGCAGAGGATGCATTCGACACATGGCACATTGGTTTGCACTTCACATCCACGGTGTGCATTTTTGCAAACTGGGACCAGGCCAAATCATTACATCATTACTTGATTTTGAAGGGAGCCCACTTACCACAAGGCAACTTAGAAAATACCACTAAAATCTGAATGAGTTTTTCAGAGTCTGAGTGACATTAAGTGAGGCAAGTAGAGAAGCTGTAGAATTTCTTTCAGGGTAAATAAACTGAGTTGGAGTGATAGCACAGTGGTAGGGCGTTTACCTTGCGCAGTCTGGCTGAACAGGTTCGATTCCTCCGCCCCTCTCAGAGAGCCTGGCAAGCTACTGAGAGTATTCAATATGCCGAACACAGTAACAAGAAATCTCACAATGGAGTCGTTACTGGGCCCGCTCGAGTAAAATGATGAACAATGGGAGGACAGGCAAAGAGAATCAAAGAAAATGGGAGCTGACAAGAAATATGGCACAGTGGGGTTCCAGGAGCCAGGAACAGGGTCTTTCTCTCCATTTAGAGACTAAACTTGAGGTCTTGCTAGGTTTCTAAGACCCCATTGTCATTTATCAGAACATGAATTCTTTTGAATGAAGGAAAGTTTCTGTTTACTAAGAATGGTACCTAGGAGCTGTAGCATCTATCTAGTAAGAGGTCAAAGAAAAATAATCATAGCAGCATTGGCCTCTGTGAAGTGGGACAAAGGGCAGCTCAGCCTATGGGAGGTGCTTGTCAAATGTCTTTTTGCCTGGTGAGGGCAGGCTTGTGATGCTGGAACACTTGACACTGGCATCAGAAAGAGACCATAGCCTCAAGGTGAAGAAAAGGTCACAAAGCAGAGTGGGGACACACGATGAGCAGGGCAGAGGGAAGGAGAAACAAAGGAAGGGGACCCATAAGAAGCATTCACCTGGGGCTGGAGTGATAGCACAGTGGGCAGGGCGTTTGCCTTGCACGTGGACGACCTGCGTTCGATTCCCAGCATCCCATATGGTCCCCCAGGCACCACCAGGAGTAATCCCTGAGTGCAGAGCTAGGAGTAACCCCTGAGCATCGCTGGGTGTGGCCCAAAAGGCAAATAAAATAAGATGAAACATTTATAGCCCTGGGAGGAGGCCAAATGACTGGCACAAAGCTGGGCACAGAAATGACAGCAGCCTGAGAGCTTGTTTCTGTGTGTCCAAACATCTTTGTGTGCTTAAGAAGAAAGGGCTGTGGCATTTCCCAAATATCTAAGAAGACAAGAGCCCAAAGGTGAACTGGGAAATTGTCTCTTAACCTCGGGGCAGGAAACAGTCCCCGGACGTGTCTGCACAGGACTTTCAGGGAAATGAAGACAGAACATCATGTCGGATCATCAAGGGTGGCAAGAGAACCAGACATACATGAAACCCTAAAGGTAAAGGAAGTGGAGGATTTGAAGATGGGGTAATAGGTTCCAATACAATAGATGCTCACTGATGCTATAGTTTGAGAAGTCATTATAAAATAAAGTAATCTGAGGGCTGGAGAGATAGAATGGTGGGTAGTGCACTTGCTTTACACAGGGCTGACCCCGGTTCAATCCCTGGTATACCATATGATCCCCTATGTAAAATCTTATCACGCCGAAGGTTGTGTGTTCACGGCTCACTGGATGGCACTGTCTCACCACCTGTGTTCGGTGCTCTTGAGCCGCTGTGTGTGGCCTGGATCGGAATGGCTGTTGGCCAAGGGCAGACGAAAGAAGAAACGAGGGCCAGGCCGGTCTATATCAATAGTAGTTTATTCCAATCCTCTTCACTCCTGTCTTTCTCTGCCTCCTTCTCTCCTGGGCCCCAATCTTGCAACCTCTCTCCTTCTGGCTCTGACTCTGGATCTCTGGAGCCCGAGTTCTCTCGCTTCTGACTCCCCTCTCCGAGCTTAAGTCTTAGTTTACATAGCAGTCACATAAGGCGGTGACATAAAGGTGGGTTGAATACTGACGAATCAACAAAGATAGGTAAGATCACTCCTCCAGGATAACTCAAGGATAAAATCTCATCTGCAGAGATTACGTCAGATTACTAGGAGATCCACTAAAGGGTGGGATCTCAACAAGGGTGTGTTCTTCCCTCAGTTAGTAATCTACTTAAATAGTTGTAATAAATCTACTTCTAATATTTCTAGCAATGTCATTCTGTATGAGCACAGTAAGAGCTATAAATTTAGTTTGGTTCTTCCTGAGAACATCTCACTATACATTTCGCAGTCCTCAGGCCAGGTTAATCTTCCTAGCTCCAGCACGGTCCTAGTCTCGTCATTACTTACTTTTGGATCATGACAGCATTTGTCCATGATCATGCCCTCAACATATAGTTGAGTATCGTGGCTCTTTGGCCTGGCCCATTTCGATGCCAGGGTAGCTCACTGCTTGCCCTGGGTCCATTCAGTCCCTCGTCGGGACCCTGCTTTTGAGGTGCTAGGAACTAAGGGCAACTGAGTCAAGAAATCAGATACCCAGGAGTAAATATTATTTGGAGTCAATCAACTCCCAAAGTTACAAAGCATAATATTAACTGTCTTCCTGTGTCCACATAGAAAGGACATTGCTTACAAGTTCAGTGTCCTTAGATGGGTGTGACCTGACAAACCTAAGCTACCTGAGGAAGGACAAAAGAGTGTTATCCTACACCCCTAATCATCACCAGAAATAATTCCTGAGTGCAGAGCCAGGTTTAACCCCTGAGGACTGCCAGGTGTAATCCAAAATCAACAACTACAAAAAAGTGAAAGAACTTAGCTTCCTCTTAAATAGTTTACAAAAGTCTAGGATATGAATCTATTACACAATAAATCTTTATAATGGTGTGGGGGTTGAGTCAAATCCAGCAGTGCTCAGGGGGTTACTCTTGGCTCTGTGCTCAGGGTCACACCTGGTGGTGCTTGTAGGACCATATGTGGTGCCAGGAATTTAACCAGAGTTGGCCATGTGTAAGAGAAGTGCTTTAACCTCTATACTTTCTCTTCACTCCTGTAATAAACATCTTAAGAATCCCTTTTGTACTATCATTTGTTGACTCCTGTCATAACTGTCTTAAGAATCACTTTTGTCAGCATCACTGAAACCAGGTATTAATTTGTGCAAATCAATATTATTTGTGTTTTTAATCAAATGTAAAATTTTTAAAGGTCAGATCAGCAGTTACGGTGCATGATGGCATATATCTGATGTAGGTTCAATTCCCAATACCACATGGATCCCTGAGCATCACCAGGTATATCCCATTAAGACCTCTGAGGTGGCCTGGGTAACCCCAGGGTCCACATAGCATCACATCCTTGGATCTGAGCATTGAACAGTGAACTTGCTGGCTGAGAATTGCTATTGGGGGTTCCAAGATTCCTGAGAACCCCCAACCTCTATTAAAACCCCAATATTTTCAAGTTCTAAAATTGACTTTTTCAAAGACATAATAAACATTATTCATTGTATTTCTCTGCCCCTCTCGGAGAGCCCGGCAAGCTACAGACAGTATCTCACCATGTGGCAAAGCCTGACAAGCTACCTGTGATGTATTCAATATGCCAAAAACAGTAACAACAAGTCTCACAATTTGTTGTGAGATGTTACTGGTGCCACCTTGAGCAAATTGATGAACAACAGGAGGACAGTGCTACACTGCTACAGTACTACATTTAACATGTTTTTTCCCCCTCTTATCTGAAAATAACAGTTTCTGTGACTTCTTTCTACATAGTATTCCTAATGTCTTCTTTTAGAAAAGAAAGGGGGCTGGAACCATAAGTGTAGCCCATATGGGCCCCCCATACACTGCCAGGAGTGACCACTGAGAGTGGGTCAAGAGTATGTCTGAGTGTGACTTCCCTGAGTAAGTCTGGGTGTGACTTCCCCCCAAAAAAGTTTCTATCACCAGAAGTTCATATAAATACAGAAGAAAAAATATCTACTTCATACCTGTCCTTCAGCTCAGCTCATGTAGCCTCTTTCATCTCTCTTATCCACATTACAACTGCTCACCCTATTTCTCTATTTTTTCTATGTCTAATCAGTTATGTATCACTTAATTCCTCATATGGTCACTAGAATTTTTTCAATCAGGAAAATACAAAGTTTTTATCATTTAGAGGAAAGGATATAACTGTTGTAAATATGCATAATATAGTATATGTATAACAAAATTTGATACATGTCTACTATCATCCTTGTCACAAGTTAACATGACAGAGATGTCTGAATTATTGACTAATGAAATATGGTACTAATCCTAAAATAAAGTATGTGATGCTTTAAAAGATGATTAATAGTCCATCTTGTTTCGTGTCAATGTCTCCTTCTTCCACCCTCAGCTCCTTCTCAAATACCAGACCTTATTTAACAGGATTTTCTAACACATTAAGAAAATTGATTATCACAAAGTTGATCATAACTTTGTCCTTCCGGTCACATTCCCTTTTTTTGGTGGGGTTAGGGGAGGAATCACAGAACCCAGACAGGAAGTTCAGTTGGACAGAGGGCACTGTGCTTGTTTCTATAAAGCAACCAGATGGCAGTATCCCATCTCCATTCCTTATGCTTCCATGAACTTGCCTGTGTCAACTGAAGTTCACTTTCCACTTTGACTCTGTCTGCAGAAATTTCCATCTCCGGGGAACTGGCTATGGCTTCACACCGCTCTAACCAGGTCATAAAGGTTGACAGTTCCTTCTCTAACCTAAAGCAAGAAGAGACATGAGTCAAATTTATTCCACATAGGCATACTAGCACATGATACTGTTCCAAAGTTGGAGGGTTCAACACCAACCCCTTAAAATCATATACTGTAGGAGCTAGAGAGATATTACAGTAGGGAAGGCCTTGCCTTGTGTACAGCAAACTGCAGTTTAATTCTTGGTACCCTGTATGACCCACGGAGCCCCACCAGGAATAATCCCTGAGTGCAGATCCAGGAGTAAAAGCCCTGAGCACTGCCAGGTTATATCCCAAAATCCATAAGAAGAAAAATAATAGAAATAATTAGTAGAATACTGGTTGTTTTATTCTCCAGTGGGAAGGAACCAAAACCACTTTTCATTTTCATGAGTGGGTTACACATCTGTATATGTCTATGCACAAACATTCTCTCTCTCACACACACATAGGGTTAGTTATTCCCATACCAGACATGTGAGTTGACCCATTTAACAGCTGGGAAGGTTCTTCCCATCACTTATACAGCAGGTGTCCAGACAGCTCTGCTTCAAAGTAGCTATTGAGCCCCTGAGTACCACCACCCTGATGGAAGGTTGCTTACCTCTGCCAGTGGGCTAGCAGCTTCTCCAGGACCATCTGCCTGTCCTTAGCCTGACTCAGTATCCCCTGGTACCTCTGCTGCAGCTCAGCTGCCTCCTTTAGTGAGGACTCTCTGCTAGGGATCTTGCGGGCACTGGCAGAGACAGCAGCCACTGCACTGGCCAAGGACTCCAGAGACTGACAGATGTCCTGGACAGAAGAAGGTAACAGCGAGAGCATAGCATTAGAAACAAGACTTCCATTTTTCCTTTAAGATCTGTTATTGCCTCCCTCTCACACAAATTTCCCACTCATAAGAAACTGTGGTTATAACCAAGTATGTCTTTGTTCATGATTTTTTTTTGCCAGATTCATTGACTAGCGAAGAGAAATCAAAAGCAGAAATCAATGGCGAGCATGCAGCATCTGCCCCTAAATCAGAGTGTGCTGATGTATGCCAGGATCATTTCAAATTCCCTTAATGATCATTAACCTTCATTTTATGCCAAACGTGAATTATAGATGAATCCTTATTGCTAATAACCAAGCACTCTGGGTGAAATGCTGTACTCTTCTGAAGAAAGGGGACTTGCAAGGAGCAGGGGTTACACCCAGCCCGGGCAGCTTTCAAGAGCATCATGTGGCCCCATTGAGCATCACAGGGTATAGCCCTAAAGGTCCCCAAGCACTGCTTGATTAATTAATTCCAGTGGCCCTTGAAAAGTATCACATTCAGTACACTGACATCTCCCCTCAATCATATGATCATCTAATCTTTGATAAAGGTGCAAGTAATGTGAAGTGGAGTAAGGAAAGCCTCTTTAACAAATTGTGCTGGCATCACTGGACGGCTACATCCAAAAAAAAATGGGCTCAGAACTCTGCCTAACACTGTGTACAAAAGTAAGATCAAAATGGATTAAAGACCTCAACATCAGACCAGAAACCATAAGGTACATTGAAGACAAAGTTGGCAAAACCCTCCATGACATTGAAGCTAATGGTATCTTCAAAGATGCCACGCCACTGGCCGAGCAAGTGAAAACAGAGATAGATAAATGGGACTATCTTAAACTAAGAAGTTTCTGCACCTCCAAAGAAACAGTGACCAAAATACAAAGACAGTCTACAGAATGGGAAAGGATGTTCGCCGAATACACATCTGACAAGGGGTTGATATCCAGGATATACAAAATACTGGTTAAACTCCACAAGAAGAAAACATCCAACCCCATCCAAAAATGGGGCAATGAAATGAACAGAAACTTTCTCAAAGAAGAAATCCGAATGGCAAAAAAGCACATGAGAAAATGCTCTACATCATTAATCATCAGGGAGATGCAGATCAAAACCACAATGAGATACCATCTCACACCTCAGAGACTGGCCCACATTCAAAAGAACAAAAGCAACCGATGCTGGCGCGGATGTGGCGAGAAAGGGACACTCCTTCACTGTTGGTGGGAATGTCCACTGGTTCAGCCCTTCTGGAAAACAGTATGGACGATTCTCAAAAAATTAGAAATTGAGCTCCCATTTGACCCAGCAATACCACTCCTGGGAATATATCCCAGAGAGGCAAAAATGTATAGTCGAAGTGACATCTGCACTTGTTTGTTCATTGCAGCACTCTTTACAATAGCCAGAAACTGGAAGAAACCTGAATGCCCAAGAACAGATGACTGGTTAAAGAAACTTTGGTACATCTACACAATGGAGTACTATGTAGCTGTTAGAAAAGATGAAATCATGAAATTTACATACAAGTGGTACAACATGGAAAGTATCATGCTAAGCGAAATGAGTCAGAAAGAGAGGGATAGACATAGAAAGATTGCATTCATCTGGGGGATATAAAGTAACAAAATATGAGATTAATACCCAAGAATAGCTGAGATCAGCACCAGGAGGATTACTCCATAGCTTAGTGGCCAGTCGGGCACTCTAGAGGAAAGGGCAGCTCAGACAGAGAAGGGAACACCAAATAAAGGGTGTTTGGAGGACCCTCCCAGGAGGGGAGATGCATGTCGAAAGTGGACTATGGACTGAACATGTTTGCCACTCAATGCTTCTTTTGCAGACCACAACACCCAAAAGGAGAGAGAGAACACAGGGGATTGTCCTGCCACAGAGGCAGGGGGGGATGGGGGGATGGGAGTGGGGGGGATATTATCCATGGTGGTGGAAAATGGGCACTGGTGGAGGGATGGGTATCTGATCATTGTATAATCAAACCCAAGCACAAAAAATTGTAAATCTACAACTGTACCTCATGGTGTTTCACTAATAAAAAAAAATTAAAAAAAAAAAGAAAAGTATCACATTCAGATCCCTCAATTGAATGACCCAGTTGGCTGACATTCTCAGTTTGTGACTCCCAGCTTCCTGAGCATCCCGGGGGACCCCAGCCCTCCAAATTACCTAGAAAGAGTTAGAGAAGACAAAGCTGCTCTCAGGACCTGATCAAATAACAAGAAGTTTTCCCTAGCATGTGGGAGTGTCCACATATTGTACTGTGTTCATCACAGAAGTGCCCTCATTCCAGTTTCATAAAGATTGTGACTGGAAGCTCTCTCAATAGGCTCTCCATTTAATAGGCCAGAAAATCAAGATAGGCAAGAAAATATAATAGAACATAATAGATTGGGGGGTATTCAATTATTAGCTGTTGCCTACAAAAATAATTCCAACAAGTTTAATCATAATATTGTGGGACTAGTTGTAAGACTCACCATGATGACACAAAAGGCATTTTTAGTAACAAATATTCAGACGCTATTGTTTCTACCCTCTTTTTCTGATGTGTCTTGGAAGCTGTCTGCTTTCTCGCCTTCAGCCTCATCTCTATATTTATGTTTTATCAGCATGCGCATACTTGTAATAACAGTGACATATATTTTCATTAACCAACATGGTTAGTTTCAGTTTGTCTTCATACAGGAGGCTCCTCTTTGCTCCTTGCCCTAAAGGCATCTGTTTTGTTGGTTTATGACCATCTTACAGTGGTTTCCGCTTGAGAGACCAGAATGAAAAAACCTCTATGGGCAAAAGTCCAGTGAGGACATTCTCTGAACATCTGACTATGATATGTGAAAGTGAAGGTGTGAGATCTGTAGATCTGTTATGCACTTAAAAATTTTAATCTGCATATTAATTTGTATCTACTGTCATAGATACATAGAGACAGTAGGCAACAAATCATAGAGGGAAATGTGTGTGTATATATATATATATATATATATATATATATATATATATAGCTAGAGCGATAGCACAGCAGTACGGCGTTTGCCTTGCACGCAGCCAACATGGCCGGCCCGAGTTCGATTCCTCTGCCCCTCTCGGAGAGCCCGGCAAGCTACCGAGAGTATCTCGCCCGCACGGCAGAGCCTGGCAAGCTCCCCGTGATGTATTCGATATGCCAGACACAGTAACAACAAAGTCTCCAATGGAGACGTTACTGGGCCCGCTCGAGCAAATCGATGATCAATGGGAGGGCCTTTACTTACTTAATATATATATATATATATATATATATATATATATATGCCTTTCTGAGAGTCAGGCAAGCTACCCAGAGTATCCCACCCACACGGCGAGCCTGGCAAGCTACCCATGGTGTATTCAATATGCCCAAAACAGTAACAATAATGGGTCTCATTCCCCTGACCCTGACAGAGTCTCCAATATGGCATCATTGGGAAAGACAAGTAAGGAGAGGCTGCTAAAATCTCAGGGCTGAGATGAATGGAGATATTACTGGCACCCGCTCCAGTAAATTGATGAACAAAGGGATGACAGTGATACAGTGATTGATTTGTATCATGCTGGCAAAAGGTACCAGATTTATCATAGCTACGACACAAAAATTTTATGAACTCTAATAAGAAATATATTTTAAGTAACTATTAATTTATTTTACCTTTTAAGAAAAACTTATTTATATCCTTATTTCTAATATTATAGGAAGCGAGTATGTCTGATTGTCTGATCTGTAGAAGTCCCCAAGTCACAAAAACATCTTTTCCATGTTCATAAAAGTGTTTACTATATTTTCTTGTCAAGATAAGAATTACCAGATTTCTGAGTTGACAAGCATAAGTGTAGAAGCAAGCACATACCATATGCTCTTGAAGAACTTTGTATGTTTCTGTAGCTGAAGAACATATTTTAATTGGATCAGCAAGTTTCTCTTCAAATTCAGACACAGACTGTAGGATCTAAAACATTGATGAAATATTTTTTAAAAATGGTAGAAAAAATATACAAAGGTAGAAATGTTATTGCGGAGATAGCATACCTTCTTTTAGGAAGGTTAAATCTCATTTGGGAGAGGATAAGTATGTAGATAAGCATATGTAGATATTTATGTTTGAAAATCTAAGAGCAGTGATTACCATTATTTCAAAGGAATATAATTAAACCTTAATGCTTATCAGAAAATAACATAATTGTATGTTTGCATTCCATCCAAGCAGGTAACATATAAATAATTTCATCCTCTTGGACAGCTTGGTAACAATCATTGGCAAATTCTATCTTTTTCTTATTATACCGTTATTAGACGATTTCACTCATCTAATACTACATGTGGAAACTGATACTGCTTTAGCATGTGGGGGCTAATTCTTACCTGGTGAAGATTCTCTTCAAACTTCTGCTGTTGGGATAAATGTCCCAGCATTGTTCCTTCCAGACACTTGGCGTGTTCTCTGAGCTCTTCCCAGTACCTTCTTATTTGGGTCAACTTGGCTTTGATTCGAGCAGATTCTCCAGTTGTAATAAACTGGGCAAAAGACTGAGCTTCTTCTTCGAGTCCTGTCATGCTGCAGCTCTTACTTTCTATTTCCTCAATAATGACCTAGTATTTAAAACAAGAAGAATGACAACACAGGCTGAGTGAGGAAGATCCTTCTGAAATGACAGAATCATCTACGGATAGAGAAAATCAAGGACTTCCCTCATTGACATAACATACTTGGATGGTAAGAGAGAAGCTATGAGGAATTACTGGATGTTCCTGACTCACTCTGGGGAGGACAGAGAGGCCCATATGTTGAAAAACAGATAAGCTCGTGAAAGCTGTGCTCCCTGAAAAAAGAGGCACAGAAGTAGCCAGCCCTGTGATGGATAATAAGCAGGGAGATGTACCTGGAATCTTGCAGCGATTTGAAAGCACAGAGTTCCACTTTCCCTATGAATTAACTGCTCCATAGAGGAAGCAGTGAGTTCTCATAACTCCTAGGAATGCCCATATAGACATTCATTTAATTTTTCTAAAGTGGAGTTGAGAATTCACATTTCCTAGACGAGATTTTCTGATTCTCCTGCCCAAACCCACTCTTTTTAAATGCGTCATCTACTCTTCATGCCGTGATTTCCAAATACAGATGAGATTGGGGTAAACCTGGTCTCGCATCCTCAGGCACTCAGTCTTAATAGATCTAAGACTTTGATTTTCTAATGGTTTTGTAGGGGAAAATCTTGGCTGTCCCCTGCTTCTTTCTGAACCTCTTGCTTTATTCAGGAATTGGGCACACAGCAGCAAAGACGCAGCTTGCTATCGTCTCATAGGGGGGCATTTTATGGAATAGTCAAAGCAGAAAAAGTATTGAAAGCTACTAGGACTGTGGGCAGGCAGGAGGTGTGGGTGAGTGGAGAGCGGTAGGTTTTGGCCTAAACATAGAAGCTTATTTATGTTTTAGAGAAAAAATAATTTCCCTGAGTAAAAGAGCCAAGTCATTCTATGAAAATACAGGATGATATTCAGACAAGTCTCAATTTCATCGAAATTACTGGGGATGTGTAACTTCTTTCTAGGTGAGACAATATAATCAAAAGTAATTTCTGTCTAGATAGATAATAAGAAATAACTATGTCAGTTAGCTCTAAGTATCGCTTTTTATTTTAATATCCCACATGCCTCACTGTAATGGCATATCGGATAGGTATTTTTGGTTTTGTATTAATAAATTCGCACAGCAGAGCCTGGCAAGCTCCCCGTGACGTATTCGATATGCCAGACACAGTAACAACAAAGTCTCCAATGAAGACGTTACTGGGCCCGCTCGAGCAAATCGATGATCAACGGGAGGGACTTTTTATTTTGGAAAACAGTTTTTAGGAAAATTATTCCCAAGTCCAACAAATACATATTGAATGTATCCTCTGTACAAATAATTAATACAGGTACTTTAGTGCATCAGTGAAACAGTCTTTGTTCAAGAACAAAGTTCTTAGATTTTAGAGTTATACACATTAGCAACAAATCCATAAACATAAACTATATAAGCAAATCTGCTGTTGGACTCTGACAAAACTTCAATCCAAGAAGACTGAAAGACAGTTTCAGTATGTGTTCGTATCATTTACAAACTATTGGTTAGGAATAAGAATTAAATTTTAAAGTATTTAAAGCATAAAATGGGATTAGAGTATTTATGAAGTATTATTATTTTCATAATAATACAAATGTTTTATCAATTGTAATCTTGACTTTTACATGAAAATACTGTATCAAGTGTTATGTTTTAATATTTCCTATAATTTTGAGTTTTAAAATTCAATATATTGAATGTATCCTCTGTACAAATAATTAATACAGGTACTTTAGTGCATCAGTGAATGGAATGCCCATATAGACATTCATTCAATTTTTTGAATTCTGATGAGATTTTCAGAATTCGATATGAATTCTAGACGAGATTTTATATTGAATTCTGCAGGATAGTGCATTACATTATCTTTTCTTGTGCCTAATACATAGATTTTTCATGATTTCAAAATTATTTAAGAGATTTTTATATCAGGGTCAGTGAGATAGTATAGCACTTGCCTTGCATGCAGCCAACTCAGGTTCAATCCCTGGCACCACATATAATCTTGAGAGCCCTGCCCAGAGTGATCCCTAAGTGCTAGGGATCCTAAATTCTAACTCCAGCCCTAGGAGTAAGCCCTGATAATAAATGGATGTGATCCAAAACCAAAACCCCCAAAAAATGTTTTTAGAGAGCTTTCAAAATATCACATTGAATCCGCAATGGAATGCTTGTATATTTTAAAACAAAATATATGCCCATTTTATTTCTTAGAAGTAGCAAGGCAAATATATTTGATCATTAGTGTATCTCAGAAATTCTGGAAATAAAATACTTAAGTATTATCAAGTGAATTCTGCAAATAATAAGCTACATATTCTTGATAAACGATATAGAAAGTTTGAAAGTGTGTGCCAAAATTTTTTGAAAGAGATTATTTTAGACAAAAATCATTTAAATGTATTATTTCTTCTTAGCACATTTCTCAGTGAAAATGATGGAGATGACTTTTAAAATTTTAAGGCTACAAATAGTTAATGAATATTTCCTAGTGGTTTGGCATCCTGTACCCCTGGATTGCACAAGAGGTGTAATAAGCATAGATGATCTGCACAGCATGTAACCTCAGTGCTGCGACACTGCCTCCTCCTACGTGCACATGATAATTACTTGTTCTGAGTCATAACGTGCAATGTTCTCTCACCTTCTTATTTATTTTTGCTGTATTTAATCAAATGAAACGGCAGAGGGTTTATCCCATTCTCCTCCCAGCCCCCCTTTGAGTTGAGATAGAAAAGAAGTGACCGCATTTTAAAAACATATTGTATGAAAGAGATAAACAAAAATGACCACCCCGAGTTCATTTTTTCTTAGCTATTTGAATGAAGTAGAGAATGACAGTTTATGGTCATTTTAGAGCTTGAAGGAGCTAAAGGACCGCGACATCGCATCCCATGCCACCATGGTCATGGAAAGGGAAAGTGCTTTTCCACTTGGAGAAAGCAATTTCTCAAAGTCCTCCTTGTGGTCATGGATGGGAAGTATCATGACTACTTGCTCGAGACTTTTGCAATCATTCTTATCAAGGAGTTGTAAATGATGAAATCAACAGAGCACTCCGATGTGGGGAGGTAATTCAAAATCAAGGGAAGGAAAAATGTAAGCACAAAATCAGTTTAATGACATCGCAAACAACATGATCTTGAATTCATAAGTCAGACAATATTGATACAAAATTCCATCTAGAGAATGTAGTCCAGTATCAATCAAGACCTCTTAGCTCAGCATTTCATGTCAATTTAATTTTAATAGCTTTACATAGGAAGATTTATCCTGGGGCCAAATAGTATGTGATAAAATGTAAGAAAGATGTTCTTAAAAGCTAGACACAGATTAGAAGTGTGATGTGTGAGCAGGTCACCTTAATTTGGTTGATCTGCATGTCCATAGCAGATGATGAAGTTTCCAAGGCATTGAGTTCTTTTTCTTTCTCAGTTATCCAGGTAGACAAGGTCTCAAAATTATTGCCAAAATGATCCCACTTGTTTTTCACCATTTCCATGGTTTTAATACTAAAATTAACCAAATTAAGTAAATAAAATGCAATATTTGAATACAGAACAATAATATATTTTTCTTTAAGAGACCCGGTGAAAAGATAATGAAGACACTTGCAACCATTTCGAAGTTGAAACTATATGAATTAGAAGAAACACATGTTCGAGCTGATCAGCTTTTCAGGCCTCAAGTTTTCCTATCTCCTCTGAAAACAAACATTTAACAAGATAGCACTGAGACTATCATGAATGGAACTGCGCTTCCAACAGAAATATCGCTAGATCCAAAGGAATTTAAATCCAGGTGAGATCTATTTACATCCTGTACATGATTAGTAGTCACCAAGACTTTTTTTTTTCCAGTAAACTATCCATATACACTTCGGGGCTCACAATTTTTACTCACCCTCGTTTCGCACACATTTCTCTTTATTTAGGAAGAGAGGCACTACAGTGATGCTTTATACTCAGATCATGATAATATACATCATAGTGAGTCAGGCAAACGTTGACCTGAACCCCAGGCTTTTTTTGTATAATCTGTTCATTGACCCTGGACTGCAACGTTATAACCAGAGTAACGAACTAATCCTAGAAGTCTCTCTTGTTCTCTTATCCTTAGTTCAAAAAGACTTTCAAAAATTCTTTCATTGGAATACCCTAAATGCTTCTGGAGAACTCGCGCTTTATTTATATAAATCTAGTGAACGAGAATTCTAGATTTCCAGCTTGTATTAGCTATGTGTATATACAACCTTGTGATTATGGCTTTCAGTTTAGAAAAAGACAAAGAAAATAACAGTTTATCGTTTAATTGGTAAGTTCTTGGCTTAAAAAATGAAGTAAATGAATGTCTCTGTTTACCAAAAGGCACTTTGAAACATCAAGAAAAGTACAATGGCATCACTGATTGTCATATTCAATAATATTGCAGTCTCATAGATACCCTGTATGTGCCTAATGATTCCGTTATTACAGGCAATGTAAGTTGTGTTATATTACAAGCATTTAAATAAAATAAGATGCAAATGGATTATCCTAATAAAAGTTGATTCCTTTCTAACAAATTGTTTTACTACTTCCATTACTTGATGGATCATTTTAATATAAAAATTTTTAAGCCTCAAGTCATAATTTGCTTTAACTTATTTAACAAATTCCAAAGTTTAGGCATGGATACAATATTAATTTCAGAGGATATTAGTATTAAAAACAAATTATACATTTTAAAATCCTTTAGAAACCATATGCTATATCTTAAGAAAAAATGTGCATTAGTTATTTACCACTAAAACCCCATTCAAATAGAAATATTCACCCATATTATTTTGAAGAACATTGGCTATATTCTCATATACTTATCCCATCCAAAATTTTGGGTTTGTATTTTGCACATATGGGATACCACACGCCAAACTGTTCTTTCAGATAAATAAATGCCAAACGTTTGAAAATAAAATAAATTTTTGAAGTTAATTTCTGGAAATAGCATCAATTAGTGACAATTTGAATATTGAGGCACTGTAAATAATCTGTGACCTTTTGTAATTAAAGACACTTAGTCTATGCCATATGTATTTAAGACTCTGATCTATATGACCAAAATATCTCCCCTTCTCTCTGATGACAGCAGAAGAAAATACTAAAAATATATATATATATATTTGAAACATTGATTTTTTGTTCAGTTTTTGGGGCCACACCTGGAAATTCTCAGAGATTATTCCTGACTCAGTGCTTAGGGATCACTCCTGGTAGGGCTCAGAGTGACCGTATGGGATGCCAGGGATCAAACCAGGGTGGGCTGCGTACAAGGCAAGTGCCCTACCTGCTGGCTGTACTATAACTCTAGCCCAAACATTGATTCCTTTTGAGATCCCCAATATACAAAGGCCACAGAATTGAAAAGATATGGCTTTCTCACAAACAGATCAGTTTAAGATGCTAGGCCCATATCCTGTATCTGCTCTGTGATAGATGTTGATTTCTATAGTGATGAAACATTTTTTTTTTGAACTGTGATTTGCTTCCTCAAAACATGCTGAAATACACAGACACTTTGAGATTTGCAAAGAGTGTTTTGAATACAATATACAGAACTGTTTGAAACTTTATATCAGAGAAGAAAGTTTAGGACTTGTCAAGCACATACTCTTCTTCAAGTGTGTCTTCTAACTTTTTGACTTGCTCTTTGATTGACTTTGCTTGTTGCTGAAGCAACTGCTTATTCTTGGGCCCCAGCGGTATCTCAGCAGCTTCCTTCACAAGATTCTCGGCCTGGATGGCAATTCCTTCTGTTCTTTTAGAAAACTCCTATGAAAAGATATAATTGTTAGATGGGACTCTTACATTATTATAGTCTACCTTCAAATAATTTGCATAGACTCTGGAACTGCATCTCAACAATGGTTGCTTGGGATAGCTGTAGACTGAAACATGTATGAATCAAATGTAGGCATCTAATACTCTTCGTGATAAATTGAACTTTATTGATTTTTCAGGGATGGAGTCAAACAGTGCTCAGGAGGCTAGTACTTTCTCCAAGCAATTCTTGGTCAAACAAAGGGGAACTTCGATGCCAGGGCTAGAGGATTCGTGCTCAGCCCCTGGTGTGCTAACCTAGTAGGGTTCCAAGGAACCAGATGGCCCTAGGGAGGTGAGCAGCATGTAAAGCATATACCTTAATCCCTGTACTTGAGCATCAACATGAATTGATTTTTATCATAGTTAAAATAAACATTGTACCAAATTATTTTCATTTGATATATGCAACATTATATCAACCCTCCTAGTTATTCAAAAATTCTCCTAACAGCATATTTCCATTGTGTTCTGCAGTTGGTTGATTGTTTTAGAATTTTGAGCCACATTTTAACAATTAATTTAGGTGCACATAAGTTAATTGAGAGTTTGGCCAATGACCAACATAAATTGAGTTTTCAACCATGGAGAGAATAGATTCCTAAGCTAACAAATAGAAGCATTTTTATTTAACTGATAAGTGTTTAAGTCAATAGAGCATCACTGATCTTTCCTATGGATATTTTGTGAATTGGGAAAATGCTGTGTACTCCGATTCTGTTAAACCTTATTTATAAATGTACACTATATGATGGAAAATGATTGACTGGTCAAATTAGGACTAGATGCCTGGACTTTGACTTTGGCAAATAACTTTTCAGAATTTTCTATTGACTGTGGATAGTAGTTCTTGCTTGTGAGGCGACTGCTCATATTTCAGTAGCAATTTCATTTTTAAGTGCTGAGCACTCTGGCAGGTACTCATTTTCATTTTTAAAATGGTTTTCACAAAATCGAGAATAAAATGCTTGTAAAGTTCATAAGATTTTTTTTTGCAATTTTCATTTAAAAATAATTTAGGACTGGAGATATAGCATAAGGATTAGACACTTAATGTGCAACCTTCGTTCACTCCCCAGCACTAAATATAGTGTTGCCATAAATGATCCTTGAGCATAGAGTCAGGAGGAAGTCCTGAGCATCACTGGGTATATGACCCCCAAATAAACAAAAACCTAATATGATTAAAGCATTAATAAATTTCATCTGCTATCTCTGTTTTGTTAGATAAGTGTATTGAATATTGAAAAATAAAAGGCAAAGAGAGATAACAGTTTTTAAGAACTTAGTATTTCACTTCTCATGTAAGAGAATCCCAGAGGAAATTTAAATTTTGATCTTAGCATCCCTTACCTAAATAGATAATATAGAAATATCTAAAGAAGTCTTAAAGCTTAAACTTCTCGTAGCCAATACTCCTCCAGAGCGTTACCCAGAAACATCATATAAGCCACATAAGACAGAATTAATGTATATTACAAGTGTGTCTCCATTAGAATGTTATTGTCCTCAACTTGAAATATCAGCATTATTTTAGAGATGCACTTTGCAACCTTTTGTAATAAAAATAAGCACATTTTCCTTTTGATACAGAGAATTATGCCAAAATGTGATGTTTACTGATGTCAAAGCATTGTATTCCATGGTTAAAATTTCTATCTATGCTCTATGTGAACTTATAGCCACTGTAAATACAACAACTAAATCACAAAAGACATCTTTCAGAGTTCCTATAGGTAAAATAATAAAAATAAAATGAGGTGGACCCTTCAGCACTGTGTTCCCAGAGTTCAGGGGGAAAACGTGGGATAAATAGAGTGACATTTGAAAATGCTTATACATGTTCATTCTAAGAACATTTTATGGGACCTACATATGGGAAAGAACATGCAGAGGAACAACCAAAAAACCCAGAATGGTGTTTCTCATAACTAAAATGAAACACAAATGGAATGATATTTTAAGGTTTTATTCCTAACTCATAGGAAGTCTTGCGAGGGCCACCCAGCAGGACACCGGAAAAGATGGAGTTTGACATCAGTTCGGAGTTGAAACCAGATTCTATCCTTCACTAGCCATGTGATACTGAGTCATATCACTCTGAATATTTTTCTTCCCTCACCAGGAAAGCTTGGGTGAAAAGTTTAAATATGGTATTGCTGTGAACACCCTACACACGCTGGCAGAGAACATGCAGGCTCCTTAGTATGACCCCATCAAGGGTCCAGCTGGAATGAAGGCTTTTTTTAGCCAGGTCGAGTGAGCAGAGAAGCTGGGCAGAGAAGTTGTTCAACATTGCAAATGCTTGTGTAGCAAGGTATATAAACGGCTCAGTGTTCCCAAGAGTAGTTAAGAGTTTGGGCTTCAGGCTCAGACTTTGGGGTTGAATCCCAGCTTCACCACTTGATGATCTTGGACAAATTCATTAGCAATTCTGCACCTTATATTTCCATGTATATATAACATCACTAGCAATAGCACTGATTTCTTAAGATTCTTGGGCGATTAGAGACTGTGACAAAAACAAATGATTAGACCGTATTCTTAATAATTATTGGCTCACATTACTGAATCAATCCCAATGAACAAAATTAATCTCCATGTCTTAATTCCAATAAACATAATTCTCTATGTTTTCAAGTTTTAAAAAGTAAAACTATTGTTTCATCCACAGAAAGATAAACTTATTCGGACGATTTCATGAAATGGAGCAATAAAGTGTCAGAAACCATGAAAAGAACCCTGGTGGAGCACACATACTCATTAATATAATGTCTGAATTTATTTTAAAAATTTAATATTTTTAACATATAAACAATTTAAACCCATTATTTATTTAAATGGTGGAAATCATACAAAATTGAAATCTCCTGTGTGTGACCCTATAAAACTTCGGACTCAGGAAGTAAACAAGAGGAGAAAGAATTCGAAATGAGCAATAGTGAGTTACAGAGAAGCTGATTAACGGCATGAAAATAGAAGCTCAAAGATTCACTTGCTAAAGGGAAACTGCAAGAAAATTGTTTCTTATACATTGGCCAAGATATTTCTATACTAATTAAACCACCCTATGAGCCCAAAACACATGGGCTAGAAATCAAAGGCTCATACAACTCCTTGAAATGCTCTGTACAAGTTTATTGTTCTGTTCTCAGTTTTCCTGGTGTTTGGGCTTGCACAGTTGAATACACACTAAATACCATTTCTTGCAATGTCTCACTGGAGCCTCAAACTCTGTACATACAAAGTGAAGTAGGTCATATTTTCCCACTAACAGCCACTTCTTTAAGTTTATGAACCTATTCTGAAGTTCCTCATTGTCTCTCTCAGGCTCAGAACTTTGACTGTCATCTTTTATTTCAATTTTTTCTCTTCATCTGTTCCACAACACAGTAATTCCCATACTAGTTAACACATGGTTTTCTAATTATCTAATTATATCTATTGTTTTTTTAAATCTTTATAACCTGCTTTAAAAAATCATCCCCACAAAGCAGTTCTTAATCCTATGACTCTTTCTTATAAAATTATCGTCCAGAAGTTGCCTAATGAGTGATGACTTAAGCCCTTTAAGAGTTTTTGCGATAAGGTCCAACTTTTTTTTATAACTGATCATCCCCTTTCCTGTTTTTCATCATAGAATCCCCATATTAAACTCTCATCTATCATGCCACACCTCCTTATCGAAAGGTTTAGTTTCTGCTCCCAATTCTGTCTTTATAACTTATATATCCTTCAAGTTTCACTGAAAACATCAAACCAAAAATAAAAAAAAGCAAAAGTCAAAAAACCTAAAAAATGCTGCCTTCAGAGGGATTGTTCCAAAGTGTATTATTAGGGAACTATAAACACACAGTCATCAGGTACATAAAAACATTTGCTTTACCTTTTACACCTTATTTATGGTTTCATCCCAGAGAATCACATGAACAGTGTGTTGAAGAGTGATAAATGAATAGTAAGTACTGATTACATTACTGCTAGTAATCAAGTAGAAGCTTTTCCCCCCTGAATTCCCCCTTGAATGAGTCCAAGGGGCGATTATGTTGATTGTATACCTTTGTCTGTTCCAGTTCTGAAGATAAGCTTTCCAAACTGCTAAAACTCAAGAAGCGCTCATGGCTGGAACCTGTTTGAAAAAGATATCTGACCACTGTCTCTTTGTTGGTTTCAAATCGTTCCCATTTTCTCAATGTAACCTAAATTTGGGGGAGAAAAGTGCAAAGGATCATGTTATAAATTATCAAAGGATGTTCCAAACATTACATTTTTGTGCTTGTTATGTTTCTTAGGCTGTAGGCTTTCATTCAGCTCTCGTTTTAGCTTTTACACAGTCATAATGAATAAAGATGATTCTAATGTCATCTATAAACATTTCTAAACGGATTAAGAGTTTTTCTTAAGCTGTAAAGTGCTATGGGTTGGAAGATAACTTCTTGTAACGCAGATGAGAGACAAAGGTGTAGAAACCCCTCTTAATGGCTCTCAAAAAAGAAAGAAGGGAAAGAAAGGAGAAAAAGAGAAAGAGAAAGTACTATGCACAAAAAAATGGCAAAAGCCCAGGGTCTTTTTGTTTTGGGGGGACCTTTTCTGTTGTTTGCTTTTTTAAGATAATGTGTCAAGATCACAATAAAGCATAGAGGTATGTGTGCTGGATGGCTCAGAGAAATGGAATGAGTCCATGCAAATTTCTGGACATGGGCCAAGTAGATTTAAATTCTGGCTTCATTACTGTTCACTGCTCTGTCACTTTGTGAATGCCTCAAACTCTCTTTTCAAGTAACCACATCTCTCAACATCACCCTGATAAGTTAACTGATGAAATGAAATAACGCATGCATTATTTCACATAGGGAGAACATCAGAGGTAGGAGTCAATAATTGGTCCTGTGACGGGAAGTTAGCACAGCCCTACTTCCGATCCCCTACTTGGATCCGGCGTTCCTGCTTCTCCCGGCCGTGCTCCATGCCTTCCAGGGTGCTCTCCAGCTTCTGAAGCTCCTCCCGGACTCCTCCAGCCAGCCCCTTCTCGCCCTGCTGGGCCTGCGCGATCTGCTGCTGCACGTCCCTCTTCTTTGCAGAGATCCTCTTTGTCGTTTGCTGGGAGCATTTATTCAACAGATGGGTAGAAACGTTAGTCCACGGCGCCAGGCAGGCACCTACACACCCACACTTTCAAAGAGGCACAGAAAGGTGCGATCTCAGGCAGCGGGAGTTAAAGATGCAAACTTAAAATGGGAATAAGGGTTTTGTGTGAGTCGAACAGGCACCTTATTTATAACTGTTTAATCTTTGTAACAGAAAACAATATAATTTGGCTCTAGTTTTTAATTATGTGCAAATTTAGATAGCACTTAGTCTTTTGTGCAATGCTGCAGAAAGAACTTGACAAAACTATGCATTTGACATCAGTCTGCTCGAAAAACGATTTTCCTTTTCCCCCCTTTGGTCTTTAGGCCACGCATGGAGGTGCTCAGGATCTAGTCTTGGTTTGGGTGCAGGGATCACTCCTGGTGGTGTTTGCAGGATCCTAGAGGAAGCCAAGGATCAAACCTGGGTTGGCCTTTTGCAAGACAAGCAACCTAACTGCTCCATATCGCTCTGGCATTAAAGAATTATTTTCCATATACAACCATAAAATATCACCTTCATTAAAAAATCATTTATAACGATAAAAATGTCTATAATAAAATTTTGTAAAAATAAATTAAAATCATTAATGCTGTTAAAATGTAAATATTAATATATTTAGCTCCTGGTTATATTACAGATAAGCTGAGATATTTGGGAAAGTCTAAGTGCATATTAAAACAAACTTTTGATTGAAGAATTATGTATACAATGTAAATATTACTGTTTCGCATGTCATATGTTATATATGTGTGTTGTTATTTTACATGTATTATGTCATGTTTACAAGTATTATTTTACATGTTTTATGTTATAAACAGAAGGGTACACAAATCTCAAGTCCACAGCTTCTGAATTTTCACAAAATTAACCATTCACATATAACCAGTAACTTGGTTCACGAAATGTGAAGAATTTTAAATGTCAATGTAAGTATCTATAATTTTATTTTTCCCTAACTTAAATTTAAAGCCAAACTACATTTTTACAATGCTTAAAAATGTAACAAAGGTACTAATTGTTTTAAACTCAGTATTTTGTCATTATTAAGTAAATCTAAAAGGCAAGAGGCATTGTCCATTAAATTATTTTAGATAAATCACAATCTCTTTATGTTGAGTTTGACAAGTAAAGTTGATTAAAATTGTTTATTGTACATATATGAGGCAAAACCTTTAAAATCCCAGTACCAATCCTTTGTAAAAGCATATTTCTGAAAGTTCTGGTACTTCATATAGGCAAGAATTTCTCAATGAAGATGCATCCAATGTTTCACAGTGAAGAAAAATATTATAATATAATAATGAACAGTGACCTCTGATATGAAACTATTTATCTATGATTTCCTCTTTTTTATGAACAGGACAATTTGGCAAGTTTAAGTTTTCATAGCAAAATAAAGATTCTCTTCACAATATTCCTTGAACTTTTTGATATCATTGAATCACTATGTTGAGAATTGGCCTGGTGGGATCTTCAGAAATATTTTAAGGAGACAACAGAATTGCCAGCCTATTTTCACCAGTCAACTGGGTTCCTCCCTGAAACTACCCTTTAGTTTGTCCCCACCTAGAGAACCAGAAAGTCATCTTTCAGGTTCTATTAGTAGCCAGTCAACTTGCATATATGCACTGGGTTAAAGAGGGATCTACCTGGTGATGAAGAAGTAACTGCTGGGCTTCAAAAAGGTTTTCAGTGTCCAAGATCTTCTCAGCTTCTTCCTGGACTTCCTTAGAGCCAGAAATTAAATCTTCAAGGGAACTTTTGACTATCTCTTTGTACTGGACACAGTCCCCAAAGTTGCTTAACATCTTTTCAACCTAGATTTCAATGAAAACAATTATAAATAATACAATGTTAACTATTTAAAGAAAAAATAGAATGTCTATCTCAATAACTTGTGTAATATATACATATACATGACATATATACATATGTGTATATGTTTATATGTATACAAATCTCCCACCTTGGTTCTTTTATTTATATTAAGACTGATTTAATTCTAACTAAATTCTAACTAAAGTCACCAGCATTACAGAACTTCACTATGGTACTCTATGACATATAACAAGCCCAATGCATCTGATAATCAAGGAAGTGGAATATATGCAGTAGTTTATGTCCTGGAGTACTCTAATTCCTAAAATGACAAAGATCTAGTTATAAATGAAAAATAATGTGTGTTATCAGAGATTTCAGTTCTTCCTATTCAAAGGAAATAAGCAAAAATTTCACAAAAAAAAGAAAAGAGAACGTTCATTGAAAGTGTACTTCCAACATTTTTACATGAAATGTTGACTGATATAAATCTAAGTTAATTATTTTTAGTGGATCTTCCATGTCATTCTCCCAAATGTTCAGCTTCCTTTTCTTCCTACATCTGTATTAGTTTCTGCTTTTATTTTCTGCTTTTATTTTCAAGGTCTCTCCCTCTCCATTGTCACTAAGATCATAATTTTCACATTTTTTCAGTCTCTAGCTTCACAGATGACTTCCAGTGTCACCTTCCATTAGTCATTTTCATACCATCTTCTACTCTGAGCATCACCCAGGTAATTTGAAGCATATTGTTTCCCAAGCAAACAGCAATAAGAATCTGTGAAAACCACATACTTCAGATCTCAGTAAATCATAGCTCTTTTCTGATTCCTCTTTACATATCGTCCGTTTACTCACTACTTTTTATATTGGACAAATGAAATACATTTGTGTTCTTAGTAAATGTTTACTTAGTAAACAGTAGATGGATTATAATCAAAGGATGGACTGAATACGACAAATTCACCTAAAAAAACCCCCTTTACTTAAACAGAATGGCTTCTTTTTTCTAATTCCCCTCCTTTCTTCTTTTTTAGCCTTCAACAAATGACTAAGTAGCAAACAAGAGTATTAATATGTTATACAGAAGGCTGAGTTACATGAATGTACAAAGAATTAATGGTGACTTTTGTTAGAGGCAGGCCACTGCTAGACGTTCCACAATAGCATCTTAAAGATAAATAAAATAAATGGCCATAGAAAAAAAATAGTATCACCTTAGGGATACTGACAAAATATCATTTTTAAGGCTCCCTAAATGCTTGTGTGTATGTGTATGTGTGTGTGTGTGTGCATAGAAAATATATTAAATTTAATTTAATGTGCCTAAAATCACTTGTTAGGCAACTTGTTAGACAATCTGCATATATACTTACAATTGTTGTTAACCTTACTCTGATCTAGCTCAAAGAAATTGGAGAACATTGTCAGAATTTCACTTAAAGTATAGTAGCAACAACCTTAAATTAATGACTACTATGATAGATGGATGATCAGAGAATTGAAATCCTTTATGTTTCAAAATTTGATTACTCTTATTGTTATTTCAATCTGTCATAAATTCTCAAGAAAAAAAGAAATTCTAAAGAAACTTGTACTTTATATATCAAATCACAAGCAGCTTGGAGTCAAAATTCATCACTAGCATCTCAAGAGGCACATGGATTAAAAACATAGAAAGTTAACTGTATAATGCTAGATAAGACTATAAAAATGTCTTAGTCTTCAGAATCAAGAAACTCTCTGTAGTTATGCAATTAATCATTTTTCCAAGTCAGTGTCAGAATGAGTTCAAAAATAATAAAGCATGACTACTTTATTTTATATTCTTACTTTATCTTCTCATCCATAAACTGATTAGACTTGAAAAGTATCCCTTCTGAGGGTGATCGTACCCTACTAGAAATGAAGTAGATGGGTTTAAATATCATAATCTATCAAAGCATGTAATCATTGAAATGTTTATTAAGAAGATTAGAGAGCTCAGATAGAGAAGGGAGCACCAAATAAAAGGTGTTGGGAGGATCCTCCCAGGATGGGAGAAGCATGCTGAAAGTAGACTATCGACCATACATGATTGCCACTCAATGCCTCTTTTGCAAACAACAGCACCCAAAAGGAGAGAGAGGGAAATGCCCTGCCACAGAGGCAGGGTGGGATGGGGGGGTGGGGGGTGGGAGGGATACTGGGATCCGTGGTGGTGGGAAATGGGCACTGGTGGAGGGATGGGTATTTGATCATTGTATAATTGAAACCCAAGCACAAAAATTTGTAAGTCTACAACTGTACCTCATAGTGTCTCACTAATAAAAATTTTAAAAAAAGAAATTTAAATGGTGTGCTGACTAAACAATGAGTATTCTATTACTACTATCAATTATTGAACATTTACTTTATCCTAGTTGTTATGCTATATTATGTACATTATTTGTAATTTAAAATTTGGTTTAATTCTTGACTTTACCCTCAGAGTACTTTGTTTAGTAATTTTTAGTCTCCAAACATGCTCAGGGGGCTCATGAAGGACATTCACAATAACACTCAGTCAATGGGCAATGCTCCGGCCCGGCTGGGCTGGGGGTAGGATATACGTTGCCTAGAATCAAGCTTGGTTCTTGTATACACAAGAAATGAGTCCTTGACCGCTAAGTTATATCTCTGGGTGAGTAATTTTGCCCCACTTGAGTTAAAGCGGGATGGCCTAAGTAAATCCTAATTGACTTTCAAGGCTATGTTTTTAATTCCATGATGGCTTGGAAGCTAACCATGGAAGAGTGTTTTGAAGAAGGATAAAATACGTCAAGATCTGACGAGCTCTGTCCTTTGCATAGAATGTTAAGATATTCATTGAGGCCCAGATCAAAATTCAATCATTCTACTTTCAGCATGCTTCTCCCACTATAGACCAAACATGTTTGCCACCCATTGCCTCTTTTGCAAACCACAACACCCAATAGGAGAGGGAGAACAAAAGGGAATGCCCTGCCACAGAGGCAGGGTGGGATGGGGGGATGGAGGGTGGGAGGGATACTGGGATCCGTGGTGGTGGAAAATGGGCACTGGTGGAGGGATGGGTATTTGATCATTGTATAATTGAAACCCAAGCACAAAAATTTGTAAGTCTACAACTGTACCTCATGGTGTCTCACTAATAAAAATAAAAATAAAAAAAATTCAATCATTCAACTCGGCTTCTCCAATAGTCTTCATATAAATGTCTTAACTACTTAAATTCAACACTAGCTTGTTTATAAAATTACTTGCTAAGCAACAAGCAATAGGAAAAGAATCTCCCAGAAGCAGGTGTCTTGAGCATGGAGTAAAGGCCGTACCTCTGACAACAAAGCCACAAGAGCCTTGAAGGAACTAGAAAGCTTGGCGACTTCATCTCCTTGCCTTTGAGCTTCATTCTCAGAAGAAACCTCAGTCAAGATCTTAAGTCTGGATTTCAGCCAACTGAGTGTCTCTCCATTTTTGGTAACACCATTTCTGATCTCCTAGAATGAAAAAATAAAATGGCAAAAAAAAATTGTGAATCAATGCCGTCCAGTTAGTAAGGCCTCTATTTGGAAAGGTTTGTAGGGTACAGAACAAAGACCAACTTTATTCACTATTAGAGCACCTGCTTATTTGTCCTTTTGTTCACACTCTAAAAAGTCCACAAGCACCATAGAAAGTGTATCCCAATACCCAATGTATAAAACTTATAGCCTCTGTACCAAAAACACCTTCATAAATAGATGGTTACAGATTTACAGATACTCCCTTTATCACAAGAAAGATGCTTCTAAAAGCACTGTACCAAAATTGGAAATTATAACATATAATTTAGTATGTTACCTCACTTTCTATGCACTAGAAGGAACGTGGCATTTAAAAAAGAACAAAAAAACAAAGAACGAAAGAGTTCTTTTTTTAGCTAGCTAATTTCATTTATTGATGGGCTTATTGCTGAGTATTTTCATGGATTCCTAAAGACTTATTTTAACTTCGTGAGCTCACACTCTGTGCCGCGTTTTTGTTAACTTTGTATAAGTCCATTTCCAGGATGTTAAGATGCATAAATAGGAACAGGGCTCTTATCCAGAAAGAGAAGGCTTGGGGGCAGGATGATTCCAGAAAGATTCCAGACCCTCAGCCCTTATAGTCTGGGGGCCAATGAACCTGCCCAGTGAACCTGCCTCTGCTCCGATATCCAGAGGAAGAATAAAAGATGCTGGAGCGGGTTTGAGAGGACAAATGCTTACCAGCAATTGGTTCTGGAAACAAGTGATCTCTTCACCCCAAGACGGAAGCTGTTTTGTACTGTCATAGAAATCTGTAGCACCCTTTGATGTCTTTCCACTTGATCATGGTATTATTAAGCATCTCCAGCACAGAAGGGGATTTTTTGGTGGCTGTTGTTTTTGGGCCACACCCAGGAATAGTCAGGGGTTACTCCTGGTTCTGCACTTAGGGAGTGCTTCTGCAAGTGCTTGGGGGAACCATGTGTAGTGTCCAGGACAAAAGTCGGGTTGTCTACACTTAAGACAAGTGCCCTACCTGCTGTACTGTCTCTCCAGTTCTAGAAGAAGATTTAATAGAAAAAAGAAAGCCTTCCAGAAAATATGAATAGAAGGAAATACAATATAATCAACTGTGTCATACAAGTGTTCAAAACACTAATAGGTAAAGGTAAAAGGTAAAGGCCCTCCCACTGTTCATCGATTTGCTCGAGCGGGCCCAGTAACATCTCCATTGGAGACTTTGTTGTTACTGTGTCTGGCATATCGAATACGTCACGGGGAGCTTGCCAGGCTCTGCCGTGCGGGCGAGATACTCTCGGTAGCTTGCCGGGCTCTCTGAGAGGGACGGAGGAATCGAACTCGGGTCGGCCATGTTGGCTGCGTGCAAGGCAAACGCCCTTCCGCTGTGCTATCGCTCTAGCCAAACACTAAATAGATCAGTAATTTTTGTAATAGCGTTAAGTATGTAAAACCAAGGGCCAAGTTGGAGTGGGTTACAGGGAGTTACTTAGAGAAGCCAAATTGGGTTTAGACCTAAGGTGCTATCACTGGCTGTGTTCGTCAGGCTGGCATGATGCTGAGAGCTGACTCAACCTAAGCTGAATGAGACATTGAAAGGCTGCATTGAAAGGAGACATTGAAAGGTAATTGAGATCTTACCCAGTTACCTCCTTTTCTATGACTTGGCTTTTGTGGGACTGAAAAATACACCGCACAAAACCTATAAATGTTCTTATTTGCCATGACAATTCTTAAATCTCTGTTTTGTTATGCACCTAGGCATGTAATTTTCTTCTCAGGATTCTCCATTAGCTAAAAATGCATCCGTGGCACCCCCAAACATAACCAAATGTCAGAACTAACAATAAGTCTAAGGAAAAGCTCTTGGAACATGAAGAGATTTGCTCTTAAGACAATTTTCAGAAACCTAACTCTTCGTTTTATTTTCGTTTTTTGGGGTTTTGGTTTGGTTTGATTTGGAGTCCACATGCAGTGGTGCTCAGGACTTACTCCTGTCTCTGTGCTCAGTAATTACTCCTAAAGAGTTTGGGGACCATATGGGATGCTGGGGATCAAATCTGGGGAGGCCACATGCAAGACAAAATGCCTTGGCTGCTATACTGTCACTCTGGCCCCAAACATGGCTTTTTAAACATCGCTCTCGTTTTAAATATAAAAGAAAAAAAAGATTTTTGATCATTATTTATTTTAAACGGAAATTTCCCAGTTAGAAAAGTGGCCCAGAACTGACCTCCACAGACTGTTTCACCTCACCAAGGTTGGCAGTATCAATGGTTTCACTCTCAATCCCCTTCAGTTGTGTTTCCTTCGCAGATATCCAAGAAGCTAAGTCAGAAATTCTGAAATAACACAATTTTTAAAAATGAAAATAATGTCATCATAATTAAAATACATTTTGAATTTGTCTTTTATTTGGAGGTCATACCCAGTGGAGCTCAGGGCTTACTCTTGGCTCTGTGCTCAGGAATCACTCCTGGCAGTGCTCAGAGGACCATCCGGGGTACCAGGGATCGAGCCCAGGTTAACCTCACTCAAGGCAAATGCCTTCCCCACTGTGCTATCTCTTTGGCTCAGACTGAAACACATTTTAAAAGTTAAATGGAAGCATTCTTCCATAAGAGCATGGGCAAACACATCCAATCTGGGCTTCCCTTATTGCTTACGAAGACACATGTCATTTATTGCTCTGCAGCGATCATAGTAGTTAATAGACAAGACTACCTGCTAGTAAAGTCCCTCCATTTGTCTGGGTCATCCATCAGCTGTGCATAGGTGCTGTCAATGGCTGTCCTGAGCTCCTTGAGGGTTGCCTGACAAGTCTCTGGCGTATTCCTCACTGGGTCCCGGACTGGGAGCTTCATGCACAATTCTTCAACAAGTTGTAACCTTTTCTCACAGACATGATGAGGGCCCTTGTCACTGAAGAAAAGCTGATGAGCATTAAAAAAATGACCTATGAGAATTCATACCATACTTGTACAGTCTCATAAAAAAATCAGAGATTGCTGTTTCATCTCTCAGCATCATTAAATAACTTAATGTTTTCAGACCCCAACCAAAGCACCTTCCGTTCTCTCAAGTGCCAGCACAACTTCATAGCTCTGTGATTTGGTGTGGGAGACATACCCGGTGTTCTTTAATTAGCTTTTCACTGCCCTCCTGGGACACCAGCTTGGTCTCTCGGTCTAGCTCTGCTCTGCATTCTGCGACGGAGGCCAAGAATTTATTCTTTTCCACGTCAATCTTCAGATGAAGCAAATGGTAGGGGGCTTCTCCTTGAAGATCCTATACCCCATGGGAGGAGTCGGAAAAAATATAGTCACATTCCTGACTATGGAAAATTCCAGTGGAAGTGGCAAGAAACAAAACTATTCCCAGTAGGATCAATATGATTGGGTCACAGCTGTCGGCAGCTGACTCAACATGGTACCACTGTACCCTTGTCCAGGAGCTAAGCATTCCAAAGATTTCATCTAGCCAGTTGTGGGTCAGGCATTTTTTTAAAAAAATTTAACTAGGAATCTCTACTGACATTTTACAATATTATTCTACAGATCAAACCACTAAGGCTCAGAGGTAAGTACAAAAACCCTAGTTGAGTTCAGAATTAATATGCACCAATACCACATACCCTCTCCCAAGCGTGTTGTAATCCCATCTACAACCCCATGATGTGTAAAGGACAAATTACATCAATAGGGAAATTGCAGAAAGTATTTTTAATTACAAAATATTTAGACTCAAACAATCCATGGCTGCCATTCATATGTTCTTTTTTGATATAAACTCAAGTTCTATCATTACTATTGGTCAATTAGTTAATTTTTAGCCATTTTGTACACTATAGTGTTTAAAAGATTTCTTTTACAATAAAATACTAAGATATTTGAAGAAAAAAATAAGTCGGGGCTGTAGAAAGCTAGGAAAGACATAGCCTAGAAAGTATATAATGTATGTGCGTGTAAAAAATCAAATATGTCCTTCAACTAAAATCTCTATTCTATGATACAACTATGTTGTGAACATTTATATGTATTAAAGGTATACTTAAAAGCTGGTTGGATAAGTAACTTTGTATATCAATACCATAGAGGTTAACACTATTTAGAACCATGTTACCGAAACTGTGGTACAATTTTTAAAGTAATATAAATTTAATTTACAGTAGGAACAAAGATCAAAATAGCTAACCCAGAAATAAATCTGATTAAGGACTGGAGTGTACAGGGGTTAAAGTTATTTGCTTGCACGTGGCCTGGTTGTACCCCTTGCACTGCAGATGGTCCCATAAACACTCCAAAAGTCACCCCTAAGCACAGATCCAGGAGGCGCCTTGAACATTGCTGGATGCAGATCCAAATAAAAATGAAAGGAAAAAAGAAAAAGAAAGGAAAAGAAAGAATGAGTGCTACAGAAAGCCAAAAGCAAAGTTCAGATTTCTTTGAGAATCGGCTTTAATGCACTGTAGCACTGTCCTCCCGTTTTTCATCAATTTGCTCGAGCGGGCACCAGTAACATCTCACAACAAATTGTGACACTTTAATGAAACACTGAATTTTTTCAATTATGTCATGTTTATAAAATGTGGTCCTTCAGCTGCGTTTTTCTTTTTCTACACTTTGTTCATTATTTTGACCACTGTTACTGTGACTAAGAAGAAAAAAGAAAAAACCCAGAAAATAACATAAACCAGTGTGTGTGTGTGTGTGTGTCTCACTGCGTGCCTGTGTGTGTGTATGTCTGTGTGTGTGTCACTTCATGCATGTGTGTATGTGTCTGTGTCTGTGTGTGTCTCTCACTGTGTGTGTGTGTGTGTGTCTGTGATCGTCATCTTTGAGATCCAATAACTTCATCTGCTGCCTCCCCACCGGCCTCCTCCAGAAGGATGACAGTGCTCTTCAGTCTTCTGGCTTTAGAACTGCTTCCCCAAGGAGCAGACCAGAAAATCCATATCCTAGTGATAGACTCAGCACCTCACACTCAAGTTAGGCTGAGCCCATGGGTCACAGTCTCCCCTCCCCGTATCCAGTCAGGCTTTATTTCCCTCTTCTGCTTGTTCAGCCCCATCCCACCATCTCAGAGTCTCACCTCAAAACTACCTCTTGGTTCCTCCATTTCCCATCTCTAAGAGTGTCCAACTGTCTTCTTCAAACTTTTCATAAAAATGTCGCTTACACTTTCCTGAACTTAAATGTTTCTTATACCTGTATTGTTTTCCATACATGATCACCCCTGCGTATCTAAGATTTATATTTTTTTAAGTGTCTAAGATTTGGGCGAGAAAGAACTATGTTTTGTTCATCATTGAATCCATAAGCAAGACATGTTTCCACTCATATGATCTCAAGTTAATGATAAATTCCCCAAGAAAGCTAAAAATATGCCTATATGGACAGTTAGCATTAATTATGATGATATAAATAGATTTTTGTGATATCAGTAGTGTACCCAGCATAATTTACTTCAAAGACAGGAGTTAACTAAATGTTGCTAAGCAAAAATGTCTGTTTTTCTATGTTGCACCCTCCCTTCCAAATAAGCAGGACACAAAAGAGTGTAGAAACAATATGATACAGTTTAGGTTATTGAAAAGTAAGAATAACAAAATTAACTACAGTTCCTATTTTTCTCTCCCACGGGAGGAAGACCTCTGGTGACTGCCCATGAACTTTTACATTTCTTGTCCCTTTAGCTTGGTCACTACATTGCCCGCCCCTCACGACACATGGTGCGACCATGGTGTCCTGACTCACCTTCCACTGTTTGTGGAGCTTCCTCACAGCTTCCTGTAGGCCTTGCTGCTCCTGCTCTGGGAGAATGTCTGTGAGCTCATCGCAAGCCTTCAGGAAAGCATTCAGCACCCTCTGGTCCAGCTGACTGAAAAACTCCTGACAGGAGAGTAGGAGGATGGGGGGGGGGGGGCGGGAAGGTGGACATGTCAGAAAGTGTCAGGAAGAGAAAAAGGGGGCATCAGACATGCAGAGATGTGACCTCTAAACAGAGTGCTCAGCAGCTTCCTTCTTGAAATAGTTTCTGATATTTTCACTCTTTCAGAGACAAACTAGAATTATCAAGAATCAGTCACCACTTATAAGCTTCAACTAGCCCCTTTTACTTTTATACAGAATCTCTCCTGTTTCTGGAAGACTGATATGTGACCCTAAACCTCCAGCTCCATCATGGCAGAGCTTGAGTCCCTCAGTGGTTAACTCAGAGGGCAGAGTGGAAACCAACCCTTCTTACAAGTCCTCCTTCAAAATACTCCAGCCTTGTTGGCTCATGACCAGAGATTTGCACATTCCACAAATGAACGCATAAGCAACTACAATCTAGAGTAAACTGTGCCCCCTCCAACTCCCCCAATTCATAGGCTAAACCTGCAACATGATGATATTTTAAAATGGTACCTTTAGGAGGTCATCAGAACAAGTCAATGACCTGGGGACGTTCTAACAAGATTTATCTTAAGAAGAGAATCACATAAGAAGGTCTTGTTCTCTCTTCTCCTGTTCATCAAGACTAAATCATGAGTGAGATGGCGACCATCTGATCACAAGGAACAGGGTTTCTTCCACAATCCCACCCCATGCCCTCATTTCAGCTTTGGTCTCCAGAACCAGGAGGAAATCCATGTGTGTTACTTAAGTCATATAGGATATGAGTCTTGTCTGTCAGCTGTGGCACATTGATCCTACATATGTGCACACGGACACATAGCAACATCTCATAGAATCTCTACATATGCAGGGCTACTTGAGGACACTTGTGATGCAAAACAGAAAGTGCCACATGGCAGAGTGGTTGAAACTGAATGGGAGGTGAGCAGACAAGAACTCCACGTTCAGTGGGCTCCACAAATACACTGCATTCCTCATTTGGAAGTCTGTGTTAGGTGAATAGACATGGGAATCTCAGGAAAACTCTTTCCAAATGCCTGTGCTCAGAGGGGCCATCATTTCAATACATCATTCTGAGGTTTGTGAACATTCTCAATGATATAATCTACACATGTATGGTGAACAGAAAGAAGATGAGCATCAGCCACAAGCTCAGGATATGGAATCTACACGACTATATCGTAGGCGCTGGAGCAATAGTACATGGGTAGGGCATTTGCCTTGCATGCAGCTGACCGCTGACCGAGGCTTGATCTCCAGTATCCCATACAGTCCCCTGAGCACCGCCAGGAATAATTCCTGGGCTCAAATCCAGGAATAAACCATGAGAATCATCAGATGTGACCCAAAACCATTGAAAAAGACTCTATGGTAGATCTCAGGAATAGACATAAAGTTTTAGACAGCTGCTTATTAGTATCTCTTAAAAGGATGCTCTTGATTCCCTAAGAATTTCTTAGATACAGGGATCACTAAGAAAATGAGGATTGGAGGAATCAGTGAGGATGAGAGAGGTTTGCTGAAAGTAGATAAAGGAGCAAACATGATAACCTCTCATTATCTGTATTGCAAACCATAATGCCCAAAAGTAGAGAGAGAGAGAGAGTATGGGGAATATTGTCTGCCATGGAGGCAGTGGGAGGATGGGAAAGGGGGAGTATACCGGAGATATTGGTGGTGGGGAATGTGCACTGGTGGAGGGATGGGTGTTTGATCATTGTGTGATTGCAACTCAAACAAGAAAGCTTGTAACTATATCTCATGGTGATTCAATTAAAAAAAAAAGGATTTCTTAGGTAAATATGGATTTGTCATTTGGACACCTGAAATTAGACTGAGTCTGCTCTCCCCCAGGGGCTGTAGAGCAGGCCAGTGTGAGGCAGCAACCACACTGTACTTGAATTTTGTTGGGTTACCACTTCCTGTGCTCTCAAACCTTTCCTCTCTCTCCATTTCCTTAGATCTCACTCTCCCCCCAGACATCTCTTCCCTCTCTAGATTGTCACGTTTTTTTTTTTTAATTTTCCCCCAGATCACATGCCCATGTCCTCCAGCTCACAGTGTGTTTCTTCAGAAGCTCCTCTGGGTTTCCCTTTTCCTTCAAACCCTCCTGAGCAATCCGCAGCACCTTCTCCAGTTCAGCTCGAGACTCTTCAAATTTCTTCATCAAGCGACTGTTGGTTTCCACATGTTTCTTCCAATCTCCAGTCTTCTTGACCATATTCTTGATTTAAAAAAAAACATAATGAGATGCAGCATTCTCAAACGGAAAGCAACATTTTGTTAGAGTGCGATTTCTTTAAAGAAACATTTGGAGGGATGACATTATCTTCTGATGAGAATAATAGACTTCTTGAATATTCATGAATATTAAAATCAGAAGTAAAACGATTTCCAAATACCAGAAGGTGGGAGTGAAAACAAGGCCTGTGACAGGTGCCTTTTCCTTTGTCATTCTGTCTCCACAGCAGGAAGGGCACTTACCTGAAAAGCAACATGGACATCTGCCATCTGTCTCTGAAGCTTTGTCTGGTCAAAATGCTTTAGCCTGTTGCTCAAGGTCACAAACTTCTGCACACTTTGACTGCCTTTCTCTATCAAGGTCATGGTCTTCTTACAGCCTTCTTGGCAAGCTAACAGTTCCTACCGAAAAAGAGGGGAAGGGGAATTTTCAAAAATGTTACTGAGAGCTTGAGAGAGAAGGACTTACAGTTAAAATGCAAACAACTTGACAAAGCTTTTAGATGTTTTTTTAGCAAGCAATGAGGAGATCAAAAGAAAGGAGAACGAGTTCTTTTCAAAGGAGCTCAGCTTTAAGCTCTCAACAGTCATTTTTTATACAATGTATTTCAATGCCCTGTTGAGGTTTTGTTTTTGCTAACAAAAGGTTTTGTTTTTTATATTGCATCTCCATCTTGTTAACATCCAGATGAATGACAAGAAACAAGTTATTATTATTATTTTAGTGCCAGCGTGTCGCCAACCAATAGGCCTACAGATTATTTGAAAAGCAACAGTGAAATTAATCTCTATAACACTTTTTAGCTGAATTAAAGAAATTTAACACCAATACACATTACACCCAATAAAAGAGACATAACCAGGGGCAGGGGAGCAATATTACAGTGAGGAGGGCATCAGTCTTGCACATGGCCAACCAGGAGACAATCCCTGGCACCCTATATTCCAAAGCCTCATCAGGAGTGACCCCTAAGTGCAAAGCCAGGAGTCAGCTCTGAAAACAGCTGGCTGTGGCCCCCCAAAACTAAATAAATAAAGAGACAAACATGCCAAACAAAGCAACAACAAGTCTCACAATGGATATGTTACTGGATCCACTTGAGCAAATTGATGAACAATGGGGAGGACAGTGCCACAGTGCTACCCAGACCCAATAGAATTGATAATGTGTATTCTATAACTTGTGTTTTCAACAATTTGTGTGGTAATAATTCATATGTTATTTTGTTTGTTAATTTGTTTTATTATTTATTTATTTATTTATTTATTTATTTATTTTGTGGAGGGGACATCCAGCAGTGCTCAGAGCTTACTCCTGGCTCTGAGCTCAGCATCACTCCCCATGATGTATGGGGCAACATGTGGAGTGCACAGCAAGCACCAACCAATTGTACTATTTCTCTGGCTCCTTTTTGTGTATGCATAGCATAGCCTTTGGTTTCCTGAGTTAAGAATATACTGGGTCCAGATGACAACCGCAGATGACAGTAAAGCAACAGGCCTGGGAAGAATTTGTGCACCTTTCATTCTATGGGTCTAGAAGCACCAGACACTTCCCTATCTAACCCCAGACTGGCTTCCCGGCATCCCAGCAACCTGGTAGCCAGCAGTGTGGAAATGAACCAGGCCAGCCCAAGATGGTCAGACAAGTTTTTTTTTTTCCACTTGAATTTACAGCATTTGCATTTCTACACCCTCAAAATGATTTCCAAGTGCTCATTTGGAGACAAGTTTTAGCAATCTAGACGCAAAGAATTTTTGTTTTGCTTCAGAGAAATAGAACCAGGATGCAGTGCTTCCTGTGGATGATTTAGGAAGCCAGAGAGGTAATGCATATTTTAAAAAAAGATGAAATATTTTTAACGTTTCTAAACCATTTCACATTAATTTAATCGTGGACAAATTCTTTGACGGCAACTTGGAGCAATTCGAGGGGGCGAAAAATGACGGGATGATGGAAAATTGCACCTAGTTTATCTAATAGGAGCAGTGACTAGAACAGCATTTGGAGGTATAATCCACCACACTGGCTTTACTCTCATATAATAAAAGAAAATACTGTTTCCAATGAGAGCATAGATGCTGCATGTTAACCTCATTATAGAATATCTCATAAAATATCATTATAGGATATATATCATCATATATACCAATATATATTATGATATATAATTACATATCTATATATGATGGCATATAATTATATATATTATTTATCATATATATCATATATCATTAAAGAATCTCATTATAGAATATCTAGTGTGACATAGGTCTGTTCAGATGAGATCACCTCTACTCTAAGGCTTTCTATAGCAGACCTAAGGTCAACTTTCTGCCCCTTGAGGGCTGGGGACAGCAGTGCACAGGAGCATGGGGTCACTCTCTCTCTGCTCACTAAGGCAGTGGTGCTGTCTGGTCTCTACAGTGCTGGGGACCACGAGGCGGGCCCTAGTAGTGCTCGTGACACTATGTGGTATTGGGTTGCCCATCTGAGTCAGGTGTGTGTGCCTCTAACCATTGCACCATCTCTCTGGCCCCAAACTCTCTCTTCAAGAGATGCTGCTAAGCCTCCACTTCAATTCATGGGGTAGAAGTCTTTTGCCTATTAGCTTCACCCTTCTTCGAATGGACGAGCTCATGTATCATAAACTGCCTGAATCAGTCAATGAACTGCACAAACTCACAGGAGGAGGCTTTTCTGTTTTTGCAAAAAAGAGGCCAAGATAATGATGGCCACATCAGAGACACGGAGAGAGAATTAGATGACTGTATAGACTGACTGAGCCCTAAGGACAAGGGGAAAATTCCCTAAGACTTAAGATATGACTTATGCTGTAGAAATGGAATACAATGATTTCTTTATATCAAAATATACCTCGTATCTCAATCTTAAAATACAGAAATATCTACAAGTATATAATTCTTTTATAGGGGCAGTCTCTAACAGGGCTCACAGTGTTCTGACCCACTGATGGCCTAATAGTTGGGTTCAGACCAGTGAGACAATGCTATGTGGGCCCACTGGGGCTGAGTGGACACTGGGAGTGATCATGTTTAGTATTTCATACATGAGACACATCTGGGAGAGATCATATATAAGTATTTACATCACTGTCACTGTCCTCCCATTGTTCATCAATTTGCTCGAGCGGGCCCAGTAACGTCTCCATTGTGATAATTGTTACTGTGTTTGGCATATCGAATATGTCACGGGTAGCTTGCCAGGCTTTGCTGTGAGGGCGAGATACTCTAGGTAGCTTTCCAGGCTCTCCGAGAGGGGCAGAGAAATTGAACTCAGGTCAGCCATGTTGGCTGTGTGCAAGGCAAACACCCTACCCGCTGTGCTATTGCTCCAGCCTGAGTATTTACACAGTGTTGGGTAAATGTATGGATAGAGTTATTGACTTTGGACAAGATAGGCATTTGGGAGTGGAGTGACAGCACAGCAGGTTGGGCTATTGCCTTGCAATCGGCCAAACTGGGTTTGATTCCCAGCATCCCATACGGTCCCCTGAGCACCGCTAGGAGTAATTCCTAAGTGCAGAGCCAGGAGTAACCCCTGTGCATTGCCAAGTGTGACCGCCCCCCCCCCCCAAAAAAAAAGAAAGACAGGCATTTGTCAGTACTATTGTAGAAAGTTACTTCTTGTTCTACTAAACTTGTGTGTCACTTGAAGCACCTTCCTCTGACAACACATGCTCACATTGACTCAGAGCGGGACTGCTTTCCCTTACCTGATGCTTTTGTTTGAAAAGAGCACTAGATTGGGACTCGCGTTCTAGAACAGTGATAATTTCATTGATCTTCCCGAGTGACTCATAGAAGAAAGTCATCTGCTTCTCCAGTTCCTCCAATGGAACCAACAGCTGCTGAGACTCAGAAAGGAGCGTAGGGCAACATTCTTTGACCTTTGAAAATACAAAGACAACAATTCCACTCATCACCACGAAGCACCTGGAACTCAGGGCCCTGACACCAGGCCTCAGGAACATTTTCCTTCGTGAGGTGCTCATTAGCAAACACAGAGCTCCAGAAACTTCCCTATCATGTCTTATGAATTGTTAGATTTTTGACATCAAAGAAATATTTATCTACCAGTGAAGCATTCCAAAAAAAAATGATTTTGAGTTTCCTCAGGAACATTTGTCCAACTAATCCATCTGGATAGTACTTCCCCATCTACAGCACCAAATTACATTTCATCAATTATTCAATCCATTTTCATTCATATTGGCTTCAAAATCTAACTGAGAAGAGGCATAGTGTTCATTAGAAGACTAATGTGTGCCTTCCAACTTTTTTTTCAAGAGTGATCCCTATTGAACCCTTAACTCTGGACAAACATAAACATGCTGTCTCATTTCTCCAAGGCATATCTATGCCTTCAGCCTCCCCCATGCCCAATTACTCTCTGCACATGGACTTCCTACTCCTCCCAAATGCTGCTCTCTGGGACCATGTTATTCTTTGAGGTTCCCACGCTAGGGGCTGTCTCTCGAGTGAGAAGTAGCAGCTCTCATCTGTCACTTGTAGTCTAAGACAGATTGCTGCTTTATCCACTTGTATCATCTCTGTCTTCACGAGGAGACCACGATGATTGTTTTCCAGACAGCGTCTGCCTTACCACAGTTATGTTGAAATCCAAGACCACACTTTTCTCCAAGAACTTCCTGCTCCAGCCTCCCCTTCATTTCATTTCACCTACAGTTGTTCCCAAAGAACTATTAATACTTTTGGAAACCAAGGAAAGAGGAAAGTACCTGTCGGGAGAGAATTTCCACCCTTCATTTTCTCCTGTTCTCACATATTCTGCCTAGAGAAGGAACTCATCAAAATAGCATCATCCCTGTACCACAGCAAGACTCCCTACTAAATTCAGTCATTCATGAAAATCTGCTAAGATAAAATATCAGAACACGGCCTTCTTTCCTAGATGCAAGAAAAAAATTATGAAGATAATTGTATTTGAAGTAGAGGTGAAAATGAAAAAATTGTTAGGCTGGGCTGTGTATAAAAAAATAAATAATGACTGCTCTGTTCTCTCTGAGGTCTTCTGAATCACCAAACCTCACCCAGGATACACAGTCACACCCATCTGGGTTATCAAGTTATCAAGATTTGAAGGCTACCCAATTTAAATGTTGAGCCAATTGTACTCGACATTTGGCAACTATTTAATTTGACTATTAAAAAAAGAATTATCAAAAATCAACACTCTAGAGGCCAGAGCGATAGTACAGCAGGGAGGGCATTTGCCCTGCATGCAGCCGACCCAGGTTGGATACCCCAGCATCCCACATGGTCCCCTGAGCACTGCAAGGAGTAATTTCTGGGTGCAGAGCCAGGACTAAACCCTGAGCATCACTGGGTGAGACCCAAAAAAGACCTAAACAACAACAACAGAAAAGAGCCAACATTCTAATACGTGCCAGTTTGTAGATGCCAGGTAATAGATGCCAATTTGCCAAAGATCAGAGTTCCTTCACTGCTGTCTCCTTTGCTTCCTTGTCACTTGTTCCCACTGTCGCTTTCATCCAGGATCCTCTCAGATCAACTGTTGATCTTGTTTCCTTCTCCAATCTTTTCTAACCCTTCTCCTTTCTATTTGTCTCATCCTTCCTTCCTTTCACCAGAAATTAATTAACTGCCTATCGCAATGGACTGTGCAAACAGCTGCCTTGACCAAATTCAGCTTTATATACTTTTTTAAAATCCCAGTGGCATTTCCAAAACACTTAAGAAAAAAAAATTCAACAGAACAGACAGTTTCTGGGTAATACTTGATACTCATTGACTGTCCTGCGCTCAGTGGCTTCCATGCCTGTGTTTTGAACTGAACACAAGCTCTTCCGGGTGCAGAGGGCAACACTTTCACAGCTTTGTGGCTCCACAAGAAGAAAAAAAAATAGCATAAAGACTCTCAAAAGTGGAGATCTGCCATCAAAGTTTCAAGAAAAAGCACATTTGGGAATCCTAGCTCTTTTAAATATATAATCTCCTTTCCCCCACTCCCTTTGTCATATGACACTGAACAGCTCATCTAATCTCAACCCCCACCCCCCACTAAAGACCACCTTTTGCTTCAAATACAGTTAGGAGTATTTCTAAATTCACAGAGATAATAAATGATACCAGTTCCATTGCTTTGTTCTAAAAAGCCACACACAGCACAGTGACTGTGTGATAGAGTCCATCAAAGACCCCAACAGGAACCAAGAGCACAGTCCATAACAAGAGAAGGAAATGCTCTTGGGATAGGAGAGGGTAGCGGAAGGTGGGCTTGGTCCTACCTGGTGTATGTAGCCAACGTTTTCTCACCTTGGCGAGCTGCTCTTTGAGCCTGGTCATGGTGGTCAACATCTCCTTGGCCTCCTCTTGAGAGCTCTCTTTGGTGATGAGGTGACCCGTCTTTGTGATTATCTTGTACTGTGCATCCATCACAGGCATCCTCTGCTCAATATCCTGCATGAATCACCGAAATAGTCAATCAACACATGGCACACTTCCTTTCCATCCAGAGACTACACAGAAGGCCGGGCAGAAGCTCAGCAAACACTCTTTGAAACCCCATGCTCCTAACCAACTCCTGGAGAGTCAGGGGTTCCCCACTTCCTATAAATCTGAGTTACAATCATTTGGTTTCGATTAAATATTGAGAGGTTAAAACATTGCCTTGCATATAGGGTCATCTCTTACCTGAGTCTGTAGGATAACACTGTTCTGTCCTTCCTGCATAGCCTCAGGTAGTTTAGGTTTATTGGGTTGCTCCCATCACAGTGTTCCCATTCCTCTGTGTTTATTTGTAACTTCTGTCTTTGCGCTCTGTTGACTTGTAAATATTGTTTTTCTCTTCGCCCTAAGTCCTTTGCATAGTTTATTTAGAGCAATGTCGTTTTTTGTACGGACACAAGAAGACATGCTTTTGTAATATGACTTTCAGTGATATTTTTCTCCTGGGCATCTGTTCTCTCAGTAAAGTTCCATCCAGGGCAAGCAGTAAACTATGTGCTGCCCTGGCATCGAGATGGGTCTGGCCAAAGCACCATAATGCTTAATTATAAGTTAAGAGCTTGGTCATGGTAAATGCTGTCATGATCTGAACGAAATAACTAGATTTGGACCCTGCTAGGGTTAGGAATGATTAATCTGGCCTGAGCACTGTCGTCTGAGTCTATGGCAAGAAGTCCCCAGGAGAGCTGCCCTACAAGTCTCAATGTTATCTCTTACTGTGTCCATACAAAAATAGCTAGTATTGATATGTTGATAGTTATTGGACTGAGGAAAAGAGAAAAACAATATTTACAAGTCAACAGAGCACAAAGACAGAAGTTACAAACAAACACAGAGGAATGGGAGCACTGTGATGGGAGCAACCCAATAGACCTAAACTACCTGAGGCTATGCAGGAAGGATAGAACAGTGTTATCCCACATTGTATACCAGTCTCTGCACCCAGTACCACTGGGGGAGACCCCGAAGCATAGAACCAGGAGTAGCCCCTGAACACGGGGTCTGGATGTGAGCTAAGCCCACCAAATAAAATGAATCGAAATAAACGACCTGGAACGTTATTTGTGTTCACTGAACAAGAGAAAGAAGGGGCCCCACTGAGCTTGTTCCTTGGGAGCGACTTTGTTCAGGCGGAGTTAGTATTCGATCACCTGGTTTTACAATGTGCTCATGATACTTCAGCTTTTTCTGCATCATTCTGTATGATCTGATAGTTACTTTATTTTGTTTATTTTTGATGAAGAAGGTAGTTTTCATTGAAACTTATTTAGAAAGATGTGAGGGGAGAGAAAGAGGAAAATATGTATTTGAGAGAGAATCCAGGTTTCTTCAGAGAGGAAAAAGGCCAGCAAAGAAACACAGGGACCAGCAATGGGGTCAGTGTTCAAGGGAGAACACGGGCTTGAAGGGCAAACAAATTAACTTGCGCATTTATTCGTTATTTTTTTAAATTTGTTTTTGAGCCATACTTGGCAGTGGTGCCCAGGGATTATTCCTGGCTCTAAACTCAGGGATCACTCCCGGTGGGGTTGGTGGACCATGTGGGGTGTGGAACTTGAACCCAGGTTGGTGATGTGCAAGGCAAGTGCCCCACCTGCTGTTTTATTGCTCTGGCCCCTGGCTAGCTTATTTTTGCAGTCTGAGAGGACAAAAAAATTTTCCTATATGACTTAATGGCAACAGTTTCTTTGTTTACACCATTCTGATTATAAACAGCTTCACAGACTGTCTAATTTGAATAATAGGGAAACCCGTGTACTATATATCTATCCTTTCATATGCATAAAATTACCTTTCCTTTTAAATGAGTAGAGCCCTTAAATTGCCATAAAATAAACTAAGTCACTTCTTACATTTTTATAAAATTAATATTAATGTAGTATTCACATATTATATTCAGTAAATGCATGTTACAACTTTGTGGTAGTTCATCTAACTTAAAAATTACACAAGATACTTTTTCCATTAAAAGCTAATGAATAATCATTATAAAATTATACAAATTAGAGATAACAGGACAAGTAAAAGTTAAATTACTTATATTACTTTCAACTTTATAATTAAACACTTTTACTGTGCCTATTTAAACATTTTTTATAAAAAAATGAGTTTTTGCTTTTTTTTCACAGCACATCGCAATAACTTTCTATACCATTAAATATTCTTCCAATATTTCATGCAGAGTATTCAAAATATGTAAACAATACAATTCATTTAGCCAATCCTTCTTACTGAAGGGTTTTGTGCAGGATTATTATTCATAGATACCTCCCATTTTATCCTACTGTTTTATAATCTAACTATAAAAACTTGTCTTCAAATTCAAAAGTTAACTTGAAGGAAGTTTACATTTATTTTTTGTGAGAGGTACAAACCAGAAGGGGCACACCTATGAAAATAATGATTAAGGGGCTGGAACAATAGCACGGCGGGTAGCGCATTTGCCTTGCATGTGGCCGACCCGGGTTCGATTCCCAGTATCCCATATGACTCCCCATCCCCTCCCCCCCACCAGGAGCAATTCCTGAGTGAATGAGCCAGGAGTAACCCCTAACCCCTGTGTATCGCCAGGTGCGAACCAAAAAAACCAAAAAAGAAAGAAAGAAAGAAAGAAAGAAAAGAATGATCAAGAGACATGGAAAATTTTTTTACAAAGACCTCAGTAATTTCCCCATTCTTTACTTCCATTGAACAATAGGTTTTTCACCTAATGATCCAGAAATCTCCTTTACCTCCAAGTCTTGAATGAATAGCTTGACATTCATAAAAGAGACGTCTAAGGGTTCTGAAAATTTTCTATGCGCTTCAGTTGCAAAGTCAGTCAAGGTAGTGACACAATCAGAATATTCTTTCTTCATTCTGTCCATTTCATCAGCTCGAGCATACTGCAAAGTAAAACAGAAACAATGACACTGAACATCATTGTGCTTATCTTACAGATTTGGGAATTGTAAATGAAGACTAATTTTAGAGAGAGAGTGAGTGAGAGAGAAGGAAAAAGAAGAAGAGTGGGCGGGGCGGGGGGGAGGATGGCGGGAGGGAAACTGAGGGCAGTTGGTGGTGGGAAATGGTCACTGGTAAATGGATGGGTATTGGAATGCTGTGTGACTAAAATCAATCATGAACAATGTTGTAACTGTGATTGTAACAACGTTGTGAACACAGGTAATTCAATTTAAAAAAAATTTCAAAACGAAAGACTAATTTTCACTTTTACTTATACATTTTAACTAATTTTACTTATACTTTTGCAGAAAGCCCAATTCTTATGAAATGACAAAAGAGTTTTGAAGCTAAGACTCGTGATTCAAAACAGAAAACAGTCCATGTACATTTGCCTCATGTGTCAATATAATCTTTAACCAAATTATATACTTCTATAGTATTTCTCTATTGCAAATATAAACATAACAATTCCAAACACATCCGTATTGTCTTAATCTGCCCATGCTATATCAATAGTTCGCAAACAACTTCTTTGGGACCACACTTAGGATGCATGCATGATTTCAGAGGATATGCAGTTAAAGGACTCACTTGCTTGACTTCCATAAACAGGTCTCTCCATCTCCCGTTCAGCAAGAGTAATTGCTGTTTCAGATCTCGGGAAACCATCTCATCACATGTTTCAATGAGAAAGTTGCCGGCATCATTCATGGCTGTGTGTTGTTGAATCCAATGAGGCAAATTTCGAAAAAAGTCCTGAATGATAAACAACGTATACTCATGTAAACCATAACCAAAAATTCATGGAGGGTACGAATGTGATTAGACTAAGAGAGAACTGAAATCAACAGATGAGCAATAATGTGGTGCAATATTTAAAGAAAAATCTTAAATTTATTTTAAAAATATAAGTTTTAAGTGGGCTGGAGCGATAGCGCAGCGGTAGGGTGTTTGCCTTGTGCACAGCAGGTCCGTCTGAACCGGGTTCGATTCCTCCGCCCCTCTCGGAGAGCCCAGCAAGCTACCGAGAGTATCTCGCCTGCATGGCAAAGCCTGGCAAGCTCCCCGTGACGTATTCAATATGCCAAACACAGTAACAACAAATCTCAAAATGAAGACGTTACTGGGCCCGCTCAAGCAAATTGATGAACAAAGGAAAGGACCGTGACCGTGACCATCAAGTTTTAAGTACATTAAAAAGAACTGAAATGCTATGTTCATAATCTCTATGCCTTATCTTTTGGTAGACAAAAAATATGATTATTTTCCATTATTCCCAGTTTTACAGATAAAAAAAGATGAATTTCGATGAGTACTAGGTTTGCAAGATTGTTATTTTTTGGCAAAATCTTCAGATGCCAGAGTCAAATAAAAGATATAACATTTTAAGGAAATATGCAGATTTACTTGGAAGGAAATAGGCATTTGATTTAATATTTTTTATTTTAAAATCTTAGTATGGCACATCCAGATAATTAGCACTGATGTGGATGAATTGTCAAAAGAGAACTTTTACAAATTAAATATCTAGATCTTAATACATCATCCTTCTTTTCTGTAGTTAGATTTGTACTTGGCAATGAAACATTTTCTATCTAATATTGTGTGTGTGACACACATCACAGTAAAAATCAAGGTTATTAGAGACAATTAAAAAATCCATTTCATAATCCTTTGTGTGGGATGGTTCCCCACATAAATAGAGAGAACACTTCTGTTCCTGATAGTTATATTTTCATGGATGAAATTAACCTTGCTGATATCTTTTAAGGCACAGTGATCTAACCAGAGAAGCCCAAATCTATATGGTTTCACAGCTTTCTGGTCCTTAGTGACACCAGGCTATTTAACCTCTGGGAAATATTGAGTGGTCAGACATTCAGAACTATATTCTTACTTGGATAACACAAAAACTGATAAACCCATCTTAAGGGGGATTCTAAGGCTCTGCTTGTTTCTTAATGGGAGCCTGACATTTGAATACTCTTTACATATGAATTGATTTTCCATAAGAAAATGTCAGTTCCCATTAAGAAAGGATGAGCCCATTTCCTGTGCTATTTTAATGTAACTGACATTAAGATAAAACACACTTTTGTGCACATAAGTATACCCCTGATAAAAAGAAAATAACATCACTCCACTAAGAATAAGACAGTTGACTGAAAGCTGATGATATCCTAAAAAGAATATCCAAAAAGACAAACTGTGAACCCATCTGTTCAAAAGCCATCACGTAGACTCAGTAACTGCAGATGACACAAAGTCCATTTCAACCCGCTCTTAGATTTGAAAATCCCTGGTCTCTGGGGTCCTAAACCGGTCCCGCTTCAAGACCCGATATTGACTAGAGCGCCCTCTGCTGCTCATTGCTTAGTACCGCCTCCCCTCCATGCTGTAGACCACTTTCAGTAACTGCCTCCTAAATGCTGTGGTCAACACCCATTGATCAGCTAAGGAAACAATAGGGCGAATGAAATGCTCTATTGAGTGGTGTATGTATTAGATGAGTGCACGGTACTTTATTAATCTGAAGGCACACAGATTTTCAGGAAAACTCAGCATTCCTGCATCACATTCACAAGTCTATAAAATCCTGAAAACGACACGTAGATATCTCCAATAGACGCTTGAATTTCTAAAAGCCACCTCACCTTTTTGGCAAGTTCTGATTCACTCAGCATTTTTTCAGCATCCTCTAGCCAGGCTTGAAGGCTATCCACAGTGTTGCCATAACGATCCCAGTTGGCAATTACTTCCTCCAGCATGCTCCTTACACTCCTGACTTCTACCGAGAGGTTCCTCCACTGGACAGTGGTGTCATTCATGAATTTCATCACATTCTCAGCCTCTTCCACTGAAATACACAACATCAACTATTGGCCTGATTTGACATTTGAAGCCCAGTATATCTTACTCTAGGGTCTTACACGCCAGTGGACATTCCCAATCCTTCTTGAGATTATATAGACAATAGATGTAATACTAGAATTTCAGTTTCTGCTAGCACAAGAAACAACTGATTACTACTAATATATTTTCATGCGTGAAAATTGAAGCAATGAGTATGTGGTTTACATTTCTGGCCAGCAGGACAAAATAAATGTCGTACGCATCTGCTCGCATTGTAGATGCAATCTAATGGATGGTTTTAGCCACAAGTGTTATATTTCATTTTCAACAAATACATTCATTTACAAGGTGAACTTGCATCTGCAAGAAATAAACTGAGTTTTCACTTATTTGCTATGATGATGAGTCCCTTTTTGTTATTAATCCTCTGAAGAATGGAAAGTAGGTTTGATGAATAAACTTATGTTTTGCTCTCAGAAAATCACCCACAGAAATTTGAACACATATGGAAGTACAATGCTATAGGCTAGTTGTTGTACAAAGCCATGAAGACTGACTCCACAATGTGTCTCGTGGACAATCGCATGGCCACAAAAATATTCAGGAGAAGCGAAAAAGGATCTGGTCATAGAGAACCAGGGAAGTTCAAAATTCTGCTGTACTCAACACTAAAGAAATTCTGTCACTTTTTTTTAATTTTTAATTTTTTTATTTTTTAATTTTTATTAGTGAAACACCATGAGGTACAGTTGTAGACTTACAAATTTTTGTGCTTGGGTTTCAGTTGTACAATGATAAAGTACCCATCCCTCCACCAGCGTCCATTCTTCACCACCACTGATCCCAGTACCCCTCCCACCCCTCTCATTCCCCCATCCCACCCTGCCTCTGTGGCAGGGCACTCCCTTTTGTTCTCTTTCTCCTTTTGGGTGCTGTGGTTTGCAAAAGAGGAATTGAGTGGCAATCATGTTCGGTCTATAGTCTACTTTCAGCATGCATCTCCCATCCTGGGCAGATCCTCCCAACATCCTTTATTTGGTGCTTCCTTCTCTATCTGAGATGCCTTTACCCCTAGAATGTGCAGCTGGCCTCCAAGCCATGGAGTAAACCTCCTGGTACTTATCTCTGCTATTCTTGGGTGTTAGTCTCCTATTTTACCTGAGCCATCAGCTCTGACATACATCTCAGCTGTCTGTTTCAAGATCTGGTAAGTCACTTCGTATTGTTCAAAGAACTTGCTATTTTCTATAAAAGACTGGAAACAGGAAAATGGTTAGAGATGGCGGCTTATGGAGAATGTCAAAGGCAATTTATTTTTTTTTCCAAGCAGATAAATACGTGGTGATAGCAATCTCATTAAAAATATCAAATTCGTTACACTGCTGTAAATAACCTAAGCTTGTTGAGAACATATAAATTGAGTCACATCTTAGATTCTAATTCAGCACTAGATTGAGAAAATGGCTTATTTTTCTTTGCTTTGCTTTCAGAAGAGAGAGGTTTCTTCAGAGAACCTAGGGCTCACATTTAGAAAGCACTAAATTTGGAAGAACATTTTAACGTGTCCCACTGTGTTTTAGCTGTGGAATTCTGTTCTTTGAAGATTAATTCAGATGAATGATGGCTATGAGGAACTTAAGGTTATAAATAAATAGCACAAGGCAAAAATACTTCCTTTAAAATAGAAAGTAGGTACAAAGCATTTATAAATAATATAAATACCCATACAATATAATATAAATACCCATACAATCAAGCATGTTATTCATAGTTACATATTTTTATTGCCTAGCATAAAATTACAGATAAGACACATTTAAACATATCCATAAATGTATATATAATAATGAAATAAACAAATAGGGTATATAAAATTTAAAAGCACAGAAAACAATCTTTAGGTAACTTTTATTGCTACTTGCTCTCGGTAATATAAAACATTTCCTTTTTCAAAGATTATTCCTACTCCTTTAAAGTAGAAAATGAATGTGATTATAATTAGCAACATATCATCAATGGCTCTTTCATTTTTGTTAATAGCATAATTAGTTCTTGTGAATTGAGCCCAGTAAAAGGTTTGATGTGTCATATTATAAAAGGTTAAATTGGTCTTCACAACCCAGGTGAAATCCTGACTAGTTGCTTAATTATGAAGATGCAAAATCTTGTGCATAGGTATAAAACTCTGCATATGGAAGTTTTGTTGACATGACAAGACTGCATTAATTAAATGTCTATCATATTTAAAGAGAACATGAAGAGTTAGAGATATAACACATTTTGTATCTTTGTAGTTTTGTTAAGACATTTGTACTTTTATAGCAATTATTCTTCAGTTCTTCAGAAACAAAGTGAAGAGACAGAGCTATGAGTTAGCTTATGTGTGGGGTTCCCTGATATGTACTTTATTCATAAATACATTAATAGACTATTGCTTTTGTTTGAGACTAGAGTACGACAATTGAAGTCTGGGTAATTTTATTTCTTAGCCTTTTGTTCTATACTCATAATCTCTCCCTGTTCCCCAGCTTGGTAGAAAGCATCTATAGTAATCTAACTCTTGATTAATTTAACCAAGTAATCAAGATATGATTGGATAAAAAAAATTCAACTAGTATGCAAGACAGAAGAAATAAATCTACTTTACAGAGTTTGAAAAATAATCTCCAGTTGGTTTGGGCACAAATTTCAAGAAACCAATGAAAACATAATTGTTCTAAATGTCAAAGACATAGGAAATAATCCTTACATGGGACGGAAGGAAAAAAAATATGCTGTTGCTAGAGATTAATAACTTTTTGGAGGATTTGGAGCAAGACCTGGATTATTTCTGACTGTGCTCAAGAATCACTCCTGACAGGACTCAGGGGAACATACACAGTGCCAGGGACTGAACTCAGCCCAGCTATATGCAAGGGAAGCACCTTACAAATTAATTCATCTTAATAACAAAGTTAGGTAACTTTAAATCATAAGAAAATTGTTTACATTATAATTTTTGGTCTAACATTTTGGTATAAGCCTTCATTAACATATATTAATTTCCACAGAATAAAAATGTAAGTAATTTATTTTAAAGGAAAATATTTAAAAATTTTTCATTGTTTATTTGAATTATTTCTCTTTTTACTACTAAGTAGCTCCATTAAACGAGATGTTCTTTTGTTTCTTCCATAGTAAAAAGTGAATTTTGTGTTTACTAACATGGGCACAGTCAGAACAGGTCTAACAAATTGTCTTCGGCATTATATGACAGTATGCAATCTCTTGTCAGTTGCATACACACTACATCAGTCAACAAGCTCTGGAGAAGTGCTTGACTCCACAAACTTCCTTAGGAATTTAGCAGTTCTTAGCCGAGTACCTCCTTTAAGAGAGAAATAGGATGCTAGTTCTCTACTTCTCTAAAAAAATTAGCATCTCATTTTGGAGATAAAATAAGATAGAACTGAGAACTCAGACTCGGGAAGAGATAATTATGGAACTTTTACATCCAGAATATTATTTGGTTATTAGATTATGTAGTAGCATATGGTTCATTACAAGAAATTTATTCAGAAACCAAGAAAAGCATTTCACTTAAGAAACTGACTTCATGATTTTCTTTGGACATCTTCCTGCTCCTTAAAATGTTCTATTCTAAAGAAAATAATCTTCATGAAAATTCCACAAGGATGAGAAAAGAAGTTTCAGAAAGTATTAGCTAGAAGGAAGCCAATATTGTTCTTTAGAAATATACCCATTGTTCTGTGATGCTCATTGTTTCTACTACTACATTTTTGGGAAAAGTTTAAATTTCCAGAAACTAAGATATTTATAAAGCCTTGTGTTGATGAAATAGCTGAGCCATAATTCAACAAATTCAACATGACAGATTCCCACAAACATCTCTCCCTCATCCCTTCCTCCCCCAAACTATCAAAGTTATGGAATGTGAATTAAAGTATTTTCAAACATGGGCCATGATTAAATGGCACGTTCATTTATTTATGTTACCTACATTTTTTAAAACTTGTGACAAGAGATTATTTTCATTTTTTTGTTGTTGCTGCTGCTGTTGTTTTGGGGACATGTCTGACAGTGCTCAGGGCTTACTTCTGACTTTGCTCAGGGATCACTCCTGGTAGGACTTCAGGGGCACTTTATGGTGATGGAGATTGAACCAGAGTTGACCACCTGTGAGGCAAGCATTCTTAAACCCTGTACTATCTCTCCCGCATATGATTTTGTTTTCTATCTTTAAAAATCTAGTTTTTTGGTAGCTGAAGCGATAGCACAGAATGTGGGGCGTTTGCCTTGCATGCAGCCGACCTGGGTTCGATTCCCAGCATCCCATATAGTCCCCCGAGCACCACCAGGAGTAATTCCTGAGTGCAGAGCCAGGAGTCACCCCTGAGCATTGCCGGGTGTGACCCAAAAAGCAAAAAAAAAAAAATCTAGTTTTTTGATCTACAGGCATGAAGGACAGAAACCAAATCGTGTTTTGAGGTAAGTGGAATGATTTTTAGATTTTTATTGAAAGTAAATATAGTGTAGAAATTAAAGAAAGATTGACTGTAGGGTAGCTTTAGGCTGGATGGGTAAGGACTGGCAGTGGGACACTCCTCCCTCCAATGTGAGCCCCCAGCTGGGCTGAGGAAACTGCTCAATTTTCAGCTTCTGATTTTAGTTCACACTGCCAGGTTCAGCAGAGGACCATATGCATTGCAGGGGATTAAATAAACCTTTATGGGCTGTCATCTTGCCCTGTGTGTTTTTTTTCTCCCTCTCTCCTTGTAAGGGGTAGTACCTAGTATCAAGCAATAGAAACAGGATTTTTCATAAGTGTTTAGGGTGATCCAAGTGGGGCTGGAGCAATAGCACAGCGGTAGGGAGTTTGCCTTGCGCACAGCTGGCCCAGCCGAGCTGGGTTCGATTCCCCTGCCCCTCTGGGAGAGCCTGGCAAGCTACTGAGAGTATCTCGCCTGCATGGCAAAACCTGGCAAGCTACCCATGAACAACAAGTCTCACAATGGAGATGTTACTGGGCCCCACTCGAGCAAATCGATGAACAACGGGAGGACAGTGCTACAGTGCTTTAAAAATCATGTTTTTACATCTAATATTGTTATATCCAGTAACAATGATCAGTCTCATTCTCCTAACCCTGAAAGAGCCTCGAATGTGGCACTCTTTAGAATCTCAGGGCTAGGATGAAGAAGACATTACTGGTGCCTGCTCGAGGCAATCGACAAACAACAGGATGATCTGTGATCGTGATTGTTATATATTAAGGGTGTTAAGTATTTAAGTCACAAACCTTTTGATTCAAAAAGGTGTGGATTCAAATTCTGGCTCCACTTATCCTCAAAGGCACAATCCAGTTCCTCAGTGAAAGGAGGCGTGGGGCCAAAGAGATAGTACAGTGCAAAGGGCATTTGCCTTGCACACAACTGACCCAGGTTCGATCTCCAGCATCCCATATAGTTCCCCAGAACTGTCAGGAGTAATTCCTGAGTGCAGAACCAGGAGTAACTCCTGAACATTTCTGGGTGTAACCCAAAAAGAAAAAAAAAAGGAGGTACAATAGGATACAATAGGATGCAGGCAAAAGGCTTAGCACAAGGAAAAATGTTCAGTCAGCCAGAGCAAGTCAAACCATTGAACAAAAATAAAACTACCTCAAGAGCTTTTTTAAGAAACATGAGTGATATATCCATGTAACTCACCTGGGGTCAAGACTATTAGGAAATGCTTATTAATGATTGCTATATTTGTAGGGTAATTAGCAACGGCACAAAGAATTGTGAGTTGCAAAGCAGTTTAAAATTAGCAGCTTAGAGAATTCTTTAGGAGTAGGCAGGAAGGATTTTTTTTTTCTTTTGAAAATCACTAACAGCCACCCTCCACTTACATATCCTTGATTCGAGGTGTTCTGAGAATTAACATCATTGTGTTGGAACATGACCCTGAGGAAACAGTCCCCAGTAGATGCTTCACTCTGATTGGTGCCCCTCAAAGAGTTTAGATAAAGATGAATCCTGGAGAATTACTTACTGAGCTCAGCATCTCATTGGACAAGACTAAAGCCAGAAAATAGAAATGCATAATCTGTGTTCTGTTTTTACAGGTTCGATATGATGGCTTGACATTTTTTTTAAAAAATTAGATTTTTAAAATTGTTTTCCAAAATAATTTAAAATTGATAAAAGTGGGCAGGGATATAGAACACATGTCTTGCATGCATGAGATGCTCGATTAGATCCCCAGCACCACAGTACCTGGTGCTACTAGGTATAGTTCTGATGCTTCCTATCACCTCTGGGCTTGGCACTGCCCAGTGAGCACTGCTGGGAGGGCACCTCAAACAATGAGTAAAAGAAATTATCATAAATTTTGCATTTGAACCCATGATTAGGAGACTATTTTATTAAATATGTAGAAAAATTTACAGATGCTAAGTCTTTTTAAAAATAAATAAATAAATGTGCATTTGTCACTTAGAAAATAACATTAAATGTAATCAAACTTATTCTGGCTTGGGAATCTCCAGTAATAATAGACTTTCAACATTTTTTCTGAAAAGAAAAAAGAAAAGAAAACAAAGAGTAAGTGGCACAAAGTATCCAATGACACTGGTGATAGAGTCACTGGGACAAGTCAGCTTATATTTTTAATTTGTGCTTTTGCATGAACTCTTATTAATTTATTACTCAGGATTTTTGGTGAAAAAAATAGAGCACTGTAGGACAGAGATTCCCAATCAACATGAATTTTGAAAGCCAGTTTGTGTTGCTAATCTATTAGGTTGACCTGCTTAAGAAAAACAAATTGCATTTAATAACTATAATTCTTTACTTATGTATTAATGGAAATTGCTGGTTACAGAACAGCTAATACCTCCCATCAATTGAGTGTATCTATTCTAAGTAGATTTAAAAATATCTATATGGTTGCTTAAAATACGATATTTTATAAAAAATTACGTTGGCACAGGGATTCATAGATACGACTTCACTTTTCCTGGGTGTACACAGGAAGTAATGAAATTCAGTAAATCACAAAAAAAAAATTTACAAAAAGCCCACGCTGGACCTAACAGAGAAAAGAATTAGCTAGACCCATGTGGACAATTGATAATTGTCTTACACTAGACCTGAAGACAACCCTAAAGTCTTTTCATTTCCTCTTAACATCAGCTCACAATCCAAGTGGTGAGCAGAAAATGCAAAAACTCTTTGAAAGCAATAAAAAGCCGGTGATGGTGGCTCCTGCCTTAATAGAATGAATACAGCAAAACCTTACAATATTTCCCAAGAATAGACATATAGATTGACGATTCTAAGACTGTTGGGGAAAACTCACAAACTTCGGCTAACCCCCTGAATGAGAATACACAGAGCTTTCACACTGAAATGCAAGACAAAAATCACTGCTTTCAGGCAAACAACAGGCTTAGAAGCTAAAACCTACTGGTCCTGGGATTGCTCAGAGCTCCAGGCTGACTTACGATATAGTTCTGCAGAAGCAGCTCCACAGACTCTCGCCTGCCATACTTGATGATCCAAGACTTCAGCTTCGACTCTGCAAGAACTAGCAGTGAGAGCAGACGGTACTTTAATTCTAGAAATTCCATTTTCATTAAGTGTAGCTCAGACGTGGAGGAAACAAAATGAAACCTAGAAATAAAACACCGAGAATTTACAGAATGTAACTAATAGTAACGGAACAGAGCTGACTTAACCTGTTACGTGTCAGCACTAAAAAAAAAAAAATGCCATGCAGACTGCCATCCACTCAGCCGGATCAATCGCTATCCGGAGGTCTGACTCCTTCCTAGCCCTGGCTTTCAAGGCGAAACCTGATTGATTGAAGTCTTTGATTTAGTGCTCTCCCCCTGCCAACACGGCTCTCTTGCCTGTTTCTTTTGTAAGCTGTTTTTGCAATATTACATAATGTTCCTTACAGTACTGAATAAAAATACAGCCTCTGGAGGAACCAGTCTGTGACTTTCAGGCTGTGAGTGCATCTAGCTTTTTTACTCTTTTCAATTAATCATATATTCAAATGCTGGCATCCTCAGCACAGACTCTGGGAGCTCGATTTTAGAGTACCCAATTTAACCATCTCTGTAAAGCAAAATGATTTCACTGAAAAGAAACGGGCAAAGCATCCACTGAGCACGGACAAGGCTACTTCATGTAAAACCAGGCAAGCTCTTACCTCTCAGCCATGTCCTCTAGCTGATCGGCAGGCACAGGGATTCCATTAACAGTCCTGGTCCGGTAGATCTCATGGAATGCTCTTTTATGGGCATCTGTGTTTTGCAGCAGATCCTAAGATACAATTTTTTTGAAAAACGAAAAATGAAGCAACATGTTCACAGAAGGCTAAGAAGCATCATTTTCAGCTCGCTCTGATGAGTCAACGTGCTCAACAATTTGATTGTGCTGCTACAATCATTTGCAGCTCAGAGCTGGTGCAGGGACCCGGACACTTGACTCTCAGGCCCGGTGCTCGAGCCAAATCTAATAATAATAGCATCTTTAAAACACACATGACACGGGTTCTGTAATGCGTTCAGACATTTTAAAGGCACATGGTCCAAAGGAAAAGGGAATTGCTGCCATCAAATATCCTACGTGGGTATTTTTCCCCTTCCTTCATTTGAGATAAGCTGGTTTTAGAAAGCATAAAAACTGAGCACAACTAATTTAACCCCTTCCTGGCCAAAAGAAGAGTGTTAGGTTGTTAGATTTTGTTGGAAACACATGGTGGCTGGCATAAAGTGAGATGTGCTTGCCCTCTAGAGTAAGTTAATCATATTACAGTGCAGCTTGAAAAGACGCAGTATGGTTAGAAGAGTTCAGACAAGCACAGGGAACATGTCAAGTATTTCACAGTGGGAAGAGCCAAGGTGATGGTTCAGAATTTTTTTTGTTATTTTTGCTTTGTTTTGTTTTGTTTTGTTTTAGGGGGGTGGGGTCACACCCAGCAATGCCCAGGAGTTTCTCCTGGCTCTGCACTCATGAAGTACTCCTAGTGGTGGTCAGGGGACCATACGAGAAGCCAGGGATCAAACCTGTGTCAGTCTCGTGCAAGGCAGGTGCCCTATCTGTTGTACTATCACTCTGGACCAGAGAATGTTTTTCATAAACCATGTAGAACTTTATAGGCCTGAACAATTTGTTTAAACTCATTTTGAATCTTTCTTGCTTGTTTCCCAAGTTGGAATATCATAATGCCCATACAACTTGTCACACAGAAACAAAGAAAGAGACAAAAGTAGATCTAGGCCATTTTGCTCAGAGGTGAGTTTATAGGACAGAAGCCCAAAAGTCATTCCTGGGAAGGAAGACTCAACTGGGCCATCAGAATGCTCAGTGAAGTGGTGCAGATCTTGGCAGATTAATCGGAGAAAGCAGACTTTTTTTTTCTTTTTTTTCCCTTTATTTTATTTTATTTTATTTTTTTTTACAGTTGTAGATTTACAATTTTTTGTGCTTTGGTTTCAATTATACAATGATCAGATACCCCTCCCTCCACCAGTGCCCATTTTCCACCACCATGGATAATATCCCTCCCACCCTCATCCCCCCATCCCCCCTGTCTCTGTGGCAGGGCAATCCCCTGTGTTCTCTCTCTCCTTTTGGGTGTTGTGGTAAAGCAGACTTTTTTTTTTAAATTCTAAAACTATAAGAATGATACTTGATAAAAGGGGAGGAAGAATGAAGTTTCTCATGCTGTAAAACTAAATGTTCAAGTCATGAGTGTTTATTCAGAGAAGTCACCGTCATGGTCCTCCCGTTATTCATCGATTTGCTCAAGTGGGCCCAGTAATGTCTACATTGTGAGACTTGTTGTTACTGTGTTTGGCATATTTAATATGTCATGGATAGCTTGCCAGGCTTTGCCATGTGGGCAAGATACTCTCAGTAGCTTGCCAGGCTCTCCAAGAGGGGCAGAGGAATTGAACCCAGCTCGGCTGGCTCAGCTTTGCACAAGGCAAATGCCCTACTGCTGTGCTATCACTCCAGCCCATTCAGAGAAATAAATTACTGTTTTTAGTTCTTGATATTTCTACATTATAGAAAACCACAAAGCCAAACTACGTTTCAAATTTTTTTAATTCATTGAGATTCTGTGATTTACATTGATTGAGGTTGAGGTTCTGTGATTTAATTGATTGAGGTTCTGTGGTTTTCTGTTAAAAAAAGGTTTCCCATGCACATGATTCCAACATCATTGTACCCCAAACCCTCTTCACAATTTCCAACACCCCTCCCAGCCAGCTCAATTGTGTGGATAAGTTCTCCTTTTATGGAAAAACCACTGCTAGTCTCATACATTTTGTTGTGAACACCTTTTCACAGCAGGTAACTGTAGCAATATGCCCCAAGTCAGTGGATACCAGAGGGAGACCCTCAATCTAACCAAGAGCTGATCAAGAGGACGGAGGTTCTAGCCCAGCTGTTATTGCTGTGAGCATTTGTCTCTACCACTTCTATAATATCTAGACCCATTTCTTTCTTTTTCATTCATTTATTCATTATCTTTATAGAATTTAAAATTTTATTGTAAGTTGTTTATGGGTTTGATGTACAAAGTGACTGCAACTTCCCCATCACCAAAGAGCCCCGATCTCTCCATCATGGTCCTCATGTCACTTCAAGTCAGTCTCTGCTTTGATAATGTCAGCTCTGTAATCAAAGGCCAAGGGGTTCGTCACCATTCATTACTTGTCTCTGCCTTGTCTTATATCTCTACACCAAAGATCAGCGTGGTCCCCTGGTACTTTTCCTCTCTCCGAATTATTTTAGTGACTCCCTCTAGCTCCATCCAAGTTGCAGCAAACTGAAGATTTCTTCTATTCTTTTTTGGGGTAGTCTCCTAATTGGTACTCCGCAGGCCCAGGGGGTTCCTTCTGCCAATTTGCAGCCAGTTAGAAGCTGATTGAGTGCAAGGACAAAGGCTGTAAAGCTCGTAGGGCCCCGCAGTGCTGGAGAATATTCCAGTTGCTCTAGCAGTGCTCTGAGGTATCAGTCACACCCCACGCAGACCTCCAGGAACACATAATGTTGGAAGGACTGTTTGGGTGTCGGAAACCAATCCAGGGTCAGCCGCCTTAAACCCTGTACCATATCCCTGACCCCAACTTCAGCCTTTCTGACAGTTAAGTAGCATTCTATTGTGCAGATGTACCAACGTGCACTTGAGTTTTTCCACATTCCTACTGTAACAAACATAAGGGTACATTTATCTCTTCAAATTAACCTTTTATTGTGTATATTGGGGGAGATACCAAGAAGGGAGATTGTGGGTCCTAAAGGAAGCTCTTTTCTTACTTTTTTTGGGAAAATATAGAGGCTGAATGTGGTGACATTCCCACCAAAAGTGAATGAAGTTTCTTTTCTTCCACATCCCACTAACACTGGTGTTTCTTGTCTTACAGACACATACATGCTCACAGAGGAGATGATATCTCACTGTCACTTACAATTGTGTTTCCCTGATAATAAATCCATAAGCTTACTGGCCATTTGTATGTGCTCTGCAGGAAACCCAGACACATTTTTGTTAAAAAAAACAACTGAATCACTGTGAGATACACAGTTACAAAGTTGTTCCTGATTGGGTTTCAGTTCTACAAAGTTCCAACACCCATCCCTTCTCTTTGTCTCTGTCTCTGTCTCTGTCTCTGTCCCTGTCTCTCTCTCTCTCTCTCTCTCTCTCTCCCTCCCTTCCTCCCTCCCTCCCTCCTTTTGACTCCCAGACAAATTTTTATAGCTTATAATATGGACTGACATTCCTCCAAGTGAGAAATTGGAGGAAGTCCAGGCACACTCATTGCCACGACCATGCCCAGCTTTGCTGTGCTACACCTGACTATATTAAGTCATTAAATCATGGGTATGGGGAGGGGTGTCTCTGACAATATCAAGATATTCAAAGGTTCAGCTGTCTTCAAAGAGGCATTTTCTTCTGTACAGTTTTCAGGATCAAGGTCATTACAAACCTTTGACAAGACAAAAAATCCCAAACAAAACATGTCTGACCAGAAGATAAAAGAATTACAGCTGATGTACTATCAGTGGGTCTTTTCAAAAGCTGTCTTGCTCTCGAATGGAAAACAGGGAGCACCATTTAGGGCTCCAACTGCTGTGCTCATAGGACATAATGAAGTCCTTTAGGACTCCAACTTTCAGTGAATCAAGACCCCGGATCTCTGATTCTAAACAAACAACAAAATGCAAAATTGATTTTCCTGGCAAATAACTATTCCAGTGAAGCAAGAGATTCAAACTGAGAACCCTGAGATTTTTGCACTGGAATCCTTCAAGAATCCTCCAAGAAGACTGATATGGATCTGCTTGGAAGCAAATACACATACAAATAGAGAAAAGCAAAGATCACTAAGCACAGAATTCACATCAACATGAGTGACAATCAATAGTTCAACAAAGTTTTTTAATGTGGCAGAATTTGAATACTTGACAACAGCTTATAAGTTAGGGGAAAAATGTTGTGTCTAAATGTTTTTAGCTTCCTATATTGATTAAGGAGGTCAGGATAAAGATTAATTAGACACTTAATCACTTAATCACTTAACTTCCCGTTAGTCGTCGATTTGCTCGAGCGGGCGCCAGTAACGTCTCCATTTGTCCCTGTCGCGTGCTAGTGTAGCCCAATGGCATCTCTTCGCTCCAGGAACATGGAGGGCCTCAAACCGATCGTTCATGACCTTGACAAAGAAGTCTGACCATCTGGTAGGTGGGCGGCCACGCGGTCTCTTGACATCCCGTGGAATCCAATCAGTAACAGCTCTAGTCCAACGGTCGTCTTTAAATCTCATTACGTGACCAGCCCATCTGATTTTCGACACCTTGGCAAATGAGACAGCGTCCCTGATCCTTGATCGTCGACGGATGTCAGAACTCCGGATTCGTTCTCTCATTTGAGTGAAACGTGATATTCCAAGCATAGCTCTTTCTATTCTTCTTTGGGAGACCTGAATGGCGTTCTCATCTTGTTTGCGTAGGGCCCAGGTCTCTGAGGCATATGTTAATGCAGGAAGAACAGTGGAATCAAAGAGATGTGCCCGGAGCCGGAGGTTCTTCGTCCTCTTAGCTATTTCTTCGACGTTCTTGAAGGCGTTCCAAGCCGCTCTCTTCCTCCTGCGCAGCTCGGGTGCCAGGTCATTTCTCATGTTGACCTCTCGACCTAGGTACACATAGCTGTTGCATTCGGAGATGGTCGTTCCATTGAGAGCGAATGGGGCGTCAGGAACAAGGCTGTTTCTCATAAACATTGTCTTCGTAAGATTCAGCTGTAGTCC